GGACATCCAAATTCACTAAATTACGTAACTGTTCACCGAGTTTCAGATTAATAAAGGTTACGTCAAACAAGGCTGCAAGGCGGTTTTGCAAAATATAGAGTATGAAGTATATATCCAATATTGTTTTAAAATTTGGTTTTGTAATTTTTTTTTTTTAAAAAAATTCCCCTTCATGGGCCCCCTTTGAGCTCCATGGACCCCAGAACAATGTACCGTCTAAACCCCCCCTTTCCTCAGGCCTGGGGATAGCCCAAGCGCTCTCCCAGAGAAAACGGACTCGCAAGCTGAGGTGTCGCAGTGGTTAGAGTGCAGTACTGCAACTACTTCTAGTTCAATAGATCAGCGGATCAAATCTCACCGGCTCAAGCTTGACTCAACCTTCCATCATTCGGAGGTGGGTAAAATGAGGACCCAGATTGTTGGGGGCAATATGCTATTTAGTATACTGTCTTTGGTGTAAGCCGCCCAGAGTCCTCGGAGAGTGGGCGGCATAGAAATATGACAAACAAACAAACAAATAAATAAGCAAGCTCCGTTTTGGTGGCAACGGCCTCCTGCAACCTTCTGCCAGCAAAAACGGAACTGGGGAGTGGCTCCCACAGCCCTCATGAGCTCGTTTTTTTGCTGCGATGGCCTCCTGCAGCTCTATGCCAGCTAAAATGGAGCTCGGGAGGGCAAAATGCAACCCTCCCAAGCTTTGTTTTTTCCCTGGCGGAGGCACTGCAGGCTGGTCCTTATCTATTTCCAGGGTGGCCCTGCGGGCCAGATCTAAGCACCCTGCAGGCCGGATCCGGCCCCCAGGCCTTGAGTTTGACAATTTATTTATTTATTTTATTAAATTTCTATACTGCCCTTCTCCCGAAGGACTCAGGACGGTGAACAGCCACAAGATAAAACACATAAATATAAAAATTTAAAATAGATTAAAAACGAATTAAATAATTTGGCTGAATTTAAAATACCCCATAATTTAAAACAAATTAAAATTTACATTTAAAAAGGGGAGATGATTTAGGCCAGGCCAGCTTGATGACATAAAAAAGTCTTAAGCGCGCGACGGAAGGTGCGCAGATCCGGGATCCTCCGTATCTCCGGGGGGAGCTCGTTCCAGATCGTAGGTGCCACCAGAGAAGGCTCTCCCCTTAGGGGCCGCCAGTCGACATTGTTTGGCCGACGGCACCCAGAGGAGCCCCTCTCTATGGGAGCGTACTGGCCGGTGGGAGGCTATTGGTGGTAGCAGGCGGTCCCGTAGATAACCAGGTCCCGTAGATAACCCATGGAGCGCAGGAGAGGTTACATGGGAACTCCACGTCGCTCCCATAACCACCCACGCAGCTGCACTCTGTGCCAGTTGGAGCCTCCGAGTGCACCTCAAGGGGAGCCCCATGTAGAGAGCGTTACAATAGTCCAGACGAGAGGACTATTCTGCCCTAAGCCCAAGATCCAGTGTGGCATAATGGTATTGGACTGGAAAACTATTCCATCTTCAGCCACCAACACTGATCGCTATCACAGAACGATAGTGGTGGGGAAAACAATGAGATGGTTATAGACAGCAGCTTTGAGCTCCGAATGAAAGGGAGAATGTAAATCTGATACTCAGCCTAATAAATAATAGAGAATAATAAGTGCTTCATTGCTGTACTGGTGAAGTTCCACCTCTTATCTATAGGGTTTAAATCAAATGCAGCTGTCTTGTTTGGCCATACAGATGGTCCTCAATTTACAACCATCCGTTAATGACCATTCAAAGTTACAACAGCACTGGAAAAAGTGACTTTATGACTGTTTTTGTGCTTACGACCGTTATTATATTATTCTGATCATGTGATCAGAATCTGGATATTTGGCAACCAGTTCATATTTATGACGGTTGTACTGAGTCTTGCGACCCCCCCCCTTTTTGCGACCTTCTGACAAAAAGCAAAGTCGATGGGGAAGCCAGATTCACTTAGCAACCGTGTTAGGTGAGTTTTGCCCCATTTCATGACCTTTCTTGCCACCGTCGTTAAGCGAATCACCGCAGTCGTTTCATTCCACCCTCGTAAGCAACCCCAAGGAAATGCTGAACCACAAAAATGATCCGATAGCAATTTTTTTTTTCTGTGCAGGATTTTTTTTTCTTTATATATAAACAGAATTATTTCCTACTTTGCAACAAACTCTGCAAGCGAACTCCTTAATCTTTATATACATATACACACACACACATATATATACAGTAGTGGCCAAAATTGTGGAAACTTTTTGGGAAAAGTGTATTTTTGAGGTTTGATGGCCAATAACACCATCCCCCCCCCCCGGAGTTTCAAGATAATCCTATTCTGGTCTAGCTCAGACCTTCACCCAATTGAAAATCTATGGAGCCGACTAAAGAAATTTGCTAGTCAGAAGCGACCCAGCAATAAAACCCAGTTAATAGAAGCAATCCTTCAATCTTGGTTTCACATTAGAACAGCTGCAGAACTGAAAGACTTGGTTCGCTCCATGGGAAGACGTTGTAAGGCATTAATTCATGCTAAAGGTTACCCAACTAAATATTAACTGACATGGTGATAATTTTTGCATATCTCGTTTTTTATATGGTGATAATTTTTGCATATCTTGTTTTTTCTACGTTTCACTTTTCTTCTTTATACTGTAACTGCTATTCTAACAGCAAATCCTTCATAAAAGTTATTGCATTACATTCGTGATTAAATTCTCTTTCCAACGATATATAATTTTATGGCACTCCTCCAAAAAAAAAAAAAAGTGGTGTTATTAGCTAGCTTTAGAAAATATTTTTCCCTAAAGGTTTCCACAATTTTGGCCACTACAGTATATATACCATATGCTTTTTTTTTCTGCTCAATTTTGCTTTGTTTTTTTTTTTTTTTTCGTCCTATCGACGGAGGTGTCCACAGGATCAAACAGTACAAATTGTGACCACAAATTCAGTTGCAACTTTTAAGATAAATTTTTTTCCTTTTTTTTTTTTAAAGGGAAGGATGGGTGATTGGTATATATAGATCTCTTTTTTTTAAAAAAAAAAAAATCAGGTCTACATTACTTGCTGTTACAATAGTATTTTACCATCTTAGGAACCATTTATTGTTTGTTTTGTTTTTTATTTTATTTAAAAAAAAAATTCTGGTCAGAAGTGGGTAGAAGGGAAGGACACAAAATAGAGATTTCCTTTTTTTTTTCTTTAAAAAAAAAACAACCTCATCTCCTGATTTGTTTTTTCCTTTTTTAAACCTGAAATCCTAAAACACTGAAGTTTAATTAAAAAATTATATAATATCAAAAAACACACACACGCACACACACGAAAGCAACCCTGTTGTCATTCGACCCACCACTATTGCCTTTCCTAAAGACCTGGGTTTCAGCTATCATACAAACACCGTACCTCTATACAAACGCCCTTTTTAAACTAATAAAATAAAGATTACTTACAAGAAAGAGAGAGGGTGGGGGAGAGAGACAGAGACAAGGAAGGGAAGGGAAGGGTGAACTTCTAGGATGGTTCTGGCCAGTGCCTTCAAACAATGGGAAAGTAAAGAATGTGAGACAATAATTCGAAGAAATGTGGTGACTTGAGTTTTTACGAGGACGGAGCAAAAAAGAAGAAGAAAAAAAAAAAAGAGGCAGAAATTCGGCATCAGGCTCGTGACAAAATGCAGCTAAAAATCCCATTTGGTTTGATTTGCAAGTCCCCAGAAACTGAGAGAGAATTCTGTTCGGGATTTAAAAAAAAAAAAAAAAAAAAGCACGCACATTGCCCGCAAATGCAAAAGTTTCTTTTTTTCCCAACTCCCTTGTCCTTTTCTTTTGCTGCATAAGGCTGTTTCCAACCTCGCCGTGAAACGGTGGTGCGCTCCGTCTGCAGGCCGTGTTCAATTGAATTGGCTAAATTCGTGCGCGGAGTGCGAGTGTGTGTTTGTGGGTCAACCTGACCCGCTGTACTTTCTTCCGTTTCACCGGACATACCTGTGACCCGCCCCGAGAGCCTCTCGGGTTGTCGTCGTGCCCAAAGAGAACAGCCTCTCCACTCAACCCGCCCCCACTCCTCCAGAAGCAAGATGCCGAAAACGTACAGAAGAGACAAGAAAAATATAATAATAAAAAAATAATCTAGCAGGGTTTTTTTCTCTCCTTTTAAAACAGCCAAGCTCAAGGAAGGATGACCCCAACCCCACCCCTAGTTCCCACCCAGGAAAAGGGTGACGGAAGTTAGTGAACCCGTGTTAAAAACCTGTAGTTAAAAAAAAAAATTTGCAGGATTTTTGTCTGTTGAATCCTGGGGAGGGAAAGAAAGAAAGAAAGAAAGAGAGGGGGGGGGGGGGAGGGAGGGAGGGAGGGAGGGAGGGAGGGAGGGAGGGGGAAGGAAGGAAGGAAGGAAGGAAGGAAGGAAAGAAAGGAAGGAAGGAAGGAAGGAAGGAAGGAAGGAAGGAAGGAAAGAAGGAAGGGAAGAAAGAAAGGAAGGAAGGAAGGAAGGAAGGAAGGAAGGAAGGAAGGAAAGAAGGGAAGGGAAGGGAAGGGAGGAAGGGAGGGAGGGAAGGAAGGAAGGAAGGAAGAAAGAAAGAAAGAGAAAAAGGAAGGAAGGAAGGAAGGGTGAAAGGAAGGGAGGAAGGAAGGGAGAAAAAGAAAGAAAGAAAGAAAGAAAGAAAGAAAAAGGAAGGAAGGAAGGAAGGAAGGAAAGAAGGAAGGGAGGAAGGAAGGGAAAAGAAGAAAGAAAGAAAGAAAGAAAGAAAGAAAGAAAGAAAGAAAGAAAGAAAGAAAGAAAGAAAGAAAGAAAGAAAGAAAGAGGAAAGGAGGGCGGGCAGAGGGAGGAAGGGGTAAAAGGATGCACCTGGTAGGAAGAAAGCCAGGCGCCACCTTTCAGGGCAGTAGCAAGGTATGGGGTAGAAAAGCCCCCACCCCCCAAGTCTCCTCTGTAACTCCTCCCTCCTGCCCCCTCACCACATCCCCCGTCCTCAAACGCAAAGCAAGGAGGCAAGGTTCATCCAAGAGGCGACGGTTTCGCTGTCTCATTGTTGTCGGGAGGCGAGGATTCGGTTTATATATATATATAAAAAAAAACAAAACAAAAAACAAACAAACAAAAAAAAACCCAGAAGAATTGGGAGGCTGAGATTCGGTAGGTAGGCAGAGGCGAAGGAAAAGGGGGGCTACTGCCCTGGGGTGTCGCCCACCATTTCAATTCCGTGTTGTTGAAGCTGTGCTCTCAAAAGGGTGTTTTCGGTCTTCATCTGTTCAATCTGTTGAAGGGGGGGGGGGAGGACACGGGAAATAAGAGAAGGAGGAGAAAGGGAGACGTTTATCAAACTGGGGAAAAGCGGAGGCAAGAGTTAAGGAAACGCAACTGGGGTTTGCTGCGAAAAAGTACAGGCAGACCTCGATTTCTGACCGTAATCAGGGGTGGGTTCAGGGGTGAAATGCTCCCGGTTCGGACCGGATCGCCTGATCCGGTAGCGATGGCGGCAGGTGGTTTGGAGAACCAGTAGCAAAAATCCCTGCCTCTCCCCCCCCCACCATGCCCCAGCTGAGCTGCACGATCATCAGAGGCTTTTTTTAAAAAAAAACTTTTAAAAGCATTTTTTCTACAACCTCTTCCAATGAAAAAATGCTTTTAAAAGTTTAAAAAAAAAAAAAAAGCCTCTGATGATTGTGCGGCTCAGCTGGGATCGTCAGAGGCTTTTCCAAGCATTTTTTTCTGCAACCTCTTGGCCGAAGAGGTGGTAAAAAAAATGCTTTGAAAAGTCTCTGACGATCCCAGCTGAGTTGCCTGATCAAGCAATAGAAAAAATACTTTGAGAAGTTAAAAAAAAAAAGTTAAGTTGGCCACGCCCACCAAGTCACATTACCCACCCCCCCCAAGCCACGTCCACAGAACCAGTAGTAACAAATTTTACATTTCACCCCTGGGTGGGTTCTACTTACCTTTACTACCGGTTCGCAACGGGGCCGCGCAGAAGCATTCTGATGATGTCAGGGTCGGTGGGCGGAGCCTCCCGCCGGTTTTACTACCGGTTCTATAGAACCGGTGCGAACTGAGGGCAACCCACCACTGACCGCAGTGAAACCTGGGAATTTCCCATTGTACGTCATGACGGTTGTTAAGTTGGGGGACTCATGTAACCAGGTCAGAATAACAGAGTTGGAAGGGACCTTGGAGGTCTTCTAATCCCACCCCTTGCTCAAGCAGGAGACCGTATACCATTTCGGACAAATGGCTGTCCAGTTTTGTATTGAAAAGCTCCAGTGATGGAGCACCCACAACTTCTGGTGGCAAGCTGTTCCACTGGTTAATTGTTCTGTCAGGAAATTTCTCTCTAGTTCTAGGTTGCTTCTTTCTTTGATTAGTTTCCACCCATTGCTTCTTGTCCTACCCTCAGGTGCTTTGGAGAATAGCTTGACTCCCTCTTCTTTGGGGCAGCCCCTGAGATATCGGAAGACTGCTCTCATGTCTCCCCTAGTCCTTCTTTTCATTAAACTAGACATACCCAGTTCCTGCAACCGTCCTTCATATGTTTTAGCCTCCAGTCTCCTAATTATCTTTGTTGCTCTTCTCTGCACTCTTTCTAGAGTCTCCACATCTTGTTTACATTGTGGTGACCAAAACTGGATATCTGGATTTTTGTAACTGTTTTTGTGATAGCTGTAAAGCAGACATTGTGTCATAAAGCAAGTCCATTTGTTTTTAGGAATGTTTTCACCCGAAACCGGCTGAAAGAAAACACACACCTGGTATGCACACGTGCGTGCACACACACACACATTTTGTGAAAGCAAAGGGACTTACTCTGTTTATATGACACACGCAAATATATCAACTGTCCATCTTCTCTTGTTCTGAGGTAACGTTTAACTGCAATTGCTGAAAATTGTACTTGGCCGCACTTACAGATTTGCTCCAAGGCCGTGTGACCTGGAAGAGTTCCCTGAAGCAGGACATCCCGATTTCTGCACTACTATTATGCCCATAGATAGTCCTCGACTTACAACAAGTTCACTTAGTGACCGGTCAAAGTTATAACGGCACTGAAAAAAAGTAAAAAACCTATGGCCGTTTTCCAGAGTTACGACCCCCCCCCCCACAATCATGTGATCAAAATTCAGATCCTTGGCAACTGGCTCATATTTATGACGGTTGCAGTGTCCAGGGGGGGTCACGGGATCCCCTTTTGCGACCTTCTGACAAGCCAAGTCCTAGGGGGAAGCCAGATTCATTTAACAACCGTTGTTACTAATTTAACAGCTGCAGTGATTCACTTAACAACGGTGGCAAGGAAAGCCGCAAAATGGGACAAAGTTGTCAACCAATGTTTCGCTCGATGACCGAAATTGTGGGCTCCGTTGGCGGTCGTGTAGGTCGAAAACTACCCGTACTCAGCTTTATGGCTGGCCACAATCCCAAACCCTGTTCCAAAGAAAGAGAGGAAGAATGTGGGCTGAGCTACCTGTTGCCGTAGCAAGTCATTGTCCATCTGAAGCCTCTCGGCTTCCTTGAACGTCTCCTGCATACGCTGATTCGTCTGGCGCAGCTCCCGGATGTAGTCGCAGGCTTTGGAGAGGATGCCCCCTTTGCTCTGAAAGAGAGAGAAACAAGGAACAGCTCCACCACTGAGCTTCCTGCTCTGCCCCACCTCGCATGGTGGGAAGGATCTTCCAAAATCATCGGTCTTCTCTAAGGTCTTTCCTCCTTTAAAGGTAAAGGTTCCCCTCTCACATATATTTGCTAGTCGTTCCTGACTCTAGGGGGCGGTGCTCATCTCCGTTTCAAAGCCGAAGAGCCAGAGCTGTCCGAAGACGTCTCCGTGGTCATGTGGCCGGCATGACTCAACGCCAAAGGCACACGAAACGCTGTTACCTTCCCAGCAAAGGTGGTCCCTATTTTTCTACTTGCATTTTTTACCTGCTTTCGAACTGCTAGGTTGGCAGAAGCTGGGACAAGTAACGGGAGCTCACCCCGTTACGCGGCGCTAAGGATTCAAGCCGCTGAACTGCTGACTTTTCGATTGACAAGCTCAGCGTCTTAGCCACTACACACCTCCAAGGATTAGCTGGCTCTGTTTGTAGGATGGGACTTTATTTATTTATTTGTGGCTGGCTAAAATATCGATTCGTCTCAATTTATAGAGCTTGCCGTTAGTCAAAAAATAAGCATTAAGTGCTGTTTTCCATCTGTTTTGAGTCAACTTTTCAATGCCTGGCGACCTCTTTGTGTCGTTCTTGAAAGCAACAAAGACGTCGCTCATCGCAAACACACACACACCCTCCCCAAGATGGTTGAAATTGTTTCCACCACCCCCTGACTTCCTAGAGCTTTAGGGCTATTTACGAACCTGGTAGCTTCCCATTCGAATACTAATGAGGTCCAAGCCGCTTAACTTCTTGAGTTTAGGCCAAAGTGGCCAACTAGCGGCCACAGCTTCAGGATTTCTCAAGTGGAAAAGAGGTTTCTTGTGGGGTTGTCCTCAGCTAAGGAGAAATCGCTAGGAATAAGCATCTGCAAATCTAAGGAACTCTTCAAGCAGGAACTCTCAATTATGACAGCTCGTTTGCATTATTCCTCCTTCTACTGTGTTGGATGAAATTATCTATCCCCCACCAGATCCCCAACAGAGATGGATACAGATTAACGGAGTTGGAAGGGATCTTGTAGGTCATCTGTGGCAGCCCCTCAAATACTAGAACACTGCTATCATGTCACCCCTGGTCCTTCTCTTGACTAGCCATACCAGGGGTGGATTCTAATTTTTTTTACTACCGGTTCTGTGGCCGTGGCTTATTTTGTGGGTGTGGCTTGGAGGTCATGTGACTAGATGGGCATGGCTAGCTGGTCAGAGTCATTTCTGGAAGGTCCTCGCACTTACGACCAGTCCTCGCACTTACGACCCAACTCATCTGTTTGCTTTTAACACTGATCAGCTGTAGGACGGCCCTTTGAAGCCCCCCGGCAAGAGTTTAAACAGTTTTTTTCCCTCTAGTCATCAGCTGGGACTCAGGAGGCAGCAATAGATTGGGGGTGGGACCAAATAAAAGGTAAGAATAATGTGGGTGGGGTGGGGGGGGGAGGGCGGGGGGAGGAGAACCGGTTCGGTGATGTCATATCGTCACCGCTACCGGCTCGGCCGAACCGGGAGGAACCCACCACTGAGCCATACCGAATACTTGAAAAGCAGAGTCGGGAAAATAAATGGGACCTCAGCCTCTCAACTAAACGCTAAGCTATTTCAGAAGCCTGCAAAGATGACTCCCATTGCTAACATCGCTGGAATTAGTGAATAGGCTGCCTGCTGAAGAGCCAGGGATAGGCCCAGTAGTGGTGCGAGGGTGAAGATTCGATCTCCGAATCTTGTGGGTTGGTTTCAAAACATTTCGTTACCAGGCTAGGTCTCTTCAGCGGAGTTTAGGGGATGTCAGTTTCAGTGTTCTTCTGTTTATAAGGGCTTCAGGTGTGGGTCTGTCAAGTGAGGGTCTTGAGATGGGCCAAGTGTAGGTGTCAGGCCTGGAAGCCATCTTTTGCGTTGGATCTTCCGGCCTGCCACATTTACTACTGTGGGAAACTGGGAGGGGGGATTGTATGGAGGACGGGTGATATATAGTCAAAACAACATTCCTTTCTCAGGGAGTCAAGGACATCTTGCCCTGTACCTGGAGGGCTGGAACTGGGAGGCATCTCCACTTGGGACAGTGTCTTGATTGGACCATGTGATGGACATGTAGGTGCTGGGCAGGGACTTGGACTTTTCTTTGGGTGGGGAAAACCTGGAAACTTTCAGATTCGGGTTTTCCCAGATGTGCCAATATGACCTCTCTAATAAAGTGGAACTTTGAGGAATCTCAAGTTTTCTTTCATTGGGGGTGTTACTTGGAACTCTGACAGTAGGTGTGTCGAGTGAGGCTCTTGCAATGGGTCAGGTGTGAGTCATCGGTGAGTGTCTTGTGATGGGTCGGTTACAGCAGGTCAGAGTCATTGGGAGGTGAACTGCTGGTGGTGGGGGTGGTGGGGATTTGCGTGGGTCGGTTGAGGGTCGGTGCCGTCTCTGGTTGGGCGGTGTGGTTGATTAGGATTCTGAGGGGTTTGTCGGCTGGTTGTAGGTCAATGTGCCCTGTTGATGGAATGGCTTGTGGAGTGCCAGCCTTCAATGAACTCACGGAGCATGGCAAGTGGTGGCATGCGGTGGCCGGTGATTTTTGTGTTGCTTCAATCAAACTGGTGCTGTTTGGGGTCGGAGTGGGTAGAGATTAAGGATTCAGGATCGTGGCGTTTGACTGGTAGTGGTACGTATCGGGACTCCACACCACAATTTCTGCAGCCTGTGCTAACTCAAAAGACGCCAATAGTTTGGAATTCAAGATCAGAATTATTTAGTAGAGTTCTTTTGAGCAAAACTACAGTGGGAGAAAGGGATTGCTAACTTTCGTCCCCAAAGGACTGGACTGTTAACTTCTCATCATCTTAAGCAGGCAATGGCCCCACAACTCAATACTCTAGTACAGGGGTCTCCACCGTGGCAACTTTAAGACCTGTGGACTTCAACTCCCAGAATTCCTCAGCCAGCAAAGCTGGCTGAGGAATTCTGGGAGTTGAAATCCACAAGTCTTAAAAGTTGCCAAGGTTGGAGACCCCTGCTCTAGCAGGAGAATGTTTCCACAAGCTATAATCTGACTGAACAGTACTTGTGGCTCCAATTACTCCACAATTATGCCATCCAATGAGGCTGTAATTATCCAAAGCAATTGCAAACAAGATAACCAATAGGGAAAATTCATCTGGGAGAAACAATAATCAGGGAAAGTCCACTGGAACGATGGAAGGGTGATCTGGGACATCTCCACATGAGAGAAGCTTAATATGTCCTCCCCCAAAGCAAAACGTAATTCCTTTTGCACTACCCCCCCTCCAGCCCCCAGTAACTGCCCTCACCGCCCCCGTCTTGGTGTTGTCTGTATTGCAGTCTGGAATGATTTTTGACAGCTGTACGATCCAATTGTTGATCTTGTCCCGCCTCCTCCGTTCAACTTTAAAAAAAAAAAAAAGAGAGAGAGAAATAAAAGAAATAAAAATAAGACCCTGATCAAACATGGCAACCTGACAATAACATGAATGATTTGACTTTGGAGGAAGAGAAACAGGCACACACACAAGAGTTATTACCAACAGCTCTACAGATCAGAAATTGAAGGTTCGATCTAATCTGGGCAATATGTCTTCCCTCGGATGTTGCTGAACTACAATTCCCAGCATTCTTCTCCACTAGGTGGGATGTCTGGAGCCAAAAGGTACTGGAGTTCACTATCTGGAACATTTTCTTCCTCTGCCAATTTGGAAGAATAGCAATAGCCTTTAGACTTATATACTATTTCCTAGTGCTTTATAGCAGGGGTCTCCAACCTTGGCAATTTTAAGCTTGGTGGACTTCAATTCCCAGAATTCCCCAGCCAGCAAAGCTGGCTGGGGAATTCTGGAAGTTGAAGTCCTCCAGGCTTAAAGTTGCCAAGGTTGGAGACCCCTGCTTTATAGCACTCTCTTAAGCCAGGGGTGTCATACTCAATTTCATTGAGGGCAGCATCAGGGTTGTGTTTGACCTTGGAGGGGCTGCGGGGGGGGGGGGGGGAGGGAAGGCATGGCCAGGGTGGGCATGCCAGCTCGATGTCACTTGTGTCTGGGGCACCTGTGGTGGCCCAGGCAGCCCTCCTCCCCAGCTCCGTTTTCCACCAGGATGGCCTCCTGCAGCGCTCTGCCAGTGAAAACGGGAACAGCCGACCCTCCTGAGCTGTTTTCGCTGGCAGAGGGCTGCAGGAGGCTGGCACAGCCAAAAATGGAGCCACCCCCTGTGCACGGCCCCCCTGAGCTCCATTTTCTCTGGAGAGGCACCACGGGCTGGTCCTCCTCTGTTTCCAGGTTGGCCCCACAGGCCAGATCTAAGCATCCCACCGGCCAGATCCGGCCTGTGGGCCTTGAATTTGACACCTCTGCTCTAAGCGGTTTAGAGTCAGCCTATTGCCCCCAGAATCTGGGTCCTCATTTTACCAACTTTGGAAGGATGGAAGGCTCGAGTCAACCTTGAGCCAGTCCGGATCGAACTCCTGGCAGTGGGCAGAGCTAGCCTGCAGTACTGTTTCTAACCACGGCGCCATCATGGCGCTTTCCAAGAGCCTTGCTGGTACAGTGGTCTAAGCACCCTGTTATTAACATAGCTGCCTGCAATTTACTGCAGGTTCGAATCTCTCCAAGGCTCAAGGTTGACTCAGCCTTCCATCCTTTCTAAGGTAGGTAAAATGAGGACCCAGATTGTGGGGGCAATAAACTGACTTTGTATAAATATACAAAAGGATGAAGGCTATTGCTTAACGCATTGTAGCCGCCCTGAGTCTCCAGAGAAGGGCGGCATATAAATCAAATTTAAAAAAAAAACTGGAAAAAGGGAAATAAGATTGGGTCTTTCTCAATCGTGTTTCCGAGCAATGCCGTCCTTCCTCATCTGATTAGGGCACAAAGTTGAAGGCAGCAGAGAGCTCACCAATTTGGCTTTCCTGCTTACCTTCATTGTGCTGAGCTCTTCGCCTCTCATCTCGTGGCGTCCGCGTCCCGTCCATTTTCCTAGAATTTGAAGGAAGGGAGTTGAATGAATCAGAAAGCACAGCAGCTTTCAGAAACCCCTGTTCCCATCTCAGAACTGACAGAACATCTTCTATGATTTCGAAAGACGGAGTTAAAAGATGCCAAATTGTCAGCCCTCTCCTTCGACACAGATAGGCATACCTAAGAATTGAGAAATCGGGGGATGCTCACCCCCCTCGTGGACGTTCTGAATTGGAAGGAAAAGGAACATCCGTCCAGGGTTGATTGCTAAAACCGAGTGTTTGTTTTTCTCAAACCCGTCAGAAATGCAACAATTAGGGTGGACCCTTTCTCCGCCTTGTCTCCATAAGGTTGCAAAGCTCAACAGTTTTGGAAAATGAATCAGAATAGAGCCGGAAAGGACCTTGGAGGTCTTCTAGTCCAGCCCAGTGGTGAAATCTAAAATTTGTTACTACCGGTTCTGTGGGCGTGGCTTGGTGTGGGGGTGGGGGTAATGTGACTGGGTGGGCGTGGCCATTTTTTTTTTTAACTTTTAAAACCATTTTTTCTACCACCTCTTCGGCGAAGAGGTTGTAAAAAAAACGCTTTCAAAAAGCTCTGACGATCCAAGCTGAGTTGCCTGATCGGCAGAGACTTTTTTTCTTTTAAATGCCTCTGCCAATCAAGCAACTCAGCTTGGATCGTCAGAGGTATTTAAAAGAAAAAAAAAAACCCTTTTTTTCTTGTAAATGCCTCTGAGGATTCAAGCTGAGTTGCCTGATCGTTAGAGGCATTTAAAAGAAAAAAAGTCTCTGCTGATCAGGCAACTCAGCTTGGATCGTCAGAGGCATTTACAAGAAAAAAGGGGGTTTTTTTCTTTTAAAAGCCTTTGATGATCCCAGCTGAGCCCGCGATCATCAGAGCCTTTTTTTTTTTACTTTTAAAAGCATTTTTTTCGGCCGAAGAGGTTGTAGAAAAAATGCTTTTAAAAGTAAAAAAAAAAAAAAAAAAGCCTCTGATGATTGTGCGGCTCAGCTGGGCATGGGGGGGGGGGCAGGGATTTTTGCTACCGGTTCTCCGAACCACCTGCCTCCATCGCTACTGGATCGGGCGATCCGGTCCGAACCGGGAGCATTTCACCCCTGGTCCAGCCCCCACGGGCTCAACCAGGAGATCCTATAGTATTTCAGACAAGTGACTGTCCAGTCTCTTCTTAAAAGCCTCCAGTGATGAAACACCCACAAACTTCTGAAGGCAAGCTATTCCATTGGTTAATTGTCCTCACTGTTAGGAAGTTTCTCCTCAATTCCAGGTTACTTCTCTCCTTGATTAGTTTCCAACCATTGTTTCTTGTCCTGCCCTCTGGTGCTTCAGAAAATAAATTGACCCCCCTCATCTTTGTGGCAGCCTCTCAAACACTGGAATATTGCTATCACGTCCCCTCTACTCCTTCTTTTCTCTAGACTAGCCAAACCCAAATCCTGCAACCCATTTTTCATATGTTTTAGTCTCCAGGTCTTTAATCATCTTAGCTGCTCTTCTTTGCACCTTTTTTCCAAAGTCTCAACATCTTTTTTGTAACCTGGCCACCAAAACTGGATGCAGTTATTCCAGTTGTGGCCTTACTAAGGCTTTTATAAAACGGTACTAATACTTCACCTGATTTTGATTCTATGGCTCTGTTTATACAGTCAAGGATTGCATTAGCTTTTTTGGCTGCTGGTGCTGCACACTGCTGACGTAAAATGATTTACGTCTTTTCTCTTTCTCAAAGATGTTTTAAAAAGAAGAACAAAACAACAACAAGGAATTAGAAGAAGAAGAAATACCCACATTCTTTTCTGGGAGAACATAGGTATAGTTGAGCGACCACTGTGGACTACATGTCCCACCCCATCAAATTTTAGACATGCTTTCAAGACTGAAGTGAGCCTTTTGAAGCAGGCCAGGTCAAGAATTCCAGGAGTCATATTTATTGTGATAAGGTAGGATAACAGTCTCAAAGCAGACGTTTTATTGTTAGTCATCCACGTGACAAGAATCTTGTCAAGCTGACTGCATTCCCTTGTGAAGGGAGGCTTCAGGGATTCTGGGGAGATCAGGCCTGCCTGTGCTGCTTTCTGCACTGCAAAGACTCTAATCTTGGTCCTTTCTTCACTCTTCCTTCCAGAACCTCGCTGGAGATTCCACTGCACATTGTCCCCCAATATTGGTCTGATCCATCCAGGGGTGGGCTTCAAAAATTTTAGCAAGGGGTTCTGTGTCCGGTTGCTGGGTGGGCGTGGCCATGGTGAGCGTGGCTTAGTCGGTCTCCTGCACCATGGGGAGTGGGCGTTTTTGTCCTCCCCAGGCTCCGGAGGCTTTTCTCGAGTCTCTGGGAGGGCGAAAACAGCCTTCCCAGGCTCCGGAAGCCCTCTAGAGGCCAGAAAAGGTCCCATTTCCGTCCTTTCCGAACTTCCGGTAAGCCTGTTTTTCGCCCTCCCCGAGCCTCCGCGCACACCCTGCACTTATCTACATCCAAAACAGGCCGTATGGGGACTCCTGGGAGGGGCGGGGTAGGCAGAGCCAGCCAGGAGTGGGATTTAGGGGTTCTCCAAACTGCACAGAATCTTAGCTAGAGGTTCTCCCAAACCGCTGCGAACCCCCAGCAGCCCACCCATGGATCCATCCTTCCTTAGCTACATTCCTTTATATTCTGGCACACCGATTTGCCTGCTTTCTCTCCTCCCCAACTCCAGAATTATCTTGCTTGTGGTCCCACCTCTTCTGCCCTCTTCCAGATCGCCTCCCTCTTTTTTTTCCCCCCAACCACACTGCAGAATCTCCAAAACTTTCCCGGATTTTGAAATTTCAAGTTTATGCCCGAAGCGGTACCTACGGGGAATAGGGGTGGGTGCGGGGAGCTATGGTACGTTGCGTTCCGGTCTGCAACACGTCTTGGGGGGTCATCATCACGTAGAACTGACCTGAAGGAGCAACGTTGAGAAGGTATTACGCCACCAAATAAATGACTTAAAAATTGGGGGGGGGGAAAGGGAAAAGGGGACGCCTGCAAGAAAATGTTGCGCTACCAAATGCTTGCATGAAAAGATTTAGCTGTTGGCTTTTTGTCCATCTGACCCCCATCCTCCCACCCTACACCCCCGTTCCCAATTTTCCTCCTTCTCACAATAAATCTGAAGTTTGGCTGCTGAGTATGGTTTGTCCTCACTGGGCTGTTCCTTTATCTCTTCTATTCCCCCACCCCCCAAAAAAATTAAAAATTAAAAGCAGTTTCAAGGAATGGATAGGCTTATACCCTGTGTGTGGCAATATTAAACATATACTGTGTTTCCCCAAAAATAAGACCCTGTCTTATATTTTTTTGAACCCTGAAATAAGCATTTGGCCTTATTTTCGGGGAGGTCTTATTATTTTGGGGCGTGTGGAGCAAGACAGGGTTCCATTTGCTGTCTTACCTGATTTCCATCTCTGACTCCCTAACCAGAGGAAATGGCGGGGACTGGCTGCACATGTGTTTAAATATTTTCAGGAAGGGCTTATTTTTGGGGAGCGGAGGCTTATTTTAGCACATGCACACAGAAGCCCAATTGGGCTTATTATCAGGGGATGTCTTATTTTAGGGGAAACAGGGTAGATTACCACAGGCTGTTTTTATATGTATAGATAAACTATTATATATAATAGTTTTATATATATCAATGTATATATAATATATATATATATAAAAGGGATGCGGTGACTCAGTGGCTAAGATGCTGAGCTTGTCGATCGAAAGGTCGGCAGTTCAGCGGTTCGAATCCCTAGTGCTGCGTAATGGGGTGAGCTCCCGTTACTTGTCCCAGCTTCTGCCAACCTAGCAGTCCGAAAGCACGTAAAAAATGCAAGTAGAAAAAATAGGGACCACCTCTGATGGGAAGGTAATGCTCCATGGAGACATCTTTGGACAGTGCTGGCTCTTCGGCTTTGAAATGGAGATGAGCACCGCCCCCTAGAGTCAGGAACGACTAGCACATATGTGCGAGGGAACCTTTACCTTTACTTATAAACTATTAAACCATTTCTTCAGGCAGGATCTTCATTGATTTTATTTATTTATTTATTTATTTATTTAGTCGCATTTCTATGCAGCCCAACTCCCAAGGGACTTGGGATATGTTGGGATTTGCCAACATAAGGAGCTAAACTGAGCTTGGGCAGTTTATTGAATTTATTTATTTACTTACTTACTTACTTACTTACTTACTTACTTACTTACTTGTGGGATGGACCCACAATCTTAACATGTGGTGTCCATTAGATCAAATCAGATGGTTTATTTGTCTGGGTAAAGCCTGTCCTGTAAACAGAGCAACTGTTTTGTTCATCAGAGTTTTAATCACAGATCACTGTGGCACTGTGATCAATACAGTTTTGACTCCTTTTACATACAATATAACTATAGACCCCTAGCTATAGCATTGAGCTAGTTTGGGCTTCATGGGCCAATGATTGGGGATTGTAGGGGTGGTAGTTCAAGAGACATGGAGGCCATCAAAGCCATCTCAAACAGCTTTCAGAGGTCCCTGATTTCCTACCTCCAGCTTGTGTCAGCGACTGATCGGTTGTCTGTACGGAAACTGCTGTGCCATCTCCCACTGTGGAAGCAGGGAAATATGCAAAACGGGCTTCACCACTAACAGCATCTGTGGCTGGACTCCCACCGTTACTGAAAGGGTTCTGAATCACAGCCTGGAAACAGGAGGAGAGGCATTTGTGGGTCTGTGACAGCAAACCACCCAAAGCAAGATAAACAATACCCGAATCAGGATAAATAATGGATAAAGAGCAAGGGAAGGCTTGAGTCTAGTACTGCACATGAAATAAAACCCTGGCTTTTATTCGTAAGTGGCTATGGGTGACACGAGTGGCAGGCAGGCCAACAGCTGGGGCTAAACATTAGGAGAACTCAATTAAATCAAGACTTCGTGCAGACTAGGAAATCAATAAACGGTCCAGGAATGGATTTACAGAAACAGAGGAAAGTGAGGAGTGTAGATCTGCTGTATGAACTGAAGGTAGGCACTGCCCTCTTGTGTTTAAGAACAGGTAACAGGTTAACAACCGGGAGCGGTGGCTCAGTGGCTAAGATGCTGAGCTCGTCGATCAAAAGGTCGGCAGTTCAGCGGTTCGAATCCCTAGTGCCATGTAACGGGGTGAGCTCCCGTTACTTGTCCCAGCTTCTGCCAACCTAGCAGTTCAAAAGCAGGTAAAAAATGCAAGGAGAAAAATAGGGACCACCTTTGGTGGGAAGGTAACAGTGTTCCGTGCGCCTTTGGCGTTGAGTCATGCCAGCCACATGACCACGGAGACGTCTTCGGACAGCGCTGGCTTTTTGGCTTTGAAACGGAGATGAGCACCGCCCCCTAGAGCTGGGAACGACTAGCACATATGTGCGAGGGAAACCTTTACCTTTTACTAACAGGTTAAAAACAGCCAGTTAGGTGTGGTGATTAAGGCACCAGGCTAGAAAGTGGGAGACGGTGAGTTCTAATCCCGCCTTAGGCACAAAGCTGTCTGGCTGATTTTGTGTCAGTCACTTTCCCTCAGCCCCAGGAAACCGACAACGGCAAACCATGTCTGAAAAATCTTGCCAAAAAAATTTGCATTGCATACCATCTGTTTACAAGGGAGAACTGCTGGAACCGCAATACAGACAAAAGTCATCGAAAATGAAGAAGGCAAAGTGCTCTGGGACTTTAGAATTCAACAGAATTCAGCACCTGCCGAACAACACCATAGACTTAAGAACTCGGTCAGAAGAGAAAGAACTGGAGAAAAATCAGAAAAAATGCAAAGGCCTGCAAATAGAAGTACAACAACTGTAGCAAAAGAATGCAAAGATAGTACCAAAAGCGATAGGGGCCTTGGGTGTGTAACAGCAAAACATTTGGAGCACCACTTGAGCATCACTGGCATTGACAAAAATCACCATTAGTCATTTGCAAAAGGCAGCTTTGTTCAGAACAGCTTACATCCTCTGACGCCATCAAACAACAACATCTGTCTATCCCAGGGCCTTTGGAAGGACTTGACAGGTGGATCAAAATAGCAACTCCAGTCTAAACATCTGGTTAGCCGTGCGACCAATCGTAACAATAACACTAATGCTGGGATTAGTCAAACCATTTCTCACCTGAGCAACAGCTTGCTGGCCACTGGCGAAAGCTGTGGTCGAGACCACGCTAACGGCCCCCGTTGCATCCGTTTGTCCATCCAGCTGACTGTCCGTCACCTGAACGACTCTGTATGTCACCTGGGGAGAAACAGCAGAAGCCATATCACTCCTCTGGCTGAAGTGGGGATTTATGGGGAGGTAACGAGGCGACGTTCAGCCTACTTGAAGATCTCAAAACAATCAAACTCCGCTATGGGATGATTTCTGCAACGAAAAACACTTTTTTTTTTGAAGCGCAATGAAATGAGTCAGAAATGGGAGTGGATTCCCTTAATATAGGCCAGTGATGGTTAACCTTTTTGGTGCCGAGTGCCAAAGTGCACGCACGCACGCGAATGCATGCATGCTCACCCGAACCCCCAAAATGCAATGCGAGCACCCCCCGTGCATGCGCCCCGCCCCATGCATGCACATCCCCTGCGCATGCACCCCTCTATGCCCCGTTTTGGCTTCCAAGTTGGTGCAGGAGGCTTTGGTGCCTGGAAACCAAAACGGGGCATGGGGGGGGGGCTGCACAAGCCCTCCCCCCCGCACCCCATTTTGGGCTTGGAAACCCTCCTGCACCAACCTGGAAGCCAAAAAGGGGCACGGGGGGGGCACACAAGGCCCCCGCAACCCGCGTTGGGCTGGAAAGACTCCTGCACCAACCTGTGAGCCAAAACAAGGCAAGGGGCGCCACACAAGCCCCTCCCCCGCGCCCCATTTTGGGCTTGGAAACCCTCCTGCACCAACCTGGAAGCCAAACAGGGGCTTGGGGGGCACACAAGGCCCCGGCACCCCGCGTTGGGCTGGAGAGACTCCTGCACCAACCTGGAAGCCAAAAAGGGGCACGGGGGGCACACAAGGCCCCCGTACCCCGCGTTGGGCTGGAGAGACTCCTGCACCAACCTGTGAGCCAAAACAGGGCACGGGGTGCCACACGAGCCCCCCCCCCCGCGCCCCAGTTTGGGCCTGGAAAGCCTTCTCCACCAACCTGCACCCCCGTTGCGCATGTGCACACGCGTCCCCCGCATGCGCCCCACTCCCTGCACCTGCGCGGCAAAGACCCGAAGACCAGCTGGCTGGCGGGAGGTGCGCACGCATGCGTGGTAGAGCCGGGCTGGGGCAACGGCTGGTGTGCCCGCAGAGAGGTCTCTGTGTGCCACCTGTGGCACGTGGGCCTTAGGTTCGCCACCACGGATATAGGCGTTCGCCTGCTGTATTCCACCGTCTTCAGACAGCAAGACGGGGGGCGGGGGGGGCAGTCTTTAATCGCTGGAACTCCACCCAAAGTCCAAAATCCAACCTTCTCAAGGTGGACATTACCTGTCCTCCATTGTTCTCTGTTCGAAACTGATACTGGATATTATGGTCTGCAAAGGCTGCTTGCTGGACACTGGCAATGGCCACTGCTGTCTGTTCGTCTGCATTTGTGCCGTCCCCTGGCAGAGAAAGAGATTTCAATGGACAGCTTCATGACCAACGGCCCGGAAAGCTTAACAACATCCAGTGAATTCTAGAGCCCTGGCAAGACAGGAAACCAGGTCTGAAAGGGGGTGGATTTGAGTCAGGGACTTGCAGAAGAATGATGGGGGGCAGGCGGGGGGCTGCTCTTGAGAGTGGAACTCTCACCATCAGCCTCTTTCAAATATCAGCCGTAGCAAGGTTGAATATTCTCAACCTCTTTACATCAGGCTGATCCGGATTGCTATTTAAGGTCCTTGGTTCTCTTCCATCAGGGATGTACAGCTGGGACAGCCAATGGGGCATTTGGAAGAGAAGAAAGTGTACAGGTAGTCCTCTATTTATAACAGTTCATTTATGACTGCATTGGAAAAAAGTTGACTTATGAACCTTTTTTCCCACTTCCGACCATTGCAACGTCCCCATGGCCACCTGAGACGCATGGCAACTCATATTTATGACACTTCGGCTAACCTGATCCCCTTTTTTACAAGCCAAGTCAATGGGAAAGGCAGATTCACTTAATAACCGGGTTACTAACTAGAGCTTTGGTAGTACAGTGGTCTAAAGCACCCTGTTATTAAGACCAGCTGCCTGCAATTACTGCAGGTTCGAATCTCGCCAGGCTCAAGGTTGACTCTGCCTTCCATCCTTTCTAAGGTAGGTGAAATGAGGACCCAGAGAGTGGGGGCAATAAGCTGACTTTGTATAAATATACAAAAGTATGAAGGCTATTGCTTAACGCATTGTAAACTGCCCTGAGTCTCCGGAGAAGGGCGGCATATAAATCATTTTTTTTTAAAAAAGCACCGCAGTGATTCACTTAACCGGCCAAAGAGGTCATAAAATGGGAGGAAAATTCACTTAACCGTCTCGCTTAGCAACAGAAATCTTGGGCTCAGTCGCGGTCTTAAGTCGACGACTAAATTGTCGTTGCTGGCTTTGGAATTCCAGAGAGCTGAGTATGTGACACAAACACTGTGCGAAAATGGATCGCACCCTACCTTTCAAACTGATCTTAGTAGTGTGGTTGTGGGACCAGGGGAAGCAGAAAAAAAAAAAAAAATGCTAGCACAGGTTGTGCTGACTGCCATGGGACGGAAGGCACATTATGCACCTAACACAGAATCCAGAACTGTGCAAAGATCGGTGGGCTACAACTTCCACCAGCCACATCAGTTGGGCCCGATGGGAGCTGTAGTCTGTTCATATCTGCAGAACTCTCTTCTTTGAGACAAGGGACAGTCTTTCTTGCAGATGGATAGTTCCTCCTCTTTCTCCAATTAATATTCAACAGGGAATGTTGTATCCTGCATGTGACAGGCTATTAAAACCAAAGCATGCGAGATTTTGGCTGCAAAATCATCTACAGGTAAGATCCAGACAGAAGGTGAGACAGCTTTGCTCCCCCCCCCCCTTTTTAAGAGTTTATTTATATATTAGGGGACACGGTGGCTCAGTGGCTAAGACGCTGAGCTTGTCGATCGAAAGGTCGGCAGTTCAGCGGTTTGAATCCCTAGTGCCACGTAAACGGGGTGAGCTCCCGTTACTTGTCCCAGGTTCTGCCAACCTAACAGTTCGAAAGCACGTAAAAATGCAAGGAGCCTGGATAGCTCTGCGGACAAGGCACTGTAATTTAACACCAGCTGTCTGCAATTAAAGTAAGTTTGAATCTTGCCAGGCTCAAGGTTGACTCAGCCTTCCATCCTTTCTAAGATAGGTAAATTGAGGACCCAGTTTGTGGGGGCAATAAGCTGACTTTGTATAAATATACAAAAGTATGAAGGCTATTGCTTAACGCACTGTAAGCCACCCTGAGTCTCCGGAGAAGGGCGTCATATAAATCAATTTTTTTTTTAAAAAAAAGTACCATGTAAAAAATGCAAATAAACAATGATTAGTTGGGCAAAAAAATCTCAGACATAATATAGAATTAGAAAAGTGGGATAAATTATGGGAAAGAAATTATAAATTTACAATGGTGGTACCTTATAAAGAAAATTTGTACAAAATGTTCTATAGATGGTATTTGGCACCAGCGAGATTGGCCAAAATGTTTTCAAATCTATCACCCAAATGTTGGAGATGTGGCCATAAATTAGGAACATACTACCACATGTGGTGGATGTGCCCTAAAATAAAAAAATGTTGGTATAAGATTAAGAGCTGGTTGGAGGAAATCACATTACAAAAGATAGAATTCAAACCCGAGGTCTGTCTTTTAGGAATAATAGATCCAAAATTAGAGAAATCTTCACAATATCTAATACTTCACATACTAATGGCAGCAAGGATCATCACTGCACAAGGGTGGAAACAAAATAATATACCACCAGAGGAAATAGTGATTAGGAAAATTTTACAATGTGCAGAAATGGATAAAATGACAATGGAAATTAAGAAAAGAGAAGGTTCGGACTATTATAGAGTGTGGAACAAATTCAATGAATGGATAGAAAAAAGAAATCTAAACAAGAATTAGGAAATTTAAGTTAATAGTGCTGAAATAAAGAACTATATGTTACTAATTATTGTTAACCTTATAGTATTGACTGTGTAAATAAATATAATGTAAATGTATGTATTCAGTAGAACTGAACAAAAATAGACAATATGCATGTCGATACAGAAGGCTGTAAAAATAACATATAATGTATTGTTATGTTTGTCATGTTTTTTACTCTGTTTTTGTCCTTGTTTTTTTTTCTGTTTTTAAAAGTAAAAAGCTTAATAAAAACTATTTTTTAAAAAAATGCAAGTAGAAAAATAGGGACCTTTGGTGGGAAGGTAACAGAGTTCCGTGCGCCTGCCGGCCACATGACCACGGAGAGGTCTTTGGACAGCGCTGACTCTTTGGCTTAGAAACGGAGATGAGCACTGCCCCCTAGAGTCTGGAATGACTAGCACATACGTGAGAGGGGAACCTTTACCTTTACCTTATATATTTTTCTTTAACATATATAAGTGTTTTATGAACAAGTGTATTGTCTGGGTCAATTTGCTTACCTAATAATATATAATATAATAACATATTAAACATAAGGCATACGTAATAGTATTTTTCCAATTTCTAATTTCTACTTCTATTGTCCAGCCATTGATAAAATAAGTCCCAATGTTTGAAAATATTCTTTATCTTTAATACCAACCTATCCATTTCTGCACAATCTAGTATTTTTTTTTTAAATTACATCTTCTTCTATGAGTGGTTCCTCATTTTTCCAGTGTGGTGCACATATATAATTGTTGCTGACATCAAGACATGTAATATTAAATATATATGCTCCCATTTTTATACCCCTGGCTGCAGAAATGCCATCCATGCAACGTGTTAGGGGCATTTCTGGACCGGCCCAGGAATTCTCCTTACCTTCTCGTAGCTCAACTCCATCTTCACTTTCTTGATCTTTCTCGTGGCTGAAACACAAAAGGAAGAAAAAAAGAATTCAGCTCTATTTCCTTCCTGCTAGATATGGGGAAGGGGGGAGAGGTGGTTTCTTTTTAACCCTCGTAGGGACGCGGTGGCTCAGTGACTAAGACGCTGAGCTTGTCAATCGAAAAGTCGGCAATTCAGCGGTTCGAATCCCTAGTGCCACGTATCGGAGTGAGTTCCCGTTACTTGTCCCAGCTTCTGCGAACCTAGCGGTTCAAAAGCACGTAAAAAATGCAAGGAGAAAAATAGGGACCAATTTGGTGGGAAGGTAACAGCATTCTGTGTGCCTTTGGCATTTAGTCATGCCGGCCACATGACCACGGAGACGTCTTTGGACAGCGCTGGCTCTTCAGCTTTGAAACGGAGATGAGCACCACCCCCTAGAGTCGGGAACAACTAGCACATATGTGCAAGGGAAACCTTTACCTTAGGACCAAAATGAGCCAGATAAAAAGTTTTAGCAGCATATAGAATCTCTCCCCCCACCTCACCACCCACACCCCAAATGACTGCCTCCTTTTTAAGGAGTTTTGCAATCAGTTGCAAAAATAAAAGCAACTCAGAAGCTGCAAAACAGATTTGGTTTTGCTGCCCTGTTTTATAGGAATGCAGCATAGTGCACTTAGAATTTTAGCCTCCAGCTCTGGTGTTCACTCACACAGAGAGATTTCAGAAGCCAAAAACGGAGCACTTGGCACAGAAAACAGACCTTGTATGGGCCAGGGTGAGAATTCATGGTAAAATAAACTTCTGGTTTTAAGGTTCCCCACAATGAAACAATGGAAATCCAATGGCCAATGAGAACTTCAAAAGAGAAGATGTTCAAAAGATGCTCAGTTTGGTGGTGGGGGGGGGGGTTCATTGCTTGGGACAATGCAAAGCCAGAATGCACCCACCCACCGCAATGTGCTCCACTGCACACAATAAAACAACGTTGTGTCAAGCAACTGAAATGATGCAGGTTTTCTCCTACTTCCAGAATTGTCATAAAAAGTGCTTTTTTTCAAAAGGCGACTGGACTTTGCTTTTTTCTTGAAGACGTTTCGCTACTCATCTATGAAGCTTCTTCAGTTCTTACTGAATTGTGTGTGTGGGGGGGAGGAGGAATGGAAGGATTTATATATTCCTTGCAGTCTTCTGGTCCTTAGCATACTCTCTGAGACTTACTGAGGCCACTTGGGAGTTTTATCTATGCGCTCAAGAGTGCAAATGGGTGTGGAATCTTCTTGGAACTGCTGAAAAGGACTGTGTTGTAAAAACGGAATCCAAGGTGCTTTTTCAAGAGGCAACTGGTCTGTCTGTTTGTTAGTTTGTTTTGAAGACATTTTGCTTCCCTAAGGTTTGAAAGAGCTGGCTGTTCCCTAGACTTTTGAGTTTAGAGGCAGAACGAGCTCTAATGGCTAATTGGCTTCTTGTTCTTTTCTTTTGTAAATGGAATAATTTTTGCAACCTCAGCCATCTATTATTTAGACTGCTTGGTTGCTATCGTTGGTTGTAGTTATTTCTATGAGATAGGCAGGCATGGAAATCACTTGAGCGAGCACCATTTAAAAAACGGAAAGAAAAAAGGACAATCAATAAAAAAAAAAAAAATACAGGGAATCCTTGCTTAACGACCAGACAAAATTATGACGGTGGCTGAATGAGTGATATTTAGAATTGGTCCTCAAAAGTTCTGCCCGCCGCCCCCTCTCAATGGGGTTGTCCCAGTGGTGAAATGTAAAATTTGTTACTACCGGTTTTGTGGGCGTGGCTTGGTGAGGGGTAATGTGACTGAGTGGGCGTGGCCAACTTTTTTTTTTTTTAAAAACTTTTAAAACCATTTTTTCTACAATCTCTTCGACGGAAGAGGTTGTGAAAAAAAAAAATGATTTTAAAAGCCTGACGATCCCAGCTGAATTGCCTGATCATCAGAGGCTTTTTTTGCCTTTTAAAAACATTTTTTCTACAATCTCTTTGGCCAAAGAGGTGGTAGAAAAAACGCTTTTAAAGGTCTCTGACGATCCCAACTGAGACGCACGATCATCAGAGGCTTTTTTTTTTACTTTTAAAAACATTTTTTCAGCCGAAGAGGTTGTAGAAAAAATGCTTTTAAAAGCCTCTGACGATCCCAGCTGAGCCGCGCAATCATCAGAGGCTTTTTTTTAACTTTTAAAAGCATTTTTTCAGCCAAAGAGGTTGTAGAAAAAATGCTTTTAAAAATAATTTAAAAAAAAGCCTCTGATGATCGCGCAGCTCAGCTGGGCGTGGGGGGGGAGGGGGAGCCAGGGATTTTTGCTACCGGTTCTCTGAACCACCCGCCGCCATCGCTACCGGATTTGGCGATCCGGTCTGAACCGGGAGCATTTCACCCCTGGGTTGTCCCATGCTTGCTTTCCTAACAGTTTTGACTGCATTTGGAAATCCCGGTGTTTATTTATTTGGAAATCTGTGTATCACTTTTGCAGAACAATAGAAGGAATTTCTCTAGTTGAAGAATGGTTTAGAAACCTCCTTTGATGGGACAAAAAAAAAAAACAGTGATGCAAGTATCTCTCATGTGTAAACACTTCATTTTTTTAGCAGTGGTGTGTGTACGTGTTACGTGTGTGGGATCTTTTCTTATTTTGGGTGCCCCTCCTAAACATTTTGTACCTTTAACACCCAAAATTCACTGCAGAGAGAAAGGGGTAACCCCGAAATGTCAGAATGGGCGAGGTTCGTTCACTGTCATTCTTTCTCACCTAAATCTAATTTATTGAGACTTTCCTATTTTCAATTCCCAATATTTATTTATTTATTTATTTATTTATTTATTTATTTATTTATTTATTTATTTATTTATTGGTTCGATTTATATGCCGCCCTTCTCCGGAGACTCAGGGCGGCTTACAATGCGTTAAGCAATAGCCTTCATACTTTTGCATATACCTGCTTAGTAGGGCTTTTGGCCCCCCTAAGCGGTGTTCTTTTTTATACAAAGTCAGCTTATTGCCCCCACAATCCGGGTCCTCATTTTACCTACCTCGGAAGGATGGAAGGCTGAGTCAACCTGAGTCAACCAATGGCGGTTTTAAATCCAGAGCCAGTTCAGCGCCCCATCCCAGCATTAAGAGTACCTGCTGAGTAGCAAGTACTAATAATAGATGACCTTTTCTGCTTTGTCCCTGTTCTACTTTTTGTCAAATCAGGTTGGTTTGGGTTATTTTTTTTTTCAGGGGGTGGGGTGAGGGAAAACATCCCCTCCCCAATATAGTACATCAACAGGGACAGAGAAATGAGAAGCATTCTCTATTGCAGATAGAAAGACTCGGGTTAAGTCCAACCAGGAACAAGAGAAATATGATAAATAATGAAAGGACAATTGGGAGGGGGGGGGGGCAGCCTTGGTAGTACAGTGGTCTAAAGCACCCTGTTATTAAGACCAGCTGCCTGCAATTACTGCAGGTTCGAATCTCGCCAGGCTCAAGGTTGACTCAGCCTTCCATCCTTTCTAAGGTAGGTAAATTGAGGACCCAGTTTGTGGGGGCAATAAGCTGACTTTGTATAAATATACAAAAAGGATGAAGGCTATTGCTTAGCACATTGTAAGTCTCCGGAGAAGGGCGGCATACAAAAATAAAAAATAAAAAAAAAAGAATGAATGAGAGTCAAATGGAAAGAAAAACGAAAAAGTGATTGAAAAGAACCGTCCAATTGGATGGGATTTGGGGAGTGAAATGAACTCAAGCTGTCTGCCTAGCTCGACACACAAAATCCAGAGCATCCCAAAAGGCCTTGCTTCAAAATTCCCACCCCCCCTCAATCTGTACCGCTGCAACTTAAACCGAGCCAATGAACATAACTGTAAAATTCCAGAAGGGTTCAGAGAGAAAGCATGGCTGCAGAGAATTTAATACTCTTGGGCTTTGGGGTTTGTCCACCCCGCCCCCCAAGTTACTAGCCAGAAAAATTCTTTATTGGTCTCTTTGAGGAGTGGCTATCAGAAGAAGATATGGGAGACTAGTATAGATCTGTTTCAAGGTATTTAGCTCTCATCAGCAGGGTGGATTTGATTTCAATCAAGTTGATTTAAATCACAATTTAAATCATGATTTAAATCACTAGTAAAAAGGCTTGATTGAAATCAACTCGATTTAAATCATAATTTTTAAAGAGCAACTGTCATCCCTGCGACTCCTTTGACCCACTGTTGACTCACCGATAGTCCCAGTGTTGCAGAATATACAGCCTCATGCTACATAACTAAGCTCCATTTCATGCTGAATAAACTAAATTATTTATGTATCTTAAATAGAAAACTATCTTACGATAGATTTTTACCCCAAACGTTTTTTATTAAAATAAATTCGATCAAAATCAAAAAAATCCGATTTAAATAAAAAAAAAATCTGATTTTTTTGATTTTTTTAAAAAAAATCATTGATTTTTATCCACCCTGACATATACACTCACACACACACACACATATATCAGGGGTGGTATTCACTTACCTTCGCTACCGGTTCACAAATGTGAGCGGGCACTTCCGCGCATGCTCAGAGCATCAAAAATGTGGATAAATGGGACGTGATTACATCCGGGCGGGTGGGCAGAGCCTCCCGCAGCTGCCACTACCGGTTAGAATCTGCTGAATACCACCACTGATTACATACATACATACATACATAGACATATAGACATATATATATATATTACAAACTATTCTAAAAATACGAGTTCCAGGTATATTAGTAAAAAAAGAAGCAGACATATTGCGAACTCCAGAACTTAAGATTTTAAAATTTTAAAAGAATTAATATTTTATTCTACTAAGCTTTCGTCAGCCATCTGCTGACATCGCCAAAGTATTATTTTATTTATTTATTTATTTATTTATTTATTTATTTATTTATTTATTTTTTATTTATTTATTAAATTTTTATACCGCCCTTCTCCCGAAGGACTCAGGGCGGTGTACAGCCATATTAAAACAACATATACCCCAAGATTTAAAAACAGTTTAAAATATATTAAAAATTTGGCCCTTATATTAAAAACAACAAACACCCAATTAAAATCATTTTCTAAGCCAGCCCTGTAATTACCATTGCAGATTTTTTACACACACACACACACACACACACGTGTATGTTTATGTGTATGTGTATGTGTATGTGTATATTGTATATGTGTTTTTCTATCGAGACACCTGGTCTACCCCAGCGTGTGGGAGGGAGCATACTGCATCCCTTTCGCCTTTCAGCTCCAATCCAGGAGCCCTCAAGCAGTCGCATTCATGACAAACCATTTTATACCAAATGTATATTTCGCTGATAAAGAAATAAAGGGAAAGTGATGAAGGGAGGAGAACTTGTAGCTCAAGAGGTTAATACAACTGCCTAACATGCAGGCAGCCCAAGTTTGAATCCAAGTAAGGGTATGGCTAGCTGATGAGAGCTAAATAGCTTGAAACAGATCTATACTAGTTAGTCTCCCTTTATGTCTTTATCAGCGAAATATAAATTTGATATGTATATGTATATATATATATATACACACACATACACACACATCCATATATATCCATATATATCTATATATATCCATATATATCCATATATATATATATAATATATATACATATATATACATATACATATACATATACATATACATATACATATATATATATATATATATATATCCTTCCATTCCACACTATCCTGTTAAAGCGATGAGAAGCGAAACCTCTTCAAAAGAAAAAACAAGGAAGTCCAGTTGCCTCCTGAAAAGATTTTGGGACAACCATGACCTGGATGACTGAGAATCTCTACAGACGATCAGAAGATCGTCAGACACTGGCTCACCTTCCTACTACTTCTAACCGCTTTAATGATGAAGCAAGTCCATAAAATATCAAGGCTGAATTATTTAGCATTTCAGCATACTCATTCCCCTCCAAGGAATTTTGAACAGCCTGCCTGATTCTGGCACAATCACTTTATTCCGCTTTGGCACCGTATAGGGGCTGAAAAAAGGCAGTGGGGTGTAGTAGTTAAAAGTACTGGACGAGGTGAAGAAGAGATCCAGGGTTCACCCTAGACAACCACAGAGTTGCTATTGTTCAGTTTAGTTTACTTTATTGTCATTGCACCTCGTACAACGAAATTAAATGCCATCTTCAGTGTACACTGTAACTATAAAAATAAAACACAAACACACATCCTTCACATTCTGCACAATTGAATTGAAAACCCTCCGATATTGCATTAATGTTGCACTATACAGTAGAATTCAATATAGTTACTGCTCTTTTTTTCAGCCTATTTGTCCTTGGTTTTATTGTCCTGTACCGTCTGCCAGATGGTAATAGTTCAAAAAAAAAGGGTGCCCAGGATGAGATGGATCTTTAAGAATGTTTTGAACTTTCTTAAGGCAGTGGGGGATATAAAGCTCTTCCAAAGAGGGGAGGGGGCAGCCAATGATCCTCTGGGCAATGACGTTGACCCTCTGGAGCGCTGTCCTATTTGCCACTGTGCAATTGGCAAACCATCCACAGGTGTGGTAAGTTAAAAATACTCTATGGTGCAGTGGTAGGAGGTCACCAGCAGTTTTTCATTCAGTGGTTGTTTCCTGAGAAGTCCCAGGTAGTATAATCTCTGCTGGGCCCTTTTGACCAGTGCTGCAATGTGAGCGCCCCAGGACAGGTCCTCTTTTATGATAACACTCAGACGGGGTGGGACGGACAGGGAGGGGGAGAAATAGATGAAAGCAGCACACAGCTGCTTTGAGCTCCTGAGTGAAAAGCAGAATATAAATCTAAGAAGTGGTGGTTGTTGGCCGGAAAGGAGCGTCACCGGGCTTTCTCATTGCTTTGTCAGCACCTGTTGTGTGATGTGAGAATTACCTCTCTGTCCCAGATCTGGAGGAATGATCTGAACCAAAACTGGATTAAGTGCATTGTGCAAGCCAGCCAGGTTACATTTACAGGGTTAAGAAGAGAGAAAAGTACCGCTTCAAACTGCCTGATCTGCACTCAGCCCACATCACACCCCCGCCCTATTCAGGCCATCGGTTTCACTCTGGTTTCCTCCCACCCAAATCTCCTTTCCTTTCTGCAACCACTTGCCCTGACTGACAAACAGCCCTTGCGGAAAGGAAGCACACAGAGGGTTGCTCTTTCCATCTGCCTAACAACCCCACGAGGTAGGCCAGACGGAGAAAACATGGATAGCACCAAAGTGCTTTTTTAGGAAGCAACTGGACTTTTTTTTTTTTTTTTTTCCTTTTGAAGACGTTTCGCTTCTCATCCAAGAAGCTTCTTCAGCTCTGACAAGAGAGCGAGGAATGGAAGGATTTATATTCCTGGCAAACAACTGGTCCTTTGCATCCTTTTAGAGGGCCTTTGAAGGTTTATCTGTGTCCTCAGGGTCACCTGAGTGGTGCTCCTGGTTCAACCACCCTCTAAAAGGATGCAAAATGACCAGCTGTCTGCCAGGAATATACATCCTTCCATTCCCCACACCATCCAGTGACAGCCGAAGAAGCTTTTTGGATGAGAAGCAAAACGTCTTCAAAAAGGAAAGGAAGGAAGGAAGGAAGGAAGGAAGGAGGGAAGGAAGGAAGGAAGGAAGGAAGGAGAGAGGAAGGAAGGAAGGAAGGAAGGAAGGAAGGAGAAAGAAAGAAAGGAAGGAAGGAAGGAAGGAGAAAGAGAAAGGAAGGAAGGAAGGAAGGAAGGAAGGAAGGAAGGAAGGAAGGAAGGAGAAAGAAAGGAAGGAAGGAAGGAAGGAAGGAGAAAGGAAAGAAGGAAGGAAGGAAGGAAGGAAGGAGAAAGGAAAGAAGGAAGGAAGGAGAAAGAAAGGAAGGAAGGAAGGAAGGAAGGAGAAAGGAAAGAAGGAAGGAAGGAAGGAAGGAAGGAAGGAGAAAGAAAGGAAGGAAGGAAGGAAGGAGAGAGAAAGAAAGGAAGGAAGGAAGGAGAAAGAAAGAAAGAAAAAGAAAGAAGGAAGGAAGGAGAGAGAAAGAAAGAAAGAAAGAAAGAAAGGAAGGAAGGAGAAAGAAAGAAAGAAAGAAAAAGAAAAGAAAGAAAGAAAGAAAGAAAGAAAGAAAGAAAGAAAGAAAGTCCAGTTGCCCCCAGAAAAAGCACCTTTGGGATAACCCTAACCTGGATGACTGAGAATCTCCACAGACACGAGAACCACAAGGTCAGCCAAAGAGAACACAAATCCCTGATCCGAGTCTAGAATCCCTGATCCGAGTCTAGAACCCGGGCTTTGTTTTAAAGGCCCCTTGGAGGTCCGGTTGTTGCCTCCCCTTCCCCCCCCCCCTCCGAGGACTTTCCCATCCCTGTTTGACAGCAGGGATCTGGGTGTGGGGCTGTCCTTCCCCACCCCCCTCCCCCCTTGACGGCCGCCAACCAATCTCTGCGTGGCTGCCCTTTTCCAGTGTGACAGCAAACACCGGACACCCAAACCGACGGCTGCCTTTTATTTATTTATTTATTTATTTTTCCTTTCCTCCTCCTCCTCTCCTCCTCCTCCCTTTCCGGATCGCCCCAGACATTTCCTATCTCGGACCGACCTGGGGTGGGGTGGGGGTGAAAACAAATCCCCCCCTCCACGCGTCTTCCCCCCACCCCACCCCAGCCTTTTTCCCAACCCTTCGGCCAACGCAGACCCCCCCCCTCCCCAGCAAGCAAGCAAGCAAGCTACCTAGCCAGTCACTGGGAAGGATGGGAGTTGTAGTCCCATCCAAGCCCACCCACCCATTCCATGCCTGGAAAGCCAAGTTAAGGGTAGGACCCCCCCCCTCCACCAGCCCGGGCGAGCATAATTTGGACAGCCAAGCCTTTAGAGACCGCCGTCCCGTTTTGTTTCCTCCTACCTACCCGGGCAGCTCTGCGTTCTCACGACCCCCGGAGACCCTCCCTTCCCTCCCTCTCTCTCCCCCACCCCCGGGGCAGAAAGAAGAGGGGTCGCCCGATCGTCCGCCGTGTCCTCCATTTTGTTCTTCCTCCCCCCTCTCCCTCTCCCCGGTCGCCTCCTCCTCCTCCTCCTCCTCCTCCACCACCGCAGGGAGCAGGCGAGGCGGTGGATCCTCGCTGGCTCTCCCTTCCCTCCCCCACACTCTCCGTAGGCCCGAGAGGCCGGAAAGCCCGGGATCCCCGCCGAAGAAAAAGCCAGGGAGGGGTGTTTTTTTTTGGGGGGGGGAAGGGGCTTACCTGGAAGCAGCGGAGGCGGTGGCTGTATCCAGACCGGGTTCCAGCATGTCCATGGGGTGGGGGGGGGGGAGAGGGAGAGGGGAGGGAGGGGAAGAGGGAGGGGGGAAGGGAGGGGGGGGCGCCCCGCTGGCCCCAAAAAGGACGGGTGGGGGGGGGGGGAAGGGAAGCAGGAGAAGGAGGGGGACGAGTGTTTTTAAATCTCACGCCGGATGGAGGTAGAGGGGACGCGGAGGAGACACGGGAGCCGAGGCGCTGATCACGGGGACAAACACTCGGGTCATGTGAGAAGGAAAGAGCGAGCGAGCGAGCAGCGAGAGCGCTTCTCTTCCCCTCCCCTCCCTTCCTTCTTTTCCCCAGCTGGGAGCCCGGGACACGTGAGGGGGGAAGAGCGTGGGAAACAGCAGCAGGAGGAAAAAGGAAGACCGGGAGCCGGGCCGCTTCTCTCTCTCTCTTTCTCGCCCGATGGAACGTCGGCGGCCTGCTTTGGAACGTCGGCGGGCGGATGGAACGTTGCAGCAACACGGAGCGGGAGGGGGAGGGGATAGAACGTTGCGACGATCGGGGCGGGGGAGAAAGGGGAGGGGTGGCAGGGAGGGAGGAAAAAAAAAAAAAAAACCAACCAACAACACAAATGGAACGTTGCAACCTCGCGGATGGAACGCGGCGAAGGTTCGATCGAACGTTGCGGCGACAAGCGGCGCCGCGGGGGGTGCGCTTGTGGGTTGTTTTTTTTTTTTTTTTTTTTCCTGTGTGTGTGTGTGTGAATTTTTTTTTTTTTTTTTTTTTTACATCGCCGGAAAGAGAACTGGGCTGCCGAGAGGGAGGGAGAAGAGAACGAGAGCCGAGGGAGGGAGGGGGAAGGGAAGGAGTAGCCGAGCGTGCTTCGGCTTTGCGCTCGGTTTTTCTCGCTTCCTCCTTCCTTCCTTGGGGGTTCCCCAGGGCGCATGCGCGGGTGCTCAAGGGCATCGGCTTCTAAGAAGGAATATGTAGTCGGAGAGGGGGGGGTTGGGGTGGAGGTTGAGCTCATAGGAAGCGGGAATCTCCCTTACGCGCCCCTCCCCCTCTCTCTATATATTATAGTATATATACATATTAGTATATTATACTGGCTTAAGAAGAAATTTTAAATGTTTTAATTGCTTTTGTATTTTTAATTTTGGGCCAAATTTATATATATTTTAATTGTTTTTTAATATTTGTATTTTATGTTTTTTTAATTCTGGCTGTACACCGCCCTGAGTCCTCAGGGAGAAGGGCGGTATATAAATTCAAAATAAATAAATAAATAATTATATTAATAATTATATTAATATAATTATATATTATATAATATATATCCTAATATATACACACATATATATATATCTATTAGGAAGGCCTTCCTTGGGTGTTTATTTTTCAGCCCGTTGGCGACGAGGTTTTGTATTTTTCAAGCGCGCAATTGCAACGCGACAGTACTTGGGCGAGCAACCTTTGGAGGCGAAAGTCGTCCCCTCTTTAGGGAGCTGTAGTAACATTTGCAACCAGGCGTCGCAGCAAGGGATTGCCGAACTAGGACTCGGGGAAGTCGGCCTTGGGGCTGGGCTCGGGCCGAGAGGCTGGGCTGACGCAAACAAACAAACAAACAAAAAACCCCCAAAACGACCCGAAAGGAAATTAAAGCGAATTAAATAGTCTTGCAGGCGTGGCGCGAACGGGGGGACGGGAGCGAAGGTCTCTGAGCCGAGTCTCTCTGCCAAGGTCGTTCAAATTCGGTGAGGGAAAAAAGCGAGCAGATTCTAGAGGGGGAAAAAAAGTGGAATTGTGTGTTTTGAGTGTATGTGAGAGAGAGAGAAGGAGATGGGGGAAGGAGAGGAGGAGAGAAAGAGGGAGAGAATATAAATGCACCCTATAATTTTGGCAAAAAAGGGGGAATTGTGTATTTTGTGTGAGAAAAGAGGGGAGGAGAGAGAGAAGGATGGAGGGAGGGGGGAAAGAATATGAATGCACACTCATTTTGGCAAAAAAAGGGGGATTGTATATTTTGTGAGAGAGAGAAGAGGGAAGGTGAGAGAGGGAGGGAAAGAATATGAATGCACACTATAATTTTGGCAAAAGGGATTGTGTATTTTGTGTGAGAGAAAAGAGGGAAGGAGAGAGGAGAGAAAGGGAAGGTGAGAAGGAGGGAGAGAATATGAATGCACTATAATTTGGGCAAAAAGTAGAATAGTGTATTTTGTGTGGGAAAAAGAAAGAAGAGGGAAGGAGAGAATATGAATGCACATTGTATAATTTTGGTAAAAAAGGTGGAATTTGTATGTTGTGTGAATGTGAGAGAGGAGAGGGAAGGCGAGAGAAGGGGAAGGAGAGGGAGGGAGAATATAAATGCACACTATAATTTTGGCAGAAAAGGTGGAATTGAGTATTTTGTGTGTATGTGAGAGAGGAGAGGGAAGGGGAGAGAAAGGGGGAGGGAGAGAATATAAATGCACTATAGTTTTGGCAAAAAGTAGAATTGTGTATTTTTGTGCGGGGGAAAAGAAAGGAAGGAGAAGGGGGAAGGAGAGAAGGAGGGAGAGAATATGAATGCACACTATAATTTTGGCAAAAAGTAGAATAGTGTATTTTGTGTGGGAAAAAGAAGGGAAGGAGAGAGAAGGAGGGAGAATATGAATGCACATTGTATAATTTTGGTAAAAAAAGGTGGAATTGTGTATGTTGTGTGAATGTGAGAGAGGAGAGGGAAGGGGAGAGAAGGGGAAGGGGAGAGGGAGGGAGAGAATATGAATGCACTATAATTTTGGCAAAAAGTAGAATTGTGTATTTTGTGTGAGAAAGAAAGGAAAGGTAGGGGGAAGGAGGGAGAGATGAATGCACACTGTATAATTTTGGTAAAAAAGGTAGAATTGTGTATTTTGTGTGAGAGATAGACATGAGACAGAAAGAAGAGAGGGAGGGAGAGGAGAGAAAGAGGGAGGGAGAAGGAGAGAGAGAATAGAAATGCTCACTGTATAATTTTGGATGCTTGAAGGAAAAGGGTGCTAGATGCCATTTTGTAAGGGAAGAAACGGGGCCATAACAGGCAAAGTCCCAGTGAGTGTGTTTACACAATGTGCCAAACCCAATATGGCTTAATGCAAGGTGGAATCAGACTTCTATAGCGCCTTAGACAAGCCAGGATGAAAACAAGCCACGGGGCGGTTTCGTGTTTGAAATTTCAGCTCTTGTTCCTTTTTTTTTTTTTTTTTTTTTTTACCCACTGCTAATGATAGTAACACCCGCCAACGGTTTTTTAAAATTCAAACTGGCTGGTTCTTTGAACCTTTGTTAATCAGCAACAAGATTACATGAATATAAATTGACTGTGACATAAGTTATTGCGCTTTTCAGAAAGTTTACATATACTGCACAAATGATATTAAACCTGAAATATTGATAGGTATTGCATCAAAAAAATTCACGAGTGGACAAAAAAAAAAAGGAACAAACTTCTGAATTTATCCATTGAGTTCAGTGGAGTGTTTGTAAATGCTGACAGCTTAGGTTGCCTAAATATAACGAATAAATGTTATTCGTTTCTTTCTTGCAAAGGGGCTAGGATTAAAATCTCATGTCTGGAAAAAAAATGCCTGCCATGGATATAATTGATTGGTTGAATGACACCTGTTAAAAACAGAAACAGAATAACAGTTGGAAGGGACCTTGGAGGTCTTCTAGACCAAGGGTCTCCAACCTTGGCAACTTTAAGACTTGTGGACTTCAACTCCCAGAATTCCTCAACCAGTTGGTTCAGGAATTCTGGGAGTTGAAGTCCACAAATCTTAAAGCAAAGCTGGCTGAGGAATTCTGGGAGTTGAAGTCCACAAGTCTTAAAGCTGCTAAGGTTGGAGATCCCTGTTCTAGTCCAACCCCCTGCTCAGGCAGGAAACCCTACATCATTTCAGACAAATGGTTATCCAATCTCCTCTTAAAAACTTCCAGTATTGGAGCATTTACAAATTCTGGAGGCAAGTTGTTCCATGATTAATTGTTCTAACTGTCAGGAATTTTCTCCTTAGTTCTAGGTTGCTTCTCTCCTTGATTAGTTTCCACCCATTGCTTCTTGTCCTGCCCTCAGGTGCTTTGGAGAAGAGCTTGACTCCCTCTTCTTTGTGGCAACCCCTGGATATTGGAAGACTGCTAATATGTCTCTCCCGGTCCTTCTTTTCATTAAACTAGAGATACCCAGTTCCTGCAGCCGTTCTTTATATGTTTTAGCCTCCAGTCCCCTAATCATCTTTGTTGCCCTTCTCTGCACTCTTTCTAGAGTCTCCACATCTTTTTTACATTGTGACGATGTAAAATTTTACATCGTGTTGATGTTGTGATTATAGAATGGCTAAAAAAATTTGCAGAGGCAACTCTTAAACATCGATCAATAAAACTTAACTCCGAGAAGGGCAGGGAGTCAAAACAAGTGGATATAATTGATTATTGAGGTAGAGTCTGGACAACTGAATGGAGCTGAGTGTTTACTGGCCAGATGCTCTTCCCGTCGCCAATGCGGAGGGTTTTTTTTTTTTTTTTGCTTTTTGCAGCAGATATATTCTTTTTGTGCCCAGAGAGAGAAATATCTGCCTCTACACCTAGGATCGAACTCACAGCCTCCTGATGGTGAGGCGAGAGCTCCACCTCTAGGCCACGGCACCGCTCCGAAGGTGGACCCACTTTGCATGCCTTAAAATTCTCATCCCAAAAGCTCCACAGCATAGAAGGCAGTCTTTTTTTTTTAATTATTATTCCAAATAACTGGGATATAGATTGCAAGTTTAAGGTTTGTTCCCTTTGCAGAAACATTTGGTAAGTACAATGGCGGATTGATATTAAACTCGTAAGCTTTTAGCTTTCAAAAAACCCCAAAAACCCAGAGTTGAACTTGGTACCCCAACAATTATGGAGGATATTTCTCAAACCCTATCATTCCCTGTTGTATAAAATTTAAAACAAAAATCCACTTTTTAAGTATGAACGTTGGGATGCTAAAATGCTCCGTGCTGTGTAGGGTTCATAAACTGAAGGCTGATTGGCTGCATGGAAGTTGAATTGGGGAGACCGATGGGGGCAGGTTTGTTGTCCTGCAGGAGAAAAGATGGCTCGGCGGGCGCGGCCATGCATGGCACACTGGTGATCACCATGATATCTGGCCGCAACGGGGAGCTGGTTTCTTGCGGGGTCGGTAGCCCTGCCGCACCAGGGAGGGAGGCTTTGCTGGCGTAGCTGAGCGCCAGCTGCTCCAACCGTCTCTTCTTGAAGAAAGCCTGGGTGGTGGCATGCAGTGGTTGGAGAAGACGAGGAATGGGCTGTCCCGGGTGTAAGAAGAAATCAAAGCCGGAACAATCGGCAGGGTCGTAGGCCAACTGGCGGGACCCTTCATTCTCACCTGGCCAGGCGAAAGGGAAAGGGAGCGTAAAATCTTCGGTCAGTACCCGGATGGCAAAATCGTCTTCTTTCCCAAATTCCTTGTAGGCCCTTTGGATGCTGTGGAAATGCTCTTCCCATTTTTTCATGTCTCCGTCATAGATATCCGGAAAGGAACCCGGAAGGGTCTGAAAGAGCCTGGAGAGTGTGGGGCCAGCTGGACAACCGGACAAGCTGTAGATGACTCCGGTTGGAGTGCTGGGCGAAGCTGTCGGGTTGAAGACGGGTGGCGGCTGGAGGGAGCTCACCGTTGGGGGAAGCAGGAAGTCTTGTGAGCTGCTTCCTAGTTCTCCTCCAGACTTGGATCCGCTCCCTGTCGTGGGAAGGGGCTTTCCCTGTTGCAGGGAAGCCAGGGGACCTGAAATCCCTCCATCGCCTAGGTGGAACATAAGAGAAAGACAGCAAAGTTAGGGCTAAATTTCAGCTAACCCACTTGTTAGAAGTTCTCTGAGGTTCTTCGAAGAAGACAATAGGATAGCACTTAGACTTATATGCCGCTTCACAGTGCTTTTACAGCCCTCTCTAAGCAGTTTACAGAGTCAGCCTATTGCCCCCAACATTTTGGATTCTCATTTTACCAACCTCGGAAGGATGGAAGGCTGAGTCAACCTTGAGCCTATGAGGATTGAACTCTTGATAATGGGCAGAGTTAACCTACAATGCTGCATTCTCACCACTGCACCACAAGAGCTATTTATAAGATTAAAAGGAGGCAAAAGGGAGAGGAGGAGGAGGGTGTGGAGAGCAATAGCACTTAGACTTATATACCGCTTCACAGTGCTTTACAGCCCTCTCTAAGCAGTTTACAGAGTCGGCCTATGGCCCCCAACAATCTGGGTCCTCATTTTACCCACCTCGGAAGGATGGAAGACTGAGTCAACCTTGAACCAGAGATATTTGAACTGCCGAACTGCAGCTAGCAGTCAGCTGAAGTAGCCTGCAGTATTGGACTCTAACCACTGTGCCACCCTGGCTCACCACAGTAAATAGTCCCTCCCAAATATTTCTCTTGTGATGTTCTGTGCACCTTTGGCATTTAGTCATGCCGGCCACATTACCACGGAGATGTCTTTGGACAGTGCTGGATCTTTAGCTTTGAAACGGAGATGAGCACCGCCCCCTAGAGTCGGGAACGAATAGCGCATATGTGCAAGGGGAACCTTTACCTTTACTTATCAAAATGAAGAAATCTTTACAATAGTGTTAACACAGTTTTATCCCTTCCAAAGAAAAACTCCAGAGAGAAGGAAAATCATATAATTTAACAAGGATTTTCCAAAATGAATTCCGTCAATTATTTCTCCCTCCCTTGCTTTGACTTTTATTTTGGTTTTTTTCCCTATTTTTTTTAAATAGACTATTTTTCAGGTCTCATTTCAATATCTTTGATCAATTTTATTTAAAATGCAATACATACGACGTAGTACGTAACAACCCCACCCCCCCTAAAAAAAAAGAAACCTCAGAGAGCTGAAGAGGAACATCTAATGATTCATTAATATTGTAGGCAGGTGACGTTTTCAGCTTACTGTATTTTTGGAGACACTTTTAAGGGGCAAAATAGTTTTGTACAGAGGGTTACAAAATCTATTTTGCTTGTTCTTGGAGGAAGAGTTTCATTGAACGTTTATGGTTTTGCCATGAAATTTTGGTGGCACATTCTGGACATTTTAAGTGTTGTAAAAAAAAGAAAAGGGTATATATATATATATATATATATATATGTATTACAAATTGCTCACTCCTTTAAATTTCGCTAGTAAATCAAACAGCAGCAACCAAGGACCTTTAAGGAGACGAGAGAGAATATGGCTATGGTAATAAAACAATGGATGGAGAAACAACCAAGAGTCTTAAGAAATTATGATTTCTTGCTAGGAAGATTGGCATATATAAGTGGATAATAATCCATAAGTGGATGAATCTCTGCAAAGATGATTATCTAAGTCAAACTTAGTTCAGATTTAGAGCCACACCCATCTGTGTTACTTCCTGGGTGACCTTACGATAAGGGATTGGCCAAATTATAGGGTTGCTGTAGAGAAAATATCAAAGAAACTACCACACAATCTTCCTTGAGCTCTTCAAAAAGTTTGGGTATATGTGTTAAGAACGCTATGCATGATTTTCAGGCCAGCACTTATAAGAATGGAATAGAGCCGTGATGGCGAACCTACCAGAGGGGGCACACAGTGCCCTCTCTGATGGTAGAGGCACCGTCGCCCCAGTTCAGCTCTGCCGCACAAGTGCATGTGCCTCCCTCTGGCCAGCTGGTCTTCGGGTCGCTGCCATGCATGTGCGGGGGCCGGGGCATGTGTGGGGGGCTTGTGTGCATGCCCAGGGGGTGGGCTGTGGGGGCAGGGCATGTGCAGGGGGCTGTGTGAGCATGCATGAGGGGCAGAGTGAACATGTGAGGGCCATGTGCGCATTGTGTTTTGTGGGTTTGGGTGTGCGCGCGCACACGCTTTGGGCACTCGGTCCAGAAAAGGTTAGCCATCACTGGAATAGAGTTATTGATAGCAATACCAATAGCACTTAGACTTATATACCGCTTCAAAGTGCTTTACAGCCCTCTCTAAGCGGTTGACAGAGTCAGCTTATTGCCCCCAACAATTTCAGGTCCTCATTTTACCCACCTCAGAAGGATGGAAGGCTGAGTCAACCCTGAGCCTGGTGAGATTTGAACTGCTAAATTGCAGGCAGCCAGCAGGCAGCAGAATTAGCCTGCAGTACTGCACTCTAACCACTGCGCCACCGTGGCTCAATAGTTCCTAGTTAGCATCCAGGGGAGGAAGTCCGATCCTGTTCTCTAATTGACACTGCCGAGAACTCTAGCTGCCACACTCAATTGTGACTGTTGCAATTGGACATCAGATGGGCCACCTTGTAGGGGATGAGATTTGGTCCTGCATCAGCCAGTTGCTAAGGCCTACCCTATGCTCGCCATTTGGCCTACTCTAAGGCCTGTTGAGTTTTTCCTTCTTTAGTCCCTGCAAAGCTCTTCACCTGGAGGATAGGATGGACTATCCAAAGTCTCTGTCCCTAAAGAAGCCATGGTCACACCTGGGAAGTTGATATGAAAGGGGTGGAGGGCCCATTGTTGACTGCCGTTTCCTAGGAAACTACAATGGCTTTCTGATGACATCACAGCCGATCAAAGGGGAAACAATGTGATGCAAATAATCAGAACTGAATGGGGCACTAGATGTTTTTTTGTCGAGGGAATGTATTGGGAAATCGATCCGTGGTCATGTTTCTACAATCTGTTAATCCTGGATATCAAAATCATGCAATGCATGGGATCCTAAATCCCAACCAACCAGGTTTGTACAACGTGCTAGATTACAAAACCCTTAAACCAACCCAGGTTAGCACTAACGAAGCTTAACATGTTAATGTGTGTATTTTCTAGGGCTTTACTTGATTTGATTAAAAGTTCTGTGCACAGCCATTCAAACCTGTCTAAGATCAAGCCACGATTCACAGTATGTGAGTCAGTTGTCAAGCATTCTGAATGTAAATCACATGACTATGGAGATGCTGCAATGGTCATTAGTGTGAAAAACGGTCATAAATCACTTTTTTCAGTCCCCTTGTAAAGGTGAACGGTCACTAAATGAACTGTTATAAGTTGAGGACTACCTGTACAGCAACTTTGCCCAACTTGAGTGCTTTCCAGATGTGCCAAATTCTTCCACCAGTACGGCCGTTGCAGAAGATTTTCCAAGTCTGCAAATCTGGAAGAAATGGTGGGAAAAGCTGAGCTAGAAATTAAAGGGGAGAGGTAGTCCCAGCCATCAGATTTCTTTGACATCAACTTAAGGATCTCAACAAGAATTACTGGCGTCTTAACAATTCTGGCGTTGTAGATGTTTGATTGAGTGTTTTTGCAGTCTTTTGCTTTATCCACTAGGTGGCAGCAAAACCCAATAGTTTGCCTTTTCCAAAATTCAAAGTGGACTATAGATGAACTGTTTACAATACTTTGTCTGCAAGGTGTGTTCATTGTTATTTACTTTCTACATCCTATAGGAGCAAAAGAGACAGATCCTTCAGCTAATAACTGTAAATAAAATATGCTTCAAATAAAAATAAATGGCAAACCCACTTTCTTCTGACTGGTTTTCTTGTGGAAAAAAATAATGTAAAGGTTGATAACATTGTACTATATAATAATATATACTATTAAAAGGTAAAGGTTCCCCTCGCACATATGTGCTAGTCATTCCCGACTGTAGGGGGCGGTGCTCATCTCCATTTCAAAGCTGAAGAGCCAGCATTGTCTGAAGACGTCTCCGTGGTCATGTGGCCGGCATGACAACGCCAAAGGCGCACGGAACGCTGTTACCTTCCCACCAAAGGTGGTCCCTATTTTTCTACTTGCATTTTTTACATGCTTTCGAACTGCTAGGTTGGCAGAAACTGGGACAAGGAACGGGAGCTCACCCCGTTACGCGGCACTAGGGATTCGAACTGCTGAACTGCTGACCTTTCGATCAACAAACTCAGCATCTTAGCCACTGAGCCACATCATCCCAATATATACTATTATATAACAATAAAATGAGTGAAACACATAATTATTCATTTAATGATCTAAAGCACCATGATAACTCTTGCCTTTGCCATTGGACTGAATCACATGAGGGTAGCCGAAAATTAAAAGTTTGCCCCATCAGTCACTCAACTCCATGAGATGTTTGGGTGTTCTATCTGTAACTGAATTAACTGATTTTTATCCTAGATTGACTCATAAAGGTAGTTCCAGAGATTGGCTATGTGCAAGAGGCTAAGCTGCCGAAACCAAGCAAACAAGTTGAAAATATGCTGAACGCAGCTCACGAGGCCAAATGAGACACCAAACCTTTCACTCGAGGAAGCCTGTCGTGTGAATGCAACTGAGGCTTGCCTGTGGAATCACAAGGGCTCATTTTCTGCTCTCTGAAATAGAGACCCATGGAGGGTTGCCTGCTTTCTATGGGCTACTTGTCAGGTGTTTCAGATTTCTAGCCATTGTCCTAGTACCATGATGGTGAACTTATGGCACGCGTGCCACAGGTGGTGTTGTGGCCCACCAGCGGCCTGCGTGGATTGTGGCTGATCCCGACGAGGAGGCTGGTGTGCGGTCGCGCCAGCAGCTTGCGCAGCCGGCGCTCGCGTCGGACAGCGAGGAGGCTGAAGAGGATGTGCCAGAGGCAGAGACTCAGCCTGGGCCTTCAGAACCTCCAGAGGCTCCTTCAAGTGGAGAGAGCGAAGTGGAGGAGCCTCTCCTCAATGCTCGAGCACGCAGGGCTGCCAAAAGGCAGGAGTGGCTACTGAGGAGGAGAAGGTCTCCTCAAGAGTAAAGTTTGAGGATAATTGGCCACTCCCTTAGCCTATTTAAGTCACACACAGTAATTTCTTGCTGGAAACAACGTGTAATTATTACAGAGCATTTTGGAGAGTGAGTGTCTTATCGTATCTTGTTTTCTGGGCTGGTTGCCAACCTTTGCCGGACTTTGTTTATTCTTGGTATTCTTGATTGTGTGTCACAATCCTTGGGAATCCGGAGCTGGGGCAGAACAGGTGGCATGCAGAGCCATCTCTGCGGGCACACGAGCCATCGCCCTAGGTCAGCTCCACTATGCATGCGTGCATGCCTCCTGCCAGCCAGCTGACTTTTGGGTCTCTGCCGTGCATTCAGGAGACATGCGTGCATACATGGGGGTAGGCGGGACGCGCGTGCATGCCTCAAAATCAGTGGTGGGATTCAGCCAGTTTGCACCACTTCGGGAGAACCAGTTGTTAACTTTCTGAGCAGTTTGGCACACTGGTTGTTGGAAGAAATCATTAGGGCAGAGAACCGGTTGTTAATTACCTGAATCCCACCACTGCCCCCAAGCCTCATTTTTCGTCCCAGGAGGCTTCAGGGAGGCCTGCCACATACAAAGCGGGGCATGGGGGGAGTGCGGCATGCCTCCCCACCCCGTTTGGGCCTAACAGCCCTCCCTGAAGCCTCCTTGGACCAAAAGTGGGTGTGGGGGGGCATGCACATGTGCAGGGGAGTGGGGCGTCCAGGGGGGCACTGTCAGACTTCGATGCTATCTCAAAATAAATGAATTTCCAAACTGCCAATCTTTAAGGAAATCTTTTCTTTATTCAAGCACAGCAACCGGATCATGACTCGATGTGGACAAGACTGACCTTTTGCCCTCCAATCCCTCCCTTTCCGATCCCCAGTTCTCTGCTTCTCATTAGCTATCTTCCAAGTCACTTTCCAAACTTCTTGTCTCGTCATTTCGCAGGAATGTCTCCCCCCTTCTCATTTCCACGACAACCGGGCTTCAAAGGGATTTAGCAGGCAAAAGTTCAGAGCTTATCTCTCCTCTCTATGCCAGCTCATTATGGGTGTGGGCACATGGACACGTGCTGGCACGCGTGCACACATGCTTTCGGCACCCGAGGAAAAAAAGATTAGCCATCACTGTCCTAGTAGGATAATATTTGGTGCTTCGTGTCACTCAAGATTCCAAACAAGGTCTGGGCCAAGCAGAGTTTCTGATCTTGCTTTTCTCTTAACAAGTTGTGTTTTTTTTTTTTTTAAATTCCACAGGACACATTCCAACTCCTTTTCATTTGCAATATTGAGTACCTCACCATCAACAACCAAAAGTGAATAAAAAAACAAGCACTGGATAAAAATAATTACCTACTGTGGTCGAAACCAAGTTTAATGTTAAACTGAGAAAGTGAACGAGAGACACAGAGATTTTTAAAGATGTGTAGTTCAGAAATCCCATTTCAGGTTGTCACTAAAAGTTGATCGTCTGTTCATTTTCATCTCTTATTTTATTTATTTATTTCAGGGGTCGGCAACCTTAAACACTCAGAGAGCCATTTGGACCAGTTTCGCACAGAAAAGAAAACACCGGGAGCCACAAAACTCTTCTCATGCCTGACTATTTCCTGAGCATAAAGATTCTATTTTCTTCTGAAACTTTTCTTTTCTTGGATTTATCCATGGTTGGCCTACTGGGGGTCGAAAAGCTCAATAAATTGTGTACCAGCAGGTGTTGCACATTGGCAGTTGTGACACACATTTTGAGCGACAGGGAGCCGCAGCAGAGGGATGAAAGAGCCACATGCAGCTCCAGAGCCGTGGGTTGCTGACTCCTGATTTATTTGTTTACTTATTTATTTATTTATTAGTTAGTTAGTTTGTCAAACATGTACAAGGTAGCTGGTATAAATATGAACATGGACGTGACTGAAGGAAATGAGGACAAATAAATGAAGACAGTGGGACAGGGATGGTAGGCACACTGGTACGCTTATGCGTGCCCCCTTTATGGACCTCTTAGGAATGGGGTGCGGTCCACGATAGTCAGTTTAAGGTTGAAGCTGTGGGGGTTAAAGGATATAACAATGGACTTGGGTAGAGCATACCAGGCGTTGACCACTCTGTTGCTGAAGTCGTATTTTCTGCAATCGAGTTTGGAGCAGTTTACCTTGAGTTTGTATCGACTGTTTGCCCGTGTATTATTGAGATCGAAGCTGAAGAAGTCGTTGACAGGTAAGACGTTGTAGCAAACAATTTTGTGTACTATGCTTAGATCAGACCGAAGGCGGCCCAATTCCAGATTGTCCAAGCCCAAAATTTCAAGCCTGGTGGCATAAGGGATTCTATTGTCATTCAGATTATTATTATCTTCTGTTATCTATATTGCTGGCCAGATATGGGAGAGACCTTTCAAAGTTGGCTAAAGAGCTTCCCAACCCTCACTCCTGCGAGAAAGAAAAATAATTAAAGGCATCAAGATAATTGAAAGGTTGGGAGAACACCAGGTTCGAAACCACAAATGGCCTTTCAAAAAAAATTCTCCACTTGGTTTGTCATCAGATAAATTAGAGCATGACATCATCTATATTCTTTTAAAAGTCAGGCTCACTATCAGAAAAATGAAGCACGAGGTCAAGAGGAAAATAACCTTTGATTCCTTCTGCACAAACAATTCCTGATAATAAGAAATAACCCACCTTTCTGTGAAGGGCCTCTGTTTTCCAACAACTGGACAACTGGACAGGAGATAAGCATACACAATGCTGTACTGTGCCACATACTTCTCCCAAAAATAGCTTGTTGCCCTGGGTTAACCTCACTCTCCTAGGCTTGATGTAGCCACCGCATATGTCTTTCATGTTCAATCCTCAAAAAATAATAGAAGACTTAAAAGTTTGTAAAGTGGCATTCAGTCTTTGGTTGCCTCCAAGAGGTCCTGTACTGGTTGGGATGGGGTTCTGGCCTTGGAGTTGGTTGTCCTCTTCTTGTTCTCAAGCTCCAGCCTCTGCTATGCATGCTGCTCTGAGCACTACAGCTTGCTTTGCCAATTGTACAATACAACACACCAGTGGTGGGATTCAAATAATTTAACAACCGGTTCTCTACCCTAATTTCTTCCAACAACCAGTTCACCAAACTGCTCAGAAAGTTAACAACCAGTTCTCCCGAAGTGGTGCAAACTGGCTGAATCCTACCACTGCAACACACCATTAATAACATTTGGATGAAGATACATATTTGATTATTCGTATAATAATAGCGGCTAGAATTGTATTTGCACAAAACCGGAAAGCAGATAAAATCCCGTTGGAAGGAGAAATTATAAAGAAAATTTTAGAATGTGCAGAAATGAATAGATTAACATTGAGGATAAAAGATAAAGAGGAGTCGATGTATTTCAAGACATGGGATAAATTTTATGATTGGTTAGAAAGGAAATATGAATAAGAATATGTAGAGATAAAATAGATAGAGAATAGATGGGAGAAAACAATTAGAAAAATAGATACCCAGATGATGTCAAGTAAAAGGAGAAAGGGGAGGGGGTTAAAAGGAAAAATAGTGAGATATTATAAAAATGTATGCAAATGATGAAATAAAAAAAATAATTGAATAAGAAATTGAAATGAGAATAAAGATAATTAGAAAATCGGGGCTGCTCGAATACCACTTTAGATTGAATTGAAAAGGGAAACAACAGGAGAGAGGGGAAGGAGTAGAGAGAGAGAGGAAGGGAAAAGAGAGGAGAGGAGAAAGAAGAAAGGGAAAAGGAGAGGAGGAAAAGGGAGGAGAAAGAGGAGCAGAGGAGGAGGTTAGAAGTGGGGAAGAAGAGAGGAGTGGGGGAAAAGAAAGGGAAGTAGGAAAGAGAAGGAGGGGAAGAACAAAGGAAGTAGGAGGAGAAAGAGGAAGGAAGAGAAGGGGAGGAGAAGAAGAAAGCTTGGAGCAAAGGTAAAGGGTAAAAGAGCAGTCCCAAAAAAGTAAAAATGAAAAATGAAAGTTAAAAGAAAAGATGAATGAAAAATGATGGAAATGACTGTACATGTAAATGTGTTATGAGAAATAAAAATAAAAAACTTAAAAAAAAAAACAACATTTGGATATTTATCAATTGTTGGGAGAAATATCCATCTGGTTCACCGGAAGACAATGGAAACATGGAAGTTGACTGGAAAGATGGTTTATTGATGAAGCAGAACCACCAACCACGTGTGATTCTGGGCAGCTGAACAAAATGGAGTTGAGAGTAGGTGGGTTTTTATACCTTCTTTTGGGCTTTGAATTTGAGCTTCCTGTTCCTGTGCAAAACATGTCCTTTAATATTCTATTGACTGTTGTCAGATTCAGTGGTGAAATCGGAACCGGTTTGCTACCAGTTTGCTGGCTGCATATGCATGCTGTGTGCCAAGTGTGCGTGTGCGCAGTGTGCACCAAATGTGCAATGTGCATGCACACACATGCACAGTATGCACCAAAAGGAGATTTGGGAAGGTAAGCAGAACAGCGAGGGGGGGGGATCAGCTGTGCCGTGGGATTTAGTTTCGCTAGAAAGCAGGATTTTCTGCTTTCTAGCAAAGCTAAACCGTGCGGGACAGCTGATCATCAGAAATACCAGTTCGGACGAATTAATAGTTTTTTTAAACTACCGGTTTGCCTGAACTGGTAGTTTTTATCGCTACCAGTTTGTCTGAACTGAAGCAAACTGGTAGCATTTCACCCCTGGTCAGATTCCTATGGGGTCATATAGGGGTCATGCAGAGGTCATAGCTGGCTCTATAGGCAAGAGGAAATGCAAATCCTAGGTGCTTGTCTGAGCTAATCTGGTCAGCCTCTGGCTTATTGTTTATCTGAGCTCCCAGATGAAGTTTGGACTGCTCTGGAGGTCCTGCAATGAAGGGGCTTTGGACTGCTGTGGGCTGCTTCTAAGCCTAGCGTTCTGCCTTTGTTTCAAAATATCCTGACTTGAGTGGATTACCAAAACTGCATTTCTAAAAGGTGGCCGCCTCAGTTTCTGCTTGGGGGCAGGGAGACTGGGGCTGGTTTCTGAATAGGCTGGCCCAATCTTTCTTAATGGGTACAAAATATCTGCTGGGGGCTATTAAGAAAGACTGAGTCTGCTTCCTGCCTCTAAAAAAACCCTCATGTTTCTCCATTTCTCATTTAGGGGAATATAATATTCTGCCTTTTTTTTTTTTTAAATATTCCTCAAAATATTTCATTCCTCTAGGAGGTGTGTGTGTGGATTCCCACACTATGCATTAGTCACTGTAACACTAATGTTATAAGAATAACATATTCTTATTTGTCTTTTGAACTGTTATTCTCAGTGGTTTTTCTGTTAATTATAAAGATGTACGCAATGGTCCTATTGTGCATTTCATTGATTCTGGCCATCTGGCTGTCATAAGTAATTTATTTTAATTTGACAAAACCGGTGGGGGGGAGGTCTTTAAAGCACAAATGACCTCTCAAAATTCTCCACTTGGCTTGTCGTCAGATAACTTAGAGAATGACATTTCATCCATGCTTTTTGAGGGTCATATGTCTATGGAGATTCTCAGTCATCCAGTTCATGGTTGTCCCCTAAGGTGCTTTTTTTCAAGAGGCAAGCGGACTTTCTGACTTTTCTTTGAAGATTTTTCGCTTCTCATCCAAGAAGCTTCTTCAGCTCTGACTGGATAATGGGGAATGGAAGGATTTATACTCCTTGGAGATAGCTGGTCATTGCATCCTTTTTAAGAGGGTTGTTAAGGTTACCTGGAGATTTATCTGTGTCATCAGGGTCACCTGACTGGTGTAAACTGGTGTGGAACCTTCTTGGAACTGTTGAAAGGCCTGTGTTGTAGATAGATGATGTCATATCCCTCCCCTCTGTTTTTTTTTCCAAGTTTATTTATTTATTTTTTTTACAAGCATATCAATGCAAAACATAGCAATAACAGTGTGGCACCTGAGTGTCACACATTCTAATACGAATAAAGCTAATAGAATTAATCAAACTTATTACATTCAATCAACTTATATATTTCTATTAATAATACACATTTATATTAAGTTGCAGTCTGTCATTATCCAATTATACCTTATTTTCTCATTATTGCTTTTATTTTATTATATAAAAGTGTATACACTAGTATTCCCCCTTCTCTTATTTCTATCTCTTATTCTAACTTTTAATCATGTCACCTGTTATTAAAAAACATTTTCTTTCTATCCTACCTAACTTCTAGTCATGTCACCTTCCTAAAAAAGAAGAGAGAGAGAGGGGGGAGAGGGAGAGAGGGAAAGAGGGAGAGAGAGAAAGGAAATCAGAACAAGAACAAAAAGGAGAAATCATCTATCCATCATCTCTTGCCCACTTCAATACTTTAATTGCTATGCTTTTTTTTTTTTTTTTTGAGTTGCCTCCCATATTCCTCTCTTGGATCTTTATCTCTGTCTGCACCTGCTTCTTGACTGTTCAATCTAGATCTATCCCTCCCCTCTGTTGATGGTCAGGTTGACTCAGAATAATGATACAGAGGGTGGGAGAGGAAAAACTTTGGGCTTATCTGCAGAAAATGTTTCCTCGGAAGAAGAAAAACATCCAAGTTTAACTTGGCCCTAGATCCTTTCTTATGGTGAATTAATCCTTCTGACCTTTCTCAATTGATAAGATAATTTGAAGGCAGCATCAATTGCTCCTTTCAGTTTGGGCAGTCTGGCTTGTGCAGATACATCCATAAAGATCCATCCTTAACCGACCCATCCATACCTACTTTCGCATCTTGGGAAGGAAACCTCGAGCTGAGAAAAAATGAAGCTGTCCTTCGCGGGTGCTGCTTTGTTGATTTCTGTGCTCTGCACTCTTGCTCAGGTGAGGGGAACCCTGAATTTTAAGATAAGCAAGTTAGGGGATCGGGGAAGAAGAAACCCCTGTGTATAAAAATACTGGGTTAAACCAAAGCAAATTAGTCCCTCTCAGGTTCTTGAGAAGTCTTAGATACAACCAATCAGGTTGTGTAAAACCTCACTGAGATTCAGTCTGAATGCTATTCAAGTCTATCTCTAAATCTTTCTGAATCAAATGGAATGATCCGATTGGATGCTGCAATTTTTCCAAGCAATTTCAAATATTCATTTGGACTGAGGTTCATCAAATTAGTGATACTATTCTAATCAGGTTCATCAAATTAGTGATACTATTCTAATCAGAAGGATTTTTGCACATCCTTTAATAACAACCTTGAGTTTATTTTAATTTATATGTCAACTCGCAAAGCATTTCTAGTCTGCTCTCGAGTTGTCATTGGTAGAAAGGGGAGAGATCTGTTGGAGTAGTTCAGCAGCCACGTTCACATTCCACGCATACCTTCTTCCAAGGCTGGACCTCAGATTACCAGAGCCAGTTTGTGAGGTGTGGTTTCTACAGCCCCCAAAAGTGCCTTATTGGAGAATGCAATTTATGACACAGCCTGAGAGGAGGGGGGAAACAGGATCATAGTTGAGCCATAAATTACATGCGGCAGAGTTGACTACACTTGGGAAACTGCCGACATGTTGCTCCTAATAAATAACTGATTTTCTTTTGAAACTTGAGGCTTATGAGTTAATTAGGGCATTCATCGGAGACCTGACATTGTAACAGATATTATTTATTATTTTATTTATTTATTTATTTATTTATTTATTTATTTATTTATTTATTTATGTATGTATGTAATTTATATGCCGCCCTTCTCCTGTAGGTCTCAGGGCGGCTTACAAAACAAAACAAAGAATTACATAAACAATTTAAAATCAGTTTAAAGTTAAATTAAAATCAATTAAAAATTATTAAAATTTGAAATCACCCCTACGGATTCAGCCCATTTGGTGAAAAAGCCACGTCTTCAATTCGCGGCGGAAGGAGAGGAGGTCCGGGGCTGTCCTGAGGTCGGTGGGCAACCCATTCCAGAGGATCGGCGCTCCCACAGAGAATGCTCTCCCCCTGGGGGCCGCCAGCCAACATTGTCTGGCCGACGGCACCCTGAGGAGTGCACCGGACAATGGGAGGAAGGCAGGAGATGATCCTGCAGATACCCCGGGCCTAAGCCATGTAGGGCTTTATAGGTGAGCACCAGCACCTTGAAACGAACCTGGAGAGCCACCGGCAGCCAGTGCAGCTCACGCAGGAGACGTGTCACACGGGAGTACTGACAAGCCCCCGTAACAACCCGCGCGGCCGCATTCTGGACTAACTATAGTCTCCGAGTGCATCCCGGAGGGTCACACATTGTCTTAAATTGGTAAAATTTATTTGGTTTAGGCTTTGTATTGATTGGAAAGCTAGGCCATGATTTCCAGCAATGGGTTTTAGTGACTCGGATTAATATTGCATTCCTGGGTTTCCCACCCTCAATAGATTTGTTATTGTATATTGGTGAGTAGTATGGCATAGCCATTTTGAGAGGAGAGAGAGAGTGAGAGTGAGAGAGGGAGGGAGGGAGGGAGGGAGAACGAGAGCATCCATGGAGGCAATGAAGAGGCACAGAGCTTCATTGGGACAGAGAAGGAGGTGTAGATATGGGAAGACCATGCCAAGGCACCAAAAATATCTGGAACTCTCAGAGAAGCTTCCAGAATAACAGGTTCACAAAATAACAGAGTTGGAAGGGACCTTCTAGTCCAAGCCCTGCTCAAGCAGGAGACCCTAATGCAAACAGCAACTTAGAGTAGGTGAGATGTTTCTCTTCAGAACCATGCTGGGAGAAAGCAACGTTACACAGAGCCCTGGTGACACAGTGGTTAGAATGCAATGTGGCAGGCAAACTCAGCCTTATATCCTTCCGAGTTCGGGAAAATGTGGACCCAGAACATCGGGGGAAATAGGCTGAGGTTGTATATAAGTCTACGTGCTATTGCTATAGTTATTACTCTGTATTCATTTCTACCCTTGTACTCCTGATGCTGTGCAGCTTGCAATTATCATCTTTATAGTTGTCATTGCCAATCCCTTCCTGAATGATGCATTTTTATAAAGCTTCAGCTTCCAGGTTAATTTTATTTTTTTATGCGTAGGGAATGTATATTGATCTTCTCTCTCTCTCTCTTTTTTTTTTTCTTGCTCTCTTCGTTGCTGTAGCATGGCCATGCTCATCCACGCCCTGCTTGCGGGGGTCGACAAAGAGTGAGTAGGATACCTTTTCTTTACCAGCTTTAGATGTTTTCCCTTTGCTTCCAATTGTTCTGGAATCTCAAATGTATCCCGTTATGGAAGAAAACGTTTAAAGGAGTAGAAGAAGCTAAACCCGCAAACTTTCTTGGACCGTTCTTACATCCACGTGTGATGCTATTGCAACTTCCCTTTTCCCCTTTATTGCTATGTAACCATGTGCCAAAAGATGGTGGGCACATTGCAACTTGCCAAGCAGTAGATTATAAAAAAAAGAGAGAGAGAGAGGTTTGAGCTTGGTTCCTCTAGACCAGGGGTGTCAAACTCAAGGCCCGTGGGCTGGATGCGGCCCGCGAGGTGCTTAAATCTGGCCCGTTGGGCCGGCCTAGAAATAGCAAATGACCAGCTTGTGGTGCCTCTGGCATCCAAAACGGGACACAGGGGCGTGCACAGCCCCCTGCACCCTGTTTTCAGCCTGGATGGCCTCCTGTAGCACTTGAGGCCCCCTGCACCCCATTTTCTAGCCTGGATCACCTCCTGCAGTACTCTGACAGCTGTATGGTGTGGGGGCTGCGTGAGGCCCCCCCGCACCCTATTTTTGGTCTGGACCAGTGCTGGGTTCCTCCCGGTTTGGCCCGATTCTCCCGAGCCGGTAGCGGTGACGATATGACATCACCAAACGGGTTCTGCCCCCCCGCACCCCACCCCCACCCACCCCCACGTTATTCTTACCTTTTATTTGGCCCCACCCCCAATCTATTGCTGCCTCCTGAGTCCCAGCTGATGGCTCGAGGGAAACAAACTGTTTAAACTCTTGCCACGGGGCTTCAAAGGACCGCCCTACAGCTGATCAGCGTTAAAAGAAAACAAATGAGTAGACCAGTGCCTGCAAAAATACATGAGTAGATCAGTGCCTGCAAAAATACATGAGTAGATCAGTGCCTGCAAAAATAAATGGGTAGATCGGTACAGCTCTGCAAGCAGTTAAAAGCCTGGTAGACCAGTACCTCTGCTAAATCCTAAATAATTGTCACATGACCATCAAGCCATGCCCACAAAATAAGCCACGCCCACAGAACCGGTAGTAAAAAATTTTAGAACCCACCCCTGGCCTGGACGGCCTCCTGCAACACTTTGCCAGCCAAAATACTCCCCTCCACATGCCCCGTTTTGTCCAGCAGAGTGCTGCAGCAGGCGTCCGTCCTGTCTCCCCTCCCTCCCCCACTCCCTGGCCGGACCACTGGGAACTACAGTGCTGATCCGACCCTCGAAGAAATCCAGTTTGACACCCCTGCTCTAGACCAATTGAGATATTCCAAAGTTCTCCAAGGTAGAGCTTTTTTTTTTTTTAAATTTGATTTATATGCCGCCCTTCTCCGGAGACTCAGGGTGGCTTACAATGCATTAAGCAATAGCCTTCATACTTTTGTATATTTATACAAAGTCATCTTATTGCCCCCACAATCTGGGTCCTCAATTTACCTACCTTAGAAAGGATGGAAGGCTGAGTCAACCTTGAGCCTGGTGAGATTCGAACTTACAGTAATTGCAGACAGCTGGTGTTAATCACAATGCTTTTAGTCTGCTGAGCTACCAGGCCCATTGGGTGACATATCCAAATAGAAGTGGCCTGAACAAGGAAGATCACGGTTGACTGAGAATCTCCATAGACATCCACCATTGCATGCCCTGCACAAGGAACTGTATTATAACCACGAGAAGAAAAGGATTGGGAAACTAAAACAAGAGTGATAAACCATCTGCTTGGAGAATCAGAGCACAGAAATCACGAGAAATAGCAGGAGCAGAGCAGGCAGATGGATCCACGATGAACCTCCATTGCAAAAGGCCACATTGTCTTTCCTTCCAAATATCTGAAATCCCATCGACCTCACCAATGTAGACAACAAGATTATATTATCTAGTAGATTGTTCACAGATGGGAATTGCCAGTGCCGTGTACCTGGATTGTGAGGAGAGACTGGCAGGAGGAGTAAATTGCAGGGGATATTAGAGGGCTGTGTAGGGGGTGAATTACCATGTGGGTTCCCATTGCTTAAAGTAAACTTGGTCCAGGGTTTCTCTTTGGTTCTACTCCAACACCTTAACTATTACATTAGGAGCAGTTTTTATTTCCTTAGACAGATCCGAGATATGAAAGTTATATTTATTTGGATTATCCAGCTCCCTACTGCTCTTATCTAGTAATTTCCACCAATTTGACTGTCTTCTTCATCGAACCAGAACCTATAATGCTCTGTAGGATCTAGAAACACAGTGGGCCCATTTATAAGCTGATCACTTATAATAATGCAGTGGAATTTTCTTTCAGCGCAGGGAAGTTGCAAGTATCTGTTTGCTGGCAGATAGTTGAGGAAGGCTGGAGGTTCCTATCTGTTTCTCTCAACAGCCCCCTCAAATCCAAACCCTCGCAGAGGATTTAATTTCCCAACATTTTCTACGTAACTAGGCTCCTTGACTGAAATTAATTCAAATTCATCCGGGTTGGGACTATAGTAACTCTGTCATTCTTTAAGTTTACACTTAGTGGTTTATTGTTGACCTAGATGGGAACTGGGAACAATCCCAACTCTTAGAATATGCTGTGGAAGTCAGTTGTAAATGTTTGGGATGCAAGTTCCAGGCAGGCCCAGGATGTAACAGTGGTGGGAACTGCAATCCATTAAAGTAGGAGGGCAGAAAGAGACGATGTCCTAGGACAGAGGGAAACTCACGTCACTCGCCTCTGCAGGGCAGCTTTTGGGAGGAGATACATCCACGGGCTTCAGTATGGTTCATGGGTTTGCGTTAATGACGGTTGTTGGAAAACAATTGAGATTAGTGACTCCGTTCTGGTTTTTTTCTGTTCTGATGGTTTAATTCTACAACAGCGTCCTTCGCATAGCCACCATCCTCCTCCTCCACAATCCTCTTACGGTCTTTCTCCACAACAATACTACGTTCCTCCTCCACAAGCCAACTACGTTCCTCCTCAAAACCCAACTACGTTCCTCCTCAACAACCCAACTACGTTCCTCCTCTACAACCCAACTACGTTCCTCTCTACAACCCAACTACGGTCCTCCTCTACAAACCAACTACGGTCCTCCTCTACAAACCAACTACGGTCCTCCTCTACAAACCAACTACGGTCCTCCTCTACAACCCAACTACGGTCCTCCACAAGGCTATGCTTCTCCTCCACAAAGCAACACTGCTGCAGGTACTGCTCAACAACGTTTGCCTTCCCTGATCAACGATCTGGGCTTGCTGTCCCACCCGCTTCTGGCACAGTGAGTATGGAAGTGTGACAGGTTCACTTGAAGGCCTATCCATTTGGAGATGGGAGAAGCTTCTGCTGGCCCCAAATACCCCAAATATCTGCTGGTCTTTCCTTACATTCCTAGAGACTGAAGGCAAAACCAGGAATTGTTGTTTTTCCTCCCCCCAATTGATATACATGCATCCTGGCTACACAGCTCGTCCTTAATGTACAACCATAATTGAGCCAGCAATTAAAGCTGTAATTCATGCCAGTCGTTCATCATGTGACCGTGCCTGATTTTATGACCCCCCCTTTTTTTGCAGCGATTGTTAAGCAAATGCAACGGTCATAAAGCGAAGGCCACATTCATTTTGCAAATAACGGCAGTCATTAAGAGAATCTGTTGTTCGCAATGGACCTTTTTTTTTTTGGCCAGGGAAAAAACAGGCAAAACTGTTGCTAAGCAAAGATGTGACTGTTGGGGGCGGGGGAGGTGGGGGCCATCGGAACTTTGAATCCAGGTCCTAAGTATCTTTCTGGAGGTTTGCTGTTGCTCACTGGTCGTAAATTGAGGACTATCTGTAGAGAAAGGTTTGTTTGTTGGTCTGCATCTTGCTACAGTTCCACATACCGGGTTTCCCTGAAAATATGAGCTACTCAGAAAGTAAGTCCTAGCTTGATTTTTACACGTGTGCCCAATATAAGCCCTACCCCAGGGGTGAAATGCATTTTTTCTACAACTTCTTCCGCCGAAAAAAATGCTTTTAAAAGTAAAAAAAAAAAAAGCCTCTGATGATCGCGCGGCTCAGCTGGGATCTCAGAGGCTTTTCAAAGCATTTTTTTCTGCAACTTCTTCAGCGGAAGAGGTGGTTAAAAAAATGCTTTGAAAAGGCTCTGACGATCCCAGCTGTGTTCCTGATTGGCAGAGACTTTTCAAAGCATTCTTTTGCATTTGCAGAAGAAATGCTTTGAAAAGTTAAAATAATAATAATAAAAAGTTGACCACGCCCACCCAGTCACATTGTCCACCCAAGCCACGCCCACAGAACCGGTAGTAACAAATTTTATATTTCACCCCTGCCCTACCCCCCAAAATAAGCCCTAATCAAGACCCCGCTCATTCCATTAAGGCTTTCCTAAAGGCCTCTGCAGCTGGTAACAGAGCTCCGGATTGATCAGGAGCTCTGTTATCGGCTAGAGAGGCCTTCAGGAAAGCCTTGCAGGCCTTGCTGGATGGAGAAGTTCCTGAAGGCCTCTGACTGCGAAAAGGAGGACGGGGGCAATGCATTCAAGTGAGGTGAGTCAGTGGGTGTCATCCCCCTCATTTCGACGAAGTTCATTCGTCATCTTCAGGCTGCTGTTCTTCCAATTTCCAATTTTCGTGGGAGAAGACCCGAATAACCAAAGACCTACATACAAACACCCGCGAAAACCTGAGAAAAATATATATATATATTATAGAGAGAGAGAGAGAGAGCTGAGAGAGAGAGAGAGAGAGAGAGATGAGAGAGAGAGAGAGAGAGAGGGAGAGAGAGAGAGAGAGAGAGAGAGAGAGAGAGGGAGGGAGGGAGGGAGAGAGAGAGAGATAAATAAAAAACAAGGTCTTATTTTCAGGGAAACACAGTAGCTCTGGATTCATGATAGCATTTTCTGTTTAAAAATACACTCCTGTTTCATAGCTTTAACTCTCGGTATATTTTATCTGAGTTTTGTATAACCAGATATGTGCTGGGTAACTGAGTAAATTTGTTGTTGCTCTCAGAGAGTAATTCTCAACTTCGGCAACTTTAAGTTGCATGGACTTCAGCTCCCAGCTTCTCCCAGAATCCTCCATCCACATATAGCTGGCTGGAGAATTCTGGGAGTTGAGATCCACACCTCTCAAAATTGCCAAAATGAGTAATGCTGCTCTAGAAATCCTAGAGAGCAACAGTGATTTGGATTATCAATTTCCCATCTCCCTTTATTTAGTAATGTCAATCAGTTTTTGACTTCTTCATCCGACCACAGCTCTGGTTCTCCATAAGAGATGTCAAACTCCATAAGAGATGTCAAACTCCATAAGGGATGTCAAACTCAATTTCATTGAAGGCTGTATCAGGGCTGTGGTTGACTTCAGGGGGGTGGGTGGTGTGTGGTCGACTGGGTGGGTGTGGCCAACTGAGTGGGCATGGCCAACTGGGTGCGCGTGGCCAGCTTGCCACCACTCCCCAAACTGCTGGCATGTTTCCTCTTCGCATTGGGTAGAACGGGCCGAAGCCACGCTGGACCGATCTTTCTTCTTTGCATTGGGTAGATCAGGATGGCCCCGTGAGCCAGATCCAACCACATCATGGGCCAATCCGGCCCAGGGGCCTTGAATTTGACACCCCAATCTAGAACCACAGTCACCAAATCCCAAATCTTGTTTAGCCAAGCATAGCTAATCACTTATAAGAGCTTTTCCTGCTAGAGCAGGAAGGTTGGAAGCATCTGTTTGCTGGACAGATCCAAACTCTTGCAGAACACAAAATTTCCCAGTGTTTTCTAGGCATTCAGCTCCCTGCAATGAAGTGCATTGAAGTCCTTCTGAGTCAGTGTTGCGATAAGCCTGTCTTTCTTTAAGGTTACACTTAAAGAGTTTTCCTGTTTACGGGAGCCCAGATGGAATCATTTGGGGATAGTCCCAACTCTTAGAATATGCTGTGGAAATCACTTGTACTAGTTAAATGTTTGGGATGCAAGTTCCAGGCAGCAGGGGTGGGCTTCAGATCCTTTAGCAACTGGTTTGCTGCCCTGTTGCTGGGTGGGTGTGGCCTAGTCAGCCGTCTGCACCACGGCGGTGGGGGGAGAGTGTTTTTCGCCCTCCCAGGCTCCGGAGGCTTTCCTTCAGCCTCTGGAAGAGAGAAAACAGCTTCCCGCAGGGTTCAGAGGCCCTCCAGAAACAGGCCCGTTTCTGGACTTCTGGAACCTCTGGTAGGCCCATTCTTTGCCCTCCCAGACCCTCCATGCGGCCCCTGCACTTACCTGGAATGATGAACAGGCTACGTAGACACTCCTGGAAGGGCAGGGAGGGGTGGGCGTGGCCAGCCAGGGGTGACATTTGGGGGTTCTCTGAACCCTGTCAATCCTTGGCTAGAGGATACCCAAACCCTAACGAACCCCCAGAAGCCCACCCCTGCCAGGCAGCTCCAGGAAATAATGTTGGTGGGAACTGTGATCCACTACAGTAGGAGGGCAGAATGAGTCAATTCCTGGGACAGAGGAAAATTCATCCAACTCATCTCTGGTGGACAGGCACTGGAAAGAGATGCATCCACGGGCTTCAGTAGAGTTGGTGGTGTTTTGTTTTTTTAAAAAAAGAAAAATAAGGATTGTAGGAAACAAATCAGACGGTGACTATATCTTCAAGTTTTCTTCCATTTTTTTCCCTGTTCTGCAGCCACAGCCTAACAATATGAATCCACCTAATTCTGTCGCCAATACCTTGCCTAGTTCAGTTCCCCAACAATCTTTCCCTGCACAACCTTTGTCTGCTGCCCAAGTACAAGCTGGGTCTTTTCCTTCTGCTGTTTATAGTCCTCAATATTCTGCTGATGCTCCATTTCCTCCTGCACAATCTGCTTCTGCTCCCTATAGACAAGTTGCCTCTAATGCCCCTTCACTACCTTCCCTGCTTCCTTTTCACAAGCTCCCTCTGCTCCCTATGGACAAGTTGCCTTTTCACAAGCTCCCTCTGCTCCCTATGGACAAGTTGCCTTTTCACAAGCTCCCTCTGCTCCCTATGGACAAGTTGCCTCTAATGCCCTTCCACACCTCCCCCTGCTTCCTTTTCACAAGCTCCCTCTGCTCCCTATGGACAAGTTGCCTTTTCACAAGCTCCCTCTGCTCCCTATGGACAAGTTGCCTCTAATGCCCTTCCACCACCTCCCCCTGCTTCCTTTTCACAACCTCCCTCTGCTCCCTATGGACAAGTTGCCTCTAATGCCCTTCCACCACTCCCCCTGCTTCCTTTTCACAACCTCCCTCTGACCCCTATGCACAAGTTGCTTCTAATGCCCTTCCACCACCTCCCCCTGGTTCCTTTCCACAACCTGCCCCTGCTTCCCTTGCACAAGTTGCCTCTAATGCCCTTCCACCACCTCCCCCTGGTTCCTTTCCACAACCTGCCCTGCTTCCCTTGCACAAGTTGCCTCTAATGCCTTTTCACCACCTCCCCCTGCTTCCTTTTCTCAACCTCCCTCTGATCTCTATGGACAAGTTGCCTCTAATGCCCTTCCACCACCTCCCCCTGGTTCCTTTTCCACAACCTGCCCCTGCTTCCCTTGCACAAGTTGCCTCTAATGCCCCTTCACAACCTCTCCCTAGTTCCTTTTCACAACCTCCCTCTGATCTCCTTGCACAAGTTGTCTCTAATGCCCTTTCACCACCTCCCCCTGCTTCCTTTTCACAACCTCCCTCTGATCCCCTTGTACAACTCGGCCCTGCTCCCTCAGTTTCATCCGGTGCTCAACCCTCTGGTGGAAGCTGGATTGTCTTTGTCTACTGCATTGGAAACCTGGTACCCATTCCCCAACCCAGCCTTGCTCCCTTATTTTCATCTGGTGCTCAACCCTCTGGTGAAGCTGGATTGTCTTTGTCTACTGCATCTGGAAAACCTGGTACCCATTCCCAACCCAGCCTTGCTCCCTTACTTTCATCTGGTGCTCAACCCTCTGGTGAAGCTGGATTGTCTTTGTCTACTGCATCTGGAAAACCTGGTACCCATTCCCAACCCAGCCTTGCTCCCTTACTTTCATCTGGTGCTCAACCCTCTGGTGGAGCTGGATTGTCTTTGTCTACTGCATCTGGAAAACCTGGTACCCATTCACAACCCAGCCTTGCTCCCTTACTTTCATCTGGTGCTCAACCCTCTGGTGGAGCTGGATTGTCTTTGTCTACTGCATCTGGAACATCTAGTCACACGAGCAAAAATCCTCAGCCTCTAAAGGTCAAGTAAGTATGAAAGTATCCCATTCTTGAAGGCTTATTCGTTTGAAGGCGAGAGAAAAAGGTTCCTGCTGACCCTTAAAATCAAGAATATTTGCCCCTACTTACATGTAGGATCAAGTTAGCAAAAACTGAATGAGGTTCTAGGCTGCTCAGTTTTACTAGAACTAATGCTTGGCACTATCTGGCTGGGGAATTCTAGGCATTGACGTTCACACGTCTTAAAAGTCATCAAGGTTGAAAAAACACCCCGCCTATCCATTACTTCATGCAGAAAAATAACAAGTTTTGGAGGAAGTCCTTCAGAGAACATCACTCTTTATAAGCTGCCTGTGTCAAGGTCCTAATTGACAAACCCAACCAAGCCAGCAAAACAAGACAATCGGATCTCTTCTTAAACATAAGAGCTTAAAAGAGCCTTGGTAGCGCAGCAGACTAAAGCACTGTTAAGTAGCACCAGCTACCTGAAATTACTGCAAGTTCGAATCTCACCAGGCTCAAGGTTGACTCAGCCTTCCATCCTTTCGAGGTAGGTAAAATGAGGACCCGGTTTGTGGGGGCAATAAGCTGACTTTGTATAAAAAAAGAGCACCGCTTTAGGGGGCCCCTGAAAGCCCTACTAAGCAGGTATATACAAAAGTATGAAGGCGATTGCTTAACGCATTGTAAGCCGCCCCGAGTCTCCGGAGAAGGGCAGCATATAAATCGAACCAAAAAATAAATAACTTTATTGAGTACACCATTTTGGCACGCAGGAAGCGAAACCAACTCTAGCTAGTTCCCGCGGTTTTTGTCTAATTAAAGAATGAATTCTTTCCTCCCCTCCTTCGGCCAGGAAAACATTGTCCAGTTCGGTGTTTTGAGGTCTTTAGGGCAAAGCCCTTCAAGCCTTTGCCAAACATCTATTGAGATGACCTTGGTTCCCATGGTCAGCGTTCCAGAAAAAAAAACCAACTCCAAGTAAAAACTCTGAAGCAAGCATTTCTTGTTGTTGTCTGGGCTAGCATTCCAAAACTCTTTCTCGCCCCTCCCCCCCATAATCTGTGCCAAGATGAGAAAAAAAAAAAAGATGGCTGCAACAGCAGCGCATATTTCGAAGTTGACCGTCTCAGTCAACTTCATGTTTCAGTGGGTAGTTTTTAAAAAAGGTAATTCTCATTTAATACCGACACAGTCATGTCGGTGGTGAAATCCAAATTTATTTTGCCACCGGTTCTGTGGGCGTGGCTTGGTAAGCATGGTGTGGCTTGGTGGGCATGGCAGGGGAAGGATACTGCAAAATCCCCTTTCCCTCCCCACTCCTGGGGGAAGGATATTGCAAAATCTCCATTCCCTCCCCATTCCTGGGGGAAGGATATTGCAAAATCCCCTTTCCCTCCCCACTCCTGGGGGAAGGATATTGCAAAATCCCCTTTCCCTCCCCACTCCTGGGGGAAGGATATTGCAAAATCCCCATTCCCATCTCACTTTGGGGCCAGCCAGAAGTGGTATTTGCTGGTTCTCCGAACTACTCAAAATTTCCGCTACCAGTTCTCCAGAACCTATCAGAACCTGCTGGATTTCACCCCTGAGTCATGCCTGTTTGAAGTTAGGGCAGCACTGAACGAGGACTATTTATCATGGGTCCACATAATTGCAGCTGTTCTGCCCTCCCACAATCATGTGAGCCCCACCTGGGACCTTTACTGTTCCCGTTTGGCAAGTGGGGAAGCAGACAGGAGGTTGCTAATGGTGACCCTGTGATCGTAGGACACGAAGTGGCATTTGCCGAACGATGGCAACTCGAACTGTTGCAACTGCAGTTGTAAATTGGTGTGGCCATATGACATTGTGTACTATGACCATGTTATTTAGCAACAGAGCATTTGATCCCATTGATAAATGAAGACAATTTACATTGCTGAGTTGATTGAGCCTTGGTGGTGTAGTGGTTAGAGTACTGTACTGCAGTCTACTTCTGCTGACTGCTGGTTGCCTGAAATTTGGCAATTCAAATCCCACCAGGCTCAATAGCAATAGCACTTAGACTTATATACCATTTTACAGTGCTTTACAACCCTCTCTAAGCGGTTTACAGAGTCAGCCTATGACCCCTGACGATCTGGGTCCTCATTTTACCGACCTCAGAAGGACGGAAGGTTGAGTCAACCTTGAGCCTGTGAGGATCGAACTCTTGGCAATGGGCAGAGTTAGCCTGCAATGCTGCATTCTCACCACTGCACCACAAGAGCTATTTATAAGATTAAAAGGAGGCAAAAGAGGGAGAGGAGGAGGAGGAGGGTGGGGAGAGCAATAGCACTTAGACTTACATACTGCTTCACAGTGCTTTTACAGCCCTCTCTAAGCGGAGTTACAGAGTCAGCCTATTGCCCCCAACAATCTGGGTCCTCAATTTACCTACCTTAGAAAGGATGGAAGGCTGAGTCAACCTTGAGCCTGGTGAGATTTGAACTGCCAAATTGCAGGCAATTGGCAGTCAGCAGAAGTAGCCTGCAGTACTGCACTCCATTATGCCACCTCAGCTCTATCAAGGTTGACTCAGCCTTCCATCCTTCCGAGGTGGGTAAAATGAGGACCCAAATTGTTGGGGGCAATAGGCTGACTCTGTACAGTGCTTAAAGAAGGCTATAAAAGCACTGTGAAGCGGTATATAAGTCTAGACTCTAAGTGCTATTGCTGTTCCCAACAATTCTGAAAATTTCCCAGCTGTTCTGAAAATGTCATTGTCTTCCTTAGGAATTACTACTCAGAATGACTTTGCCAGTCTTGCTCTTCCAAACAACACAGGGATGTTTTGTTTTTAAGGAGTTAAATGCCAATACCCACATGCTGGTTTCTCCAGAAGTGCATACGTGAAGGATTGATACGGCTGCCATTGCAGAGGATAGGAAGAGTCATTTAAACTGTGCCTTCCCTCATTTATATCTCTTGCCTCTTTTGCAATCATCCAAAGGCTGCCCTGCAGGATAGTTTAGAGATGAATCAATTCAGCAATTATTGGAATACAATTACAATGACTCCCCATCACTGCTTATGGTAGCAATTAAACCATACTAATTCCTAATAACGCCCACCATAGAATCAACACTCCAATGATTTAGCACTTGAATTAGCCTTGGTAGTACAGTGGTCTAAAGCACCCTGTTATTAAGACCAGCTGCCTGCAATTACTGCAGGTTCGAATCTCGCCAGGCTCAAGGTTGACTCAGCCTTCCATCCTTTCTAAGGTAGCTAAATTGAGGACCCAGTTGTGGGGGCAATAAGCTGACTTTGTATAAATATACAAAAAAGGATGAAGGCTATTGCTTAGCGCAGTCTCCTGAGTCTCCGGAGAAGGGCGGCATATAAATCAAATTTAAAAAAAATTACTTTTCTGTTCTTTTTATTTTTCCAGCTAATATAAAGCAAAGCATCTCAGTACGAAGATGTACACCAGTGAGTATGACAGATGCTCTTTGTTTTAATAGAGATGTACAGTGTGAAGATTTCTCCTGGGACTTTACAACAACTTGCTTCCAAATACGTAGATCGGGGATCCCCAACAGTGGTGGAATTCAATTTTTTTTACTACCGGTTCTGTGGGTGTGGCTTGGTGGGCATGGCTTGGTGGGCATGGCAGGGGAAGGATACTGCAAAATCTCCACTCCCACCCCACTCCAGGGGAAGGATATTGCAAAATCTCCATTCCCTCCCCACTCCAGGGGAAGGATATTGCAAAATCTCCATTCCCTCCTCACTCCAGGGGAAGGATGCTGCAAAATCTCCATTCCCTCCCCACTCCAGGGGAAGGATACTGCAAAATCTCCATTCCCACCCCACTCCTGGGGGTAGGATATTGCAAAATCCCCATTCCCTCCCCACTCCTGGGGGAAGGATATTGCAAAAATCTCCATTCCCACTCCACTCGGGAGCCAGCCAGAGGTGGTATTTGCCAGTTCTCCAAAGTACTCAAAATTTCCTCTACCAGTTCTCCAGAACCTGCTGAATAGCACCTCTGGTCCCCAACACCCAGGCTGTGGACTAGCAATGGTCCATGACCCTCCAGAAACCTTCCAGTCTGTGGAAAAAATTGCCCTCCATAGATCCGGTCCCAAACATTGGGGAGGGGGGCACTGATGTAGATTATTGGGATTATTGTCGTTGAGAGTAAGGGGAGGTTGGAGGCAAAAGTCTGAAAAATTAATTGCCTTGAGCATACCCTATTTATGCCAATGTTTCACTTTCACCCTTGTTTTTTGTTTTTGTTTTATAGATTCACCAACTGCAACTGTCGAGAATAAAATCCACACACACACCTCCAACACTTTCTCTTTCTGGCTTCCATAATTTCTTCCTAATGTTTGACCAAGTGGAAGATGCTACTTTCTTCTGAGAAGGGCTCCAGCTAATATTTCTTTTTGTTGATTTGAGGACACTTTCTCTTCATTGTGAATACTGCTTAACACTGGTTTTCTCTAACCCCCCCCCCCGCAAAAAAAACATTTGCAAATAAATATGTTCAGCATTATAATGGAATGTTGTCTTTATCATTGTGCTCTGAAAATTATCATTTCCCCCACCCCCACCAATATTGTAATGAAGTCCAGGTCACATCAATGCTTAGTTGATTCTGGTAAATAAAAATGTAGATAAAAGCCATTATCTAAGCATAGTTTGAGCTTATTGTCACAAGCATATTTATTCCATAGTTCTATTATCTTTCTGCAGATCAGAGTCTCTTATAGGCTTAATAGCAATAGCACTTAGACTTATATACTGCTTTACAGTGCTTTACAGCCCTCTCTAACAGTTTACAGAGTCAGCACATTGCCATCCAACAATTTGGGTCCTCATTTTACCCATCTTGGAAGGATGGAAGGCTGAGTCAACCCTGAGCCTGGTGAGATTTGAACTGCCAAATTGCAGGCAGCTAGCAGTCTGCAGAAGTAGCCTGCAGTACTGCACTCTAACCACTGCACCACCAAGGCTCTTAATAGATGTTTAGTAATGTTCTCAACACTACCTTGAACTACTTAAGAACTTTCAGATTATAAACTTCTGTCTCCTTTGATCTCAGAAGTGAATAATTACATTCTTATTTGATGTCCAGGAGATGTCCAGTTGTTCATTCTTGATTCATAGGTCAAGAAAAATCTATGTACCTTATCAATCATAGGAGAAGAAGAAATGCCTTGAATTTTATAGTATCTCCTTTTCTTGAATAGCAATAATTCAGTGTTTAATCATTTTACCCACCTCAGGAGGATGAAAGGCTGAGTCAACCTTGAGCGTGGTGAGATTTGAACTGACAAATTGCAGGCAGTCAGCAGGAGTAGCCTGCAGTACTGCATTCTAACCACTATGCCACTGCGGCTCATAGTGCTTCAAAGCATTCTCAGGCTAGTTTACAATGTCAACCTACTGCCCCCAGCAATCTGGGTCCTCATTTTACCAACCTTGGAAGGATGTAAGACTGAGTCAACCTTGAGCTGCATCTGGATCGAACTCCAGGCTATGGGCAAAATGCCTCCAATACTGCCTTCTAACCACAATAAGACTGATTTGTACTCTGCATTGAGTCATAAAGACATTCCATAGATTGGATATGCCCAATACTCTAAAGAACAAAATAAAGGACCTGAAGTGAAAATATTAGTTTTTGCTTTCTATGGGAAACGGGTCCCATAGAGAGCAAAAACTGATATTTTCACTTCAGGACTTTTAAACAGGTCCCATAGAGGTTGCCATTGTAGTATATTCCCCTTTTCAATTGTCTTTTTGATCGCCAGCTATTTTCCCCCCAAAAAATATTTCGTGCTTTGTATGGCTCAGATTCTCTTAATGTGCAGGTAAAAGACAGATTCTGTATTTGCTTTTCCATTTCTTCTTTATAGGTTTAACAAAATTACATCACCAAAGTGAATAAACCATCATAACATAAACATTCACAAAATAAATAGTTCCATAGTATCATAGCTGAAAAAGGCAAAAGTAAGAAAATCCAAAGAATCCATGGCTCTTCAGTTAGTAACTGTATAGTGGCTTCATTCTGGCATCATACTGAGACATAATGCTTTTTATCATCTTTTTGTTGCAATTTAAAAGGCCTGTGACATTCCAATGTACCTTCAATCCATGAAAATCAGTGTATTTGGAAAGGAGCATATTTATTCCTCCACCAGCATTGCTTCCCTTTTGGACTTCATTTGTTCAAAATTTATTCTGTGCGTGTCATGCCATTTTTGCATTCTGTGTCAAACAAAACCAATTACAAAAAGCCTTACTAAGAAATCCTGTCTCATAATGATCTACCTCTACTGAAAATTTCATCCTAATCAGATTTAACGTTTTAAAGGAACATGGTTCTAAAATCATACATCAATTCCTTTGAAATTTAGCATGACATACAGGGATGCATTTTGCCTTTAAATGGTATCCTTTTTAATTACAAAAAAATAAAAATAAAAAAGAAGGTTATAGCTCTTTAGGCTTCATTGTTTAACCCATAGAGAGTGGAACGGATTTATATCAAATCTATTGCCACATTGGTGCAGTAGTTAGAGTGCAGTACTGCAGGATGTTTCTGCAGACTGCTGGCTGCCTGCAATTTGGCAGTTCGAGTCTCACTGGCTCAAGGTCAACTCAGCCTTCCATCCTTCTGAGGTCAGTAAACTGAGGACCCAGATTGTTGGGAGCAGCATGCTGACTCTGTAAACTGTTTAGAGAGGGCTGTAAAGCACTGTGAAGCAGTATATAAGTCTAAATGCTATTGCTATGCTATGCTATTCCAAAGTACAGAGATAGGAGTGCCTAAAAGGCAGAGGATTTGGAAATTTCTAGAGTGCTTACTCAAGAAAACGAGTACAAAAGCCAGCCTTACCACTGACCATGGAAATATTGAATTGGTGGATAGCCTCTGTGCCTTATGACCATCCATCAACAGAATGATGAACAAGCATTCAAGAGATATGCCACATCCTAGCACTTAGCATGGAAGCAATGAAGGCCATTGAATAGATATTTGGATCTTGTGATGTGTTTATTCCGATGAAGATAAGATTAGTGCAAGAAATGGTATTTCCTGTGACGCTCTCTGGAAGCAAAGGAAAAAGGGACTTTCAAGAAGCAGGATAGAAAGAGTATTAACACTTTTGAGCTTGGAGAAAATTTCTGAGAAAACTATGGATAGCCCAGAAAACAAACAAACAACAAACAGATTATCCAAAAAAATCAAACCAGAGTTCTCACTTAAGACACAAATGATTAGGTTCAAATTATTCTACCTGGGACACATGTGAAGACCTCTCTTTAATGGTAGGAATCATGAAAGGAAAGAATTAGAATAACAAAGTTGGATGGGATCTTGGAGGTCTTCTAGTCCAACTCCTGCTTAGGCAGGAAGCCCTATACCATTTCAGACAAATGGTTATCCAATCTCTTCTTTAAAAACTTCCAGTCTTAGAGCATTCACAAGTTCTGGAGGCAGGTTGTTCCACTGATTAATTGTTCTCATTGACAGGAAATTTCTCCTTAGTTCTAGGTTGCTTCTCTCTTGATTAGTTTCCACCCATTGCTTCTTGTCCTGCCCTCAGGTGCTTTGGACAATAGCTTGACTCTCTCTTCTTTGTGGCAACCTCTGAAAGAGAAGCAGAAGACCAGCAGCAACATGGATGGACTTGGTTTCGGAGGTGATGAGTGCCATACTGAAGGTTTCAAGGATCAGTCCTGGAGAAAGTCTATCTATGTTGCTACTAAAAGTTGACCCTGGCTTGATAGAAAATAATTAATTAACTAATTAGAGCTCTGAATCTGGCTGTTAAAGCAGTCCAGGTAGTGGTTTTCATATCCCCCTTTTTTAACATTTTGAATTTCCTCAAACTAGTTGTCCATCCAGTGGTGGGATTCAAATAATTTATCAACCGGTTCTCTGCTCTAATGATTTCTTCCAACAACCAGTTCACCAAACTGCTCAGAAAGTTAACAACCGGTTCTCCGGAAGTGGTGCGAACTGGCTGATTCCCACCACTGTGTCCATCCTACCATTCAGATATTTAAAACAGATGCATGAAAACTGGCAAATGAAGCTCTCTCCCCCCTCAAACACCCTCCCCACCGAGAATGAAAATCAATCCCAGGAACTAAGATAAGACAATCAAAAGATGGGAGAAAGATAAGATAATTGAAGCATAAAATAAACCTGGAAAAGGTCACTTTTGAAAAGTCACAAATGACCTTTCAGAATCTCTTCACTTTGCGTTATCAGATAAATTAGAGGGTGACGTTGCATCAATATTTTCTTGCAAGTCAAGGTCATTCTCAAAAAAAAAAAAATAACATAGAGGGGGAAGGAATGTTTCAGTTGGCACCAGATCTTTCCTTGTGATTGAACCCTTCTTACCTTTCTCAACAGGTAATTTGAAGGCATCGTTAAGTTGTCCTTTCAGTTTGGGCAGTCTGGCTTGTGTTGATACATCAATAAAGATCCATCCTTAACCCACCCGTTCATACTTAGGACACTTTCTTATTTGGGGAACGAAACCACCAGCTGAGAAAAATGAAGCTGTCCTTCGTGGGTGCTGCTTTGTTGATTTCTGTGATCAGCACCAATGCCCAGGTGAGAGGAAACCTGCATTTTAGGAAAGGTAATTTGTAGGATGACAGAGGAACCCCCGCGACTCAAATTCTGTGAGTTAATCCCAGACTAAGCAGGTCAATCTTGGGTCCTACTGAAATCTTAGACATAACAAATAGGGATTTGGTAAAATTTCGCCAAGGTGATCCAGTTTACCCTATCAAATACATATGTAATTAGATAAACACATTAGATCCTACAATTTTTCAAAGGGATTTCAAATATTCAATTACACTGATTAAACTGCCTCAAATTAATGATTCTATTATGACCAGAAGATTTTTTTTTTGCACCATTTAATAATGAAGTTGAGTTGTGTAAGTGTGTGTAAATTGCAACAAAAGTTAATTGGAGTCATATACTGAGCTAAAATATGTTTTGTTTGATTTATGTTTCCTATCAATTGGAATACCAGGCCATAATTTCCATTAATTAATAATTAATTAATTAATTAATTCCGTTGATTAATTTTCTGCCCCTTTTGTTATGTTTAGCCAGTTTAAATGCTTGCATCCTTTCCTTCCTTTTATACATTTATTGCTTCTACTACATTTTATAATGTTTTATATGACCACATGCATCAGCTAAAACAAGATAATGTAATGGGTGATTATTGTTTTCCCCTGCAGCATTATATTCCAGATCTTCCACCTCCAGTAAGTAAAACTGTTTCTTATTTATATGTATTTTGATATTTTAACTGCTGTCAGAACTCACCTGGACAAGCTGGGAAACGAGATCACACAACTACAAAGAGCAGATGGTGTGTCAAATTCTGACTGTCTTCCAATGTGACACAACTTAGCTTCATACCTTGCTCACCCAAAGGTCCATCATGGTCAGAACTGAACCCCAGAGAAATAATTAATTTCAGAAATTTAAACTTTCATACAAAAGACGCTAAGAGAAATGAATACAATAGAATAACACAGTTGGAAGGGACCTTGGAGGTCTTCTAGTCCAACCCCCTGCTTAGGCAGGAAACCCTACACCACTTCAGACAAATGGTTATCCAACATCATCTTAAAAACTTCCAGTGTTGGAGCATTTACAACTTCTGGAGGCAAGTTGTTCTCCTTAGTTCTAAGTTGCTTTTCTCCTTGATTAGTTTCCACCCATTACTTCTTGTCCTAAATGATATATGAGCTTCCTCTAAATCCCCTCCCAGATACTTAGTTATCTTTGTTAGAGAAAGAACAGATATATAAATGGATTTTTGATTTTTTTTATAAGGGTACCTAGGTCCCAGAGCTACAGTGTTTTTTGCAAATTATGTCCGAGAGTTGCCTGAATTTGCAAGTAACATGAGATCAAAGGTTTTTTTACTTGTATTGTTTGTGCAAGACATATTAAAAAATGAATGGAGTTTTCCTCCATTCCTCCAGAATAGTCACTATTTTGACTTTGATTGTATCCTGAAGATACCTTTGCTCACAATTCACTTCATTTTATCTACAAATAGATTGGGTTCAGTCTTACAACCCAAAATAATGCTTTCATCCATTTTGAGGTCACTTGTTCATATTTTGTTTACTTAGAAACTATATTTAGTTAACTTGGTACTTTTACTTACTTATTCAGAAACTGTACTATACTTTGAAATAAAGCAACATCTTTTGAGGACAACTAGTTTTTCTAGAGTTTGAACAATTTGTTTTATTTGTTTTATTTTTATATTTCTTTAGTTACTTCATATTGTTTGTGATAAATTGTACTGGCAGCCTTGTTTAGCATTTAAAAATTGCCTGTATTTCATTGTTTCTATTCTTCACCTTTTTAATCATGCGTATTTATTTATGGCAAAAAAAATAATAATCATGTATTTCAGTTAAAGTTTCGTGACTCTTTATATTTGGATTTATATACATATACATATACATGTACATATACATATACATATACATATACATATACATACATACATACATACATATATATATATATGTATGTATGTATGTATGTATAATTTTATTTATTACATTTATATGCCTCCCATTGCACACTTAAAAGCAACTCCAGACTTATATAATTTATTCTATAGCTGAAATATCAGAAAGAGTTGGCATGAATTGGAAAGATTTGCCATATGTATGTGCATGCTCATATAAGAGAGAAATTATAAGTTTGTATTTTATACATTTAAATGTCTATTAACACTGTTTCACCAAAAATGGAATCCATTTTTCTTTCTTTCTATAGTGGCCTTTTAGACAGTTTGGCTTAGCAGTGAGTATAACAATCTTTGCCTCTGTTCCTCTTGTACCCATTTAAGAGAATTTCCCCAAAGCTATTTGGTCCTGAAAATTGCAGGGTCCCATTCAGAGGTAGGCGCTCCTAAATCTGGGATAGGTATACTATGAAGTCAGTGGTGGGATTCAAATTATTTAACAACCAGTTCTCTGCCCTAATGACCAGTGTGGCCATGGTGGGCATGGCTAGGGAGTGTGACAGGCAGCACTTGGCCTTCTTCACCCCCCCTGGGAGCAAAAATGGGCCACGGGGGGGACGTGCCCCCCATGCCCCATTTTGGGCCTAGGAAGCCTCCCTGAAGCCTCCTGGGAGCAAAAATGGGCCACGGGGGGGGGGCCTGCCCCCCCCCCCACCTGTACCCCATTTTGTGCCTAGTAGGCCTCCTTGCACTTACCTGGGAGTCAAAATGGGGTGTGTGGAAGGGGTGGGGAAAGGAGGGGCCAGCCAGCAATTTAACTACCGGTTCGCCCAAACCAAAACGAACCGGCTGAATCCCACCATTGTATGAAGTGTAGCCCTGGGGAATTGTGTTGAAGACAGGAGATAGAGAAAGAGAAGGAAGGTAGAAATCTGGGATATCCCCACCTCATTCCTTGTTGCTACAAGATTTTATAACAGAGGCAATGTGAAAAATTAGTACTCCTGATTTAGTGACCTTAAATGGGACCAGCAATTAAAGAGATTGCTAAGTGGAAAATCATATAACCGTGACTATGCTTACGATTTGATACAGGACAGTGAGTACTGACCACATGTAATGGCGGGGAAAAGATGCTGTGAAAATTGTAACCACAGCCACTGGTCTCAGAATATTATTTTTTTTAAAATCACTCCTATACTTCATTATCTGAAGCAGTTGCTAAACAAGGACTGCCGATAGAGAGCTTTCTTAGAGTTATTGTAAGGATAACAGTAGGCAAGACTCCAGTGTATGCCATTTATGTCTTTTAGAAGCCATACAGAATGTAAATATTACTTATCAGTAACATCCAGGATCTTTGTAAGTCTCGCCTAGGAAGGAGATTAAGGTCATCCATATCTGTGCTTTTGGTTGTGGGTCTCCTTAAAATCCCCTCCCAGACTCTTCCTTCTCTCTGTTGCAGAAAGAACTGGATTGTAATGTAACTTTCAATTTCTGTAGGGGAACCCTGGCTTCAGGAGTGATGCGTATGTTGGAAACTCTATTCCATGGCACCCTCCATTTGTAAGTATGATGGCCATCTTTGCCTCTGTTGGGAAATAGATTACCTGCTTATAATCTGAGGTTCCCAAATTCTGTTTCAATTACTTCCTACCTAGAAATGCTGGGGATTAAGATAGCTGTTGAGAGTTTTGTGACTATCAAGAGTATCCACAAGGGATATTAAAAAAATAAATAAATCAACAGGCATAAAATAATGGATGGAGCTTTCATCACCGTACTCTGAGGTTACCTTTGCTCACATTTCTCTCCTCTGCATCTAAAACAATTGGGCTTCAAATGGACACAACATTGTTCTCATCCATTTTGATGTCACTTCTCCATATTTATTTACTTAGAAACTATGTTTAGTTACGTGGTGCATTTGTTTACTTACTCATTGATAAAGAGGTTATACCAGTGGTGAAATCCAAACTTTTTTTATACTACAGGTTCTGTGGGCGTGGCTTGGTGGGTGTGGTGTGACTTGGTGGGTGTGGCTTGGTGGGCATGGTAGGGGAAGGATACTGCAAAATCTCCATTCCCACCCCATTCCATGGGGAAGGATACTGCAAAATCCCCATTCCCTCCCCACTCTGGGTCCAGCCAGAGGTGGTATTTGCCAGTTCTCTGAACTACTCAAAATTTCCGCTGCCGGTTCTCCGAACTGCTCAAAATTTCCGCTACCGGTTCTCCAGATCCTATCAGAACCTGCTGGATTTCACCCCTGGGTTATATATTGTAATGTATTCTGAAACAAAGCAGTGTCTTTTGAGAAGATGTTGCTGTTTTAAAGCTTGAATATTTTGGTTTTATTTTTTTTTATTTTTCTTTAGGTACTTAATATTGGGATTTTTTTTATGATAAAGTATGCTTTTAGAGCTGGCAGCCTTGTTTATCATTTTAAAAAATCTCTGTATATATTTTGCTATTTTTACTCTCCATTTTTCTAAACGTGCATAATTATTTGTAAAAAATCTTACATACTTTGGTTCAAATTCTTTGTCTCTAACCCTAAAAATAACTCTGATTTACTGAAATATAAGAAAGTTTTTGTGGCATAAATATTATAGTGATATGCCCATGTGCATGTATATTCTTATGAGAGAGAGAGAAAGAGAGAGAAAGAGAGAGAGAGACTGCAAATTTGCATTTCATACCATTTAAACGTCTACGAATATTATTTCACTAAGAAAAAAATCCATGTTTTTCTTCTTCCTGCAGTGGTTTCCTAGGCACTTTGGCTCAGCAGTGAGTATAACCTTTGCCTTCAAACCCATTAGAGAGAAATCCCCCCCACCCGCAAATATTTGGCTCTGGAAATCCTAGGGTTCCATTTAGTCCTGCTCCCAAATCTGGTGAAGATGTACCATGAGGCATCTTTATCTCTTTACATTCGGGTCTATATATAGATATTTATTATTTTATTTATGTAATTTATAAGCTGCCCAACTCACACTTAAAAAAAACTCTGAGCCTTTATAGTTTATTATGTGGCTGAAATATAAAAAAGATCTGAGCGCCTAAATATTATGCACACACACACATTTTTATGTATAGTCTTACATGAGAGAGAGAGAGAGAGAGGGAGAATGGATGTTTGCCTTTTATACAGTTAAATCAGTGGTGATATTTAGCCGGTTCTATCTGGATCGGGCGAACTGATAGCAGCGGCTGCGGGAGGCTCCGCCCACCCACCCGGATGTAATCACGTCCCGTTTTTGACGCTCTGCAAATGCGTGGAGGGCAGTGGTGAAATCCATTTTTATTTTACTACCGGTTCTGTGGGTGTGGCTTGGTGGGCATGGCAGGGGAAGGATACTGCAAAATCCCCATTACCACCTCCCCAGGGGAAGGATACTGCAAAATCCCCATTCCCTCCCCACTCCTGGGGGAAGGATATTGCAAAATCCCCATTCCCTCCCCACTCCAGGGAAAGGATACTGCAAAATCTCCATTCCCACCCCACTCCAGTGGAAGGATATTGCAAAATCCCCATTCCCATCCCACTCCAGGGGAAGGATACTGCAAAATCCCCATTACCTCCCCACTCCTGGAGGAAGGATATTGCAAAATCTCCATTCCCACCCTACTCTGGGGCCAGCCACAGGTGGTATTTGCCGGTTCTCCGAACTGCTCAAAATTTGCATGGAGGTGGCACGTGCGCGCTCACATTTGCGAACCGGTAGCAAAAGTAAGTGAATACCATCCCTGATTTAAATGTCTATTAACACTATTTCACCAAAAAAGAAATCCATGTTTTTTCTTCTTTCTGCAGTGGCCTTTTAGACACTTCGACTCAGCAGTGAGTATAATCTTTGCCTGCTCATATTATACCCATTTCAGAGAATCCCCAAAACTATCTGGCCTTGAAAATTGTAGGGTCCCATTCCGGTAGTAGTTGCTCTCAAATCTGGAGTAGATGAACTGTGGAGCTAGCTTTTGGGGTGAAAGGGGGGAAGGGAGACAGAGACTTCTCCAAGACAGGGAAGGAAGGCAGAGAGATGTGACAACTCTGCATTACTTCCAATGCAAGTAGCAGCATTTTTGGAAGATGCCTTTTTTTCCTGCAACCTCTATTTAAGAGGAGAAGAATGTTACTCTCCATCTGTTATTACTCTTGTGGTCCTGATGCTGTGCAGGCCACAATTGACCTCTCATCTTTAGCTGCCCTTTCCCAGATTAAAGGTAAAGGTAATATGTGTTAGTCACATATGTGCTAGTCGTTCCCGACTCTAGGGGGTGGTGCTCACCTCCGTTTCAAAGCTAAAGAGCCAGCGCTGTCCGAAGACCTCTCCCTGGTCATGTGGCCGGTATGACTAAATGCTGAAGGCGCACAGAACGCTGTTACCTTCCCACCAAGGGTGGTCCCCTATTTTTCTATTTGCATTTTTTTTAATGTGCTTTTGAACTGCTAAGTTGGCAAAAGCTAGGACAGGGATCGGCAACCTTAAACACTCAAAGAGCCATTTGGACCCATTTCCCCACAGAAAAGAAAACACCGGGAGCCACAAAACCCTTTTGACATCTAAAATGAAGATAACACTGCATATATCACTTTTTACCTTTATGCTATGTATATAAAAAAAACCCATAGTGTGTTGCATTTATGAAATCAATGACCTGGTACAGAGAAAACACATTTTTATTTCTTTGCATGCAACAAAAACATTTTGAACTCCAAAAAAAAAAAAAAAAAAGATGGTGGTTGTGATGCATATTTTGAGTGACAGGGAGCCGCAGCAGAGGGATGAAAGAGCCACATGCGGCTCCAGAGCCGTGGGTTGCAGACCCCTGAGCTAGGACAAGTAATGGGAGCTCACCCCTTTACATGGCACTAGGGATTCGAACCGCTGAACTGCTGACCTTTCGATCGACAAGCTCAGCGTCTTAGCCACTGAGCCACCATGTCCTAAAATTCCCAGATTAGAGGATTATAAAATGCTCTTTGCAGGCCTTTTCACTCTTTATGGAAAAATGGACAGGAAGAAAAGTATTTGTCCCCTCACTCTATGTCTTTGTGTGTGTGGTGTTTGTCCATAGGATCGCGTTAGGCCTGAAAAGCTGGTGAGTATCTTATCTTGGTTTTTTTTAACCAGTTTTAGATGCCTGTTCCCTTTGCATTCTGGTTGCTCTGGAATCTCAGACGTGCCCCCTTGCAGAAGAAAAAAATTCAACAAGCTTTCTTTCAGAGTAAAATTTAGGGATCAGATAGAACATTTAAACTCCAGCTTCAAAGCAGAAGGAGATGATAAGCATTGAATAATCGGAGTGTATGGCTAAGTGTATGCTGCATTCTTTTTTTTTCTTTTTTTTAATTTTAAACAACCAAATTCAAACAATTCAAGTGGAAGTGTTACTAAAAGATTACATTATTATATTGTTTTTTAAAAAAAGGAGAAGGAAAAATAGATTAAAAAGTCTACAGTAAAAGTAGTAACAGATTAAAAAAAATTAAAAGGAAAAAGATAAAAATTCTCTTTTTGGACACAGTTTGACATATGGATTGTGCTCACTGTCACCAGTACTGAACTGTATCAGTGGTAGAATTCAATTTTTTTTACTACCGGTTCTGTGGGCATGGCTTGATGGGCATAGTGTGGCATGGTGGGCGTGGCTTGGTGGGCATGGCAGGGGAAGGATACTGCAAAATCCCCATTCCCACACCACTCCAGGGGAAGGATATTGCAAAATCTCCATTCCCACCCCACTCTGGGTCCAGCTAGAGGTTTAGCTAGAGGTGGCCGGTTCTCTGAACTACTCAAAATTTCCGCTACCAGTTCTCCAGAACCTGCCAGAACCTGCTGAATAGCACCCCTGAACTGTATGCACCATTCATGGCACAGAGAGGGAACTTTGCCCTTAAAGAATAAAGAGATTGTCACTGCGTTAATGCCACATAGCTTCAGTTCTCTAGAAGAACTCAGTTAGCAGTTTTGTGTTGATGGTAAAAAGCCGACAAACAAAGGAGGCCAAGAAACTTTCAACAAGTGTTGAACATCCAGCAACATTTGATTGAGCAGTGTCTTTGCTTAATTCACAAGCATTTTGTTCTGATCCAGCTTCTCAAACATGACAAATCCTCTGACGTGAACTCAAAAGATTACTTTATTAGGAATGCTGGCACTCCCGGCAAAAAAATTCTCACCGCAGGCTAACAAGTCTGTCCGGCTGGAAGATGAACCGTTGTCTGCCACATCTATTCATCTCTGTCCCCTGCCTTTTATCCCCAGAGCTAGGGTGTGGACTTCACTAGCAGGGATGGCTCTTCCATCCCAAGGACCGGCCCATAGATTTCCATTGCTCTTCTCTCCTCTGCTTTCTGTGCATCCGTGCGTCAGGCACTGGACCCAGCTGTTCCTCCTCTTCTTCATCATCCACCTCCAGACCTGGGGGCTGTTGGTTCTGCATCTGACGGCTGATGGATGGCCCAGGCTCTGCCTCTGTCTTTCTCTCTGCCAGGTCCAGATTCCCTCTTCCCCCTTAGAGCTCCCAGGTTGCCTCGATGTTGACCCTGACTCCAATGCCTCCTCCTCCTCCTCCTCTGATTCTGGTGCTGGAAGGGCTGGTGGCCACAACACATTTATGCAGGTTTCATCAACGAGTCTCTGGTGCTTTCCCCTCAGTTCTTCCATCTTTTCTTCTATGTGTAAAACAACATTTTAAAAAGGGCGGCATTCTCTTTATTTTACATCATTAGGAGCTCTCTTTCTGGAACCACCCACCATTTGGGATCACCCAGCTGCTTGCATTGTATAGTTTTCGCACTATACAGCAAAGGAAAGCTGAAGTAATATCGTAAACGCAGTCATGGCCATGTGATTTTGCAATTAGTAACTGCATCACTTAGCAACTGAGTTGCCAGTCCCAATTATGTTCACTAAATGAGAACTAAAGAGAAACATGGAATGTGTTAAAAAGACTGGGAATCCTCTGCCTCTAAAAAGTTGTTTCCAGCATGTAGCAAGCGGAAGTACAATTAAACAAGTGTGAAAGATCCTTTCTAAATATTGTGTCTTTTTTTTTTGTCTAGATCCATTTGATGAGTGTAAGTATATGGAAATATTTATTATCATTTACTGCTTTCAATACCAGAAAAAACAAACTTAGTGCAGAGAGAGCCCGTTCAAATCTTCACTTAATGTCAAATATTCTCTTTCCTCTCACAGCCAAGTCTGTCAGAGAAAATGGCATTCCTTTGTGTATTAAAGAGATTTGCGTTTTGAAATAGTTAAAGTAATTGAAGTAATTAGTTAAAGTAATTGGTGGTCTACTACATGACTACGATGTCTCTCTTTTGTCATCATATAGAAACTAAATGCTGTTAAATTCGGTGTTGTGACATATGAGTGACTTTAAACATGTTGCTTTAGTCTTAAAACCAAATTTAAGGCTTTGCAGCAGCTTTAACACTGCTGTATTTGGTCTATAATATTTTCATTTATTAACTGACTCATTCTTTTCTTTTTTTCATTCACTCTGGCAGAGTGGATAGTGGAGCACATGAGAGGGAACAGAGAGATCCATGTTGAAATCTGAATACTTCCTTCTCTTCTCTCTTACCCTAGTTTACCAAAAAACAAATACAGGTGGAACATTTGAAATGAAAACAGAAGCATTAAGTTTAATTCCCATCCCCATCTCAAGTTGAAGAAACATTGGTCAGATTCATGGATAGCATTAAGTGTTCAAGCAGCTAGTGTGAAATATGACAGCCACATTTTTGGCTTTGTATTATAACCAAATACAAATATAAATTTACATTTATAGACATATAAAACCCACCATGATTTAAAATAACAGTAGTAAGATATTAAGCTAAGCAGTGTTGGACCTGGTTAGAATTTGGATGGGTGAAGACCAGGGAACATCAGAGGTGTCTTTTAGGCAAGTCACTCCTTGACACTGCCAAACAAACTCTGTAGTCCTTCCCCTGAAGTCAACGGGAGCATCATTTGACCCAAAAACAGCTTTAATTTTTACTGGTTCCTGGAGGCATAAAGGGAGTCTTAGGTAATAGAAATAATGGCTTCATTTCTCCAATTTGAAGGAAAATACAATGCAAAGTAAATCTTGATGTGTTTTTTCCTCCCTTCTTTATATTAGAAATTAGTTGAAGTCTGCAAAAATATCTTTGACCAACAGAGGCATTGGGTAAGCTTCATGGGGGAAAAAAAGTGTAAATATATTCCGAAGGTTGGTTTGGTTAGAGGAACAATTTTTTTTTAGGGAAGAAGAACAATTAGCAGCTATATTAATAAACTGGGAAACCACGTAGGAATAGTTTATTTCAGAAAGAAAAAAAAGGGCACACAGTTCTGGGAACAGCCAACATGTCTGGCCTGCTAACAGAAACTTTAGAGCAGTGGGCCCCAACCTTTTTGGAATCAGGGATCAGTTTCATGGAAGACAATTTTTCCATGGACCAGGGTGCGTGCTGATATGGTTTTGGTATGATTCAAGCGCATTACTTCGCTCATTCACCACTGCTCCCCTTCAGATGTGCAGCCCGGTTTCTAACAGGCCAGGTACTGGTCCTTAGCCCAGTGGTTAGGGACCCCTGCTTTAGAGTACTCCTTCAGCAATGCCCAGGGGCAAGAGGGTATAGATGGCATCACCAATGCCCTTTTTTTCCTTGCCCCCGCCCAACACCTTTGGATCTGCTGCTTGCTAGCAGAAATGGAGTTGGTACTGTCATTGCTATAGTTGAAGAAGCCTCCTTTGGGTAGTGAACCAGGAAAGGCAGAGAATGGGCAGCAAACCCTCACCTCCTGATTCCTGGAAGAGCGGCTTCACTTTGTTAAAAGTGAGAAGCTCCCTGAACCGTATAGATCAGGGGGTGTCAAACTCAATTTTATTGAGGGCAGCATCAGGGCTTGACCTCGGGGGGCTGGGCGGGTATGGCTGACTGGGTGGGCATGACCAGCTTGATGCCACTCACTGGGCCTGGTTGACTGGATGGGCATGACCAGCTTGATGCCACTTTCCAAACTGCTGGCATGGTTCCTCTCTGCATTGGGTAGACCGGGCTGAAGCCATGCTGGCCCAATGTTTCCTCTTCGCGTTGGGTAGACCAGGCCGAAGTGACACGAGCTGGCCCCTTACATTTTCCAGGATGGCCCCATGGGACGGATCCGACCACATTGCGGGCCGCATCTGGCCCGCGGGCCTTGAGTTTAACACCCCTAGTATAGAAAAACACAGTTTTATTGCCACCGAATATGAGGTGCAAGATTTACCCCCCTCCCTTCTTCCCTTATTTAGTAATTTCAACCATTGATTGACTTTTTCATTGGACCATAACTACGGTTCTCAATAGGTTCTAGAACCACAGCCATTCTGGACCTTCACTCTTTATTTGCCGAAAACAGCTCATAACAATCTTTTCTGTCAGTGCAGGAAAATTTGAAGTCTCTGCTTGCTGGAAAGTAATTGGGGAAGGCGGGGAGGTCCATATCTGTTTCCCTCAACAGCCCCAAAATCCAAACCCTTGCTGTGGATTTAATTTCTCAGCTTTTTCTATGCAGTCAGCTCCCTGTTCTCTGCACAAGTCCATCCAGGTTAGCTCTGTGATATGTTTGTCATTTTTAAAGTTTACACTTAGGTGTTGATTGTTTACAGGAGCCCAGAAGGAAACCTTTGAGAATAATCTCAACTCTTAAAGTATGCTGTGGAAGTCCTTTGAACCTGGTAAATATTTGGGATGCAGGTTCCAGGTAGTTCCAGGTTGTGATGCTGCTGGGAACTGTACTCCACCACAGTAGGAAGAGACATGTCCTGGGACAGAGGAAAATGCATGTCACCCATCTCTACAGGACAGCCTCTAGCAGGAGATACATCCATGGGCTTCAGAATGGTTCATGAGTTTCTTTTTAGTGATGATTGTTGGAAACAATTGAGATTAGTGACTCTATTTTGGTTGCTCTCTTTTGATTGTTTTCTTCTGCAGCATCGTCGGCTTTACCTATCCACCTATGGCTACCTTGGTTTTCCACAAGGCTACCCGTTTTATCCTCAAGGCTACCCTAGTTACCCTTCAGACTATTCTGATGTAGGCACTGCTGAACAACTGTTACCTGTTGCTGCAGAACCATTTGCGCCTGTTGTCCCTCATTACTATCCACCCTCTTCTATTTATCCTGAAATAGCTTCACCTGACTATCCCAGCACAGTGAGTATGAAAGTGTGACAGGTACTCTTGAAGGTGGGAGAAGTTTCAGCTGTCCCTAAATATCAAAAATATCCTTTCCCTGCACTCAAAGAGGGCAAAGATGGCAAAATGTAGAATTGTTGCTTTCCCCCCCAAATTGTTATAGTTGGGTCCTGATCTATAGTGACCAGGGAAGTAAGGAAATCTTTGTTTGTTGGTCTGCATCTTGCTTAGGTTTCTAATAGTTTCTATGTCATGGACTTCACTCTCCAATTTATCCTATTTTGAATTTTGTATAAGCAGATATGAGCAGTGTAATTGAGAGGAATTTTGTTGCTCTAAGATAGTAGTACTCAATCTGGACAATTTTAAGATATGTGGACTTTAAGATATGTGGAATTCCCCAGTTACAAGGGGACTTATACATCTCTTCTCTTCTCTTCTCTTCTCTTCTCTTCTCTTCTCTTCTCTTCTCTTCTCTTCTCTTCTCTTCTCTTCTCTTCTCTTCTCTTCTCTCCTTCTCCTCTCCTCTCCTCTCCTCTCCTCTCCTCTCCTCTCCTCTCCTCTCCTCTCCTCTCCTCTCTTCTCTAGTAATTACAACCATTGTTTGATTTCCTCATCTGACCACAGCTATGGTTCTCCATAGGATCTAGAACCATACTCATACTAGATCCTGAATCTTGTTTAGCTAAGTACATCTAATCACTCATAAGAGCTTTTCCTGCCAGAGCAGGGACATTGGAAGCATCTGTTTGCTGGAAGGAAGGAAGTTGGGGAAGGCTGGAGATGCAGATCTGTCTCCCTTGACAGCCCCAAAATCCAAACTCTTGCAGAAGACTAAATTTCCCAATGTTTTCTATGTATTCAGCTCCCTGCAATGAAGTGGATTTAAGTCCTTCAGAGTTGGTGTTGGGATAAGCCTGTCCCTCTTTAAGGCTACACTTAATGGTTTGCTATTTATAGGAGTCCAGATGGAATCATTGGGGGATAGTCCCAACTCTTAGAATATGCTGTGGAAGTCAGTTGTACTAATAAATGTTTGGGATGCAAGTTGCAGGCAGCTCCAGGAAGTAATGCTGGTGGGAAGCGTAACCCACTACTGTAGCAGGGCAGAAAGAAAGGTGTCCTGGGATAGAGGAAAATTCATGTAACACGTCTTTACTGGACAGCCACTGGAATGAGATCTATCCACAGGCTTCAATATGGTTGGTGGATTTTTAAAATGAGGTTTTTAGGAAACAATTGTGATCAATGACTATATCTTGGGGTTTTGTTCCATTTATTTCTATTCTGCAGCAAGAGTCTAAACACTGGAATCCGCCTGTCATGGATAACTATCATCGTTCACTTCCCCAAGAACCTTTCTTTGCACAACCTCTATCTGCTGCCCAACTACAAACTGGGTCTATTCCCCCTGCTCTTCATTGGCCTCAATATTCTGCTGGTCCTTCATTGTCTCTCCCTCCTCAATCTGTCCCTCCTGCTTTTGCACAAAATTCCCATGCTCTCTTTGCACAACATGCCACTGGTCCCTTGATAAAAGGTACCCATGGTGCTTTTGGAGAACATATTCGTTCTACTGTTGTCTCTGCACAACATGCCCATTCAGTTTTTGTACATCCAGACCCTGCTGTCTTTACAAAACCTGACCCTGCAGTGCCTGCACAACCTGAGTCTGTTGTCACTGTACAATCTAACTCTGCTGCCTCTACACAATCTGACACTGCTGCTGCTGCTGTACAATCTAACCTGGCACCTTCTACACAATCTGAACTTGCTACAACTGCACAATCTAATACTACTGCCTCTACACGACCTGACACTGCTGCCTCTGCACAACATGCTTCTGTTGACTCAGCACAACGTATCCCTGCTCCCTTAGCAAAACATACCAATGTTTCTGTGGCACAACGTAACCATGCTGCCAGGACACAACGTACCCGTGTTGCCTCTAGACGACGTGTCCCTCCAACCTCTGCACAAAACGTCCATCCTGCCTCTGCACAACCTGTCCCCACTGCTGCCGTACAACCTAACCTGGCTGTCTCCACACAACCTAACACTGTGGCCTCCATACAACCTACCCCTGCTCCCTTAGCAAAACGTACCCATGATTCTGTGGCACAGCGTAACCGTGCTGGCAATAGACGACGTGTCCGTCCTACCTCTGCACAAAGTGTCCGTCCTGCCTCTGCAAACCCTGCCCCTGCTCCTGCTGTACAACCTAATGTGGCTGCCTCCACACAACCTGCCCCTTCTCCCTTAACACAACCTACCCCTGCTCCTTCAGCAAAACATACCCCTGCTGCCTTGGCACAACCTGACACTACTGACTCACCACAACCCACCCCTGCTCCCTCAGCAGAACCTACCCCTGCTCCCTTGGCAAAACATCCCCCTGTTGCTAGGGCACAACGTACCCGTGTTTCTGTGGCACAACGTACCCGTGCTGCCTCTAGGCGACGTGTCCCTCCTACCTCTGCACAAAGTGTCCGTCCTGCTTTTGCACAACCTGCCCCTGCTGCTGATGTACAACCTAATCTTGCAACCACCACACAACCTGACCCTGCTGCCTTGACACAACATGCTTTTGCTCCCTTGGAAAAACCTACTCCTGCTCCCATAGCAAAACATGCCCCTGCTGACTCTGCACAATCTGACACTGCTTCCTTGACACAATATGCCTCTGCCGACTTAATACAACCTACCCCTGCTCCCTTGGCAAAATCTACCCCTGCTCCCTTGGCAAAACATCCCCCTGCTGCCCTGGCAAAGCATGCCCCTGCTGCCAGGGCACAACGTACCCATGTTTCTGTGGCACAGCGTAACCGTGCTGCCAGGACACAACGTAACCGTGCTGCCACTAGACGACGTGCCCGTCCAACCTCTGCACAAAGTGTCCGTCCTGCCTCTGTGCAACCTGCCCCTGCTCCCTTAACACAACCTACCCCTGCTCCCTCAGCAAAACATACCCCTGCTGCCTCGGCACAACCTGACACTGCTGACTCACCACAACCTACACCTGCTTCCTCAGCAGAACCTACCCCTGCTCCCTTGGCAAAACATACCCCTGCTGCCTTGATACAACATGCCTTTGCTAACTCAGCACAAACTACTCCTGCTCCCTTTGCACAAGCTACCCCTGCTCCCTTGACAAAACATACTTCTGCTGTCTCTACACAATATGACACTGCTGCCTTGATACAACATGACTCAGCACAATCTTTCCCTGCTCCCTCAGCCCAACCTACACCTGCTCCTTCAGCAAAGCATACTCCTGCTGCCTCAGTACAACCTGACACTGCTGGCTCAGCACAACGTACCCCTGCTCCCTCGGCAAAGCATACCCCTGCTGCCTTGGCACAGCCTGACACTGCTTCCTCTGTTTCATCTGCTACTCAGTCTCCTAATACATCCACATTGCATGCCTCTGGAGAACCTGAATCTGCAGCTTCTGGAACAACCAGTAAATCTGGTAAAAAGAGTTCTGCCTCCAAAGTTCAGGTAAATATGTAAATGTGACAATTCTGGGCTTTATTGCTGCCTTAAGGGATGCAGTGGCTCAGTGGCTAAGATGCTGAGCTTGTCGATCGAAAGGTTGGCAGTTCAGCGGTTCGAAAGCACGTAAAAAATGCAAGTAGAAAAAATAGGGACCACCTTTGGTGGGAAGGTAACAGCATTCCGTGCGCCATTGGCATTTAGTCATGCCGGCCACATGACCACAGAGACGTCTTCGGACAGTCTTGGCTCTTCAGCTTTGAAATGGAGATGAGTACCGCCCCCTAGAGTTAGGAATGACTAGCACATATGTGCGAGGGGAACCTTTACCTTTTTATTCTTAGCCATCCGAAGCACAATTTAAGACTTCTACAACAAATTATTTCCGACAGAAAGATCTTTCAAGGTATTTTGGTATACAGGTAACTTCTGTTCATTTTTAGTCTCCTAAAGATTCAACTGAGCTAGTGAGCAATTTCACTTCTATTCCCAGTGAAATATCTTTGAGCTATATCGTTGGAAGGAATAATACTAGAAAAAGTTGAAAGGATCACGAACCTCAGTTCTAATTTACATGAAAGCTGGGACATGACCACTGAAGTAAAGACAAGGCTAGAAAAAGCTCAAACAGCATTCTTCAAAATGAAAATGATCTTCTGCAGTCATGACATAAGCCTAAGATTGAAAATCAGGCTTGTCAGATGTTACATCTTTTCTATCCTGCTCTATGGAGCAGAGAGTTGGTCTCTGATAGAAAGCCACTTGAAGAGACTAGAAGCATTTGAAATGTAGTTTTACAGGGACTGTAACATATAAACTGGGTTGACAAAATCAGAAATGAGGAGGTGATAAGCCACCTGGAAAGCCAAGGGAAGTCATCAAAACCATAAAAAAGCAAGTTAGAATATTTTGGACATGTGATGCGACACCCGGAAAAATATGGCATACTTCACGTAATCCTCCAGGGAAAAATTGAAGGCAAATGAGGTCCAGGCAGAAGAAGAACATCATGGCTTCAAAATCTAAGGGACCGGTTTGGACAAAACTCAGCAGCAATTTTTCGTGCGGCTGTTGATGCAAATAGGATTGCCAACATGATTGCCAACATCCAATGACAGATATGGCACAAGAAGAAGAAGTTGAACAATAGGTATATAGCACCTGTATAGGTAGCAAGCCAGGCTTCTCTGCAGAATATTCTAGGGATGAATCAATTCAGCAAGTATTGGAATATAATTACTATCATGTCCCCATTGAATCTATTGTAGCAATTAAACAATGCATTTTTTCCTAGTAACATCCACAATAGAATGAACACTCCAGTGATTTAGCATGTGCTGAATTGCTTTCCTATTTTAATTTTTCCAGGAAATCTGAATCAAAGCATCCCCTACAAAAATGTACGCCAGTGAGTATGGACGGTACTCTTTGCTTTAATAGAAATACATTGTGCAGATTTCTGCAAGGATTTATAATTATTTGCTTTCCGATATGTTGATGATTTGGGGTTGTTGTCACTGAGGGTAAGGGGATGTTGAAGGCAAAATTCTGAAATACCGTATTTTTTGGTGTATAAGATGCACTTCCCACCCTAAAAGAGGGCGAAAATTTGGGTGAGTCTTATAACCAAATGTAGCCCCACCCACCCACCAGCCCCCACCCTTTGGCCTCTGCCTCCCAGCAATTTGCCTCCTTGCAGCAAACAGCCCATTTCAGGTTCAGGGTCAGCCCAGCCTGATTAGTACAAGCAGCTGATTGTTGGTTGTATCGGCCTCCCGACTATCAGCTGTTTCAGGCTGTAGGAATTGCCATTGCCTATTGACGCCTCCACGTGCCCCATTTTTGGCCTCCACTGTTTGCTGTTTGCTGCAAGGAGGCAAATTGCTGGGAGGCAGAAGCAGAATTTTTTTTCTTGTGCTAATCAGGCTATGCTGAAAATGAAACTGAAACAGACTGCTGTTTGCTGCAAGGAGGCAAATTGCTGGGAGGCAGAGGCAGATTTTTTTTTCTTGTTTTCCTCCCCAAAAAAGGTAGTTGCATCTTATAGTCTGGAGCTTATATTCTGAAAAATACGGTATTACCTTCCTGCTATGAAGGATGGGCAAAAGTCAATTGCATATTCTCTTTTGGCCAAATATTTCATTTTCACACATTTTTTTCTAGATCTACCAACTACATTTTGTGAGAAGAAAATCCAGAGCCACCTCCCACAGTTTCTCTTTCCAGCTTCCATAATTTCTTCCTAACCAAGGTTCAAATGGGGAACTGCAAATGTCTTCAAAAGGCTCCAGCAATTATATTTCTTTCTGTTGATTTGGGGTCACTTTCTCTTAATTGTGAACACTGGTTATTCTGCAATAATAAGCATTTAGAAATAAATATGTGCAGCATTATCATAAGAGTGTTGTCTTTATCACTGTGCTCTGAATAGTATCACTTTTCCAATATTATATGATGTTCAGGCTTGGTTGATTCTGATAAATGAAAACATGATTACAAAACCCTCATCCAAATGTTTGTGTTTAATGCCACAAACACTTTCATCCCATATTTCTGTTACTTTCTGTAGAGTTGAAGTTCACACATCTTAAAAGGGTTAAGAAACATTGATTTATAGGCACGTGTATCATTTTAAAAAGAGAACCCAAGCAGAAAATAATGAAAATGCTCTCTTATAATTATTCCTGTTTTTGATGATTCCACAATTATCAAGGTACCTCCAATCTCTGAAAATCAGTTCATTTGGAAAGGAGCATATTTATTCCTCCACCAGCATTGCTTCCCTTTTGAAACTTTATTTATCCAAAGTTTGTTCTATGTATTTCCTACCACAGGTGCTATTTTTTGCATTCTGTCTCAAACAAAGCCAGTAAGAAGTAAAACGGTTTTTTTTAAAAAAAAGTCACTCAGAAATTCTGTCTCATAATCTACCCCCACTGCAAATTCCTCTTTAGATTTAACATTTTGAAGGAACATTGTCAGGGGTGGGATTGAAAAAATTCAGCAATCGGTTCGCTGCCCAGTTGCTGGATGGGCGTTGACTTGGGGGCGTGGCCTATTCATCTTCCTGCACCATGGCGGGGTGGTGGTGGTGGCTTTTCACCCTCCCAGACTCCGGAGGCTTTCCTGGAGCCTCCAGAAGGGAGAAAATGGCCTCCCCTGGGCACCACAGGCCCTCCAGAGGCTGGAAATGAGCTTGTTTCAGGTACTTCCGGTAGGCCCGTTTTTCACCCTCCCAGAGCCTGCCCGTGTGCCCTGCACTTACCTGGCATCCAAAATGGGCCATGTGGAGACTCCTGGGAAGGGCGGGATGAAGTGGGCGGGGTCAGCCAGTCCTTGGAACAACCGGTTCGGCGAACCAGATTAAAATTAACATCCGGTTCGCTCGAACCAGTCCAAACTGGCTGAATCCTACCCTTGAACATTGTTCTAAAATCATACATCAATTCATTTAAATTTAGCATGCTTTAACTCTCTCATGGGGTAATTTTCCTTCAAATGGTATCCTTTTTCATTCCTAAAAATAAAAAAAGAAGGTTAGAGTGGAATTTAGTTACCAAAATATAGAAGTAGGGTGCCTGAAAAACAGAGGATTTGGTAATTTCTAGAGAGCTAACTCAAGAAACCAGGGACAAAAGCCAGGATTACCACTGACTGAGAAACATAGTGAAATGGTGGATAGTCTTTGTGCCTTATGACCGTCAATCAACAATATATCATTCACGAGATCTAACACAGCCTAGCACTTGGTATGGAAGCAACGAAGGTCACTGAATAGATATTTGGATCCTGGGATGTATCTATTCTGACAAAGATCAGATTATGGAAGAAATTGTATTTTCTATAACACTCTCTGGAAGGAAAGGAAAAAAATGGACTTTGGAAAAGCAGAATAAAAGGTGTTTTGACACTTTGGTGTTTGCTTTGGTGTTAGAAAAACTGCCTGAGAAGACTGGACAGCCACCCCACCCCAAATGAACAGATTATCAAATAATAATAATAATAATAATAATAATAATAATAATAATAATAATAATAATAATAATAAAAATAAAAAAGATAAGCAGCAAGAAAAAATCATAAAGACTTACAAATTGAAGTTGAGCGACTGTGGAAAAAGAAATCGTGTGTTGTACCGATTGTAATTGGAGCCATCGGAGCAATACCCAAAGGGCTACCCCGCTATTTAGAAATTCTAAATTTGCCGGACTTGAACATTTTGACTCTACAAAAAACCACCTTACTCGGAATAGCTTACATCCTCCGACGATACCTTAACAGTTCCTAGGTCCTTGGTTAGGACTCGAGCTGCTGAGCTATTAACCAGCCTCAAAGGCTGTGAATCTCACTAAAGATTAACCAATAAATAATAATAATAATAATAATAATAATAATAATAATAATAATAATAATAATAATAATAAAAAATCAAACCAGAGTTCTCACTTGAGGCACAAATGACCAGGCTCAAATTCTTTTACTTGGGACACATGTTAAGACCTCTCTCAAATGCAAGGAATCATGAAAAGAAAGAGAAGACCAGCAGCAAGGGGGATGTATTGTGTTTTTCGGAATATAAGATGCACTCCCCCCCCAAAAAAGAGGCTGGAAATTTGGGTGCATCTTGTACTCCAAATGTAGCTTTTATGAAGCTTTTTTTCAGCCGTAATGAGGCACTAGTGATGGGAGAGATCTTCCGTGCTTTGCCTGCTCCCTCTGTCTCTAAACTGTGCTTTAGAAGCTTTTTTTCAGCCCTAACGAGGCACTAGTGAGTGAAGCAATCTCCGTGCTTTGCCTGCTTTTCTCATTGCTTCTCTCTCCAAAGATCAGTTGTGCTTTAGAAGCTGTTCTTTTATCCCCAAGCAGGGGATAAAAAGTGCTCAAAACCAGCAAAGTAATGTGCTGAAACTGACCAGACTAAGGACACTAGCCAGGTGAATACCTGGCAGGTAGATTTTTTTTCCCCTATTTTCCTTCCCAAAAACTAAGCTGCATCTTATACTCCGGTGCGTCTTATACTCTGAAAAATACGGTACTTGGTTCCAGGGTCATGAGTACCACATTGTAAGATTTCAAGGATCAAGTTGGGGACAATTGTCCTAGAGAAAGTCTGTTTATATGACTACTTAAGGTTGATTCTGTCTGTCTGTCAGTCAGTCAATCAGTCAATCAGAGCTCTAAATCTGGTTTTTATATATATCCCTTTTTAAGGTTTTGAATTTCCTCAAACTAGTTATCCATACTACAATTCAGCTATTTAAAACAGGTGCATGGAAATTGGCAAAAGAATCTCCCCCCCCCCCTCAAATCTCCCCACCCCCACCGAGGATGAAAATAAATTATGGGCAGTAATATAATATAATCAAAAGACGGGGCAAAGATAAGATAGTTGAAGGATAAGGCCAACCAGGAAAAAGGTTTTAAACCACAAATGGCCTTTCAGAAATTTGTCCACTTTGCTTGTCATCAGATAAACTAGAAAGTGACATATCATCAATATTTTCCTGCCAGTCAAGTTCATTATCAGAAAAATAATATAAAGGGTAGATGAATGTTTCAGTTGGCACTAGATGCTTCCATTGATAAATTAATCCTTCTGACCTTTCTCAACTGATAAGATAATTTGAAGGCATCATCAATTGCTGCTTTCAGTTTGGGCAGTCTGGCTTGTGCTGATATATCAATAAAGATCCATCCTCAACCCACCCATTCATACTTAGGACACTTTCTCAGCTGGGGAACGAAACCTCCAGCTGAGAAAAATGAAGCTCTCCTTCGTGGGTGCGGCCTTGTTGATTTCTGTGCTCAGCGCAGATGCTCAGGTGAGAGGAAACCTGCATTTTAGGAACGGTAACATGAGGGAGGGCAGAGAAACCCATGTGGCGCCAAACCCTGTGGGTTAATCCCAGCCTGAACAGGTCCCTCTTGGGTCCTACTGAAATCCTAGACATAACAAATATAGTTGTGTAATACTAAACGGAGAAGTTCTTGTTTGAACCCTATTCAAAAGGGAATTGCATGCAACTGCAAGTAGATCAATAGGTACCACTTTGGTGGGAAGGTAACAGCAATTCCGTGCACCTCGGTTTATAGTCATGCTGGCCACATGACCACAGAAGTGTTTTTGAACAACGCTGACTCCTTCAGCTAAGAAACAGAAGTGAGCACTAGCCCCCAGTGTTGGTCACGACTGGACAAGGGAAACCTTTATCTTTACGTTATTACTTTTGATAATGGTTTTAGTGTTAACAGGCTAAAACAAGATAACATAATGGGTGATTATTATTTTTTCCCTACAGCATTATATTCCAGATCTTCCACCTCCAGTAAGTAAAATACTTTCTTGTTTTAATGTATTTTGATATTTCTGATGGCTCTCGGAACTCAAGCTGGGAAATGAGATCACAAAATCACAAAGGGGCAGCCGGTTGGTCAAATCCTATCTGTCTTCCAGCATGACACAGCCAAGCTTGAGACCTTGCTCACCCAAAGGTCGATCGTGGTCAGAAATGATTCCCAAGGAAAATCATTAGTTTCAGAACTTTAGTTTCCCATACAAATGTACATTAAGGACAAGCATAGGGGGGTTCCTCTGAATTCCCTCACAGAAACTTCCTTTTCTTTGCTGGGAGAAAGAACAGGTTTATACATGTATTTCTGAATTTCTGTAGGGTACCCTGGAGCCCAGGGCTAACAGTGTTTCTAAAAATTATGATCCACAGTACCCTGAACCTGTAAATAGAGTGTGATCTTTTTACATGCATTGTTTGTGCACAAATAAAATAAAATAAAATAAAAATGGAGCTTTGATCACCCTATCCAAAATCTTGACATACCTTGAAGATTTATTTACTTACTTACTTACTTACTTACTTACTTACTTACTTACTTACTTACTTACTTTATATTGCAGCCTATTCGCACATGGCAGGGGTGGGTTTCATTTACCTTTGCTACCAGTTCGCTCGCACTCACTCGCTTCACTCGCGTGTGCGCCACTTCTGCACATGCACAGAAGCTTCTGTGCATGCGCAGAGCGTATTTGATGACGTCCAGGCAGGTGGATGGAGCCTCCCGCTGCCGCTGCTCCTGGTTTGCCCAAACCGGTGAGAACTGGTAGCAACCCACCACTAGCACATGGCGACTCAAGGTTGCTTACAGAATATAAAACCACATGTAAAACAATAAAAGTAATAAAAAAGAATCAAATAAATGAATAGAATAGAATATATTAAAACTCGGCTTCTAGAGTTTATTTATTTTTTAAAAAATATTTTTTATTGATTTTACAACAACAACACAACACAACATATAAAACATCAACACACCATATGTGTGTCTTTTTACATACCAGTTTCATTCCTCTTACTTTCTACTTTCTACATTCCCCATTTTTCTCATTCTTTATTGTCTTTATCTTTATCGTCCCTTTATTTCTAGTTTTATTCATTTACAATATTTTATACATTTATCACATCATTTATTCCCTTTTACCTTCCCTAGTCTTTAGCCAATCATACCACTTATTCCATACTTGATAATATTCTGTATCTTCTTTTTCTTTTATTTCTTTCATTAATTTATCCATCTCTGCACAGTCCAGAATTTTCCTAATTGTTTCTTCCTCTGATGGAGTCTTTTCACTTTTCCAGAACTGTGCGTAGATTATCCTTACCGCTGTGATTATATGCAAAATCAAATATCTAATTTCTTTACTGTAGGTTCTATTCAATATCCCCAGTAAAAGTATCGCTGGTTTCAAGTCCATATTATAGCCAATTATCTCTTCTATCCAACTTCTAATTTTAGCCCAATATTTTTTCACCTTAGGACATGTCCACCAGAGACGGTAATATGTTCCGGGGACATTTTTTTACATTTCCAACAATTTGGAGAGTTGTTAGAAGACATTTTAGCAAGCCGTACTGGTGTAAAGTGCCATCTGTAGAACATTTTTAACTGGTTTTCCTGGCTTCTAGAGTTTATTACATAATTGAAATATAAAAAAAGATCTGAGGTCCTAAATAGTATGCACATTCACCCATGTATAAACTTATATACAGGAAAGAGAATGCAAGTTTCAATTTTATACATTTAAATCTCTATTAAAACCATTTCACCACGAAAGAAATCCTTGTTTTTCTTTCTTTCTGCAGTGGCCCTTTAGAAACTTTGGCTCAGCAGTGAGTATAACTTTTGGCTGCTCATATTTATACCATTTGGGAGAGCCTCCCAAAATGACATGGCCCTGAAAATTGTGGAGTTCCATTCATGGGGAGGTGTTTCCAAACCTGAGGAAGGTATGCTGTGAAGACGAGCCCTGGGAGGATTACTGTGAAGCAGAAGAAGGATATGAGAAATCCTGAAGGAACTTCCAAATAACCAATAACCAATATAACCAAGTGTATTTAGGATAGGCCAGCAAGCCAAGTGATTGCGAAGTAAAAAATTACCTGATGATGATTTATAACAGGGGTGTCAAACTCAAGGCCTGGGGGGGGTCGGATCTGGCCCATGGGGTGCTTAGATCTGGCCTGTGGGGCCACCCTGAAAACAGCAAAGGACTGGCTTGCGGTGCCTCTGCCAGTGAAAATGGAGTTCACGAGGGCCACATCAGGCCCTCCCGAGCTCCATTTCCTCTGGCAGAGGCTTGCAGGAGGTCGTCGCAGTAGAAAACGGAGCTCGGGAGCCCATTTTCGCTGGCAGAGCATTTGGGCCACCACAAGCTCCCCTGATACGAGTGACATTGAGGTGGCCACACCCACTCTGCCCCCTAAGGTCAAACACAACACTGATGCCGCTCTCAATGAAATTGAGTTTGACACCCCTGATTTATAATCATTATGCTTATAATTTGAAACAGGAGAATGCACAGTAACTAATTGTAATTTTGAATATGTGACCGACACAAAGATGGTGCGAAAATGGAATACGTGGGTCACAGTTGCAAATCTACTTTTTTATTACCATCGTAACTCGCTGTCTATGGTGGTTGCTAAACGAGAACCAACTGTAGTATCTTTCCTTACGGATGTTGTAAGGATAAAATTAGCAAGTCTTCAGTGTATGCCGCTTACATCTTTCAGAGGCAATGCTGACTATAAACATTATTTATTAGTATATCTTGGATATCTGTAGGCCTTCCCCAAGAAGGACATGCAGGTCCTCCATATACATGGATTTAGTTGTGGGTCTCCTTAATATCCCCACCCAGACTCTGCCTTCTCTTTGTTGCAGAAAAGATTGGTTTGTAATATAACTTTGAATTTCTGTAGGAGAACCCTGGCTTCAGGGATGATGTTCTTTTCGGAAACTCCATTCCACAAACCCCTCTATCTGTGAGTATGATTTTCTGCAAATAAGTTTTCTTTGCTTTTGCTGAGGAATGGGCTCCTTGCTTATAGACTGACCTTCCCAAGTTTTGTTTCAATCATTTCCCACTCTGGAGGATTGTGAGATAAGACAGTTCCTAGGAAAACTGTGGAGAAGGTGATTGCTATCCACAGGGTCTAATCCAGGAGTGAAATGCTATCAGTTTGGGCCGGTTCGCCCGAACCGCTAGTAAAAAATGTAAAAAAAAAAAAAAAAGTTCTGATGATCAGCTGAGCAATGTGCGATCGTCGGAACTTTTTAAAAAACTTTTTTAGCATTTTTTAACTACCAGTTCTCTGGAACCGGTAGTTAAAAATGCTTTAAAAAGTAAAAAAAAAAAAAGTTCCGATGACCTCACGTCACTCAGCTGATCGTCGGAACTTTTTTTTTTACTTTTTAGGCATTTTTTTACCTTCAGTTCGGGCAAATAGGTAGTAAAAAATGCTTTAAAAAAGTAAAGGTAGGTAAATTGAGGACCCAGTTTGTGGGGGCAATAAGCTGACTTTGTATAAATATACAAAAGTATGAAGGCTATTGCTTAACGCATTGTAAGCCGCCCTGAGTCTCCGGAGAAGGGCGGCATATAAATCAAATTAAAAAAAAAAAAGATTCGAGAGTGTAAATATCGCGCACAGATCCCTGTATTTATGGATATGCTTGTATGAGAGAGAGAGAGAAAGTAAGTTTGTTTATTATACTATTTAAAAGTCTATTAAAGGTATTTTCACTAAGAAAGAAATCTTTGTTTCTCTTATTTCTGCAGGGGCTGTTTGGACGCTTTGGCTCAACAGTGAGTATAACTTTTAGCTACTTGTATTATACTCATTTGAGAGAACCCTCAAACTATCTGTCCCTGAAAATTGTAGGCTTCCATTTAGTCTTCTTCCCAAATCAGGGGTATGTGTATTATGAGGAGTAGCCTTTGTCTATATATGGATATTTATTAGTTTGTTTTTTTTATATATATGCCTGAAATATCATGCTTCAAAGCAACCCTTGGCTTATATTATATAACTGAAATATAAGAAAAATGTGAAGGCATAAATATTATCCACGCAAACACACAAATATCTTATCCACACAAATATCCACATCTATGGATATCCTTATATGAGAGATTATGCAAGGTTGCATTTATAACAATTAAAACTATTAAAAACATTAGAACTCTTTCTGCAACAAAAAAACATCCATATTTTCCTTCTTTTTGCAGTGGCCTTTTAGACGGTCTGGCTCAGAAGTGAGTAAAACCTTTGCTTGTTCATATTATACACAGTTCTGTGAACCCCTAAAACCAATGGGCATTGAAAATCCTAGGGTCCCATTCAGGGGTAGATGCTCTCCAAATCTGGCATAGGTGCACTCTAAATAAACTTGACAGTATATTTGACAGTAGAAATACACACACAAACACTTTTATGTATATGCTTGAATGAAAAAGAATGCAAGTTCAATTTTATACTTTAAATGCCTATTAAAACTGTTTTTCTGAGGGGGAAAAAAACACATTTTCCTTCTTTTTGCAGTGGCCTTTTAGACGGTCTGGCTCAGAAGTGAGTATAACTTTTGCCTAATCACACTCATTTGACCCTGAAAATTATAGGCTCCCATTTATTATTGTTCCCAAATCATGGGTAGGTGTCCTGTGAGCAGTAGCCTGTATACAGATAAGGATGTTTAATATTTTATTTATATGCCTCAAATCCCATGCTTAATAGCAAACCTTGGCTTATATAATTGAAATATAAGAAAAAATTGAAGGCATAAATATTATCCATGCAAACGCACAAATATCTTATCCACACAAATATTATCCACATCTATGGATATCCCTTTTTGAGAGATTATGCAAGGTTGCATTTATACCAATTAAAACTATTAAAAACATTAGAACTATATCCAAGAAAAAAAAATCCATATTTTTCTTCTTTCTGCAGTGGCCTTTTGGACGGTCTGGCTCAGAAGTGAGTAAAACCTTTACTTGCTCATATTATACACATTTCTGAGAACCCCCAAAACCAATGGGCATTGAAAATCCTAGGGTCCCATTGAGGGGTAGATGCTCCCAAATCTGCCATAGGTGCACTCTAAATAAACTTTGGGGATCTTTTTGTCTTTATTTTGGGTCTATATATGGCTATGTATTATGTTATTTATTCAATTTATATCCCACCTGTATCAGACTTAAAAGCAACTCTCAGCATGTATAGGTATTGTACAACTGAAATATTAGAAAGATTTGAGGGTGTCAATATAAACACCCACCCACGTCTATCTATATGCTTGAATGAGAGAGAATGCAAAAAACACATTTCCTTCTTGTTGCAGTGGCCTTTTAGACGGTCTGGCTCAGAAGTGAGTATAACTTTTGCCTACTCATATTATACTCATTTGAGAGACCCCCCTATCTGACACTCAAAATTGTAGGCTCCCATTTATTCTTGTTCCCAAATCAGGGTCAGTGTCTGTGAGGAGTAGCCTGTGTCTGTATAAGGATGTTTAATATTTTATTTATATGCCTCAAATCTCTTGCTTAATAGCAAACTTCAGCTTATATAATTTATTATATAACTGAAATATAAGAAAAAAATGAAGCCATAAATATTATCCACGTAAATGCACAAATATCTTATCCACACAAATATTATTTGTATCTATGGATATCCCTTTTTGAAAGATTATGCAAGGTTGCATTTATATGAATTAAAACTATTAAAAACATTAGAACTATTTCTCCAAGAAAAAAAAATCCATATTTTTCTTCTTTCTGCAGTGGCCTTTTAGACGCTTTGGCTCAGAAGTGAGTATAACTTTTGCCTGTCCATATTGTACTCAATTGAGAGAACCCCCAAACTAACCAGCTCTGAAAATCCTAGTGTGCCATTCAGGGGTAGATGCTCCCAAGTCTGGAGTAGACGTTTTGTGAAGTGTAGCCCTGGGGGATTGCATTGAAGTGGGGAGACATAAGCTGCTTGGGGAGAGAAAACCTTATTTATTGGATATTCTGTTTTAATTTGTCTTTTAACTTTTATATTTTCTGTTTCTTATTGTTGTGAGCTGTCCTGAGTCCTTTGGGAGAAGGGCGGCATACAAATATAATAATAATAATAATAATAATAATAATAATAATAATAATAATAATAATAATAATAATAATAATAATAATAATAATAAGAAGAAGAAGAAGAAGAAGAAGAAGAAGAAGAAGAAGAAGGAGGAGAAGAAGAAGAAGAAGAAGAAGAAGAAGAAGAAGAAGAAGAAGAAGAAGAAGAAGAAGAAGAAGAAGAAGAAGAAGAAGAAGAAGAAAAGAAAAGAAAAGAAAAAGTATGGTTCATTGACATTGTAATACCTGGTGATGCATGGATTGAAGATAAGCAGCAAGAAAAAAATCACAAAGTACCGGGACTTGCAAATTGAAGTTGAGCGACTGTGGAAAAAGAAATTGTGTGTTGTCCCGATTGTAATTGGAGCCCTTGGAGCAATACCCAAAGGGCTACCCCGCTATTCAGAAATTCTAAATTTGCCGGACTTGAACATTTTGACTCTACAAAAAACCACCTTACTCGGAACAGCTTACATCCTCCGACGATACCTTGGTTAGGACTCGAGCTGCTATTAACCAGCCTCAAAGGCTGTGAATCTCACTAAAGATTAAATAATAATAATAATAATAATAATAATAATAATAATAATAATAATGTCAGATATCTGGAATATCCCCACTTCATTCCTCGCTGCTGTAGGATCTTACAATCAAAAGGCATTTAAAAAATTCATAACAACAAAGTGAATACCCGTACAGGTAGCCCTCACTGATAGTCCTCATTTAGTGACTGTAACTGGGACCAGCAAGAAACTGATTGTTACATGAAAAATCACAAGAATGTGCTCACAATAATGCTCATTAAAAGACTGTATTGGGAACCTGTGAAAGATGCTGCCAAGGTTGTAAATGAGGGGCTTGGTTGCAACCTTTTTAAAGAATCACTGTTGTAATTCATTGCCTGTAGCAGTTGCTAAAGAAGGACTACCTATCACATCTTTCCTTACAGTTATTGTAAGGATAAGGTAAAGGTAAAGGTTCCCCTTGCACATATGTGCTAGTCATTCCTGACTCTAGGGGGCAGTGCTCATCTCCATTTCAAAGCTGAAGAGCCAGCACTGTCCGAAGACGTCTCCGTGGTCATGTAGCCGGCATGACAAAACACCAAGGACGCACGGAACACTGTTACCTTCCCACCAAAGGTGGTCCCTGTTTTTCTACTTGCATTTTTACGTGCTTTCGAACTGCTCAGTTGGCAGAAGCTGGGACAAGTAACGGGAGCTCACCCCGTTACGCAGTGCTAGGGATTCAAACCACTGAACTGCCGATCTTTTGATCGACAAGCTCAGCATCTTAGCCACTGAGCCACTGCATCCCTTTTTATTGTAGGGATAAAATTATGCAAATCCTTTGTATGTACCATTTACAGCTTTCAGAGAAAATTCAGACGGTAAAGGTTTATTTATTAATATTATCCGGGATGCTGTAAGTCTTACTTAGGGATTTTAAAGTCCTCCATGTGCTTGAATTCAACTGCAAGTCTCTTTAGATTCCCCTCCCAGACTCTTCCTTCTCTTTGTTGCAGTAAAAACTAGTTTCTAATTTGAATCTTGAATTTCTCTAGGAGAACCTGGGCTTCAGGGACGAAACTCATATTTTAAAATCTATTGTACGGCACTCTCTGCTTGTAAGTATGATTTTTTTCTTTGGTCTTCTTACTTCCTTTGCTTTTGGTGAGGAATCAGCTCCCTGATTACAGTCTGAAATTCCTACATTTTGTTTCAATTATTTCCCTTCTAGAAGGATTGTGGGTTAAAACACCTGATAGGAAAATTGTGGAGAGGTTGATCACTACCAGGAATATTCACAAATCAGTAAAAAAAAAAAAAAAAAGTCAAGATGGAGGCCATGAGATTTGCTTGCTTTTTTTCATGATTATTTTGTGCAACGCCCATAAAAATAGATGGAATTTGGATTCCTGTTGCCCCTATTTGACTTTTTGGACTATACCCTAAGGATACATTTGCTCATAATTCACTCCACTGGATCCAAAAGAGTTGGGGATCAAGCCAACAACTCAAAATAAAGTTTTCACTCATTTTGAGATCACTTGTCTATATATTATCCATGTTTTTCTAAAAATAAGACCCTGTCATATTTTTTTGAACCCTGAAATAAGCACTTGGCCTTATTGCTAAGTGCTCGAAAGCCCAATTGGGCTTATTATCAGGGGATCTCTTATTTTGGGGGAAACAGGGTATTTAGTTAGAAACTACATTCAGTTATTTGTTGTATTTATTTACTTACTCATGGTTTTCTGTCTTTCTAATATGGCATTATTATATCTAATATAACTGGACTATCAGAAAGATTTGTGAGTGAAATCACCTCACACTTAAAAGCCACTCTTGGATGGTATATCGCAATAGCAATAGCACTTAGACTTATATACTGCTTCGCAGTGCTTTACAGCCCTCTCTAAGCAGTTTAAGAGTCAGCATATTGCCCCCAACAATTTTATCCACCTCAGAAGGATGGAACTGAAATAACAGAAAGATTTTTTTGGGGGGGGGTGTTTATAAATAGTATGCACACCCACCCAATGGTGGGATTCAAGTAATTTAACAACCGGTTCTCTGCCCTAATGATTTCGTCCAACAACCATTTTGCCAAACTGCTCAGAAAGTTAACAACCGGTTCTCCTGAAGTGGTGCAAACTGGCTGAATCCCACCACTGCACCCACCCATATGTATGTAAATGCTTACATGAGAGAGAATACAAGCTTGCATTTTATATGTTTAAATGTCTATTAAAGATTAAGGAATCCATTTTTTTCTTCTTTTTCCAGAAGCTTTTGAGACCCTTTGGCTTAGCAGTGAGTATAACTTTTGCCTGCTCATATTATACCTATTTGAGAGAACCCCAAAAACTAACTAGCTCTGAAAATTGTTAAGTCAGATTCCCAAATCTGAAAGGTGAATTGTTAAGTGTAGCCCTGGGGGATTGCAGTGAAGGGGGGAGGGGAAGGGGGGAGAGACAGAAGGTCTTTGAGGACAGAGAGGGAAGGCAGATATCTGGGCTATCCCCACTTCATTCCTTGATGGTGCAGGATCTTATAACCAAGAGACTCTTTAAAAAAAATAATAATGTGAAAACTTGTACAGGTAGTCCTCATTTAGTGACCCCAATTCTGGCCAGCAAGCGAAGTTATTGCTAAGTAAAAAATTACCTGATGATGATTTATAACAGGGGTGTCAATCTCAAAGCCTGTGGGTTGGATATGGCCTTTGGGGTACTTAGATCTGGCCTGCGGGGCCATCCTGGGAACAGCAAAGGACCGGCCCATGGTGCCTCTGCAAGTGAAAATGGAGTTCACGAGGGCCACGTCAGGTCCTCCCGAGCGCTGTTTCCTCTGGCAGAGGCTTGCAGGAGGCCGTCACAGCTGAAAACGGAGCTTGGGAGCACTTAGAATCGGGTATGACTGGACAGGGGAAACTTTACCTTATTGTGTTTGGATTCAATTGTGGGTCTCTTTAAAACCCACTCCTAGACTCTTCCTTTTCTTTGTTGCAAAAAGAACTGGTTTGTAATATATCTTTGAATTTCTTTGTAGGGGAATCTTGGCTTCAGGGATGATTCTTATGTTGGAAAAACTATTCCACAGTTTCCCCCATCTGTAAGTATGGTCTTCTCCATGGCTTTCTTGCTTTATTTGCCTTGGTTGAGGAATAGGTTTTATGTTTATAGATTCCCAAATTTTGCTTCAATTACTTCCCACCTAGGAGGATTATTGGTTAAGGCAGTTGCTAGGAAAACTGTTGATTGCCTTCATGAGTATCCACAAGATGTTATTAAAAAACCCGTCCAAATTGAGACCATGACTGTGCGATCAAAGCTTTGCCTATTTTTTTACGTGCATTTTTGTGCATTAACATAGAAGATAGATGAAGATTTACTTTTGATTTCTTTCAAAGATAAAAAATTAACATATCTCACAGTCAAAAGCAAGTATGCACTTATTATACTGCGTTTCCCTGAAAATAAGACCCTGTCTTATATTTTTTTGAACCCTGAAATAAGTGCTTGGCCTTATTTTCGGGTAGGTCTTATTATTTTGGGGCGTGTGGAGCAAGATGGGGCTCCTCTTGCCATCTTACCTGATTTCCAGCTCTGTCTCCCTAGCCCTAACCAGACAAAATGGCGTGTACTGGCTGTGCATGTGTTTAAATATTTTCAGAGAGGTCTTATTTTCGGGGGAGGTCTTATTTTCGGGGAAACACGGTATAACTGAAATATCAGAAAGATTCGAGGGCTTAAATATCACTCACACAGAGGTACACACATAAACACACACTCACATCTATGTATATGCTTGAATGAGAGAGAATGCAAGTTAAAATTTTATACTTTAAATGCCTAGTAAAACTATTTCTCTAAGAAAAAAAATCCATATTTTCCCTCTTTTTGCAGTGGCCTTTTAGACGGTCTGGCTCAGAAGTGAGTATAACTTTTGCCGACTCGTATTATACTCATTTGAGAGAACACCCAAACTATCTGATCCTCAAAACTGTAGGCTCCCATTTATTCTTGTTCCCAAATCATGGATAGGTGTCCTGTGCGGAGTAACCTGTGTCTGTATAAGGATGTTTAATATTTTATTTATATGCCTCAGATCTTTTGCTTAATAGCAAACCTCGGCTTATGTAACTTGTGATAGAACTGAAATATAAGAAGAAATTGAAGGCATAAATATTATCCATGTAAATGCACAAATATCTTATCCACACAAATATTATCCACATCTATGGATATCCTTATATGAGAGATTATGCAAGGTTGCATTTATACCAATTAAAACTATTAAAAACATTAGAACTCTTTCTCCAAGAAAAAAAAAAATCCACATTTTTCTTCTTTCTGCAGTGGCCTTTTAGACGGTCTGGCTCAGAAGTGAGTAAAATCTTTGCTTGCTCATATTATATACATTTCTGTGAACCCCCAAAACCAACTAGTCCTAAAAATTCTAGGGTCCTATTCTGGGTAGTTGCTCCCAAATCTGGGGTAGGTGCACTCTAAAATGTAGCCTTTGAAGATCTTCTTGCCTTTACTTTTAAGTCTATATGTGGCTGTTATTAATATTTATTTAATTTATATCCTGCCTGTATCAGACTTAAAAGCCACTCTCGATGTTCATATTATATAACTGAAATATTAGAAAGATTTGAGGTGTAAATACACACACACCCATGTCTATGTATATGCTTAAATGAGAGAGAACACAAGTTTCAATTTTATACTTTAAATGCCTATTAAAACTATTTCTCTGAGGAAAAAAATGACATTTTCCTTCTTTTTGCAGTGGCCTTTTAGACGGTCTGGCTCAGAAGTGAGTATAACTTTTGCCTACTCATATTATACTCATTTGAGAAAACCCCCAAACTATCTGATCCTTAAAATTGTAGGCTCCCATTTATTCTTGTTCCCAAATTAAGGGTCGGTGTCTTGTGAGCAGTAGCCTGTGTCTGTATAAGGATGTTTAATATTTTATTTATATGCCTCAAATCTCTTGCTTAATAGCAAACTTCAGCTTATATAATTTATTATATAACTGAAATATAAGAAAAAATTGAAGGCATAAATATTATCCATGTAAACGCACAAATACCTTATCCACACAAATATTATCCACATCTATGGATATCCCTTTTTGAGAGATTATGCAAGGTTGCATTTACACCTATTAAAACTATTAAAAACCTTAGAACTATTTCTCCAAGAAAAAAAAAATCCCTATTTTCCTTCTTTCTACAGTGGCCTTTTAGACGGTCTGGCTCAGAAGTGAGTAAAACCTTTGCTTGTTCATATTATACACAGTTCTGTGAACCCCCAAAACCAATGGGCATTGAAAATCCTAAAGTCCCATTCAGGGGTACATGCTCCCAAGTCTGCCATAGGTGCACTCTAAATAAACTTTGGGGATCTTTTTGTCTTTATTTTGGGTCTATATATGGCTATGTATTATGTTATTTATTCAATTTATATCCCACCTGTATCAGACTTAAAAGCAACTCTCAGCATGTATAGGTATTGTACAACTGAAATATTAGAAAGATTTGAGGGTGTAAATATAAACACCCACCCACGTCTATGTATATGCTTAAATGAGAGATAATGCAAAAAACACATTTTCCTTCTTGTTGCAGTGGCCTTTTAGACGGTCTGGCTCAGAAGTGAGTATAACTTTTGCCTAATCACACTCATTTGAGAGACCCCCCCTATCTGACACTCAAAATTGTAGGCACCCATTTATTCTTGTTCCCAAATTAAGGGTCGGTGTCTTGTGAGCAGTAGCCTGTGTCTGTATAAGGATGTTTAATATTTTATTTATATGCCTCAAATCTCTTGCTTAATAGCAAACCTCGGCTTATATAACTTATTATATAACTGAAATATAAGAAAAAATTGAAGCCATAAATATTATCCAGGCAAACGCACAAATATCTTATCCACACAAATATTATCCGTCTCTATGGATATCCCCTTTTGAGAGATTATGCAATGTTGCATTTATACCAATTAAAACTATTAAAAACCTTAGAACTATTTCTCCAAGAATAAAATCCATATTTTTCTTTTGTGCAGTGGCCTTTTAGACGCTTTGGCTCAGAAGTGAGTATAACTTTTGCCAGCTCGAATTGTACTCATTTGAGAGAACCCCCAAAACTAACCAGCCTTGAAAATCCTAGGGTGCCATTCAGGGGTAGACGTTCCCAAATCTGGGGTAGGCGTTCTGTGAAGTGTAGCCCTGGGGGATTGCATTTTAGCGGGGAGACATAAGCTGCTTGGGGAGAGAAAAGGAAGTCAGATATCTGGAATATCCCCACTTCATTCTTTGCTGCTGTAGGATCTTACAATCAAAAGACACTTAAAAAATTCATAGCAACGAAGTGAATACCCGTACAGGTAGCCCTCATTGATAGTCCTCATTTAGTGACTGTAACTGGGACCAGCAAGAAACCGATTGTTACATGAAAAATCACATGAATATGCTCACAACAATGCTCATTAACTGACTGTAATGGGAACCTGTGAAAGATGCTTCCAAAGTTGTAAATGAGGGCCTTGGTTGCAAACTTTTTTTAAATCACTGTTGTTCATTGTTTAGCAGTTGCTAAACAAGGACTACCTGTCGCATCTTTCCTTACAGTTATTGTAAAGATAAAATTATGCAAATCCTCTGTATGTACCATTCATATCTTTCCTTAGGAAGGATTTTAATGTCTTCCATGTGTTTGGATTCAATTGCTAGAACTAGTTTGTAATTTGAATTTTGAATTTCTCTAGGAGAACCTGGGCTTCAGGGACGATGCTTATATGTTAAAATCTATTCTACGGCACTCTTTACTTGTAAGTATGATCTTCTCCTTGGTCTTCTTACTTCCTTTGCCTTTGGGGAGGAATCAGCTCCCTGATTACAGTCTGAAATTCCTAAATTCTGCTTCAATTACTTCCCTCCTGGAATGATTGTTGATAGGAAAATTGTGGAGAGGTTGATCGCTACCAGGAATATTCACAAGTCAGTAAAAAAAAAAAAAAAAAAAGTCAAGATGGAGGCCATGAGATTTGCCTGCTTTTTTTCATAATTATTTTGTGCAACACCCATAAAAATGGAAGGAGCTTTGATTCCTGTTGCCCCTATTTGACTTTTTGGACTATACCCTAAGGATATATTTGCTCATAATTCAATCCACTGGATCCAAAACAGTTGGGGATAAGGCCAACAACACAAAAGAATATTTTTATTCATTTTGAGGTCATTTGTCTATATACTATTTACTTAGAAACTACATTCAGTTATTTATTTACTTATATTTATTTACTTACTTGTTGTCTTTCTGTCTTTCTAATATGGAATTATTATATCTAATATAACTGGACTATCAGAAAGATTTGTGAGTGAAATCACCTCACACTTAAAAGCCACTCTTGGATGGTATATCGCAATAGCAATAGCACTTAGACTTATATACCGCTTCACAGTGCTTTGCAGTCCTCTCTAAGCGGTTTACAGAGTCAGCATATTGCTCCCAACTATCTGGGTCCTCGTTTAACCAACCCCAGAAAGATGGAACTGAAATAATAGAAAGATTTGGGGGAGGGAGGTTATAAATATTATGTACACCCACCCATATGCAGTGGTGGGATTCAAGTAATTTAACAGCCGGTTCTCTGCCCTAATGATTTCCTCCAACAACCAGTTTGCCAAACTGTTCAGAAAATTAACAACCGGTTCTCCCGAAGTGGTGCGAACTGGCTGAATCCCACCACTGCCCATATGTATGTATATGCTTACATGAGAGAGAATACAAGCTTGCATTTTACACATTTAAATGTCTATTAAAGATTAAGGAATCCGTGTTTTTCTTCTTTTTCCAGAAGCTTTTGAGACCCCTCGGCTTAGCAGTGAGTATAAACTGCTCATATTATACCCATTTGAGAGAACCCCAAAAGCTAACTAGCTCTGAAAATTGTTGAATCAAATCTGATAGGTGCATTGTGAAGTGTAGCTCTGGGGAATTGCAATGAACGGGCGGGGAGCGGGGAGAGACAGAGGGTCTTTGAGGACAGAGAGGGAAGGCAGATATCTGGGCTATCCCCATTTCATTCCTTGATGGTGCAGGATCTTATAATCAGGACACTCTTTTTAAAAAAATTAAAATAATGTGAAAACTTGTACAGGTAGTCCTCATTTAGTGACCCCAATTCTGGCCAGCAAGGAAAGTGATTGCTAAGTAAAAAATTACCTGAGGATGATTTATAACAGGGGTATCAAACTCAAGGCTTGGGGGCTGGATCTGGCCCATGGGGTACTTAGATCTGGCCTGCGGGGCTGCCCTGTAAACAGCAAAGGAACAGCCTGCAGTGCCCCTGCCAGTGAAAATGGAGCTCGTGAGAGCCGCGTCAGGCCCTCCCTAGCTCCGTTTCCTCTGGCGGAGACTTGCAGGAGGCCGTCCCAGCTGAAAACAGAGCTGAGGAGTCCGTTGTCACTGGCACGGTGCTGGGGCCATCACAGGCTCCACTGACATGAGTGACATCGAGGTAGCCACACGCACCCTGGCCACTCCCACCCTGGCTCTCCTAGGTCAAACACAACACTGATGCAGCCCCTCAATGAAATTGAGTTTGACGCCCCTGATTTATAATCATTATGCTTATAATTCGAAACAGGAGAATGCATAATAACTAACTGTAACTTTGAATACATGACCAACACAAAGATGATGTGAAAATGGAATATGTGGGTCACAGTTGCAAATCTACTTTTTTATTACAGTTGTAACTTGCTCTCTATGGTGGTTGCTAAACGAGAACCAGCTGTAGCATTTTTCCTTACAGATGTTGTAAGGATAAAAATAGCAAGTCTGCCGTGTATGCCGAGGCAATGCTGAATATAAACATTATTTATTAGTATATCTTGGATATCTGTAGGCCTTCCCCAAGAAGGACATGCAGATCCTCCATATGCATGGATTTAGTTGTGGGTCTCCTTAAAATCCCCAACCAGACTTTTTCTCCCAGACTTTGTTGCAAAAAGGTCTGGTTTGTAATATATGTTCCCATTTCTATAGGGGAATCCTGGCTACGGGGGTGATGCTTCTTTTAGAAATTCTATTCCACAGCGCCTTCCATTTGTAAGTATGAGCTTCTCCATCACCTTCTCATTTTCTTGGTTGAGGAACAGACTCTCCGCTTACAGTCTGAAGTTCCCAAATTCTGATTCAATCACTTCCCACTTAGGAGGACTGTGGTTTAAGACAGCTGATAGAAAAACAGTTAAGAGATTGGTCACTATCTGTTCTGACCCAGCCTTAGCAGAAGCAAGAAACAGACTCCTTGTCCCCAAAAAACCCTTTTTATTTACCTTTTGTGAATTAATGGAATTCACTCATCGAAAAGTCCAGGCAAGAGGATTGCAAGGGGTTAACAGACCTTATCGGTTCCTTGCGATAATTGCAAGGTCATGAGTTCCCTGCTGAAAGGCTGCAAATTAAGTTCTGGCAAGCAATCTTTGTTGCACGAAACACAATGAGCAAAATCTACAGAAATACTAACTATTGTCTCCTACAACAACAATTCCCCTTTCCTTCTATGTATTCCCCAGCCAGGGAGGGGCCATTCAGCATCCATGTTTGCTTTGCTTCCTGAGTCGACTCCTTGTCCTCAGTTGTTCTCCTCTCCTAACAGTTCTGTGTATACGTGCATCTGGAACAGGCCCCAGCTGTTCTTCCTCCTCACTCATCTCAGCCTCCGAAGGCAGCTGCCTCTCCGGTGGCTGGGAAATGTCAGACACCCTGGCTCTATCTCTGTGTCCGATGCTCAGCATCCATCAGAGCCTTCCCCAGACTCCAAAACTGGCCCAAGTTCTTCCCCAACCTCCTCGTCGTCCAAGTCTGCCACCAGCTCTGCTGGCAGCTGGTGGGCTACAACACTATCAAGAGTATGCAGTAGGCATAATCAAAAGCTCCAAATTCAGGTCATGACAGTGTACTCAAAGTTTTGCCTTCTTTTTATTTGAATTTTTTGCGTAACACCTATACAAAATGGACAGAGCTTTGATCACCATTGCTACAATCTTGGTGTAAGCGTTCCGAGTAATGCACTCATTGAAAGCATAACTGTGAGGCTGGTATATTTCTCAAATGTTATGTTTATTGGATACATCATATCAGCACAGCCGGTGAAAACCAACTCTGAAAGTTTCCGTGGTTTTCACCTAATTAAAAGAGTCAAACTCCCCCCTCCCAAGTGTCACCGGTCACATTGTCCAATGAAGATGGAAGGCAGGCTCTTCTCCTTCAACGGCCATCTGTTTCAATGACCTTGGTTCCCACACAAAAGCATTTTGTTTTGACTGGAGGCTGGCTAACTACTCCCCCCCCTCCCTTCCCTCTCTCTGGCTTTGTGGCAACTATGAGGCAGCACAAGATGGCTTCAGCCAGATTTGCCTCAGAGTTGACACTTGGGTTTTTTTGGACCATACCCCGAGGATACCTTTGCTCACAATTCACTCCACTGGATCTGAAACAATTGGGGTTTAGATTGACAAAATACTGTTTTTATCCATTTTTGAAGTCACCTCTCCATATTTATTTACTTCAAAATTATATTTAGTTATTTGGTGCATTTATTTACTTACTCATTGATGAAGGAAATATAGTGTGCTGTTCTCTTGACACAAAGCAACCTCTTTTGAGAATGTTTTGCTCTTTTACAGCAGCCTTGTTTAGCATTCAAAAATTCCTGTGTTTACTCTCCGTCTTTCTAATATAGAATTATTATATCTAATGTAACTTAAATATCAGAAGATTTGCAGGCATGAATATAAGGCACACGGACACAAATACATACATACGCATACGCCCAGGTGTATGCTTATATGAGAGAGAACACAATTTGTACTTATACCATTTGGATGTCTGTTAATGCTATTATCAAGAAAAAAAATCCATGTTTTTCTTCATTCTGCAGTGGTTTCCTAGATCCTTTGGCTCAGCAGTGAGTATATAACCTTTGCCTCCTCATATTATACCCATTTGAGAGAAACCCCCTCCCTCCCTCAAAGAACTATCTGGCCCTGAAGATCGTAGAGTCCCATTTAGTCCTGTTCCCAAATCTGGGGTAGGTGTACTATGAATAGTAGCCCAGAGGGATCTTTATCCTTTTCCATTCAGGTCTATATATGGTTATTTATTATTTTATTTATTCAATGTATATGCTGCCCATCTCACACTTAAAAGCAACTTGGCTTATCTAGTATATTATATAGCTGAAATATATAAAAAAAGATCTGATGGTCTAAATATTATGCACACACACCTGTGTGTAGGTACAGTAGTGGCCAAAATTGTGGAAACCTTTTGGGAGAAGTGTATTTTTGAAGTTTGATGGCTAATAACACCACTTTTTTTTTTTTTTTGAGTTTCAAGATAATCCTATTCCACTCCTGGAATGGCCTGGGAATAGCCCAGACCTTCACCCAATTGAAAATCTATGGAGCTGACTAAAGAAACTTGTTAGTCAGAAGCGACCCAACAATAAAACCCAGTTAATAGAAGTCATCATTCAATCTTGGTTTCACATTAGAACAGCTGCAGAACTCAAAGACTTGGTTCACTCCATGGGAAGACATTGTAAGGCCATAATTCGTGCTAAAGGTTACCCAACGAAGTATTAACTGACATGGTGATCATTTTTGTATATCTTGTTTTTTCTATGGTGATAATTTTTTTATATCTCATTTTTCCTATGGATTTCACTTTACTTCTTTATACTGTAACTGCTATTCTAACAGCAAATCCTTCATAAAAGTTATTCCATTACATTCTTGATTAAATTATCTTTGGTGGTGTTGTTACCTAGTTTTAGAAAATACATTTTTCCCAAAAGGTTTCCACAATTTTGGCCACTACTGTATAGGGAAAGAGAATGCAGATTTGGACTTTATGCATTTAAGTGTCTATTAAAACTATTTCACCAAGAAAGCCATTTTGTTCTTTTTTGCAGTGGCCTTTTAGACATTTTGGCTCAGGAGTGAGTACTGTATTACCTTTGCCTATTCCTATTATACCCAATTAAAGAGAACCCCCCAAAAGTGCCTAGCTCTGAAAATTGTAGAGTCCTATACAGGGTTAGGTGCTCCCAAATCTGAAGTAGGTGCATTGTGAAGCACAGCCTTGTGGATTGGAGTGGGGGTCCTGGGGGGGCAGGGGTGGGATTCTACTGGTTTGGATCAGTTTGGGCAAACTGGCAGTTCCAATGATAAGCTGGGAGTGAACCGCTTCGCTCCGACGATCAGCTGGGCCTACCTACCTGCCCCTGCACTTTACTTACCTATATCTTCACAGCTGATTAGCATGGTAGAGTGGATTGCTGTGCCTCAGCTGTTTTAATTCCCTAGTGCTATTCCGGAAGGTGATTTTTCATTCATTTTCATTCATGCGTAGGATCCCACCACTGGGGGGGAGTGGGGCAGGGATGAAATGCTCCCAGTTCGGACCGAATCACCCGATCCAGTAGTGATGGCGGTGGATGGTTTGGAGAACTGGTAGCAAAAATCCCTGTCCCCCCTCCATGCCCAGCTGAGCCCGCACAATCATCAGAGTTTTTTTTTTTTTTTTTTTACTTTTAATGCATTTTTTTCTTTGGCCCAAAAAATGTTTTAAAAGTAAAAAAAAAAAAAAAAAAGCCTCTGATGATTGTGCGGCTCAGCTGGGATCATCAGAGGCTTTTAAAAGCATTTTTTCTACAACCTCTTCGGCTGAAGCGGTTGTAAAAAAAATTGCTTTTAAAAGTCTCTGACGATCCCAGCTGAGTTGCCTGATCGTCAGAGGCTTTTAAAAGCATTTTTTTACAACCTCTTCGGCTGAAGGGGTTGTAGAAAAAATGGCTTTTAAAAGTAAAAAAAAAAAAAGTTGACCACGCCCACCCAGTCACTTCACCAAGCCACGCCCACAGAACCAATAGTAACAAATTTTACAGTTCACCACTGGGGTGGGGTGTAGAAAGAGACTACCGCAAGACAGGGAAGGAAGGCAGAGAGATATGCCAACTCTGCATTAGCGAAAATGGAAGCGTTTTTTCCAATGCAAGTAGCAACATTGGCTCGGAGGAGGCATTGTTTTCTGCAGCATCTATTTAAGAGGGTAAGAATGTTACTCTCCATCAGTTCCTACTCTTGTGGTCCTGATGTTGTGCCAAGGCGCAATTGACCTCTCATCTTTAGCTGCCCTTTCCCTGATGAGAGGATTATACGATGCTCTTTGCAGGCTTTTCACTTTTTTTGGAAAAATTGGCAGAAAGAAAAGTATTTGTCCCCCTCACTCTATGTCTTTTGTGTGTGCGTGTGGTGTTTGTCCATAGGATCGCTTTAGATCTGAAAAGCTGGTGAGTATCTTATCTTGATTTTTTTTTACCCGTTTTAGATGCTTGTTCCCTTTGCAATCTAATTGTTCTGGCACCTCAGATGTGCCCCTGTTGCAAAAAATTAGCAAGCTTTCTTTTGGAGTGGAAGAAGCTAAACCCAGGTTGCTCAACACTGTCAAACTATTCACTAAGGCTGCATTACTATTACTATTAATCTTCTCATCATTCCTATCACCCATCTCCTCCCACTTATGACTGTAACTTTGTTGCTTGTATCCTTACGATTTATATTGTTTCCTGGTATGATTTGATTGCTTGTTTGTACCCTATGACTATCATTAAGTGTTGTACCTTATGATTCTTGATGAATGTATCTTTTCTTTTTATGTACACTGAGAGCACATGCACCAAAGACAAATTCCTTGTGTGTCCAATCACACTTGGCCAATAAAGAATTCTATCTATCTATCTATCTATCTATCTATCTATCTATCTATCTATCTATCTATCATCTATCTATCTATCTATCTATCTATCTATCTATCTATCTATCTATCTATCTATCATCTATCCATCCATCCATCCATCTATCATCTATCATCTATCATCTATCATCTATCATCTTATCTATCTATCCATCCATCCATCCATCCATCCATCCATCCATCTATTATCTATCTATCTATCTATCTATCTATCTATCTATCTATCTATCTATCCTATCTATCATCCATCCATTATCTATCTATCTATCTATCTATCTATCTATCTATCTATCATCCATCCATCCATCATCCATCCATCCATCCATCCATCCATCCATCCATCCATCCATCTTTCCTGGGCCAGTATCATATCCATCTGTGAGGTTAATGTGCCTCTTTGCTTCTTCCTTTATTGCTGGGCCCTATTCCCAAAGATGTAGAGCACATTAGAATGTGTAAAACAAAAGAATATATATAAAAAAACCACTTGAGCTTGGCTTCTCCAGACCAATCAATATATCCCATGTTGTTCCAAGGCTGTGCATCCAGGTGATCTGTTCATGTATCAGCACCTGAACATGAATGTTGGATGAAAAAAAAAAAGGAGTGGGTAGGGAATGGATGGGTTTCCCATTTGAAATAATGGTCATTATATGACAGTGTACCCTAGGAATTGTCCAGATTTTCATCCAAAGAAAAGGTTGTAACTGTTCACAGATGCAAAACATTACTGTGTTTGTTGCTAGACATGCTCTCTACCCTCTTGCAGCCTGCAAAGGACTAAATTTTAAAAAAAACTGGTACAAACTTAGCTCAGAGTCCAGATTTTATCTGTTTTTTCTATTATATGCAGGATTTCCCTGCAAGAGAGGTGATGGTTTAGGGTTCTGGTAGAACATTTAAGGATAACTTTCAAAGCAGAAAGAGAAGATAAGTATTGAATAGTGTAACTGTGTAGCTAGTGTTGTATTTTTAAAAATTATATAAACAACCAGATTCAAATAATTCAAATGGAAAATTAAAAGTGTTATTCTAAGCATACAATACTACATTGCTACATTGTTTTAAAAAGTGTAAGGAAAAATAGACAAGATATGCAGTAAAAATAAAATTTAAAAAATAAAATTTAAAGGTATCACAGACGAAGCAAATAACATACTAAGAGGATCCAAGAATAAAGATCCTTTCTAAATATTATGTCTTTATTTATTTATTTATTTTTTGCTAGATCCATATGTTGGATGTAAGTATCTGGAAATATTTATTATCGTTTACTGCTTTCAATACGTGACAAAAAACTTGGTGCAGAGAGCTCAACTTCAGATCTCCAATTAGTGTCAAACGTCTTCTTTCCTCTGGCAGCCAAATCTGCCTGAGAAAATGACTTTCATTTGTGCATTAAACAGCTTTGCTTTTTGAAAGAGTTAAAGTAATTGAAGTAATTAGTTAAAGTACCATGTTTCCCTGAAAATAACCCATCCTCTGAAAATAAGCCCTCCCCTGAAAATAAGCCCTCCCCTGAAAAATAAGCCCTCCCCGAAAATAAACTTTAAATGTATTTTAAACTGGGAAATCACTTGCCTAATACTGCCAAAGAAACTTTGTAGTTCTTCCCTCGAAGTCAAATGGGAGTGTCACTTGACCCAAGAACAGCTTTAATTTTTATTAATTCCTGGAGGGAAAAGGGAGTCTTAGGTAATAGAAATAATGGCTTAATTTCTCCAATTTGAAGGACAGGTGAAGGAAAAGGCAATGCAAAGTAACGCTTGATGCTTTTCCTTCTTTCTATTAGAAATTAATTGATATCTGCAAAGCAATCTTCGACCAGGAGAGGCGTTGGGTAAGCTTCATGGGGAAAAAAATGTGAATATATCCCGAGGGTTGGTTTGGCTAGAGGAAAATTGAAAAAGAATTAGCATGGGATGGGTTCTACTTACCTTTACTACCGGTTCGCAACGGGATCGTGCAGATCGCCGATGACGCTATCCGGGGTGGTAGGCAGGGCCTCCTCCCTGTTTTACTACCGGTTCTTGTGAACCGGTCCAAACCGGGGGCAACCCACCACTAATTAGCAGCTATATTAATAAACTTGGAAACTGTGTGGCAGTTTTTTATTTCAGTAAGGAAAAAAAAAAAGACATACAGTTCTGGGAACAGCCAACATCTGCGCACGTTTCGCCGTGCTCTCAAAACATTTTTATTTCAGCAGGCTGGCCTGGCGTAACTCTCCTCTTTTAAATTTTTAATTTGTTTGATTTTATAAATTGGGTGTTTTAATCTGTGTTTCAGCCAAAATATTTAATAATTTTAAGGGACTTTTAATATTTGTATTATCTGTATTTTATCTTGGCTGTTCACCGCCCTGAGTCCTCCGGGAGTAGGGCGGTATAGAAATTTGATTAATTAATAAATAAATAAATAAACATAGCTAGGCTGTTGAAAGGAACTTTAGAGTAGAGGTGTCAAACTTGATTTCATTGAGGGCTGCATCAGGGTTGTGTTTAACCTCGGAGGGGGGGGCTGGGGGTGTGTGTGGCCAAGGTGGGTGTATCCAGCTTGATCTCACTCATGTTGGGGCAGTTGTGGTGGCCCAAGCACTCTGCTGGCGAAAATGGGCTCCCGAGCTTCTTTTCCAGCTGCGACAGCCTCCTGCAACCCTCTGCCAATGAAAATGGAGCTTAGGTGGACTGTCCATGGCCCTTGTGAACTCCATTTTTTGCTGGCAGAGGCACCACAGGTCAGTCCTTCGCTGTTTCCAGGGCAGCCCCATGGGGCAGATCTAAGACCCCTGCTTTAGAGTATTCATTCAGGAATATCCAGGGACAAATGGTAGACATGACACCATACTTCCCTTGTACTTCCTGTCCCCAAAACACTTTTGTATCTACTAACAGGAAAGAAGTTGGCACTGCCATTGTTAAGATAAAGAAGCCTTGTTAAAGTGGTGAACCAGGAAAAATTGGCTTTTAAATTGGCTTTTAAATGTTTTTTAGATAAATTGGATGTTTTTAATTTTTTGAGCCTAAATTATTTAATCTGTTTTTAATAGTTTTTAACTTTTGTATGTCTCTGTATTTTATTTTGGCTGTTCACCGCCCTGAGTCCTTCGGGAGTAGGGCGGTATACAAATATGATAAATAAATAAATAAATAAATAAATAAATAAATAAATAAATAAGCAGAGAATGGGCAGAAAACCTCACCCTCCTGCTTCCTGGAAGTGCTGTTTCACTTTGTCAACGCTCTCTTAGCCAAAAAGAACAGTTATTCAATTTTTTTATTGTCCTAAGAAGACCTCAGATACCAGAGTTATATCTCCCCTCTTCCCTTATCCATTTTGTTTCACTTCTTCATCAGATCCCAGCTACGGTTCTCCATAGGTTCTAGAACCACAGGCCTTCTGGATCTTGAACCTTGTTTAACCAAACACAGCTAATCACTCATAACACTGCAGTGGGATTTTCTGTCAGTGCAGAAAAGTTGAAAGCATCTACTTGCTGGAGGGTGACAGATTTGTTGGGGAAGGCTGGCGGTCCATAACTGTTTCCCCCAAACCAAACTCTTGCAGAGGATTTAATTTCTCAGCTTCTTCTATGCAGTCAGCTCTCTGCCCTGTGCATAAGTCCCTCCAGGTTAGCTCCGTGATAAGTTTGTCACCTTTTAAGATTACACTTAGCTGTTTATTGTTTACAGGAGCCAAGAAGGAATCCTATGAAAATAAACCCAACTTTTAAAATATCCTGCGGAAATCCTATGAACCTGGTAAATATCTCGGATGCAATTTTCAGGCAGCTCCAGGATGTAATCCTGGGGGTTTGGAGGGGTTCGGGAGAACCTCTAGCTAAGATTCTGTGCAGTTCGGAGAACCCCCAAAGCCCACTCCTGGCTGACCCCACCCATCCCATCACACCCTCCCCTCCCAGGAGTCCTCACGTAGCCTGTTTTGGATGCAGGTAAGCGCAGGACGCACGTGGAGGCTCAGAGAGGGCGAAAAACGGGCCTACTGGAAGTTTGGGAAGGCTGGAAATGGGCCTGTTTCTGGCCACCAGAGGGCCTCTGGAGCCTGGGGAAGCCATTTTCACCCTCTTGGAGGCTTCAGGAAAGCCTCCTGAGCCCAGGAAGGGCAAAAACAACCCCCCTGCCATGGTGCAGGAGGCCGACTAAGCCACACACACCATTGCCATGCCCACCCAACAACTGGGCAGAGAACCCCTTGCTAAAAATTTTGAAGCCCATCCCTGGATGTAATGCTCCTGGGAACTGTAATCCACCACAGTAGGAGGGCAGAAATAGTCACATCCTGGGACAGAGTCACTCATCTCTGCAGGACAGCCTCTGGGAGGAGATACATCCATGGGCTTCAGTATGGTTGATGGGGTTTTTTAAAAAATGATGATTGTTGGAAACAATGGAGATTACTGACTCTATTTTGGGTTTTTCTGTTCTGATTGTTTTGTTCTGCAGCATTGTCAACCTTACCTACCCACCAATGGCTATCTTGGTTTTCCACAAGGCTTCCCATTTTATCCTCAAGGCTATCGTGAAGTAGGCATTGCTCAACAATCTTTACCTGTTGCCACACAACCATTTGTGCCTGTTATCCCTCAATACTATCCACCCCCTTCTATTTACCCTGGAATAGCTTCGTCTGACTATCCCAGCACAGTGAGTATGAAAGTGTGACAAGTCCTCTTGAAGGCTTTTTAAATTTGGAGGTGGGAGAAGTTTCACTTGTCCCTAAATATCAAAAATACCCTTTCCCTACACTCCTAGAGGCCAAAGATGACAAAAAGTGAATTGGTTTTTTTTTTTTTTTTTCTGAATTGTTATAATTGTATCCTGACTATAGTGATCAAGATGTTGGTCTACATCTTGCTTAAGTTTTAAATGGTTCCTGTTACATGGACATAACTCTCCAATTTACCCTATTTTGAATTTTGTGTAAGCAAATAATGAACAATATAACTAAAAGAAATTTTACTGCTCTAGAACACTAATTGCCAGTCTTGGCAATTTTAAGATGTATGGACTTCAACTCCCAGAATTCCCCAGCTACAAAGCCAGATGGGGAATTCTGGGAACTGAGATCCACATATCTTAACAGTTGCCAAGGTGAGAAACATTGCTCTGGGAAAGATCCTAGATATGAAAGTTAAAGTGATTTGGATTATCCAGCTCCCCTCTTCTCTTCTTTATTGGACCACAGCTCCATAGGATCTAGAACCACAGTCATACTTGATCCCGGATCTTGTTATCCAAGCACAGTTAATAATTCACAAGAGCTTTTCCTGCCAAAGCAGGGAGGTTGGAAGCATCTGCTGTCTGGAAGGAAGTTGGGGAAGGCTGGAGATGCAGATCTGTCTCCCTTGACAGGCCCAAAATCCAAACTTTTTCAGAATACTAAATTTCCCAACATTTTATATGCACTCAGCTTCTTGCAATTAAATGGATTTTAACTCTTTCAGGGTTAGTGTTGTGATAAGCCTGTCCCTCTTTAAGGCCACATTTAAGTGATTTGTTGTTTACAGGAGCCCAGGTGAAATCATTTGGGGATAGTCCCAACTCTTAGAATATGCTGTGGAAGTCAGTTGTATTAATAAATGTTTGGGATGCAAGTTCCAGGCAGCTCCAGGAAGTAACGCTGGTGGGAACTGTAATCTACCACTGTAGCAGGGCAGAAAGTGAGGTGTCCTGGGATAGAAGAAAATTCATGTAACACGTCTTTGCTGGACAGCTACTGGAAAGAGATCTATCCACAGGTTCAATATGGTTGGTGGGTTTCTTTTAGAAAAGCGTAGAATACTTTATTTGGCCAAGTGTCCATAGATGCACAAGTGTCTAGTCCGTTTTAATGAGGATTTTAGGAAACTAAGGACATCAGTGACTATATTTCTCTTCCATTTTCTTCTCTTCTGCAGCAACAATCTAACTATTGGAATCCACCGAATCCTGTCATGAATAGCTACCCTACTTTGGTCCCCCCAGAACCTCTCCCTGCACAACCTTTGCCTCCTGCCCAACCACAAACTGGATATGTTCCCTCTGTTCTTTATAGTCCTCAGAATTCCGCTGGTGCTGCATTGTCTCCCCCTCCACAATATGTCCCTCCTCCCTTGTCACAACGGGCCCCTTCTGCCTTTGCATACCGTGCCCGTCCTGCCCCTCCACCACGTTCCCTTCCTGGCCCTCCACCACGTTCCCTTCCTGCCCCTCCACCACGTTCCTTTCCTGCCCCTCCACCACGTTCCCTTCCTGCCCCTCCACCACGTTCCTTTCCTGCCCCTCCGCCACGTTCCTTTCCTGCCCCTCCACCACGTTCCTTTCCTGCCCCTCCGCCACGTGCCCGTCCTGCCTTTACACGTGTCTATCCTGCCTTGACACGTGTCCCTGCTGCCTCGGTTTCATCTGTTGTTCAGTCTCCTGATACACCTGCGTTGCCTCCCTCTGAAGATCCTGAATCTGATGCCTCTGAGAGACCTGGCATCTTTGACAAAAAGACTTCTGCTTTGAAAGGACCGGTAAGTATTAAAATGTGCCGAATATTGAAAGGCTATTTCTTTGTAGTTTTGGAGTTCTTTGGAGTTTGGTGTTTTTAAAATAATTCACTGCTCTGGGGTTTCATATTTTGATACACATTTTATATGTTGTTGCTGTGAATTTTTATATACTAATGCTGCATTTCGTTATGCCATGCCAAGTAATAATAACCTCTTAAGTAATTTGAAAATGGCTTGGGAACGGGATTTCTCATATTTGAATCAGAAATACAAACATTAAAATACCCAGCAGCCAAGAAAGATGTTACAATCAATAGCTGTTAACACAAACAGGGGACAGGACCCTTCACACATTCAAGTCCCCAGGACTGGCCATCTGTCAGAAAGATTGCAAGGAAGAGGAACATATATATGACATCTGTGGTGGCCTTGGCCCTGAATTTTTTTTCTATTTGGTCATAGGGCTTCCCTGAGAGTGATCAAATTATAAATCAAAGGATTAATATGTGTATTTACTTTGCTGAATATATTTCTAGAGTCTCGTGCAAACATTCATTGCAGAGGATTAGTGGTATTTTATCGACTGATATTAGAATCTCCATCTCTTGGCATTGAAAAGGTGCTATGATATTGACCTTCTGGTTAAAGCCTTTTCTAGAGATAGGATAGGATAGGATAGGATAGGATAGGATAGGATAGGATAGGATAGTAGAATAGAATAGAATAGAATAGAATAGAATAGAATAGAATAGAATAGAATAGAATAGAATAGAATAGAATAGAATAGAATAGAATAGAATAGAATTCTTTATTGGCCAAGTGTGATTGGAAACACAAGGAATTTGTCTTTGGTGCATATCCTCTCAGTGTACATAAAAAGAAAAGATACATTCATCGAGAATCATAAGATACAACACTTAATGATAATCATAGGGTACAAATACACAATCAAATCATACTAGGAAACAATCAATATAAATCGTAAGGATACAAGCAACAAAGTTACAGTCATGCAGTCATAAGTGGGAGGAGATGGGTGATAGGAACGATGAGAAGATTAATAGTAGTAGTAATGCAGACTTAGTGAATAGTTTGACAGTGTTGAGGGAATTATTCATTTAGCAGAGTGATGGCATTCGGGGAAAAACTGTTCTTGTGTCTAGTTGTTCTGGTGTGCAGTGCTCTATAGCATCATTTTGAGGGTAGAAGTTGAAACAGTTTATGTTCAGGATGCAAGGGGTCTGTAGATATTTTCACAGCCCTCTTTTTGACTCGCTTTTAGTATACAGCCCCTCAGTGGAAGGCAGGTTGGCACTATATGGCAGATCTCTTTCTTTCTGACAATTCTTCATCAAGGAGACAAAGGAAGGGAACAAAGTGTGAGAGAGAGACTAGTAGGATATTTGCAGATACAAAATTCGGGAGCTTTCTAGGAACAGGCGAACAATAATAATTTGTCTTCTTTCTGGAAAATGTGAAATTTCACAACTAGCCCATAAAGTTTAAGTGAATGTTTCCAACCAGCACTATTTGCATCACCGGTCACACTATGGAATCAAAAATTATATATACCCTATCCTCTCCTTCCTTTCTTTCTGTGGTATTCTGACCCTCCATCCTGTAGTACCAAAGTGAAGAATGTACAAATAGGTGTAGAGGCATTCTCTAAAAGGGAAGCAGTTCCTGTCTCTTCTCCTTCAAAACTGAGACAAAAAATATTCCAGGATAATTCCAGATGAATATTTATTTACCAACATTTTAACTACTTTGATCCTGGAATAATTACTTCCTTTTCTTATTCTGATTCCTCAAGCAAAGCCAGCGTATGAATCCTGGGTAAATATTCCTTTTGTACAAATAGCCCTAAATAACAAATACAAATAGCCCTAAGCAACTTAGAACTAAGGAGAACTTTTCTGACATTGAGAGCAATGAATCAGTGGAACAACTTGCCTCCAGAAGTTGTAAATGCTGCATCACTGGAAGTTTTTAAGAAGAGATTGGACAACCATTTGTCTGAAGTGGTGTAGGGTTTCCTGCCTAAGCAGGGAACCACGGTCCCTTCCAACTCTGTTATTATATATTATACTATACATTTTTGTTTTATCCAAAAGCTTGTTCTGTCCAAAACTAACACCCTTTCCAACTTTTTACATTAACTTGAATACTGATGAGAATTTTTTAATTTCTTTGCAGACATCTCAGAAATCTCCACGGAACAAACCCCAGGTGAGGATTCCTTTTGTCCACTTTTTGCATGTTTTATTACTTTAATATGTGAGTAGCATCTCATTTGTCCTTTCCAGTCTTCAAGTGCCAATCTAAAAGCTCCGTTGAAGAGTTTGTCTTTTAGAAACATTTTTAATACAGACTGTTAAAAATCCAAGTAATTGATGGGCTTTATTCTTAGCCTTCTCAGGCACAATGTAAAACTTCATAAGAAACTATTTCTGATAAAAGGATCTTTTAGGGTATGTTGATAACATCTCTTCTTCTTCTTCTTTTAGACTACTGAAGAAATAACTGAGCTAGTGAGTAATTTTACTTTTTATTCCCAGGGAAATATCTTTGTGTTAGTCTAATTCAAAGCCCGTGGGCTAGATCCCGGCCTGCGAGGTACTTAGATCTGGCCCACAGGGCCACCCTGGAAACAGTGATGGTCCAGCCCGTGATGCCACAGTCAGAGAAAACAGAGCTCAGGAGGGTCGCAAGTGGCCCACCTGAGCTCCTCCTCCTCCTCCTCCTCCTCCTCCTCCTCCTCCTCCTCCTCCTTCTTCTTCGTTTTCAAGTTTTATTTGTTTAATTTATATAACATTCCATTTTCATCAAACAGTGCAGTGGTGGGTTTCAATTTTTTTTACTACCGGTTCTGTGGGTGTGGCTTGGTGGGCGTGGCATGGCTTGGTGGGCATGGCTTGGTGGGAGTGGCAGGGGAAGGATACTGTAAAATCTCCATTCCCACCCCACTCCAGGGGAAGGTTACTGCAAAATCCCCATTTCCTCCCGATCATCTGGGACTTGGGAGGCAGAGAATGGATGGGGGCGGGGCCAGTCAGGATTTTTACTACCGATTCTCCGAACTACTCAAAATTTCCGCTACCAGTTCTCCAGAACTGGCCAGAACCTGCTGAAACCCACCTCTGAAACAGTGTGTGTTCTGAATACAATTATGTTCATCACCATCATATCAATAGTATAACAATATAGTAATGTAGTAACATTAATACTTAACATTTAACATCCTCATCTTTAATAACTCTTCTCTATCCCATTTCCTCCATTATTATCTCCTCCTTTCTAAATTCTGTTTCTGTTATCTAGCCATTGATAGAATATGTCCCATATCAAAAAATATTCAGTTTCTTCTTTATCCTTAATAGCAAGTGTTAATCTATTCATTTCTGCACAATCTAATATTTTTTTAAATTACGTTCCCCTCAGACGGGATGTCATCATTTTTTCCATTGTTGCGCAAATACAATTCTAGTTGCAGTTAGTATATGCAGGATCAAATTTGCAGTCTTTTTATCATATTTTTCTGGTAGAATGCCCAATAAAAATGTCTCTGGTTTCAGGTCTGTATGTTGTTTTATCATTTTTTCCAGCCATGTGTGTATTTTTGTCCAATATTTTCTAACTTTTGGGCATGTCCACCACATATGGTAATATGAACCAGATGCTTGATTACATTTCCAATATTTATCTAATTTTTCCCTTTTTCCCTTTTAAAACACAAATTTTAATTTGTTTTTAATTTATTGGGGTGTTTTTAAATCTTTCTTCGGCCAAATTGTTTAATTCGGTTTTATTCTGTTTTTAAATTTTGTATTTATGTGTTTTTATCTTGTGGCTGTTCACCGCCCTAAGTCCTTCGGGAGTAGGGCGGTATACAAATCAAATAAACTAACTAACTAAATTAAAACTAAACTAACTATCCAATCTGTCTTTAAACATTTTTGTCAATCTTGCCTGTGCAAAATGCCATCTATAAAACATTTTATACAAATTTTCCTTATATTTCCAAGCTCCGTCTTCTCTGGCAGAGGGTTGCAGGAGGCCATCACAGCTAAAAATGGAGCTCGTGAGCCTGTTTTTGCTGGCAGAGCACCCAGACCACCACAGGAGTCCCCGACATGAGTGACATCAAAATGGCCATGCCCACCCTGGCCATGGCCACCCCAGCCCCCCGAGTTCAAACACAACCCTGATGCAGCCATCAATGAAATTGAGTTTGACATGCTTGGTCTAGTTGAACAAAAGGGATCCATATGCAGGTAGAGAGCCAGTTTGGTGCAGTGGTTAGAGCACTAGGCTAGGAACCTGGAGACTCTCTTAGTGCCACCTTAGTCATTTAGCCAGTTGGTATTCATAGAATGGACACTCCTGTTAATTAGCATACAGTGAATTGCTTTTCTGTTTTGATTTTTCCAGGATATCTAAATCAAAGCATCTGCTATGAAAATTTATGATGGTGAGTATGGCAGATACACTTTGCCATAGTTTTACATGGTGTAGATTTCTCCCAGGATTTTACAAAGACTTGCTTTCATTGAGGGTAAGTGGAGGTTGAAGCTAAAATTCTGAACTATTAGCTGCCTTTTATTATAGATTGGTAAAAGTGATCTGCATACAATTTTCATGCTAAATATTTCACTTTCAATCTTGTTTTTTTTTTTTTTTTAGATCCACCAATTGCATTTGCTGACAATAAAATCCAGAGCCTCCTTCCACACTTTCTCTTTCCAGCTTCTATAACTTCTTCCTAATCAAGGATCAAAGGAGAACTGCAACTTTCTTCTGAGAAGGACTCCATCAATCATATTTCTTTCTGTTGATTTTGGGGGCATTCTCTCTTAATTGTGAACACTGGTTGGTCTACAAGAATAAATATTTACAAATAAATGTATGCAGCATTATCACACAGTGTTGTCTTCATCATTGTGCTCTGAAAATTATCATTTTTCCCAATATGACAGTGAAGTTCAGGCCACGTCAAGGCTTGGCTAATTCTGATAAATGAAAGCATGACTACAAGCCCATCATTTAATGTCAGAGTGCGCACAGTGTAACTATGTGAGACAACCCAGGAGCAAATACAGTAAACACAGGATTGTAATAATAAATAGTGGTTTATCTCTACAAAGGATATACATACACTTATGAGGCAAAGGTCAAACAATCAATCAGCAATTTACAGCACGGAAGCACACACACGCGCACGCACACACACACACAGAGATATGCCCCAACAGGGCCTCTCTTATAATACAGACTCTTAAAGTGGTAACAGTCAAATAACCCTGCTGACTCATTACCATTGCATCATCATTACAGCATTACAGTATTACAGCATTACAGCAGCTAGTCAGCTAGTAAATCATCATTACCCTGACATTTAAGCAAATTTTGAGCTTAATGCCTCAACCATACATATCCCTTCCCATTTACCCCATCTTTCTGAGCATCTCAGTCTCATAAGTTTAATAGATTTTTAACAATGTTCCCAACTGTGAGAGGACACGCTTCCTGCAAAATGGCCAGCAGCTGAACTGCTGGTGCCCTATCCCTTTAAGACTTCTCCTTAGCCAGCCTAGCAAAATGTGGGTGTCAAGGCTCTTACTAACGAACCCAAGCAAATCAGAACTCTGAGACTTGGATCCTTCTCAAAGGTCTTCTTTACTGAGTATATCATATTGGCACAGCTTCAATGGAAAACCAATTCTAAATCTTTCCCGCAGTTTCGGTATAATTAAACTAGGAAATAACCCCATCCTCAGGGGTCACAGGTCACGTTGGCCAATTGGGTTAATCGGGGGGTTCTTCAGGCACTCCTTCCCCAACCTTATCTGTTGCCAGTAGAGATGACCTTGGTTCTCAGGAGAACGCTCTTTGCTGCATCTAGTAATGCATTCCAAACTCCTTTCCCCCGTCCTCATGTGTGGCAACTGATGAACAGAAAGGTGGCTGCAGCTAGGTTCAGTTCGAAGTTGACAGTGGGCAGATGTGTGTGGCAGTTTTGGTGTTTGTGCGGTGTTGGTGTAACAATGAGAGGGGAAGTTGTTGGTGATGGCGTTCGGGAAAAACCTGTTCTTGTGTCTAGTTGTTCTGGGGGTGCAGTGCTCTATAGCGTCATTTTGAGGGTAGGAGTTAAAACAATGTATGTCCAGGATGTCCCAATAGAACAAGTTCAGACTCATCCATTTTTAAAGATGTATACTGTTGTGGCCTATTGGCCACTAGCCCCACCAGCAGCCAAATCAGAGGAGGAGGAGGTGTGTGAGTCAGGGTCAGCGTTAAGGCAACCTGAGAGCTCCGAGGGGAAAGAGGGAATGGAGCTGTCAGAGAGAGAGAGGGGGGGAGGGAGGGAGGGAGGGAGGGAGAGAGGGAGGGAGAGAGAGAGAGATGGAGCCTGGGTCATCTGACACCCTCAGATGGAGAGTCAGGTCTGGAGGTGGCTGATGAGGAAGAGGAGGGACAGCTGGGTCCAGTGCCTGACGCGTGGATGCACAAAAGGCAGAGGAGAGGAGAGCAGTGGAAATCTATGGGCCAATCCTTGGGACGAAAGAGCCTCTGCTGCTAGCAAAGCTCTGGGAATAAAAGGCAGGGGGTGGAGATGAATAGATGTGGCAGACCCTATTCATCTTCTGGACGGATGGGCTTGTTAGCCTGTGTTGAGAGAGAAACTTTTTGCCGGCACTCCTAATAAAGGGATCTTTGAGTTCACTTCAGAGAGTTTGTCGTGTTTGGGGAGCTGAGTCAGAACTCATACTGGGAACTGATAAGAACACACCTGCAGTCAGAGTGAAAATAGGTATCCATTCTTTATATAGACATCTAATAACTAAAATTTTCATATACTGGCAGAAGATCCACTCAATGGACCCTGATAGACTTCCCAAAATATGCTTAGCGGAAGAAATAAGTATGGCCCACCCAACTCCTACCTAGGTCAACCAACTTTTTCAAAGGAATTTTACAACATGGGTTTTCTATCCAGCCCCTACTATCATTGGCCTCCCCCATAAAGGATTCTTTTTTTTTTTTTTAAAGAGAGAGTCCTGGATATTAATGCTCAAACTTATATGGAATTATTAACTAAAAATAGATCCCTACATTGGTTGACTAAGAATAAAACTATTTTTCAATCTGAAAAATAGTTTTGAAACTGAAACTGACACAATCTTTAAGAAGGGCCTATAATATTTAAGTAATTGGACTCCAGGACCAAATAGTTGTCCATACTACTGACCAAATAGTTCCACCAGTAGTTGTCCATACTACTGTTTATATCAGGAGTCAGCAAACTTAAACATTCAAAGAGCTACAAAGGTCCTAACCGGAAGCCCCCATTCAATTCTGGAGCTGACCGGAAGTCTGGTTCCCCCATCATAATCTCGTTCTAGTGTGACGTCCTTTTTCCGCTGACCGGAAGTCTGGTTCCCCCACCATGGGGTCTCCTCCTAGCGCGGCATCCTTTTTCCTCTACTTGTCCTAACTGAAAGCCCTATCAATTGTGGAGCTGACCAACAACAGGGAGCCGCAGCAGAGGGATGAAAGAGCCACATGCGGCTCCAGAGCTGCGGGTTGCTGACCCCTGGTTTAGATATTTAAAAGAGGTCCTTGAAAGCTGGCAAGAGCCTCTTAAAACACCTCTCCCCCAATGATAATGAAAAGAAATCAAAGGAATTAAAATAAGGAAATCAAAAGATGGGACTGAGATAAAATAATTGTATGATAAAAACAAAAATCAGACAAAGAGATAACCAAAGAAATAAAGAGCCTTGGTAGTACAGGGGTTTAAGGCACCCTGTTATTAAGCTGGTTATTAAGACCAGCTGCTTGCAATTACTGCAAGTTCAAATCTCATCAGGCTCAAGGTTGACTCAGCCTTCCATCCTTTCTAAGGTTGGTAAATTGAGGATCCAGTTTGTGGGGGCAATAAGCTGACTTTGTATAAATATACAAAAGGATGAAGGCTATTGCTGAGCACATTGTAAGCCGCCCTGAGTCTTCGGAGAAGGGCGGCATATAAATCAAATTAAAAAAAAAAAAAGTTCTTAACTACAAATGGCCTTTCAGGAACTCTCTACTTTGTTTATCATCAGATAAATTGGAACGTGATGTTTCATCAATATTTTCTTGCAGGTCAAGTTCGTTCTCAGCAAAATTAGATACAGCATGAAAGAATGTTTCAGTTGGCACCAGATATTTCCTTGTGGAGAACGAATCCTTCTGACCTTTCCCAACTGATAAGATAATTTGAAGGCATCATCAATTGCTGCTTTCAGTTTGGCCAGTCTGGCTTGTGCTGATATATATATCAATAAAGGTCCATCCTTAACCTGCATATTCATATATACTTTTTCATCCAGGGAAGGAAACCTCAAGCTGAGAAAAATGAAGCTGTCCTTCGTGAGTGCTGCTTTGTTGATTTCTGTGCTCAGCACAGATGCCCAGGTGAGAGGAAACCTGAATTTTAGAAAAAAATAATAATAACAGAAGAGAAGAGAAGAAAATAACAGAGTAGGAAGGGACCTTGGAGGTCTTCTATTCCAACCCCCTGCTTAGACATGAAACCCTAAACCACTTCAGATAAATGGTTATCCAACATCTTCTTAAAAACTTGTTGCAAGATTCACAACTTCTGGAGGCAAGTTGTTCCACTGATTAATTGTTCTAATTGTCAGGCAATTTCTCCTTAGTTCTAAGTTGCTTCTCTCCTTGATTAGTTTCCACCTGTTGCTTCTTGTCCTGCCTTCTGGTGCTTTGGAGAATAGCTTGACTCCCTCTTCTTTGTGGCAGCCCCTGAGATATTGGAACACTGCTATCATATCTCCCCTAGTCCTTCTTTTCATCAAACTAGACATACCCAATTCCTGCAAACGTTCTTCGTATGTTTTAGCCTCTAGTCCCCTAATCATCTTTGTTGCTCTTCTCTGCACTCTTTCTAGAGTCTCCGCATCTTTTTGTGTGTGTGTGTGTGGGATGAGGGATGATAGAGAAACCCGCTGTCGTTCAAACTCTGTGGGTTAATCCCAGACAAAACAGATTTTGGGTCCTACTGAAATCTTAGACATAACAGATAGAGTTGTATGAACCCTATTCAAATACATATATTTTTTTCTAAATCGAATCGGACCGTCCTATTGCATGCCACAATTTTTCAAAGCGATTTGAATGACTCGATTAATATTGATGGTTTGAATCAAATCAACGATTCTATTCCGACTGGGCTCTGTTTTGCACAACTTTATAACAAGCTTTGTAGCTTGTAACGATATTAAAGTTACACATTGCATTAAAATGTGTTTTGCCTGGTTTGGGCTTCCTATCGCATGGAAAGCCAGGCCATGATAAGAGCAATAGTTTTCATTGACTTTGGTTATGTTTAGTCCATTTAAATATTTTGCTCCCTTCCGTCAATAGATTTATTGCTTCTCCTACATTTTATAATGTAGATTTCAGTGTGACCGTGTGTGTCAGGCTAAAATGCAAGTGTGTAAAGTGTGATTATTGTTTTTCACTACAGCATTATGGCCCAGATCATCCACCTCCAGTAAGTAAAAAAGTTTCTTGTTTTAATATATTTTGATATTTCTGAATGCTGTCGGAACTCATCTGGCCGAGCTGGAAAACAAGATTTTCCATTTTCAGCCTTCCATCCTTTCGAGGTAGGTAAAATGAGGACCCGGATTGTGGGGGCAATAAGCTGACTTTGTATAAAATAGAACACCGCTTAGGGGGAGCCAAAAATCCCTACTAAGCAGGTATATACAAAAGTATGAAGGCTATTGCTTAACGCATTGTAAGCCGCCCTGAGTCTCCGGAGAAGGGCGGCATATAAATCGAACCAATAAATAAATAAAAATCACACCGTCGCAAAGGGGCAGGCGGTTTGTCAAATTCTGACTTTGTTCCAATGTGGCACAACCAAGACTCATTTCTTCCCCACCCAAAGGCTCTTCATGGTCAGAACTGAGCCCCAGAGAAATAACATTAGTTTTATTCATTAGGAATTTCTCACCCATCATTTTAGGAGAAACACAGCTCCCAGAACCTTCCCTTCCCATGCAAATGACATTAAGGGCAGCCATATGTGGGCCTCCTCTGAATCCACTCTGCGGCCCATCCTTCTCTTGGTTGGAGAAATACCAGGTTTATCAATGTATTTTTGAATTTCTGTAGATGTACTCTGAGCCCCAGGCCAAGACCTACAGTGTTTCCTCAAATTATGATCCACAGGTCCCTGTTCCCGTAAGTACAGTATGATCTTTTCTTTTCCCTTTCGTTCTTTCTTTCTTCATCTTTTTTTTTGTTTTTGAAGATGCTTCCAGTTCCACTGATTTCCCAACAACCCATTTCAAATGCTTCTCACCTGAGAGAGTTGTGGGGTTAAGACAACGGCTGGGAAAACTAGTCACAATTCAACCCCATTGTATCCCAAAGAGCTGTTGATCAAATGGATGACACAATAACGTTTTTTCATCTAGGTCAAAGTCCCTATTTTATTTATAGAGAAATGTATTAAGTTATTTGAGGGCATTTATTTATTTAGAAAATATACCATATTTTGAAATTAAGCAATATAGTGAAGGAATCCATAGTTGTTTGCTATTTCAACCAGATACCCAAGAGAGCCTAGATGTACACGAAGCTTGGTTTCAGAAAGATTTAAACAACTTGTTAACGCAACTGTGCATTTATGTTCTTCTTTAGTTATTTGATTAAATGCATTTTTATTGTTAAAATGTATTGTTTTTAGGTCTGGGAGCCTTGTTTAATCTTTTAAAGATTGCCCGCTTGTGGAGTTGTATATTTATTTGTGTTAAGTTAAAAAGTCCCTGCCTTTTATATGGGGGTGTGAAATATTAGAAAGTTTAGGGGGAATAAATGTTATGTATATGCATAGATATAGGATTGTAGAATGCAGATTTGTGGGTATCTTTTTTATCATTTTAAATAATTTATGCGTATGTATGTATGTATGTACTGTATGTACGTACAGTAGTGGCCAAAATTGTGGAAACCTTTTGGGAAAAGCGTATTTTCTAAAACTAGCTAACAACAATATTTTTGGGGGGAGTAGTACCATAAAATTATATATCAATGGAAAGATAATTTAATCAAAAATGTAATGCAATAACTTTTAAGAAGGATTTGCTATTAGAATAGCAGTTACAATATAAAGAAGAAAAGTGAAACACATAGAAAAACAAGATATATAAAAATTATCACCGTGTCAGTTAATACTTAGTTGAGTAATCTTTTGCATGAATTACGGCCTTACAACATTTTCCCATGGAGTAAACCAAGTCTTTTAGTTCTGCAGCTGTTATAATGTGAAACCAAGATTGAATGATTGCTTCTATTAACTGGGTTTTATTGCTGGGTCGCTTCTGACTAATAATAATAATAATAACTTTATTGTCATTGTATGTGTATACATAGTATACCCATACAACAAAATTCACTTAACACCTAAAGACCAGGTCCAACACACATAACAATCCCCAAACACACTCCCATCCACCACAAATTCCCCACCCCCTAAACCATCCAAACATCCACACAACAGACCAAGTAATGCTGTCCAACAGCTCACTGATGGTGGCCCTTTAGTTCATTGTTGAGTGCAATTATAGCTCTGGGATAAAAAACTATTCAGAAAACGTGTGGTCCGAGTTTTAATTGTTCTGTATCTTCACCTCATTCTGAAAAGCAATCCTGGGCTTATATTTTATTATATAACTGATTTGAGGGTGAAAGCCACTGGGAGGAGATACATCTACGGCAGGGGTGGGTTCTAATTTTTTTTACTACTGGTTCTGTGGGCGTGGCTTATTTTGTGGGTGTGGCTTAGAGGTCATGTGACTAGGTGGGCGTGGCTAGCTGGTCATGTGACCGGGTGGCCATGGCTATGTGTATAGGGACTACTCAGAGGGCTGAAAAGAGTCATTTCTGGAAGGTCCTCGCACTTACGACCCGACTCATTTGTTTGCTTTTAACACTGATCAGCTGTAGAGTGGCCCTTTGAAGCCCCGCGGCAAGAGTTTAAACAGGTTTTTTCCCTCTAGCCATCAGTTGGGACTCGGGAGGCAGCAATAGATTGGGAGTGGGGCCAAATAAAGGGTAAGAATAACGTGGGAGGGCGGGGGGGGGGAGAACCGGTTCGGTGACGTCATATCATCACCGCTACTGGCTCAGCCGAACCGGACCGAACCGGGAGGAACCCACCACTGATCTACGGGCTTCAATATGGCTGGTGGGTTTCTTTTAATGTGGATTGTGGGAAACAAACAAGATCAGTGTCTATATCTTGTACTTTGGTTGTTGTTGTTTTTTTCTCTTCTGCAGCAACAGTCTAACTATAATCATCCACCTAATCCTGTCATGGAGAGCTATTATGATTCAGTTCCCCATGCACACTATACACAACCTTTGCCTGCTGACTCTGTTCCTGCTGCTCCTCCTAGTCCTCAATATTATGCTGGCCCTGCATCATTTCCCCCTCAACAAGTTTCCTCTACTGCCTATGCACAAAGTGCCAGTGCTCCCCTTGCACCACAAGTCCCTTGTGCTGGTACACCACAAGCCCCTTGTGCTGGTGCACCACGTGCCCCTAGTGTACCACGTGCCCCTTGTGCCTGTGCACAACATGCCGCTGCCACTGGTGTACCACGTGCCCCTTGTGCCTGTGCACAACGTGCCCCTGCCACTGGTGTACCACATGCCCCTTATCCCTATGCACTGCGTGCCCCTGCTGCTGGGGTACCACGTGTCCCTGCTGCTGGTGCCAAACGTTCTCCTTGTCCCTGTGCCTCACGTGCTCCTGCTGCTGGTGCACCACATGCCCCTTGTCCCTGTGCACATCGTGCTCCTGCTGCTGGTGTACCACGTGCCCCTGCCACCAGTGTACCACGTGCCCCTTGTGCCTGTGCACGTGGCCCTTGTGCCTGTTCACAACGTGCCCCTGCTACTGGTGTACCACGTGCCCCTTGTGCCTGTGTTCGTGCCCCTTGTGCCTGTGCACGTGTCTCTGCCGCCGGTGCACCACGTGCCCCTGCAAAACGTGTTTCTGCACAATATACTCGTGCTGCTTTGCCACATCTTGGGCCTTCCGCCTCCCTTTCATCCAATGCTAAACTCCCTGGAACATCTGAATTGCCTGTCTCTGAAGGACCTGAGTCTGCTGCCTCTGGAACACCTGGCAACCCTGGAGAAAAGACTTCTGCCTCCACAGATCAGGTAAGTATGGAAGTGTACCAATTTTTGAAGGTCTATTCTTTTGAAGGTGGGAAAAGGGTTCTTCTTTCTGCCTTGTAGCTTAGTCTTGGTTTGATTAGAATACAACAAGATCCTCTGCCTTTAAATTAAATCTCTTAATAGCAAAGGATTATTTTTTTTTTAGCTTTTTATTGTGGCCAGAGACCAAATTAAAATACACATAGAAGGGGAGTATATTTTACAAATATAGATAGATCATGTGACAGTATACCATCTACTGCCTCAGATACAATCTGTACTGTCAATACTAGTGATCCTCTGCCGTAGAGGTTTCCCTGCCACCTTTGGAGTTATATTGGAGTCTGTGTCCTGGAGTAGGAAATAAAGGCTGAACAGATCAGGTGGACCAGGGAATCTCTGGGAAATAGGAGAAATGAATCTTGATCTTATGTCTCGGTAGTGGGGACATACGAATGTAATGTGGAACAGAGATTCCAGGGATCGGCCATCACATGTACAATAGATGGATTTTACTCCCCCCGAGAGCCTATAATAGCAAAGGATTCTAATAATTATTTGCAACCAAAAAAAAAAAAAAAAGTGACTGCCCACTGATGAATCTGCTACCAATTGCATCCTCAACCATTAACAAAAAATGGTTTGCACCTGGGGTACAAAACAAATTTGTTCTTCTTGTGCTATTTGTCAATAGCACAATGTAGGTTGCTCTATTCCTACCACTCCAGGATCCCATCCCCCACTGTGGGGCGCCATTGTGCACATTCAAATGAACTTCATACAACTGCCCGAATGCTGTTCGTATGAATATGTGCTTGTCCAAATTTTTGTTTGTGCTGCTGTCTCCTGTTTCTTTATTTGGGACTCATTTTAGGACAAGATTCGTTTTATGACAAACCTAAGAAATATTTACCGACATTTTCACTACTTTGTTCCAGGAGTAATTACTTTTCCCCCCCTAGTACTGATTCCTCATCTTTCACCTATCACCTTCAATTAGAATCCCAGGGAAATACTTCTTTCATAAAAATTGTCCTAAATCTTTATCTTTCTTTTATCTTTTATTAGATTTATATACCACCCTTCTCCTTTCAGACTCAGGGCGGTGAACAGCCAAAATAAAAACATTTGTACACAAAAGTTAAAATAATTTTAAAAATAATTAAATGAAATTTGGCCCATAATTTAAAACATTTCAATTAAAAATCAGTATCAAACTTTAAAACCAACATAGAATCAGGCCAGCCCGGCTAACTGAAAAATGTAAGTTTTAAGGGCCCGACAAAAAGTCCGGAGGTCTGGGATCACTCGTATCTCTGGGAGTAGGTGCCACAGAGGGTAGGTGCCACCACAGAGAAGGCTCTCCTCCTGGGGGTTGCCAGCCGGCATTGTCTGGCTGACAGCACCCTGAGGAGGCCCTCTCTGTGGGAGCGAACCGGCCGGTGTGAGGCAATTGGTGGCAGAAGGCGGTCCTGTAAGTACCCCGGCCCTAAGCCATGGAGCACTTTAAAGGTGGTAACCAACACCTTGAAGTGCACCTGGAAGTCCACCGGAAGCCAATGCAGCTTGCGCAGGAGAGGTGTCACGTGGGAGCGCCCCATCACTCCCATAATCCCCCGCACGGCTGCATTTTGCACCAGTTGGAGCCTCCGGGTGCACCCCAAGGGGAGCCCCATGTAGAGAGCGTTACAATAGTCCAGACGAGAAGTGACGAGTAAATGTTTTCTATAAATCAGAAAGTTGTTCTCCCCAAAACGAACAACTTCTTCCAACCTCTTACACTGATGAGAATTTTCACATTTCCTTTTCCAGACATCTCAGACATCTTCCCTGAACAAACCTCAGGTGAGGGTTCCTGTTGCAAGCAGCACCTCATTTTTCCTTTGCAGTCTTTGGCTACGAAGCCAAAAACTCCATTTGATACCATGTCTTTTGGGAACATTTTTAATATAGCCTGATAAATCCAAGTAATTGCTGGGCTTTGCCCTTTTATAACAAATGATGTCTGATGAAATGGTATTTCAGGGTATGTTGATAAACATCTATTCTTCTTTTAGTCTCCAAAAGATATAGCACTTAGCAATAGCACTTAGACTTATATACCACTTCACAGTGCTTTCCAGCCTTCTCTAAGTGGTTTACAGACTCAGCCTATTGCCCCCAGCAAACTGGGTCCTCATTTTACGACCTGGGAAGGATGGAAGGCTGAGTCAACCTTGAGCCTGGTAAGATTTGATCTGCCAAATTGCAGGCAGCCAGCAGTCAGTAGAAGTAGCCTGCAATACTGCATTCTAACCACTGCACCACTGTGACTCCTATACTGTATAATTGAGCTAGTGAGCAATTTCATTTTCTATTCCTGGGGAAATATCTTTGGGTGAGTCTAGTTGATTGGGAGAATAGGTAATGGTGTACAGCAGGGGTGGAATTAACTTACCTTTGCTACTGGTTTGCAAATGTGAGTGCACGTACCTCCTCCATGCATGCATAGACCCTTCTGCATATGCACGGAGGGTCAAAAATGGGATGTGATGACGTCCAGGTGTGTGAGCGGAGCCCTCCGCCACCAGCACTAAATCCGGCTGAATTTCACTACTGGGGTACAGGTAGAGAGTCACTTTGGTGACTCTCTACCTGAGAGAATAGAAACACTGAGCTAGAAACTAGGAGACTGTGAGTTTGAGTCCTGCCTTAGGCATGAAGCTAGATGGGTGATTTTGGGCCAGTCCCTCTCTCTCTCAACTTCAGGAAGGAGCCAATGGCAAAACTGAAAAACCATGCAAAGAAAACTACAGGGTTTAGTACAGGCAATGGTCAGAACAATGGTCAAAACTCAAAGGCAGAAAACAAACATGTAGGTAGTCCTTGTTTCACGTGCACTTGCTCAGTGGCTGTTCAAAGGTCCACATGTTTACAGATATTGTCTCATGGTTCAGTCACACAACCATCATTTGTGGCCTTTGTTAGCAACTTCTGACAAGCATAGTCTGCGGGGAAAATGGCAGGAGTTATTAAATGGCATTCATGAGATTATGGGATGCTACCACAATGTGGGATTCCTCTAACCCTCGCAGTTAGAACTTCCACAGCAGCTGTTGTAAGTCTGTGTGCTCATATGATGATGTGCCTTACTATGCGTTGTTTAGCATTAGAGTGTTCTGACCCAGCTCCCGAAATACGACAAACCCTCTGAAGTTAACTCAATGAATCCTTTATTAGGAATGTCAGCAGCCCCAGCAAAAAGTTTCTCTCTCAACACAGGCTAACAAGTGCTTCCATCTGGGAGATGAATAGTTGTCTTCATCTCTGCCCTTTACCTTTTATCCCCAGAGCTAGGGTGGGGCTTCACTAGCAGCGGTGGCTCTTCCTTCCCAAGGATTGGCCCATAGATTTCCACTGCTCTCCTCTCCTCTGCCTTCTGCACATCCTCACATCAGGCACTGGACCCAGCTGTTCCTCCTCTTCCTCATCAGCCACCTCCAAACCTGGGGGCTGTTGACTCTCCATTTGAGGGCTGACGGATGGCCCAGGCTCCGCCTCTATCTCTCTCTCTGCCAGCTCCATTCCCTCTTCCCCCTTGGAGCTCTTAGGTTGCCTTGGTGCTGACCCTGACTCCCATGCCTTCTCCACATCTGATTCAGCTGCTGGAGGGGCTAGTGGCTGACAAGCCACAACACAGAATTCCTCATCCCAATTACCATTGGTAAACGAGGACAGTCCATATTAATGCTGTGATTGCTATGGACTGAACATTTCCTTCAGTTTTCTTTAGGAAATATTAGTCAGCTCAGGGGTGAAATCCTACCAGTTTGGACCAGTTCGGGCAAACCGTTAGGGATTATGGGCATCAGTTCACTGAACCAATAGTAATTACTCCTCCTTTGCCCCACCCACACCTGGCCGGTTGCCGCTCACCTCTTCTGGCCACTCGATATTCCACAGAATTCAATGTTAAATGCAGCAGAGAGAATGCTAACTTTTCTCCCTCCATTCAGAATGGAACTGCTGCAGCCTGTCCCTTTTAAGGTAGTCCCCAGGAGGGAGGGGGACAGAGGGGAGCAGCTGGAATGGAGCCATTTTTGTGAAAGGCAGGATAATGGGGAAGGGGATTTTCCTGCCCGTCATCCATTCCTCAATCTCAGCACAGACTGAGGGAAGGATGGTAGGCCGGAATATTCCCCTCCTCATTTTCCTGCCATTCGCGACAAGGAGTGGCTGGGAGGGGAGGCGCCGGTGCGGAGCCCCTTGATATGAGTGATGCCGAGTTGGCCACGCCCACCCAGTCACATGACCTCCCCCCAACAAGCCACACCCACAGAACCGGTAGGGGAAATTTTTTAATTTCATCCCTAACTGAACTCTTCTAAGCTATATAAGGATATGTTTATTAAGGCATTAAATACCAATATCCATATGCTTCATATTTTTCCATGAGTGCTTATGCACAGGATCCGTATGGCTACAATTGCAGAGGGTGGAAGAGTTATGTCAATTGTGCATTGCCTCATTTATATCTCTTGCCTCTTTTGGAATTGTCTAAAGCTGCTCTAAAGGATATTCTAGAGTTGCATCAATTTACCAAACAATGGAATATAATTAATCCACATCATGTCTATTGTAAGAATTAAACAATGCACTTTTACTAATAATATCCATAATAGAATGAACACTCCCGTTATTTCGCACTGAATTACTTTTTGTTTTTTATTTTTCCAGGAAGTAGAAATCAAAGCATCTCACTAGGAATACGTAGCCCAGTGAGTATGGAAGCCACTCTTTGTTTTAATAAAGATTTAGGTTCTATAGATTTCTCCAGGATTTATGATAACTTCCTTTTTGATATGTAGATTATCTGGGGTGATTCTCTTCGAGGGTAAAGGGAGACTGAACACAAAATTCTGAAATATTAGCTGTCTTCAGTTATGAAATGGGTAAAAGTCAATTGCCTACTCTTTTTTATGTCAACTATTTCTTGTTCACTCATCTTCTGTTTTCTAGATCTACGAACTACATTTCCGGAGAGTAAAACCAGCGTCCACCTTCCACACTTTCTCTTTCCAGCTTCCATAATTTCTTCCTAATCAATAATCAAAGGGAAATTGCCACTTTCATCTAAGAAGGGCTCCAGCAATCATATGATTTCGAGGCAGTTTCTCTTAATTGTGAATACTGGAATCTTTACAAGAATAAACACTTACAAATAAATATATGCAGCATCATTACGGAGTGTTGTCTTTATCATTGTGCTCAGGGGTGGGTTCTACTTACCTTTACTACCAGTTTGCAACGGGGCCGCGCACACGCTTCTGCGCATGCGCAGAAGCTTTCTGATGACGTTGAGGTTGGAGAGCTGAGCCTCCCACCGGTTTTACTACAGGTTCTTGCGAACTGGTCTGAAGCGGGGGCAACCTACCACTAATTGTGCTCTGAAAATTATCGTTTTTTTCCCAATATTATAGTGACATTAGGGTTTCTAAAAGGGAGAGGTAGGATAGATAGATAGATAGATAGATAGATAGATAGATAGATAGATAGATGATAGATAGATAGAAATAGATAGATAGATAGATAGATAGATAGATAGATAGATAGATGATAGATAGATAGATAGATAGATAGATAGATAGATAGATAGATAGATGATAGATAGACAGAAATAGATAGATAGACAGATAGATAGATAAATAGATAGATAGATGATAGATAGATAGACAGAAATAGATAGATAGATAGATAGATAGATAGATAGATAGATAGATAGATAGATAGATAGATAGATGATAAATAGATAGACAGAAATAGATACATAGATAGACAGACAGAAATAGATAGATAGATAGATAGATAGATAGATAGATAGATAGATAGATAGATAATCTATAACTTTCAAATATAGAAAAAGCACAGTTTATATTAATAAATATAATAAACATATTAATCTTTGTTTGCTGGGTTTGGGTAACACCAAGAAACTATCTGGTCTTGAAAATCCTAGGGCTCCATTCAGGTGTAGATGGTCTCAATTGTGGGGTCAGTATAGTGTAAAGAGCAGTCCTGTGGGATTGGGGAGAAGAGAGAGACTCCTTAGGGACAGATAGGGAAGGAAGAGATATGGGACATCCCCAGTTCATTCCTTGCTGCCACAGGATTATAAACAAAAGCCACTTTTTTTTTTTTTAAAGAAAAATAGTACAGGTAATCCTCATTTAGTGACCACAATTGGGACTGGCAAACAAAATGGTTGCTAAGTAAAAAAAACAATCAGATGACCATGATTGTGCTTACGATTTGAACATAGGGCAATGAGTACTAAAGGGACGTGGTGGCTCAGTGGCTAAGATGCTGAGCTTGTCGATCGAAAGGTTGGCAGATCAGCAGTTCGAATCCCTAGTGCTGCGTGACAGGGTGAGTTCCTGTTACTTGTCCCAGCTTCTGCCAATCTAGCAGTTCAGAAGCGCATAAAAATGCAAGTAGAAAAATAGGGACCACCTTTGGTGGGAAGGTAACAGCATTCCGTGCGCCTTTGGCGTTTAGTCATGCCGGCCACATGACCACGGAGGCGCTGGCTCTTCGGCTTTGAAACGGAGATGAGCACCGCCCCCTAGAGTCGGGAACGACTAGCACATATGTGAGAGAGGAACCTTCACCTTTACCTTTAATGAGTACTAAGTGACTGTAATAGCATGTGACCTAGAGAAAGAGGCTGCCAAGGGTGTAAATGCCGGTGGCCCCAAAGTAACTTTCTCATCACTGTTATAACTCACTGACTGAATCAGTGTTTAAAACAGGGCTTTGAAGATAACAACTAGCACGTTGAACGGGACTAGGAAACAAAATGGCAGCCAATGATCTCCCTCCTGCAGGAGATATGACACATGTGTACATCTAGGCCTGCACAAAACCATCTGGGCCATTGCATTTTGGATCAATTGGAGCTTCCAGATGCTTTTCAATGGCAGCCCCATGTAAACTGCACGGCAATAGTTAAGATGAGAGGTGACTAGGAAGTGGGCCACTTGGAGCAGGGATTGTTGTGCTTGGTGTTGGAGAAAATCCATGAGAATACCATGGGCAGCCAAGAAAACAGACAAATCAAACCAGAGTTCTCTCTTGAGGCAAAAATGATTAGGCTCAAATTATTCTACTTCCAGCACACATTAAGACCTTCCTCTAGTACTGGGAATTATGAAAGGAAAACGAAGTAGCAGCAGCAAAGTGAATGGACTTACAGTAATGGCCAAAATTGTGGAAACCTTTTGGCAAAAGTGTATAAAGGATTTTCTGAGAGATAGGCCACAGTCAGTAAGGATAGGATCTCATCATTCCTCTACTCTGATATTAAGCACAGGAGCCCCCCAGAGTTGTGTGCTAAGTCCTTTCCTTTATTCCTTCTACACACATGACTGCAGCCCATTGTATAACACCAACGCAATTATTAAATTTGTAGAAGACACAACAGTGGTGGGGCTCATTAATAAGAACAATGAGTCTGCTTACAGGAAGGAAGTACAAGAGCTGACACTGTGGTGTAAAGAAAATAATCTTACACTTAACACCCAAAAAACCTAAAGAACTTATAATCGACTTCAGGAGGAAGAGAGATATACATTTACCATAGTATATAAATGGTGAGGAGATGGAGAGTGAATGATTGCTTCTATTAACTGGGTTTTATTGCTGGGTCACTTCTGACTAACAAGTTTCTTTAGTCGGCTCCATAGATTTTCAATTGGGTTAAAGTCTGGGCTATTCTCAGGCCATTCCAGCAGTGGAATAGGATTATCTTGAAACTCCAAAAAATAAAGTGGTATTATTAACCATCAAACCTCAAAAATACACTTTTCCCAAAAGGTTTCTACAATTTTGGCCACGACTATAGTTTCAGTGGTGATCAGTGCAATCTTGTAAGTTTTGAAGGAACAGGATTGGGGCAATGGTCCTGAAGAAAATCTACTCTGTGGCTTCTAAGATTGACTTGATAGTAATCAATCAATCAATCAATCAATCAATCAATGTTCTGAATTTGTCTTTTGAAGCAGTCCAGGTAGTCTTTTCATGTTTCTTTTTTAATGTTTTGAATTTTCTCAAAGCAATAATCCATATTACACTTCACATATTTCAAAGAGGTCCTTGAGATGTCTCTTCCCTTAAATCCTTCCCCCAATGAAAATGAAAAGAAGTCAAAGGAATTAAGATGAGATAATCAAAAGGCTAAGATGACATAATTGAATAAGACAAAACCAGGAAAAGCTTTTAAACCACAAATGGCCTTTCAGAAAGTCTCCCCTTTGCTTGTCATCACATCAATTAGAGGTGACATTTCATCAATATTTTCTTGCAAGTCAAGTTCATTACCAGAAAAATCACAGACGATAAGAGAAATGTTTCAGTTGGCACTAGGTCCTTCCATATGATGTTATTCTATCCTTTCTCAACTGATAAGGTAATTTGAAGGCATCATCAATTGCTCTTTTCAGTTTGGGCAGTCTGGCTTGTCCTGATACCTCAATATAGATCCATCCTTAAGCCACCCATTCATATTTAAGTTATTTTCTCATCCAGGGAAGGAAACCTCCAGCTGAGAAAAATGAAGCTGTCCTTCGTGGCTGCTGCTTTGCTGATTTCTGTGCTCAGCACAGATGCCCAGGTGAGATGAAACCTGAATTTTAGGAAAGGTAATTTGTGGGATGGCAGAGAAATCCCTGTGGCTCTAACCTTGAGGGTTAATCCCAGACTAAGATGATCACTCTTGTGTCCTACTAACTGTTAGACTTAACAAATAGGGCTTCTTAAAACTTCCCGGGGAGATCCAGTCTTACTCTATTCAAATCCATATCTAAATGGAATCATTTTTCTGAATCTCATTGTTCAATCATTGAATGCCACAATTTTCCAAAGAGATTTCAAATATTATGGTAGTTAGACTGATGATCTGAATCAAATCAATGATTCTATTCTGACTGGAAGTTTTGCACACTCTTAATAACAACTTTTGAATTTTGTAGCTTGCAACAAACATCGATTGGGACTCACATATTGGGTTCAAATGTGTTTTGTCCGGTTTTGGCTTCCAATTAGCTCGAAAGCCAGGCCAGCCATAGTGTTTCAGTTATGTTTAGCGAAGTTAAATGTTTCATCCCTTGGTTTCCTTCCGTCAATAGATTCATTGCAGTGTGACTGTGTGTGTCAGGCTAAAACAGGATTAATTAATTGGTGATTTTTGTTTTTCCCTTACAGAATAATGTTCCAAATCCACCACCTCCACCTCCACCCCCACCTCCACCCCCAGTAAGTAAAAGTGTTTCTTGTTTTAATGCACTTTGATATATGTTGGAAATCTGGACAAATGAGATTACACACTCACAAAGAGGCAATTGGTTGGTCAAATTCTGTCCGCCTTCCAAAGCCTCAAATCTTGCTCACCCAAAGGCCCATCACTGTTGGAACTGACCCCACAGGAAATCTTTATTCACAGGGCATGTCTCATCCATGCCTTGAACATTTTAGGAGAAACACAGCTGCCCAGAGTTTCAGAACTTTACTCCCCCGTATGAATGACATTGAGGGGAACTATATGTTGGCCTCCTCTGAATCTCCTCCCCGACACTTCCCTCTCTTGGTTGAAGAAAGAATAGATGTATAAATGTAATTTTGCATTTCTTTAGGGGTACTCTGGGTACCAGAGCTACAGCGCTCCCGCAAACTATAATCCACAGCCCGCTGATCCTGTAAGTAGAGTATGATCTTTTCCTTTTTCCTTTGTTCCTTCTTTCCCCCCTCCCTTTTTTTTGGGGGGGAGGAAGAATAGGTGGTTTTAAAAATAGGAGGACTTAATCCCAGACTAAGTTGATCACTCTTGTATCCTACTAACTGTTAGACTTAACAAATAGGGCTTCTTAAAACTTCCCTGGGGAGATCCAGTCTTACTCTATTCAAATCCATATCTAAATGGAATCATTTTTCTGAATCTAATTGTTCAATCATTGAATGCCACAATTTTCCAAAGAGATTTCAAATATTATGGTAGTTAGACTGATGATCTGAATCAAATCAATGATTCTATTCTGACTGGAAGTTTTGCACACTCTTAATAACAACTTTTGAATTTTGTAGCTTGCAACAAACATCAATTGGGACTCACATATTGGGTTCAAATGTGTTTTGTCCGGTTTTGGCTTCCAATCAGCTCGAAGCCAGGCCAGCCAGCCATAGTGTTTCAGTTATGTTTAGCGAAGTTAAATGTTCCATCCCTTGGTTTCCTTCCGTCAATAGATTCATTACAGTGTGACTGTGTGTGTCAGGCTAAAACAGGATTAATTAATTGGTGATTTTTGTTTTTACCTTACAGAATAATGTTCCAAATCCACCACCTCCACCTCCACCTCCACCTCCACCCCCAGTAAGTAAAAGTGTTTCTTGTTTTAATGCACTTTGATATATGTTGGAAATCTGGACAAATGAGATTACACACTCACAAAGAGGCAATTGGTTGGTCAAATTCTGTCCGCCGTCCAAAGCCTCAAATCTTGCTCACCCAAAGGCCCATCACTGTTGGAACTGACCCCACAGGAAATCTTTATTCACAGGGCATGTCTCATCCATGCCTTGAACATTTTAGGAGAAACACCGCTGCCCAGAGTTTCAGAACTTTACTCCCCCGTACGAATGTCATTGAAGGGAACTATATGTTGGCCTCCTCTGAATCTCCTCCCCGACACTTCCCTCTCTTGGTTGAAGAAAGAATAGATGTATAAATGTAATTTTGCATTTCTTTAGGGGTACTCTGGGTACCAGAGCTACCGTGCTCCCGCAAACTATAATCCACAGCCCAATGATCCTGTAAGTACAGTACTATTTTCCCTCCTTTCCCTCCTTTCCTTCTTTACCCCCCCCTTTTTTTTTTTTTGGGAGAATATGAGGTTTCAAATATTTCTCACCTAGGAGAGTTCTTGGGTTAAGACAACAGCTAGAAAAATTGGTCAGAATTCACCGCATATTTCTGAAAGAGCCGGTGATCAAATGGATGATCCAAAAAAAATTTCTTTCATCCATATCAAAGTCACTGAGCCCTATTTTATTTACTGAGGAAGTATATTTATTTAGTCCATATATTTGCTTAGAAAATGTATCATATCTTGAAATCAAGCAACCTCTTTTGAGATTGCAGGAGAGGAATTGACTTCATAGTAGTTTGCTATTTCAACAAGATACCTAAGAGAGCCTAGGTTTACACAAAACTGGATTTGAAAAGACCTTCCTCTTATACAGCTAGAACATTATGTTTTTTTAAAAAATGCTCCTTGTTAGAACATTTTAGGAGAACAATTATTATGCACATACACTGAGAATATATCTGCTGGAAAAAAACTCCGCATTGGCAACAGGAAGGGCATCCGGCCAGTAAACATTCAGCTCACTCATTCATTGCCCAGACTTCACCCCACAAGGGATTATGGGGTCATTAAAAGAGGATGATGAATTATTATGCACATAGATATATTTGGCTGCAGAATGTAGATTTGTATATATCCCTGCTTTTGCCCAAGCCAGCTATTCTCGCTCACCAGTGAGTATAACCTTTGCCTGCTTACCATATTTTTCGGTCTATAAAACGCACCAGAGTATAAGATGCACCTTAGTTTTGGGGGAGGAAAATAAGAAAAAAGCTGATTGGCGGGTGGATCGGCCTCCCAGAATACCTCAATCGGCTGTTCCCAGAGGTGAATTTTAGCAACAGGTTGTGAGCTCTGCGTCTTGCTTTTTTTTTCAGCCTCTCAAACGGAGGTTTCAGAGGATTTTTTCAGCCTCTCAAACCTCCATTTCAGAGGCTGGGCGGGGCTACATTCGGATTATAAGATGCACCCAGATTTTCACCCTCTTTTGGGGGGTAAAAAGGTGTGTATATGATACCCATTTTTAGTGTGTGTGTGTGTGTGTGTGTGTGTGTGTGTGTGTATAAATGAATAAATAAACAAACATCTAAAAGGGTAAACAGGTTTCAGCAGATCATCTATCTTTTTGAAATATAGAAAAAAAATCCACTGTCTTTTACATTTTTCTTTGTTTCCTGGTTTGGGTGGCCTTGATCCAAAACTGCAGCTTATGCCATATGCATATCCAAAAGAATTAAATCCAGAGAAACATTCATGTTTTTTCTTCTTTCTGCAGAGACCTCATGGCTTCCCTGCTTCTCCCCAAGCTGGCTATTCTGGCCCACCGGTGAGTATAACCTTTCCCTGATTATATGATTCCCATTTTTAGAGAAACCCTTTCTCCTGGGCTCAAATCAGGGGTGAAATCCAGCAGGTTCTGGAGAACCGGTAGCGGAAATTTTGAGCAGTTCGGAGAACCGGTAGCGGAAATTTTGAGTAGTTCGGAGAACCGGCAAATACCACCTCTGGCTGGCCCCAGAGTGGGGTGGGAATAGAGAATTTGCAATATCCTTCCCCCAGGAGTGGGGAAGGAATGGGTATTTTGCAGTATCCTTCCCCTGGAGTGGGGTGGGAATGAAGATTTTGCAATATCCTTCCCCCAGGAATGGGGAGGGAATGGGGATTTTACAGTATCCTTCCCCTGAAGTGAACTGGGAATGGAGATTTTGCAGTATCCTTCCCCTGCCATGCCCGCCAAGCCATGCCCGCCAAGCCACACCACGCCCACCAAGCCATGCCCACAGACTGGTAGGGAAAATTTTTGAATTTCATCACTGCTTGTAAGCCTCACTTAGTAAGGATATTAAAGTCATTCATATGCATGGATTTAATTGTGGGTCTCCTTAGAATTTCCTTTCCAGACTCTACCTTGTCTTTGTTGCAGAATAAAATTAGTTTGTAATATATCTTTGAATTTCTGTAGGGGAACCCTGGCTACAAGAACGATGCTTATTTTGTAAACCCTAATCCACAGTATCCTCCACCTCCACATGTAAGTAGAGATTTCTCTCCTGACTGATATTTTTGGTTTAGGAATAGGCATTTCTGATCACAGTCTGAGGTTACCAATTACTGTTTAAATTACTTCCCACCTAAAAGGATTGTGGGTTAAGACTGCTGCTAGGAAAAGTTGTCAGCGGTTGATCACTATGAAGCGTACCTACAAGGCACAGTGATGGTGTGATCAAAGCTTTGCCTGTTTTTCATGTGCATTATGATGGCGCAGTGAGTGAACCTTGGTGGCGCAGCAGTTGGAATGCAGTATGGCAGGCTAATTCTGCCGACTGCCAGCAGTTCGATTCTCACTGACTCAAGGTTAATCAGCTCAAGGTTGATTCAATCTTCCATTCTTCTGAGATTGGTAAAATGAGGACCCAGATTATTGGGGGCAATATGTTGACTCTGTAAACTGCTTAGAGTGGGATGTAAAGCATTGTGAAGCGATAAGTCTAAGTGTTATTGCTATTGCTATTATGTACTTAGGTTAAAGTTCTTTGAGTCTTTATAGCTCTAGCAATAGCATTTAGACTTATATACCGCTTTACAGTGCTTTACAGACCACTCTAAGTGGTTTTACAGAGTCAGCATATTGCCCCCAACAATTTGGGTCCTCCTTTTACCCACCTCGGAAGGATGGAAGGCTGAGTCAACCTTGAGCCTGGTGAGATTTGAACTGCCAAATTGCAGGCAGCCAACAGACAGCAGAAGTAGCCTGCAGTACCACACTCTAACCACCGCGGCGCCTATAGTGCATGCATATATGAATATAACTGAAATAAAAGAAAGATTTATAGATATAAATATGCACACATACCCATGTGTATGTATACATTTGTATGAGAGAGAATGCAAGCTTGCCTTTTATACCATTTAAATCTCTATTAAAACTATTTTACCCAAAAAGAAATTCATATTTTTCTTCTTTCTGCAGTGGTTCCCTAGAGACTTTAGCCCACCAGTGAGTATAATCTTTGCCTGCTCATTTGTAATACACTCCCCCCAAAAAATAATTATCCAGCTCTGATAGGCCCACTCCCTATCTGGGACAGGTGTACTGTGAAGAGTAGCCCTGGGGGATTGGCTACGTTGGGTATTGGATTGGGTAGAGGATTGAGGGGGTAACATAGGCTTTTGGAGAATGAGTGTTGCGATGGACTAGAGGTGGAACTCTTGTCTCACAATCAGAAGGCTGTGAGTTCGATCCTAGGTAGAGGCAGGTATTTCTCTCTCTGGGCATGTTGAGATTTTATCTGTTGAATATAACTCTGCATCGGCGTCAGGAAGGGCATCCGGCCTGTAAACACTCAGCTCACTCATTCAGTTGTCCTGACGTCACCCCACAAGGGATTATGGGGTCATTTAAGGGCAATGATGATGGGCTTTTGGATGACCCAGAGAGCAGGCACAGATTTGGGATAACTCTGCATTACAAAAGATCAAAGAGTCATTTCAAGTGCAAATAGCATTAGGCAGAGCGCATTTTTCTGCAGGTTCATGCTAGGAGGAGAAAATGTTATGTTTCATCTTTTCCTGCTTACATAGTCCTTACATAGTCCTTACATAGTCCTTACATAGTGCAGACATCCTTATTTGCCCTTTCCCAAATTAGGGGATTGCAAGTTTCAGTTTCCAAGCTTTTTCATAATTTATGGGGACGGAAAGAAATGTATCTGCCCTCTCACTCTAGGCCTTTGTGCATGTTTTGTTTGTCCATAGGATCGTGATCAAATGGAAAATCTGGTGAGTATATTAACCCCAAAAAATCAAGTTGATGGTCACAGCAGATATACCAAGAGTTTGGACAAGAACTGCCATCGACTTTTTTTGATCTTGCCTGCAGATGCCCATTATTTAAATGAGGCAGGACACGGAAGTAATAAAGAATCGTGGATTTGCAGTGACAGTTTTTGACAGGCTGTCTTTCCCTGGAAATTTCTAAAATCTGTTTGACTTCAGTGGTACCTCGTTTTCTTTCTATCTTGTGTCAGACGTTAAGGTTCTGCTGAAATCATTTGGCTTTCATCGGTTTAAGGGTTATGTTCAGTAGTGGGTTTTACTTACCTTTGCTACTGGTTCGGAACTGGTGAGTGAGTGCATGTGTGTGCACACTCGCTTTGCTCCTGCGTGGCAATTCTGTGCATGCACAGAAACTTCTGAGCATGTGCAGAGCATCCGTGATGACATCTGGGCGGGTGGGCGGAGCCTCCAGCCACCGCCGCTACTGGTTTGTCCGAACCAGGGCGAACCAGTAGAAACCCACCACTGGTTATGATTATTCCCATAACCTCCTGAAGTCCCATGAACCCCTTTTTCTAGCTATCCAGTGATGTATCTCCTCTGATCTTGCAAAATCCTGATTTTGAGGCAAGAAGGATAGGAAGAAAAGGAGAAATTAGAGGGGTGTGGAGAGAATGATAATTCCCTTCCCCAATAGACCGGCTTGGAGGATTCAGCTTCTTGTGAATCTGTCTTTCTTTGGAAGATGCAGTTTTGAGGATTTTGGTGCACAGACCAAAGATGTGTTATGCAATTGCTTAATCAGGAAGTAGCAAGGTAACTGACAAAGTAAAATAAATTGGATTGGATCGGAGTTTGTTTTGATTAATCACTGTCTTTTCTCTCATAGCTTGCTTCACTCTTGGAGAAACCAGTAAGTAAACAGAAAGTCCTTCCTTTTTCTGATTCAGTGATCAGTATTGAGACGGGAGGTTGTAGAAATGAATAATGGGATATAGCATCTTCTATGGTACAACTGATACACTGAATTGTATCAATGAATTAACAGAGGAAAGATTGAGTCTGCCATTTGCACCTCTATAACTGTCTGGTTTGGTTCTGCAACCCAACAAGACAGACACAGACTTCGGAGGATAATTAGAACTGCAGAAAAAACAATTCCTACCAACCTGCCTTCCATTGAGGATCTGTATACTGCATGAGTCAAAAAGAGGGCTGTGAAAATATTTACAGACCCCTCACATCCTGGACATAAATAGTTTCAACTCCTACCCTCAAAACGATGCTATAGAGCACTGCACACCAAGACAACTAGACACAAGGACAGTTTTTTTCCCAAACGCCACTCACTCTACTAAACAAATAATTCCCTCAACACTGTCAAACTATTCACTAAGTCTGCATTACTATTAATCTTCTCATCATTCCTATCACCCATCTCCTCCCACTTATGATTGTATGAGTGTAACTTGTTGTTGTATCCTTATGATTTATATTGATTGTTTCCTAGTATGATTCGATTGCTTATTTGTACCCTATGACTATCACTAAGTGTTGTACCTTATGATTCTTAATGAATGTATCTCTTCTTTTTATGTACACTGAGAGCATATGCACCAAAGACAAATTCCTTGTGTGTCCAATCACACTTGGCCAATAAAGAATTCTAATCTAATCTAATCTAATCTAATCTAATCTAATCTAATCTAATCTAATCTAATCTTATAAAATTAGACAAGAGTCCAGATTTTATCTATTTGTAATTATAAAAAGTTATTTGTAGCTTATTGAAAGAGAAATGTAATTTAAAAAGCGTAAAAGATTCTTTCTGAATAATGCGTCTGTCTGTTTTTCTTTGTAGTTCGAAATATTTGAGGTAAGTAAGTACCGGTATTTGAGGAAAATATGGAAATATTATCATATGCTGCTTTCAGTTCCAGATAACAAACTTGGTAGAGGTAGAATCAGCTCAAATCTTCAATTAGCCTTAAAGTTCCTTTTTCCTCTCTCAGCCAAGTCTGAAAATGACATTCATTTGGATATTAAATAGGATTGCTATTTGGATTAAAATAATTAAACTAATTAGCTAAAGTAATTGGTCATCTTCTAGATGACTAGGATGTCTCCCTCTTTAGTTGTCAGATAGAGACTAAATGTTGTTAAATTCTGCGTTGTCACATATGAATTCCAGTGAATTAACTTTGTAATAACTTTAAGCATGTTGTTGTGGCCTACCAGCAGCCAGCGGATCTGGCAGCAGATTCAGACAGTGAGGAGGTTGGGGAGGAACATGGGCCAGTCCTGGAGTCTGGGGAAGGGGTCTGTGTCGGAGGCAGAGAGGGGGCCAGGGCTGTATGCCAGTTATCAGCTGCCTTCAGAGTCAGACATCAGTGAGGCAAACAAACAGCTGGAGCCTGTTCCCAGTGTGAGCATGCACAGAGTTACCAGACAAAGGAAACAGCTAAAGAACCAGGATCGACTTGGGAGTAAGGCCACAGGTGGATGATGAATGCCCCCCCTCCCCCCCCAGAGGGTATAAAAGAGGAGCAAAAGGGGAGTGGAGTTTGCAGGAGACAATTTAGTTCGCTTAATTGGAGCTCTCCAAGACAGATAAGGGCTGTGACTGTAAATTCTCCCTTGAAAGATTTTGCTGGATGTGAATGAGAAGAATTCACAGGTTTTGTCGGGACAAGGAGTCTGCTTCATGCTCTTGGGACATGAAGTCAGAAGTCAGAACACATGTAGTGAATCTGATTTTCTGTGACTTTCCTATTGTTGCTATGTAGTATACTCTTTGTTTTATTCTGGCTGTATTTTATATATGATAACGTTCATTCATATAACCCATTCATTCATTTTTTTCCCCCATTCATTCACTCTGATAGAGTGGATGGCAACAGAGCAGGAAATGAGGTGGATTCATGTTGAATTCTAAATATTTCTTTCTCCTCTTTCTTTATCCCAGTTTCCAACTACAACATTTGGAAGAATAGATTCCTGAACTGAATGAATAAATAAATTTAACCCTCAGGCATATATCCAAAGATGAATGGATATTGGTCTGGTTCACAGCCAGCATTAAGTTATAATGCAGCTGATGTGAAATATGACAGCCACATCTCTTGGTTTTGTATTGCACACATGCAAACTACACCAGGATTTAAAATAACAATAACAAGATAACAAGCTAAGCGGTGTTGGGCTTTGGTTAGAATTTGGATGAGTGAAGATCAGTGAATACCAGGATGTATTTTAGACTGGGAAGTCATTTCCATAATATTGCCAAGCAAATATTGTACTTCTTTCCCTGAAGTCAATGGGAGTGATATTTGACCCTAGAACAACTTTAATTTTTCTGGGTTCCTGGAGGCACAAGGGAGTGTTAGGTAATAGAAGCAACAGTTCATTTCTCCTATTTATAAGAGAGGTTGAGGAAAGTGAAGAGAAAAGTTATTCTTTTTTTTTTTAATTTGATTTATATGCCGCCCTTCTCCGGAGACTCAGGGTGGCTTACAATGCGCTAAGCAATAGCCTTCATCCTTTTGTATATTTATACAAAGTCAGCTATTGCCCCCACAATCTGGGTCCTCATTTTACCTACCTTTGAAAGGATGGAAGGCTGAGTCAACCTTGAGCCTGGCGAGATTCGAACCTGCAGTAATTGCAGGCAGCTGGTCTTAATAACAGGATGCTTTAGACCACTGTACTACCAACGCTCTTGATTCTTGATGTTTTTTCTTTCTTTATCATAGAAAATAATGGAAATGTGGAAAAGAAATGGTGCCCGGAGGAAGCATTGGGTAAGCTTCATGGAAAAAAAAAAAGTGCATATATTCTATTAGTTGGTTTGCTTAGAGGAACATTAAAGGGATTCTTTTGTGTGTGTGAAGAAGAATAATTAGCAGCTTTATTAATAAACTTGGAAGTCATGTGGCAGTTTTTTATTTCAGGAACAGAAATAGAATAGAATAGAATAGAATAGAATAGAATAGAATAGAATAGAATAGAATAGAATAGAATAGAATAGAATAGAATAGAATAAACAGAGTTGGAAGGGACCTTGGAGGTCTTCTAGTCCAACCCCCTGCTTAGGCAGGAAACCCTACAGCACTTCAGACAAATGGTTATCCAACAACTTCTTAAAAACTTCCAATGTTGGAGCATTCGCAACTTCTGCAGGCAAGTGGTTCCACTGATAAATTGTTCTAACTATCAGAAAATTTCTCCTTAGTTCTAAGTTGCTTCTCTCCTTGATTAGTTTCCACCCATCGCTTCTTGTCTTGCCCTCAGGTGCTTTGGAGAATAGCTTGACTCCCCCTTCTTTGTGGCAGTCCCTGAGATATTGGAGCACTGCTATCATATCTCCCCTAGTCCTTCTTTTCATTAAACTAGACATACCCAGTTCCTGCAACCGTTCTTCATATCTTTTAGCCTCCAGTTCCCCTAATCATCTTGGTTGCTCTTCTCTGCACTCTTTCTAGAGTCTCCACATCTTTTTTACATCGTGACGACCAAAACTGGATCCAGTAGTCCAAGTGTGACCTTACGAAGGCATTATAAAGTGGTTTTAACATTTCACGTGATCTTAATTCTATCCCTCTGTTTATGCAGCCTAGAACCGTGTTGGCTTTTTTGGCAGCTGCTGCACACACAGAAAAGGGCACACAGTTCTGGGAACAGCCATCAAGGCTGGGTCGCAAAAAGAAACTTTAGAGTAATTGTTTAGCAATGTCCAGAGCCAAGATGGTAGACATGCCCTTTTTCTCCCCATCCCCTCCATCAGGGACACCCCAGAATCCAAACACTTGCAGAGGATTTAACTTCCCAAATTCTTCTTTGGACTCAGCTCCTTGCAGTGAAATGAATTCTAGTCCATTCAAGTTAGCGCTATAGTAACTCTCTCACTCTTTAAGGTTCCACTTGGTGATTGATTTCATACAGGAACCTAGATGGAAACTGGAAATAATCTAAACTCTTAGAATATGTTGCGGAAGTCAGTTGTACCTGGAAAATGCTTGGGATTCGGGTTCCAGGCAAATCCAAGGTGCAATGCTAGTGGGGAGTGTATCTTGTGACAGAGGAAAACTCATGTCACTTCTTTCTGTCGGATAGCCACTGGGAGCATCCATGGACTTCAATATTGTCGGTGGGTTCCTTTGAATGGAGATTGTGGAAAGCCATTGTGATCAGTGACTCTTGTTTTGGTTTTCTGTTCTTTTTTTTTTATTTTTATTTTATTTATTTACTTTGTCAAGCATGTATGAGAAAATAAGTATAAGAATGAACATAACATATAAACACACATAAGTATAAACAGGTATACGTACATACATAAGAAATGAGTACGAATAAATGGGTTAGTAAGGCAGGGACGGTAGGCATCTTGGTGTGCTTATGCACGCCCCCTTTAAGGATCTCTTAGGAATGGGGTGAGGTCCACGGTAGACAGTTTGAGGTTGAAGCTGTGAGGGTTTGAAGCTGTAACAACGGCATCAGGTAGAGCATTCCAGGCATTGACCACTCTGTTGCTGAAGTCATATTTTCTGCAATTGAGTTTGGAGCGGTTTACCTTGAGTTTGTATCTATCGTTTGCCCATGTATTATTGCGGTTGAAGCTGAAAGAGTCATTGACAGGTAGGATGTTGTAGCAGACAATTTTGTGTACTAAGTTTAGGTCAGACCGTACACTCTACTACTACTACTACTACTATTACTACTACTACTACTACTACTACTACTACTACTACTACTACTACTACTAATAATAATAATAATAATAATAATAATAATAATTATTATTATTATTATTATTATTATTATGACAGTATACACAGCAAACGAGATGATCATGCTGGATTTCGTATCCCAAATCACTAGTCGAACACTTCCTGTTATTATTATTATTATTATTATTATTATTATTATTATTATTATTATTATTATTATTATTAATCATCATCATCATCATCATCATCATCATCATCATCATCATCAAGATCTTGTGGGACTTTAGGATTCAGACTGACAGGCACTTGGTCCACAACACACCTGACATAACAATAGTTGAAAAGAAAAAAGTATGGTTCATTGACATTGCAATACCTGGTGATGCACGGATTGAAGATAAGCAGCAAGAAAAAAATCACAAAGTACCGGGACTTGCAAATTGAAGTTGAGCGACTGTGGAAAAAGAAATCGTGTGTTGTCCCAATTGTAATTGGAGCCCTTGGAGCAATACCCAAAGGGCTACCCCGCTATTTAGAAATTCTAAATTTGCCGGACTTGAACATTTTGACTCTACAAAAAAAACACCTTACTCGGAACAGCTTACATCCTCCGATGATACCTTAACAGTTCCTAGTCCTTGGTTAGGACTCGAGCTGCTGAGCTATTAACCAGCCTCAAAGGCTGTGAATCTCACTAAAGATTTAATAATAATAATAATAATAATAATAATAATAATAATAATAATATAATAATAATAATAACCACCTTAACAGTTCCTAGGTCCTTGGTTAGGACTCGAGCTGCTTGAGCTATTAACCAGCCTCAAAGGCTGTGAATCTCACTAAAGATTAACCAATAATAATAATAATAATACTTATTATAAAGCAATTGTGATTAGTGACTCTTGTTTTGGTTTTTCTGTTCTGATTGTTTCATTCTGCAGCGCCGCCAACGTGGTCGTTCTCAATACTATGCTGGTCAAGGTTTCCCTGGTCCTCCCCAAGGCGTCTATGGTCCTCCCCAAGGCTTCCCTGGTCCTCCCCAAGGCTTCCCTGGTCCTCCCCAAGGTGTCTATGGTCCTCCCCAAGGCTACTTTGGTCCTCCTCAAGGCTATCCTGGCTCTCCCCAAGGCTACTCTGTTCCAGGCCCTCAACCAGCTGGGGCTGCTGTCCCACCCCCCTCTGGCACAGTGAGTATGAAACTGTGACACATCCACTTGAAGATCTATCCCTATGAAGAGGAGAAGGTTCTGGTGGCCCTAAATATCAAAAATATTCTTTCCCTACATACCAAGGGGGCAGAGATGGCAAAAATTGGATTTGTTTCTCCCCATCATTTGTTATAGATGCCTCCCTAATAATTAAGCCTGGAATTATGGTCATAAATCACAATAGTTTTTAAGTGTAAAATCAAGTGACCGCATTCAATTTTATGACCTCTTTTGCTGTAGCTGTTAAGTGGCTAGGGCAGTCATAAAGTGAACTCTGTGATCGTTAAGTGTATGCCATACTCATTAAGCGAACCATAGTGACGCAGTGGTTAGAGTGTGGTACTGCAGGCTACTTCTGCTGACTGCCCACTGACTACAATTTGGCAGTTCAAATCCCACCAGGCTCAAGGTTGACTCAGCCTTCCATCCTTCTGAGGTGGGTAAAATGAGGACCCAGATCAGAAGTGAAATGTTCCCGGTTCGGACCGGATCACCCGATCCGGTAGTGATGGCAGCGGGTGGTTCGGAGAACCAGTAGCAAAAATCCCTGCCCACCCCCCATGCCCAGCTGAGCCACATGATCATCAGAGGCTTTTTTTTTACTTTTAAAAGCATTTTTTCTATAACCTCTTCGGCCGAAAAAATGCTTTTCAAAGTTAAAAAAAAAGCCTCTGATGATCGCGCGGCTCAGCTGGGATCATCAGAGGCTTTTAAAAGCATTTTTTCTACAACCTCTTCGGCCAAAAAGGTTGTAGAAAAAAATGTTTTTAAAAGCCTCTGACGATCCCAACTGAGTTGCCTGATCGTCAGAGGCTTTTAAAAACATTTTTTTCTGCAACCTCTTCAGCCGAAGAGGGTGTAGAAAAAAAAATGCCTTTAAAAGCCTCTGGCGATCTCAGCTGAGTTGCCTGATCGTCAGAGGCTTTTAAAAGCATTTTTTTCTGCAACCTCTTAAGGTTGTAGAAAAAATGCTTTTAAAAGTAAAAAAAAAAAAAGTTGGCCACGCTCACCCAGTCACATTTCCCCCCCTCCCACCAAACCACGCCCATAAAACTGGTAGTAACAAATTTTACATTTCACCCCTGACCCAGATTGTTGGGGTAATATGCCAACTCCCTTAGAGAGGGCCTTAAAAGCACTATGAAGCAGCATATAAGTGCTATTGCTATGCTATTGCTGCCAACAGGGTTTTTTTGTTTTGTTTTTTGTTTGCCAGAAACTGCAAGTAAATGGCAGTTTCTGGGTAAAAGCCATAAATCACAGCAATGCAGACCAAATGCTGAGCGCTGAAATTATGATCCCATGGCAGTGGGAGGAGGCAGTCATCGGAATTTGGAATCTGGGTCAAAAGTACCATCTTTGGGATCCATCACAATGTTGGCGGGAACTGTAATCCACCACATTTTTCCCCCCCTGTTCTGCAGCAACAGTCTAACTACGGGAGTCCACCTAATCCTGGCATGTATAACTACTATGGTTCAGTTCCCCAACAACAACCTTTCCCAGGACAACCTTTGCCTCCTGCCCCCATACAAAATGGGTCAGTCCCCTCTGCTTTTCCTAGTCCTCAATATTCTGCTGGCCCTGCACCATTTGTCCCTCCACCATCTGCCTCTGCTAACGCTGTTTCATCTGGTGTTCAAATGCCTGGTGATTCCACCTTGCCTGCCTCTGGGAACTCTACTGAAAGGTTACCTGCCTACAAAGATCAGGTAAGTGTCAAAGTATGTCAATTCTTGGAGGCCTGTTCGTTTGAAGATAGGAAGAAGTTTCTGCTGGATTAAGTTAGCAAAAGATGAAGCTTCCAGACTGCTTAGGTTTTCACTGAAACTTATGATTGGCATTTTGGTATTATTTAACATCAATATCATCTTCAGATATTTTCTGGCTGGGGAATTCTGGGAGTTGAAGTTCACGTCTCTTAAAATTGACGAAGTTAAGAACACTGCTTTAGACTCTCCATTACTTCATGCAGAAAAATAATTTCAAGAGAAGGCCTTCAAGAAAACATAAGTATTTGTAAGCTGTCTGTTTCAGTGGTCTAAATAATATTCTTCCTAATAATTGCCAGCATTGTGGCCCTCATTATGGCTAAGCATTGCTTCTTAATTGCTCCAACATTACTATTTCTTTGTGGCCAGAAAGTTGGCAAAAAGAGATGAGTTAAAAAGTTCCACTGATACTCCTAAATAAATGTTGTTTAGAATGCAACCTGATCCTCTACCTTTAAATTAAATCTCCTAATGGCCAAGGATTCGAATATTTATTTATTTATTTATTTATTTATTTATTTATTTATTTATTTATTTTATTTATTTATTTATTTTGCAACCAAAAGATCCTGACTGTCCATGATGAATCTGCTGCTAATTGTAACATTCTTATCCTAGTTTGTGTTTTGACTCAAGGTCTACCAGTATAATGTTAGGGATATGGAAGGTCCAATAAGATGTAAGAGATCCTTGACAAATGTTGAATCAATGGTATTGAATCTTTCAGATTCATCTCATAGCTTTATTTCTAAATAATATAATATTTGTATGGAACAAACACAACATTAAGTGATTTGAAAATGGGTTGGCAATAGGATTTCTCCCATTTCCATCAGAACACACAAACATTGAAATACACACAACATCCGAGAAAGATGTCACAATCAATAATTGTTAACACAGCCAGGAGAAATATTTATATGTGTCCACAGTTTATTCTCTTGAATATATTTTTAGTATCTAATGTAGACATTCACCCCAAAATATTACATGCCCATTGCATCTATTGTAAGATTTATGCAATTTATTTATTTATTTATTTATTTATTTATTTATTTATTTATTTATTTTGCAACCAAAAGATCCTGACTGTCCATGATGAATCTGCTGCTAATTGTAACATTCTTATCCTAGTTTGTGTTTTGACTCAAGGTCTACCAGTATAATGTTAGGGATATGGAAGGTCCAATAAGATGTAAGAGATCCTTGACAAATGTTGAATCAATGGTATTGAATCTTTCAGATTCATCTCATAGCTTTATTTCTAAATAATATAATATTTGTATGGAACAAACACAACATTAAGTGATTTGAAAATGGGTTGGCAATAGGATTTCTCCCATTTCCATCAGAACACACAAACATTGAAATACACACAACATCCGAGAAAGATGTCACAATCAATAATTGTTAACACAGCCAGGAGAAATATTTATATGTGTCCACAGTTTATTCTCTTGAATATATTTTTAGTATCTAATGTAGACATTCACCCCAAAATATTACATGCCCATTGCATCTATTGTAAGATTTATGCAATATTTTTTTCCTAGTAACGTCCACAATAGAATGCATACTCCAATTATTTAATATGTGCTGAATTCCTTTTCTGTTTTTATTCTTTCCAGACAATTTAAATAAAATTTAAAAAAAAACCACTTGGAGAATGAATGCCAGTGAGTATGGAAGATACTCTTTACTTTAGTAGAGCTTTACATCGTGCAGATTTTTCCTAGGACTTTATGATAAGTTGCTTTCAAATACAGAGGTCAGTCTTTCTCAACCTTGGGAACTTGAAGATGTGTGGACTTCAACTCCCAGAATTCCCCAGCCAGCATGAGAAGTCTGAGAGTTGAAGTCCACACATCTCCAAGTTCCCAAGGTTGAGAAACGCTAGCCTAGATTATTTGGGGGGAGGGGGGCATTGTTATTGAGAATAAGGGGAGGTTGAAAAGCAAAATTCTAAAATATTAGCTGCCTTCTATTATGGATGGGTAAAATGCAGAGTGCAGAGAAGAGCAACAAAGATGATTAGAGGACTGGAGGCTAAAATATATGAAGAACGGTTGCAGGAACTGGGTAGGTCTAGTTTGATGAAAAGAAGGACTAGGGGAGACATGATAGCAGTCTTCCAATATCTCAGGGGCTGCCACAAAGAAGAGGGAGTCAAGCTATTCTCCAAAGCACCTGAGGGCAGGACAAGAAGAGATGGAAACTTGTCAAGGAGAGAAGCAGCCTAGAACTAAAAAGAAATTTCCTGACAGTTAGAACTATTAATCAGTGAAACAACTTGTCTCCAGAAGTTGTGGGTGCTACCAGACTGCACTTATCTGAAATGGCATAGGGGGTTGGATTAGAAGACCTCCAACTCTGTTATTCTAAATGCCACTTAATCACTAGCCACTAGTATGTAAATGAGAGCAAACTCCACTCCCCATTAGCACTAATGATATTACCTAGCTTGATAATGAAGCATCTGCAAGAAAACGATCAAGCTCAGAGAGTACCAAAGAGTCCACAGTCCAACACTGAGCTACAAATATGCACTTCTATCAGGATAGAGTCAGCTTCATATCCTTTTTATGTCAAACATCTAATTTTCACTTTTGTTTTTTTTTTCTAGATCCACTAACTACATTTGCTGAGAATAAAATCCAGAGCCACCTCCTACAGTTTGTTTTTCTGGCTTCCATAATTTCTTCCTAGTCAAGGATCAAAGCGAAAATGGAACTTTCTTCTGAGAAGGGCTCCAGCGTTTAAAGTTCTTTCTGTTGATTTGAGAGCATTTTTTTCCTGATTGTGAACACTGGTTACTCTACAAGAGTAAACATTTTACAAATAAATATATCCAGCATTATCACAGAGTGTTGTCTTTATCATTGTGCTCTGAAAATTCTCATTTTCCAATATTATAGTGAAGTTCAGGCCACATTAATGCTCGCTTTAATTCTGATATACGAAAATGTGACTACAAGCCATTCAACTAAACATACTTTGATCTTAATGCCATAAGCATATTTATCCCACATTTCCATTACCTTAGAGACCATAGTCTCTAACAGGCTTAATAAACTTTTAGCAATGTTCCCAATGTTACCTTGAATTCCTGAAGAAGTTCCAAATTATAAACTGCTTTAGCCTCCTTTGATCTCAGACATGAATAATTACATTCTTATTCTATGAACGGGAAGACAATTGTTCATACCTGACTCATAGATGAATAAAAGTCTATGTACCATACCAGCAATAGGAAATGGGGAAACATCTTGAATTTAGTATTCTCTCCTTTTCTTGAGTAATTAGATAATTCAGGGTTTAATAATCTGTCTCCACTTTTCATGGAAATGTCTCCACTTTGCACACATATTATAAATCATTTATGATTAGCATTAAGAGATAATGCTCTGATTCTGACCCCACCAAACCCTAAAGTGAAAACTTATTGTCCTCAACACATGGTATAATGTCAGATGCCAAACCTTTAACTTGATTAGAGAGCCGCGGTGGCTCAGTGGTTAGAGTGCAGTACTGCAGGCTACTTCTGCCGACTGCTGGCTGCCTGCAATTTGGCAGTTTGAATCTTACCAGGCTCAAGGTTGACTCAGCCTTCCATCCTTCCGAGGTGGGTAAAATGAAGATCCAAAATGTTGGGGGCAATAGGCTGACTCTGTAAACCGCTTAGAGAGGGCTGTAAAAGCACTGTGAAGCGGTATATAAGTCTAAGTGATTTTGCTATTAAGTGTGTTGTGTAAATTGGTGTTGTATAAATTGGTGGTAGGGACATGGTGGCTCAGTGGCTAAGACGCTGAGCTTGTCGAGCGAAAGGTCGGAAGTTCAGTGGTTTGAATCCCTAGTGCTGTGTAACAGGGTGAGCTCCCATTACTTGTCCCAGCTTCTGTCAACCTAGCAGTTCAAAAGGATGTAAAAAAAAAAAAGCAAGTAGAAAAATAGGGACCACCTTTGGTGGGAAGGTAACAGTGTTCTGTGCGCCTTTGGCGTTTAGTCATGCTGGCCACCTGACCATGGAGACGTCTTCGGACAGCGGTGGCTCTTCGGCTTTGAAACAGACATGAGCACCACCCCCTAGAGTCGGGAACGACTAGCACATATGTGCGAGGGGAACCTTTACCTTTACCTTATATCTACAAAGAATAGAATAGAATAGAATAGAATAGAATAGAATAGAATAGAATAGAATAGAATAGAATAGAATAGAATAGAATAGAATAGAATAGAATAGAATAGGACAGAACAGAACAGAACTTTTATTGGCCAAGTGTGATTGGACACAGAACGAATTTGTCTTGGTGTGTATGTTCCCAGTGTACATAAAATAAAAGATACGTTCATCAAGAATCATAAGGTACAATACTTAATGATAGTCATAGGAAAACAGTCAATATAAATCTTAAGGATACCAGCAACAAGGTTACAGTCATACAGTCATAAGTGGGAGGAGATGGGTGATGGGAATGATGAGAAGATTAATAGTAGTGCAGACTTAATAAATAGTTTGACAGTGTTGAGGCAATTAGTTGTTTAGCAGAGTGATGGCATTCGGGAAAAACTGTTCTTGTGTCTAATTGTTCTGGTGTGCAGTGCTCTATAGCGTGGTTTTGAGGGTAGGAGTTGAAACAATTTATGTCCAGGATGTGACGGGTCTGTAAATATTTTAACAAGGATTGGAAGCATGTAGACAATGTGATACTCTATGGAAGTGAAAACTGGACTTTGAAGAATCAGGATAGAAAGAGTCTTGACACTTTTGATGTTGGTGTTGGAGAAAACCCAGGAATACCATAGACCTGTGATGGTGAACCTGTGGCACGCGGATCCATATAGGTGGGCACGTGAGCATTGTTCTGCCTCAGCTCCAGCACACATGCGTGTGCTGGTCAGCTGATTTTTGGGTCTTCCGGGCCCATGAGAAGTCAGGAAACAGGCTGTTTCCGGCCTCCGGAGGGCCTCTGGGGGGGTGGATAAGGCCCGTTTTTCACCCTCCCCAGGCTCCAAGAAATCCTCTGGAGCCTGAGGAGGGTGAAAAACAGGCCTACCGGGCCCACCGGGCCATTGCGTGCCAAAAGCAGGAGGAGCAATGGGGGGGTCATGTGTGGGGGTGGGGAACATTGAATTATGGGTGTGGGCACGCATGCGTGCAACCCCCCCATCATGCTCCCCATGCTTTTGGCACACGATGGCAAAAAGGTTAGCCATCTCTGCCATAGACAGCCAAGAAAACAGAAAATGAATTATCCAAGAAATCAAATCATAATTCTCACTTGAGGCACGAATCATTACATTCAAATTATTCTACTTCAGGTTACATACAGTGATGGGAATTGTGAAAAGAAAGAGAAGTAGGAGACCAGCACCAAGGTAGATGGACTTGATTTCAATGGTGATGAGGTCCACATTATAAGACTTGAAGGATAATTATCCTGAAGGAGTCTATAAACCTACCTATGTGGCTGAGATAAATCTATGCGGCTGCTTGATGGCACATAATCAACCAACCAATCAATCAAAGCTCTGAATCTGGCTTTTGAAACATTCTTTTTCATATTCTTTTCAAATGTTTTTAATTTTCTCAGAATAGTAATCCATATTGAAGTCCAGCTATTTAAAAGACGCCATTGCACTCCCTTCAAACTCTTCCACTCAACAAGAAGGAAAAGAAATCAAAGATAAGATAATCAAAGTACATACCACAAAAGAAAGATAATTGAAAGATGTCAAAACGGGGGGGGGGGGGGGGTAAGGTTTTAAGCCGTAAATGACCTTTCAGAAACTTTTCCATTCCTCGTCATTAGATAAATTAGAGGCTGATATTTCATCAGTATGTTCTTGCAAGTCTAGTGATTCTCAGAAAAATTATTTAGAGGTCAGAGGAATGTTTCATTTGGCAGTAGATTCTTCCATGTGAGGAATGAATCCTAACCTTTCCCAACTGATAAGGTAATTTGAAGACATCATCAATGGCTGCTTTCAGTTTGGGCAGTCTGGCTTGTGCTGACACTTCAATAAAGATCCATCCTCAACTCACCCATTCGTACTTAGGACACTTTCTCATCTGGTGAAGGAAATCTCAAGCTGAGAAAAATGAAGCTGTCCTTTGTGGGCGCTGTCTTGTTGATTTCTGTGCTCGGCACAGATGCCCAGGTGAGATGAAATCTGAATTTTAGGAAAGGTAACTTAATGGGATGGCAGAAGCTGGGACAAGTAACCGGAGCTCACCCCGTTACGTGGCACTAGGGATTCAAACTGCTGAACTGCCGACCTTTCAATTGACAAACTCAGCGTCTTAGCCATTGAGCCACCGCATCCCAGTGCCAACCTAGCAGTTTGAAAGCATGTAAAAAATGCAACTAGAAAAATAGGGACCACCTTTGGTGGGAAGGTAACAGCATTCCGTGCGCCTTTGGCATTTAGTCATGCTGGCCACATGACCACGGAGACGTCTTCGGACAGCGCTGGCTCTTCGGCTTTGAAACCGAGATGAGCACCACCCCCTAGAGTCGGGAATGACTAGCACATATGTGCGAGGGGGAACTTTTACCTTTACCTAACTTACTGGGGTGGTAGAGACAGCTCTGTGGTTCAAACCCTGTGGCTTAATTTGAGACTAAACTGCTCATTCTTGGGTCCTACTAAAATCTTAGACATAATAACTAGGGATTTGATAATGTTTTACTGAGGAGATCCAGTTTTACCTTAGTCAAAAATTAGATTAGATTAGAATTGTTTATTGGCCAAGTATGATTGGACACACAAGGAATTTGTCTTTGGTGCATATGCTCTCAGTGTACATAAAAAGACATAAAAAGATACATTCGTCAAGAGTCATAAGGTACAACACTTAATTATAGTTCTATTGTGACAGGAAACTTTTTTTGCATAAATTAATAATGAGTTTTGTATCTTACAACAAAATTAGTTAGTCACACATTGTGTAAAATTGTGTTTTGTCTGTTTTTAGCTTCCGATCAGCTGGAAAGCCAGGCCACGATTTCCTCTAATAGTTTTCAGGCCCATTGGTTATGTTTAGTGAGGTTAAATTTTTCCACCCCTTGGTTTGTTTCCATCAATAGTTTTATTGCGGTGTGACTGTGTGTGTCAGGCTAAAACAGAACTGAATAATTGGTGGTTATTGTTTTTTCCCTTACAGAATCATATTCTTAATCCGCCACCTCCACTAAGTAAAAGAGTTTCTTGTTTCAATGCACTTTGATATTTCTGATTACTTCCAGAAATCTGGACAAGCTGGCGAACAAGATTACATAGCCATAAAGGAGCAGCTGGTTGGTCAAATTTTATCCATTTTCCAATGTGGCACAACCAAGCTTCACACCTTGTTCACCCAAAGGCCCATCATAGTTGGAACTGACCCCACAGGAAATCATTAGTTTTATTCACAGGGCATGTCTCCTCCATGCATTGAACATTTTAGGAGAAACATAGCTACTCAGAACTTTACTCTCCCGTACAAATGACATTCAGAACTTTACTCTCCCATACAAATGACACTAAGGGGAACCATAGGTGGGCCTCCTCTGAATCCCCTCCCAGACACTTCCCTCTCTTGGTTGGCGAAAGAACAGGTGTATAAATATATATATATATTGCATTTCTATAGGGGTACGCTGGCTCCCAAAGCTACAGTGTTTCCACAAACTATAATCCACAGCCCGCTGATCCTGTAAGTAGAATATGATCTTTTCCTTTTTCCTTCGTTCCTTCTTTCCCCCCTCCCTTTTTTTGGGGGGAGAATAGGTGGTTTTAAAAATAGGAGGACTTAATCTCAGACTAAATTGATCATTCTTGTATCCTATTAACTATTAGACTTAACAAATAAGGCTTTGTAAAACTTCCCTGGGGAGATCCAGTCTTACCCTATTCAAATCCAGATCTAAATGGAATCATTTTCCTGAATCTAATTGTTCAATCTCATTGAATGCCACAATTTTCCAAAGGGATTTCAAATATTACAGTAATTAGACTGATGATCTGAATCAACTCAATGATTCTATTCTGACCGGAAGTTTTGCACACTCTTAATAACAACTTTTGAGTTTTGTAGCTTGCAACAAAAATCGATTGGGCTCACATATTGGCTTCAAATGTATTTTGTCTGGTTTTGGCTTCCAATCAACTGGAAAGCCAGGCCACCATTAGTTTTCAAGCCCTTTGGTTATGTTTAGCAAGTTAAATGATTCCATCCCTTGGCTTCCTTCCATCAATAGGTTTATTGCAGTGTGACTGTGTGTTTCGGGCTAAGGCAGGATTAATTAATTGGCGATTATTGTTTTTCTCTTACAGAATAATATTCCAAATCTTCTACCTCCACTCCCACCTCCACCCCCAGTAAGTAAATGTGTTTCTTGATTTAATGCACTTTGATATATGTCGGAAATCTGGACAAATTTATTTATTATTATTATATTTATTATATTTTATTTATTATATTTCTATACCGCCTTTCTCCCGTAGGACTCAAGGCGGTGTACAGTCAAGAAAAATATAGACACACAAACATCATAAAATTGCTAATTAAAATTGTTACTTAGTTTGGTCAATTAAATAAAACCCAGAATTAGATAACATTTAAAAAATCATTCACATGTTTGTATGTTTAGCCCTGCCTGTTGGAACATCAGGGTCTTGAGGGCACGGTGGAAAGCACGGAGATCAGGGATATTCTGTATCTCCGGGGACAGTTCATTCCAAAGGGTCGGAGCCCCCACAGAGAAGGCCCTCCCCCTGGGAGTCGCCAGTCGACATAATTTGACTGACGGTACCCTGAGTAGTCCCTCCCTGTGAGAACGAACTGGTCGGTGGGAGGCTATTGGTGGCAAAAGACGGTCTTGTAGGTACCCAGGTCCTAAGCCATGGAGCGCTTTAAAGGTGATAACTAACACCTTGAATCGCACCCGGAAGACCACCGGGAGCCAGTGCAGCTTGCGTAGGAGAGGTGTTACATGGGCGTAATGAATGAAATTACACACTCACAAAGAGGCAGTTGGTTGGTCAAATTCTGTCCTCCTTCCAAAGCCTCAAATATTGTTCACTCAAAGGCCCATCACTGTTGGAACTGACCCCACAGGTAATCTTAATTCACAGGGCATGTCTCACTCATGCCTTGAACATTTTAGGAGAAACACAGCTGCCCAGAGTTTCAAAACTTTACTCTCCCGTACGAATGACATTGAGGGGAACCATATGTGAGCCTCCTCTGAATCTCCTCCCTGACACTTCTCTCTCATGGTTGGATAAAGAACAGATGTATAAATGTATTTTTGCATTTCTATAGGGGTACTCTGGCTACAGTGTTTCTACAAACTATAATTCACAGCGTCCTGAACCTGTAAGTACCCTTTTCCCTTTTCCCTTCTTTCCTTCTTTACCCTTTTCTTTGAAGAATTTGTTGTTGTTGTTAGTCATGAAGTCATGTCCGACCCATCGCGGCTGCATGGACAACGTTCCTCCAGGCCTTCCTGTCCTCTACCATCCCCCGGAGTCCATTTAAGCTTGTGTCAAGTGCTTCAGTGACTCCATCCAGCCACCTCGTTCTCGGCCATCCCCTTCTTCTTTTGCCCTCTATCGTTCCCAGCATTAGGTTCTTCTCCAGTGAGACCTTCCTTCTCATTAGGTGGCCAAAGTATTTGAGTTTCATCTTCAGGATCTGGCCTTCTAAAGAGCAGTCAGGGTTGATCTCCTCTAGAACTGACCGGTTTGATCACCTTGCAGTCCAAGGGACTCGCAGAAGTCTTCTCCAGCACCATAGTTCAAAGGCCTCAATTCTTTGGCGCTCACCCTTCCGTATGGTCCAACTTTCACAGCCATTCATTGGAACTGGGAAAACCATAGCCTTGACTATATGCACTTTTGTTAGCAGGGTGATGTCTCTGCTTTTCAATATGCTGTTTTTGAAGAATAGGAGGTTTCAAATATTTGTCAACTAGGAGGATTCCTGGGTTAAGACAACAGCTAGAAAAACTGGTCAAAATTCATCCCAAAAGACAGTGATCAAATGGATGACCCAAACAGTTCTTTCATCCACATCAAAGTCGTTAGTCCCCATTTTATTTACTGAGGAAGTAAATTTATTTAGGGCATACTATATATTTAGAAAAGGTATCATATTCTGAAATTAAGCAACATCTTTTGATATTATAAGAAAGGAATCGACTCCACGGTTATTTGCTATTTCAGTCAGATACCTAAGAGAGCCTAGGTTTACACAAACTTGATTTTAAAAACCTTCCTTTTATAAAGCTTGAACATTAAGCCTTTTTTTAAAAAATGCTCCTCATCACAACATTTTATGGGAATAAGTATTATGCACATAGATATAATTGGGGTTGTAGAATGCAGATTTTGTGTATCTACTCATTATTTCAAATAGTTATATATATTTAGTAATGTGGAAGATTTATATGGCTCCCCACTCAGCGACTCTGGGTTGCTTACAAGCAGTAAAAAGTTCCCCTCGCAAATATGTGCTAGCCGTTCCTGACTCTAGGGGGTGGCGCTCATCTCCATTTCAAAGCCGAAGAGCCAGCGCTGTCCAAAGATGTCTCTGTGGTCATATGGCCAGCATGACTAAATGCCAAAGGCTCACAGAATGCTGTTACCTTCCCACCAAAGTTGGTCCCTATTTTTCTACTTGCATTTTTTACATGCTTTCGAACTGCTAGGTTGGCAGAAGCTGGGACAAGGAACGGGAGCTCACCTCATTACGTGGCACTAGGGATTTGAACCGCTGAACTGCCGACCTTTTGATCGACAAGCTCAGCATTTTAGCCACTGAGGCACAGCGTCCCTTCAAAAAACCCTTGTATATAAAAATAAAAAACAATAAACCTTCCACCCCTATAGTGACAACACACAGTCAAATGAACCACTTGATGGGCTCCATCCCACATTGGGTTCTCTAGGCCCATTGACAAAACCAAATCTTCAGGACCTTATGAAAGAGTATCAAAGTGAGCGACAGTCTGATTTCTGAAGGGGTGATATTCCAAAGGGAGAGAGCCACCACAGAGAAGGCTCTTCTTCTGGGTCCTGACAGATATACCTGCTTAGGGGACAAGACCTGCAACATTCCTTGCCTCCTTGTTCTAGTGGGTTGGATGGATGTAACTGGCAAGAGTCAGTGCCTCTGATAACCCACTCCCAAATCATGATTTATTTATTTATTTATATGTATAAATGAATAAATAAACATCTAAAAGTGTTAACAGATATGTAGATATAGGATAGATAGATATAGATATAGATAGACAGATAGATGATAGATAGATAGATAGATAGATAGATAGATAGATAGATAGATAGATAGACAGACAGATAGAGGATAGATGATATATGATAGATAGATGATTGATAGATGATAGATAGATAGATAGACTGACAGACAGATAGATGATAGATAAATAAGTAGATAGGTAGATAGGTAGATAAGTAGGTAGATAGACAGAAATTGGATGATATAGATAGATAGATAGATAGATAGATAGATAGATAGATAGATAGATAGATAGATAGTGGATAGATGATATGTGATAGGTAGATGATTGATAGATGATAGATAGATAGATAGATAGACTGACAGACAGACAGACAGATAGATGATAGATAAATAAGTAGACAGGTAGATAGGTAGATAAGTAGGTAGATAGACAGAAATTGGATGATAGATAGATAGATAGATAGATAGATAGATAGATAGATAGATAGATAGTGGATAGATGATATGTGATAGGTAGATGATTGATAGATGATAGATAGATAGATAGACTGACAGACAGACAGACAGATAGATGATAGATAAATAGATGATAGATAAGTAGATAGGTAGGTAGGTAGGTAGGTAGGTAGGTAGGTAGGTAGACAGAAATTGGATGATAAATGGATGATAGATAGATAGATAGATAGATAGATAGATAGATAGATAGATAGATAGAAAGAAAGTGGATAGATGATAGATGATAGATGATTGATTGATGATAGATAGATAGATAGATAGATAGATAGATAGATAGATAGATAGACAGACAGACAGACAGACAGACAGACAGATAGATGATAGATAAATAGATCATAGATCATAGATAAGTAGATAGGTAGATAGGTAGGTAGATAGACAGAAATTGGATGATAGATGATAGATAGATAGATAGATAGATCTATAGATAGATAGAAATGATAGATTTCTATATCATTTCCAGATATAGAAATGTCTTTTACATTTACCATTGTTTCCTGGTTTGGCTGGTCTTGATTCAAAACTGCAGTTTATGCATGCCCCAAAGAATTAAATCAAGTAAAAAGTTCATGTTTTTCTTCTTTCTACAGAGGCCATATAACTTCCCTGCTTCTGCCGAAGTCAGCTATCCTCGCCCAGAAGTGAGTATAAAATTCGCCTGTTCACATGGTACCCATAATCATAATCATAAGTTTGTTTGTCAAGCATATATAAGATAACAGGTAAAAGTATAAACATAATTTTGATACATGAAAAGAGTAAGTAAAAAGGAAAATTAGGACAGGGACGGTAGGCACGCTGGTGCGCTTATGCACGCCCCTTACACACCTCTTAGGAATGGGGTGAGGTCAACAGTAGACAGTTTAAGGTTAAAGTTTTGGGGGTTTGGGGAAGAAACTACAGTCAGGTAGTGCATTCCAGGCATTGACCACTCTGTTACTGAAGTCATATTTTCTGCAATCGAGTTTGGAACGGTTTACCTTGAGTTTGTATCTATTATTTGCTCGTGTATTGTTGTGGTTGAAGCTGAAGTAGTCGTTGACAGGAAGGACATTGTGGCAGATCATTTTATGTACTATGCTTAGGTCAGACGGAAGTCGGCGTAGTTCTAAGTTGGCTAAACCCAAAATTTGGAGTCTGGTGGCATAAGGTATTTTATTGTGGTTAGAGGAATGGAGGACTCTTCTCATAAAATATCTCTGGACTCTCTCGATTGTATTTATGTCCGATATACAGTGCAGGTTTCAGACAGATGAGCTGTATTCAAGAATTGGTCTAGCAAATATTTTGTATGCTCTAGTTAGTAGTACAACATTACCAGAGAAGAAGCTACGCAAGATTATATTAACAACTCTTAATGCTTTTTGGCAATGTTGTTATAGTGGGCTCGGGCACTTAGATCATTAGAAATGAGTATTCTAAGGTCTTTGACAGTGTGAGGGTCGTCTACAAGGTCATGTCCATCTAATTTGTATTTTATGTTTTGATTTTTTTTGCCAATGTGTAAGACAGAGCATTTGTTGGTTGAGATTTGAAGTTGCCACTTGTTAGACCAATCTGACACATAGTCAAGGTCTTTTTGAAGGCTAGTTGCATTGCCGGTGGTGTTGAATAGTTTAACATCATCAGTGAAGAGAACACAGTTGCTTTTAATATGATCACAAAAGTCACAAAGTATGAAGAGTGTTGGACCTAAGACACTGCCTTGGGGAACACTGCTATTAACATGTACAGGATTTGATAGAGCGCTTCCTATTTTGACCACTTTCTGTCTGTTTGAAGGCAGCTATTCATTTATGTAGGAGTCCAGAAATGCCATAGGATTTTAGTTTTAGAAGTAATTTGTCATGTACCACTGAATCAAAACCTTTACAAAAGTCTATGTAAACTGTGTCTATTGCTTTGCCCTGGTCAAGATGTGTAGTCCATATGTTTTTGCAATGTAGTAGTTGTAGATTACAGGATAATTTTTTTCTGAAACCAAATTATTTGTTAGAAAGTAGGTTGTTTGTCTCTAGGTGGAGGGTAATAGATTGGTTAATGATTGATTCCATGACTTTGCAGGTGATGCAACATAAAGAGATTGGTCTGTAAGTTTCAACTAGGCTAGGGTCTCCCTTTTTGAAGATAGGAATGACCCTGGCTAGTGACCATTGGTAGGGCAAGGTGCTGGTACTGAAAGATTTTTCAAAAATTATGCTTAGAGGTTTTGCAATTGCAATGGAAAGCTTTTTTAAGAAGTATGCACTTGGTCCATCAGGTACAATAGATAGAGATGGTTTTAGATTGCGTAGTGCGTTTTCAACATTGTCTTCTGTAAAATCGATATGTATAAGATCACCGTAATCGTTGTAATCGTCTGTAGTATGACTGGGAAATATTGGGTATGTTTTGTTGCTGTTTACAAAGACTGAGCCGAAGAACATGTTAAAGAGATTGGCTTTAACCCATTTAATCCTTCATTGGTGATTTCTCAGCCATGCATTGATCATTTTAGGATACGCACAACTGTCCACATTTTCAAAACTTTAAACTCCCACATTCAGGAGTCGTGTTCTCAAATCATTGATAGATAGTTGTATTTGTATTTATTAGTTTGTCAAACATGTACAAGATAGCAGGTATAAATATAAACATGAACAAAAGAAATGAATACAAATAAACAGGACAGTACGACAAGGATGGTAGGTACTATGATGTGCTTATGCAGGCCTCCTTTACGGACCTCTTAGGAATGGGGTGAGGTCCACGGTAGACAGTTTAAGGTTGAAGCTGTGAGGATTTGAGGATGTAACAGCAGAGTCAGGTAGAGCATTCCAGGCATTGACCACTCTGTTGCTGAAGTCGTATTTTCTGCAATCGAGTTTGGAGCAGTTTACCTTTTGTTTGTACTTATTGTTTGCCCGTGTATTATTGAGGTTGAAGCTGAAGAGGTTGTTGACAGGTAAGTCGTTGTAGCAGATAATTTTGTGTACTGTATAGGGTGAAGCAAGAAGACAGATACTCCTTGGGGACAGAAAGGGATGGCAGAGTTATGTTATATCTTCACTTCTGCAGCAACCTTTCTTAGAGTTATTGTAAAGATAAAATTAGGCAAGACCCCAGCTTTCAGAGAAAATGCAGGATCTAAACATTATTTATTAGTATTGTCTGGGATGTGCAAGAGCCTTGCGTAGGAAAGATACAAAGGTCATCCATATGTATGGATTTAATTGTGGGTCTCTTTAGAACCATCTCCCAGACTCTTCCCTTTTCTTCGTCACAGAAAGTTCTGGTTTGTAATATATCTTTGAATTTCTGCAGGGGAACACTGGCTACAGGGTCGATACTTATTTTGGAAACCATAATCAACAGTACCCTCCACCTCCACCTCCACCTCCACCTTCATCTGTAAGTATAGTCTTCTCCCCTGCCTGATATTCTTTCTCTTTGTTGAGATTTGCACACTCTTAATAACAACTTTTGAGTTTTGTAGCTTGCAACAAAAATTGATTGGGCTCACGTATTGAGTTCAAATGTGTTTTCTCTGGTTTTGGTTTCCAATAAACTGGAAAGCCAGACCAGCCAGTTATGTTTTGTAGCTCCGTCGTGTGTCTTTCCGTTGTCTGCAGGCAAACACGTTGTAGGGTAAAAGAAACCTCGAATTTGCGAGAAGTTTGGTTTTACTCTACAACGTGTTTGCCTGCAGACAATGGCAAGACATGTGACAGAGCTCCAAGGCAAGTAAGACATGCATCTCGTGTCTTCCCGGCTCCACCCCTCCACCCCTGCCATCCCCAAATTGCATGCAATTGGGGCAGGGACAGGAAGCCCTGCCATACCCGGCGACAGGGGGAGAAGAGATGGCAAGAAGAGCGAGCCCTGTCTCGCTCCATGCCTCCCGCTTCTCCCCCGCCTTACCTGCCATCCCCCTCAACAAAGAGATGGCGGGAAAGGGCAGAAGCCAGGCTGCTGTTACCATTGGGGTGCGTGGAGCCTTCTTACCTGCCTTGCAGCTCTGTCGCATGTCTCGCCATTGTCTGCAGGCAAGCATGTAGGGTTAAAAAAACCTCACGAGTTCAATCAAACTTCTCGAACTCGCTAGAAGTTTGGTTTTACCCTACGTGTTTGCCTGCAGACAACAGCGAGACACACGACAGAGGTGCAAGGCAGATAAGACGCGCGTCTCGCATCTCCCCAGCCCCTGGCGAGGGGGTGGGAGAAGAGATGGCAATACGTGTCTTGCTTCTCCCCCACCCCACATGCCACCCCCCTCAATAAAGAGCTGGGTGCTGTGGAAAAGGGAGCCAAGCAGGTGCAGGTTTTGGGTGTCTGGGTCTGCTGGGGGTTGCCCGGCAGAGAGGTGGGAGTGGGGCAGGAGTTTGCTGGCAAGGGGAATGAATGAATGGATGGGAAGCGGGCAAGTGCCTAGCAAACAGCTGACAAGCAGCTGTGTTGCGCTGCCACAGCAGCACAACACAGCAGAAGCCATGAGGTGGCCACACTCACTGTCTCCTGCACCTCCAAAATAATTTATTTATTTATTTATTATTTGAATTTCTATACCGCCCTTCTCCTTTCGGACTCAGGGCGGTGAACAGCCAAAATAAAAGCATTTATACATAAAGTACGATTAAAAATAGATTTAAAATAATTAAATTTGGCCCATAGTTTAAAATTTATCAATTTAAAATCCATATCAAAATTTAAAACCAACCATAAAATCATAAAATCAAGAGAGACTGGCTAACTGAAAGAGATGAGTTTTTAGGGCCCGACGAAAAGTCCGGAGGTTGGAGATCACTCGTATCTCTGGGGGTAGATTGTTCCAAAGGGTAGGTGCCACCACAGAGAAGGCTCTCCTCCTGGGGGCCGCCAGCCGGCATTGTCTAGCCGACGGCACCCTGAGGAGGCCCTCTCTGTGGGAGCGAACTGGCCGGTGGGAGGCTATTGGTGGCAGAAGGCGGTCCCGTAAGTACCCTGGCCCTAAGCCATGGAGCGCTTTAAAGGTGATCACCAACACCTTGAAGCGCACCCGGAAGTCCACCGGAAGCCAATGCAGCTCGCGCAGGAGAGGAGTCACATGGGAGCGCTCCGTCGCTCCCATAATAAGACCCCCCTGATTATAAGGCCAAGCCCTTATTTCGGGGTTCAAAAAAATATAAGACAGAGTCTTATTTTCAGGGAAACATGGTATATGCTTAGATGAGAGAGAATGCAAGTTTGCATTTTATACTATTTAAGTGTCTGTTTATCTCATCAAGAAAAAAAATCCATGTTTTTCTTCTTTCTTCAGTCGTTTCTCAGTAATATGTTGTCAACAGTGAGTATGACTTTGCCTGCTTATATATTATACCCATTTGAGAGAACCCCCCAAAATTATCTGGCCCTGAAAATCATAGAGTCCCATTTAGCCCTGCTCCCAAATCTGGGGCAGGTATTCTGTGAAGAGTAGTTCTTGAGGGTTGGAGAGACCGATATTTTTTTGAGGGGGGGGGGGCATACAAAGTAAGCAGAGATATAGGTTAATTGCATTACAGACGATGGAATAATTCTTTCAAACTGAACTGGTAGCATTAGGGATGTGTGTGGTTTTTCTTTCAGCATCATACTCTTCATCTGTACTTACTTCTGTGATGGTGAAGCCTTGTAGGCTACTCATCCTTGCCCTTTTCTAAATTAGGTGATTTTAAATGGCAGTTTCCAGTCTTTTCAGTTTTTACGGTTGACAGAAAGGGAAGTATTTTAAATTTGAAGCAAAATAGTTTCCAAGCATAGCATCTGGATGTTTATCGTTTTTCATTTCTCATACAGAAGCAGACTATTATAATATTTATAGATTTTTTAAAATCATTAATGGGAATATATTTCTTCCTTTTATTTGTTATTTCATTTGCCTCTTGGCTTTAAAGATGTGTGCTAGAATAGAATAGAATAGAATAGAATAGAATAGAATAGAATAGAATATAATTCTTTATTGGCCAAGTGTAATTGGACACACAAGGAATTTGTCTTTGATGCATATGCTCTCAGTGTACATAAAAGAAAAGATATATTCGTCAAGAATCGTAAGGTACAACACTTAATGATAGTCATAGGGTACGAATAAAGGTGTGTGCTCATAATTATAATCATATTCATGTCTTGTTAGAAGAATGTTCCACCGGCTAAGTTCACACACAACATGATTAACCAGGTCAGGTAAAGGCTGAGCACCTTCACCTGCATGATGTGGAATGCTCTTTTGGCTAGTTATTGTTCTTTGTTGTGTAATTTACTGCTTTGTGTAAACACGATCCAATTGCTTGCTTCATTGTTCAACACATTGTGCAAACCAGAAAATACTAATTGAGTAACCAAATCAAATATCTCAAAATCCAGCCAGTTTAGGCACTGGATATAAAACTGTAACATAAACAAGAAGCAAAGCATGAGAGGGAAAGCATAAAAGGCAAGAGAAAGATTTATTTATTTATTGGTTCAATTTATATGCCCCCTTCTCCGGAGACTCGGGGCGACTTACAATGCCTTGATAGTACAGTGGTTTAGTGCACCCTGTTATTAACACAGCTGCCTGCAATTTCTGCTGGTTCGAATCTCTCCAAGGCTCAAGGTGACTCAGCCTTCCATCCTTTCTAAGGTAGGTGAAATGAGGACCCAGTTTGTGGGGGCAATAAGCTGACTTTGTATAAAATATACAAAAGAATGAAGGCTATTGCTTAACGCATTGTAAGCCGCCCTGAGTCTCCGGAGAAGGGCGGCATATAAATCAAATTTAAAAAAAAATATGCATTAAGCAATAGCCTTCATACTTTTGTATATACCTATGGGTCCTCATTTTACCTACCTCGGAAGGATGGAAGGATGAGTCAACCTTGAGCCTGGTGAGATTTGAACTCACAGTAATTGCAGGCAGCTGGCAGCTAAGTGCTACTTTAACAGCACTTTAGTCCACTGCGCCACCAAGGCTCCTTATTAACCATATTAGTACTATAAAAAGTCAAGATGGCGGTTATGGCTGACATGAAAATAGAGTTTTGACATCAGCTGACATCCTGACTTTTCTGGCTCTCCCTGAAGATACCCATCCATTCGTTTATCACCTGCTCAAAAGGTGAAATAATAAAGAATCATACATTTGCAATGACAAACTTCATTGCAATGTGAGGCCGTGTTCCCCCCCTCCCCACTGCAAAATCCTAAAATCTATTTGACTTCAGCAATACCTAGTTTTTCTCTCAACCATCTCCTTCGCTCAGGTTCCTGTGGACTCATTTTGCTTTCACGGGTTTAAGTTTTTAATTATTCTCATAACCTTCTGAACATCTTACTGTGGGAAGTCCCATAGAGAGAGGTGAACCCTTTTCCTAGCTATCAGGTGATTATCTCCACCCAGATCTTGCAAAAATCTGGATTTTGAGGCAAGAATGATAAGAGGAACAGGGAAAATTAGAGGGCTGTGGAGAGAGGAATCGGACAACTTGCCACAGCCAAATCGCTATGGCCAACTCATCATGGCCAATTTGCTGCAGGACAACTCGCCTTGAGACAACTCACTGCGGGACAATTTAACAATTCTATTTAATTATTGAAAATAAATAAAAAAAGTTATTTTAATGTTTGCCATTCACATTTCATTCTCTCCCTCCTATTCTGTCCCTTCCTTTAATGATTCCATTCCACCATTGCTTTGATATCAGTGTAACTCTTGTCCTACAGCGAGTTGGCTATGGCAAGTTGGCTGTGGCAAATTGTCATAGACCTTGTGGAGACGATGACAATTCTCTTTCCCAATAAACTGAAAAGGGATGTGTGTGGGGGGGTATCAGACTCTTGTTGTCTTTCTTTTTTTGGAAGAAGCAGCTCTGGTGATTTCAGGCACAGACTGGGACATATTATATAGTTGCTTAATCCGAAAACAGCAAAGTAACTGGGATTGAGTAAGTAGATTGGATTGGAATTTCTTTTGATTAATCAGTGTCTTCTCTTTCATAGATTGCTTCATATGCACAGAAACCAGTAAGTAAAAAGAAAGTCCTTTCTTTTCCTGATTCAGTGTCCAGTACTGAGGCAAGATGTTACAGAAATGAATAAGGGGCTACATCAGTGGTGGGATTCAAAATTTTTTACTACCGGTTCTGTGGGCATGGCATGGCATGGCTTGGTGGGTGTGGCAAGGGAAGGATACTGTAAAATCTCCATTTCCACCCCACTCCAGGGGAAGGTTACTGCAAAATCTCCATTTCCTCCCAATCAGCTGGGACTCAGGAGGTAGAGAATAGATGGGGGCGGGGACAGTCAGAGGTGGTATTTACCGGTTCTCTGAACTACTCAAAATTTCCACTACCGGTTCTCCAGAACTGGTCAGAACTTGCTGTATATCACCTCTGGCTACATGTCTTCCTCCATGGTACAACTGATACAGTGAATAAATAATCAATGAATGAACAGTACAAAATCCTTGATAGAGCCTTGATAGTACAGTGCTCTACGCACCCTGTTATTAACACAGCTGCCTGCAATTTCTGCTGGTTCGAATCTCTCCAAAGCTGAAGGTTGACTCAGCCTTCCATCCTTTCTAAGGTAGGTGAAATGAGGACCCAGTTTGTGGGGGCAATAAGCTGACTTTGTATAAAATATACAAAAGTATGAAGGCTATTGCTTAACGCATTGTAAGGTGCCCTGAGTCTCCGGAGAAGGGCGGCATATAAATCAAATTAAAAAAAAAAAAAAATCAGATCAGAGTGCAGATTTTATCTGTTTTTTCAATTATATGATATCCCTGCAAGGTAGATAATGTTAACATTTGGGGATCTGGTAGAATATTTTAAGATTAAAAGGTTAAAAGTTAGTTTTAGAGGGAAAGAGCCATAATCCATAATTGGCATTAACAGAAAGGGGATGGGAACTAATCTTTTGAGCCAGTATTTCCAAATCCGCAGAGAGCTCTCAAGATACCTGTTAATCAGTAGAATGATAAAAGAAGGTTTCTAGAGATTACACTGGGATTTACAGTGGAAAAAAATAAAGATGATTACACTGGGATTAACAGTGGAAAAAACAAAGATGATTACACTGGAATTAAAAGTGGAATGAAGATGATTACACTGGAAATAGCAGTAGAATGATAAAAGGAAAGGTTAAATTAGACCAAGTAAAAAGAAAATTTAATAATGGACATAACGAATCAATTTTTATTAAGGTGCTGGATGGTATATTTGAGAAAACTGATAGCCATAATAATTGGGATATTATTTAAATATGTATAACAATTGTAATAAATTGAACATTTTTTATTAAAAGCAAAATTGAAAGAATATATATTATGATCTACAAACAAAAATTACTTAATTGGTGTTTATAAGATTTATAAGATTAAAATTTGATAAAGTAATACTGGAATAAAGATTTAATGAGAACTATATGAAGTAATAAATAAATGTAAGGAAGTTTTAGAAATGGAAATAATTTTGACATATATAAACATGTTTGAACTGTATTGTTAACAGTGAGGACTTAGGGTAAGAATTGTGAAATGTAGTATGGGGTATTAATTGTTAAGATTTAAGGTGGGTTAATAGAAGGGTAATTGTTTTTTGATTAAGTAAATATGAGTAATTTTTTTCTAAGATGGTATTAGTTGAAATATGTGATTTAAGACTAAGAAATAAGTGACATGACAAAATAGAATATATAAAATTTGGTTAAAGATGACAAAAAAAATGAACAAATTGATGACCGGATCAAAGCTCTGTTCCGAAAAAATGTAATTTGTGTGTCTGAAATTTTTTTTTAAAAAAACTTTTTGCAAAAAAGAAAAAAAAAAGAAAAAAAGAGATACCTCTTTATCAATATTAGATTTTACCAATTTTATATCTCCTGTTTTCAGAAAGAATATCAATTCTGTTCTTTGATTTCTAAACCACTAGGCATGCTAAATTATAATCCACCAACACAAGCAATTAAAAAAAACGCTTAAAACCTGTAATTTCATATATTATAAGTTTTCTGGTCAAAATAGATACCCTACAGTTATTGGTTTCTCCAGAACTTTTTTAAAATTTCCATATTTGAATTCTAAGACAACAAATGTTTCTAAAATTTGTGTTTAATTAAAAAAAAGACCAAGAATAATAAATAAAAACTACTAGGTGTAAAATCACAAGAAATACTTTATCCTAAAGCTAATAATTCTGTTTTCTTCACATAAATCAATTAATGCAAAGGTTTTAATTGTAAAAGAATTTGCCCAGACTCTGCACTTTTTTCAAAAAAGATTTGAAATATTTAGATGGATCCAATTATTTTTTTTCATGGCAGATAATAATTAATATAATAATATAATATAATATAATATAATATAATATAATATAATATAATATAATATAATATAATATAATATAATAAAGCACCAGCACTTTTTCAGATCTCATTTCTGAAATTAGCAATCTAAGAAGAATTACTTAAATGCATCAAATGTTGCTCAATTTAGTCAAGTCTATACAAGTAAACATTATTTAGCAACTGTTTCAGACAGAAATATGAAACGTGTTAAAAAGATTGGGAATGCTGCATCTTTAAAAAAGTTATTTTAGCTTGTAATTCAGCAATTAAAGAAGAGTTATAAATCCTTTCTAAATATTATGTTTGTTTTTTTTGGTAGATCAGTATGGTGAACGTAAGTATATGGATATATTTATTATCATTTATTGCTTTCTCTACCAGACCACAAACTTGGTGCAGATTTTATTGTATAATTCAAATCTTATTGTATAATTCAAATCTTATTGTATAATTTTTCTATAGATGCCATGTGATGCTATCTTTGTTTTAGTCTGTCTTGGTTTAACACTGCTGCATTTTATCTACTATAGTTTTCATTCATTCATTTTTCCATTCACTCGTTCTGTCAGAGTGGATGTCAAAACAGCAACAGATGAGATGGAAATCTGAATAATTCCTCCTCTTACCCTAGAGTACCAAAGACAAATGCAGGCGAAATATATATATATATATATAAATTTGATTTATATGCCGCCCTTCTCTGGAGACTCAGGGTGGCTTACAATGCGTCAAGCAATAGCCTTCATCCTTTTGTATATTTATACAAAGTCATCTTGTTGCCCCCACAAACTGGGTCCTCAATTTACCTACCTTAGAAAGGATGGAAGGCTGAGTCAACTTGAGCCTGATGAGATTCGAACTTACAGTAATTGCAGACAGCTGGTGTTAATCCCAATGCTTTTAGTCTGCTGAGCCACCAGGCCCTTTTATTATTTTATTATTTGAAATGATATATCGTGTTTCTCCAAAAAGTCGACCCACTTTGAAAAGAAACCCTATCACATTTTTGAGCTTGTGCGATTAAATTAAGCTCCACCCACAAAATTAGCCCTAATTAAGACCCTGCCCACCCTGGGATGCAGGGGGTGGGGTGAGGCACACAGGTAAAAAATAAGCTAGGGTGGGGATGGAGGTGTGGAGCTGCCCTACTTACCAGGCCTCGCATACCCCGACACCTTGCCTTCTTCTTACGACCACTTCTTCTGCAGCTGCTTGTATTGGCTTTGTATTGCACAGATATAAAACCCACAAGGACTTAAAATAATAACCACAACCTATTAAGCTAAGCAGGCTTGGCCTTGGTTAGAATTTGGATGAGTGAGGATCAGGGAATATCAGGAATCCATGGTAGACTGGGAAATCTCTCCCAAAATACTTCCAAGCAAACTCTGCAGTTCTTTCCCCGAAGAACAGCTTTAATTTTTATTGGTTCCTGGAGACATAAGGAAGTGTTAGGTAGGTAAAAAGAATCTTGGTGGCGCAGCGGATTAAAGTGCTGTTAAAGTAGCACTTAGCTGCCAGCTGTCTGCAATTACTGCGAGTTCAAATCTCACCAGGCTCAAGGTTGACTCAGCCTTCCATCCTTTCGAGGTAGGTAAAATGAGGACCCAGATTGTGGGGACAATAAGCTGACTTTGTATATATAAAAAAAGAACACTGCTTAGGGGGCCCAAAAGCCCTACTAAGCAGGTATATACAAAAGTATGAAGGCTATTGCTTAACGCATTGTAAAGCCGCCCTGAGTCTCTGGAGAAGGGCGGCATATAAATCGAACCAATAAATAACCAATAAATAAATAATAGAAATAATTACTTCATTTCTCCTATTTGAAGGAGAGATCGAGGAAAATACGGTTCCAAATAACTCTTGAAATTTTTCTTTCTTACATTAGGATATGATGGGAACATTCACGGACCTGGTAAGTCTCAGGGGTAATTTTGAATATATTGCAACGGTTGGTTTGTTCAGATGAATGCTGAAGGGCTTTTTAGTGAAGACGAAGTATTAGCAACTAAATTAATGGACTAAGGTTTTTTTTTTTTTCCAGGAATAAAAAAATAGTTCTGGGAACAGCCATCATGGCTGGACTGCTAAGAGAAGTTTTAGAGTACTTGTTAAGCAATGTCCTGGGACAAGAGGGTATACATGGAATAACAATGCCCTTTTTCTCCCTGTTCATCCCCCCCCCACACACACACAACACCTTGGCACTGTTAAGGAGAAGGTAAACCAGGAAAGGCAGAGAATCAGGGGTGGGTTCAATTTACCTTTACTACCGGTTTGCAATGGGGCTGGTTGCGCGTGTTTCTGCACATGCGCAGAAGCTTCCTGATGATGTCGTGGTCGGTGGACGGAGTCTCCCACCGGTTTTACTACTGGTTCTATAGAACCGGTCCGAACTGGGGGCAACCCACCACTGCAGAGAATGGCCTTCACTTCCTGCCTGCTGAAACAACTGCTTCACTTCATCAAAAGGGAGATGCTCCCCAAGTCATATAGAATAATTAAAATGCCATTTTTATGGCTCTAAAATGTCAGTTACAGAGTTTACCGTGATTTCAGTTACAGCTCCCTTCTTCCACATTAATTTCAACCATTAGGTTTCACCTCATTGGACCACAGATTAGATTCTCCATAGAATCTTAATTTGTGTTTAGCCCAATACAGCTAATCATTCATAAAAGGTAAAGGTCCCCTCGCGCATATGTGCTAGTCAGTTCCTGACTCTAGGGGGCAGTGCTCATCTCCGTTTCAAAGCCGAAGAGCCAGCGCTGTCCGAAGACGTCTCCGTGGTCATGTGGCCGGCATGACTAAATGTTAAAGGTGCACGGAACGCTGTGATCTTCCCACCAAAGATGGTCCCTATTTTTTCTACTTGCATTTTTTACGTGCTTTCGAACTGCTATGTTGGCAGAAGCTGGGACAAGTCATGGGAGCTCACCCCGTTATGCGGCATTAGGGATTCGAACCGCTGAATTGCCAACCTTTCAATAGACAAGCTCAGCATCTTAGCTACTAAGCCACCGCGTCCCTTGACAGGCCCCCAAATCCCAAACGTTTGAAGAGGACAAAGTTTCCCAACTTTTTTCTATGCATTTAGCTCTGTGCTATGATTTCAAATCAAGTCAGCCAGTGATTAGCCTGTCACTCTTTAAGTTTACATTAAAGAGTTTGTTGCTTATAGAAATACAAATGAAATTATTTGGCAATACTGCCAATTATATTCATGGGCTTCAATATGGTTCCTGGGCTTCCTTTATTATGGATTTTCAAATTCAAATCAAATTCAAACCTTTATTGTCAATGCCTACGGGCCTGGTGGCTCAGCAGACTAAAGCATTGTGATTAACATCAGCTGTCTGCAATTACTGTAAGTTCAAATCTCACCAGGCTCAAGGTTGACTCAGCCTTCCATCCTTTCTAAGGTAGGTAAAATGAGGACCCAGATTGTGGGGGCAATAAGCTGACTTTGTATAAATATACAAAAGTATGAAGGCTATTGCTTGACGCATTGTAAACCGCCCTGAGTCTCCAGAGAAGGGTGGCATATAAATCAATTTAAAAAAAAAAAAAAAAAGCACAACATGTGTACAATGAAATTGAATGAGCCTCCCTTGGTGCAATCCCCTGCCCCAAGAACACAGAATACATCTCAATAAATCCATAAATAAAAAAAGGAATCCCTAAACCCAAATAAGTAATAACTAGCACACATTCCCACATACATATATGTATATAACATTATATTACACCGGTATATAGCCATATTTTTTGGAATATAAGATGCTTCGGACTATAAGACTCACCTACCTTTTTTGGGGAGGAAAACAAGAAAAAAAAAACCTGCCTCCCAGCAATTTGCCTCCTTGCAGCAAACAGCAGAGGCCCACATGGCAATAGGTAATGAGAATACCTGCAGCCTGAAACAGCTGAGGGTCGGGAAGCTGATCCAACTGACAATCAGCTGCTTGCGCTAATCAGGCTGTGCTGAAACTGAAATGGGCTGTTTGATGTTTGCTGAAAGGAGATAAATTGCTGGGAGGCAGAGGCCAAAGAATGGCCACCCAAATTTTCACCCTCTTTTTTTGGGGGGGGGGGAGAAGTGTGTCTTATACTCCGAAAAATATGGTACATGTTGCAAGTCTATCACATTAAGCCTGATTGTGGTGTTATGTTTCGTTTAGAAGCCTGACAGCCTATGGATAAAAGCTATTTTTCAGCCTATTCATTCGGCTGGCTAGGCTTCTATATCTCCTGCCCAATGGTAGGAGAGTAAAGAAATGCTGACCAGGGTGTGAATCATCCCTCAGGATTTTCCTCACTCTGCGGAGACAGCAGATCCTGGCGATTTCGTCCAGTGAGGTCAGGGGGCAACCCATGATTTTTTGTTCTGTGCTCATCACCCTCTGTAATGCCTTTCTTTCCGCGGCTGTCAAGCCAGCGTACCATATTGTGACACAATATGTGAGGATGCTTTCGATCATAGACGGGTAGGAGGAAGTCATCAGCCTTGGTTCCACCTGATTTTTCCGCAAGACGCTAAGGAAATGGAGTCTCTGTTGAGCCCTTCATTTTGGGAAACAAATGAGATTAGTAACTCTAATATTGGAGATACTATGGAGAAGTTATACGTTAATAGTGAGAAAAGGATCTTTGTTACATGTATCTCTATCACATTATGGACTTCTTTCTTGCTCCCATATAAAAGAAGCAGTTTGGCAACGTAGACAATATGTCTTCCTGCTTACTACATTCATGGAGCCAAGAGCTTGGCTTCCATGGGGTTTAAATTTGAAAATAATTTGAAGTGACATTCAAATGATCTATTTACTTTTTATTAGCTTGGTGGTCTTTCTCAACCTTCCAAACGTTCTTATCCTTTAAAGAACCAGGTGAGTTGCATATGACTGGATTTTTTTCATCCCCTGCTACCAATATCTTCCTTTGGAGAAGAAGTTAAGACTAATTCTTGGGACTGGGGAAAATCTGTTGATTCAAATATGCTAGTTGAGCTCCTGATGAATGCCTTTAAGACCAGGTTTTCAGAAGCAGGGTGTACAAAAATCTCCCAAGAGCAGCGGTGGTGCAGTGGTTAGAGTGCATCTACTGATCACCAGCTGCCAGCAGTTTCCATCCTTCCGATGACGGTAAAATGAGGACCCAGATTGTTGGGGGCCATAGGCTGACTCTGTAAACCGCTTAGAGAGGGCTGTAAAAGCACTATAAAGCGGTATATAAATCTAAGTGCTATTGCTATATACAGGCATGATTTTAATTTTGCCATATTGTGGTATCTCGGTGTCATTTTTAAACTCTGGTGACTATTACACCTTCTTCGAGTCATCCAACTTCAGCTTTGCCAATGGAAAGTTTACATCACTTCAACAATGGCTTGATGCTACTATGGAGAGATTCTAGGTTATGGGAAATGGCATTTTTTTAATGGCATTTATGATCCTGGCAAAATGTATGACCCAAAGTTGTTAGTTGAGCTGATGATGACTGCCTTCTCTCTTAAGAAGGTTATATATATATTTAAAATATATACAGATACCTTGACTACAGCATCTTCCAGAGTCATCCTATACCAGCTTTGCCAAAAGAACATTAATGTTGACAGCTGTTACATAACTTCAACAATGGCTTGGAGAGGTTATATGCCACTGGTGGGAAAATGGCTTTTCTTTATATATCTCTCCATCACATACTTTCTTGCTCCTTCTTCTCAGAAATTTGTTTAGGCCAAAAATTAAGTTGCTCATTTTAGCATGTGTTACTCTGTAATATATCTGGATGGTTTATGCATTTATGTTTTAAAATAATCTGAAAGGACATTCACAGAATCAATTTTCTTTATCAGGCTTCCTACCATAGGCCTGTTCCTGTTGCCAGCAGCCAGGTGAGTTCCATTAGATTTGATATTCTTCTTCCCTAGCATTTTCCTTTGCACTGCAAGTCCAGGCTATTTAGTGGTACTGGGGAAAATCTGTGGATTCCAAGATGGCAGTTGAGCTCTTGATTGATCCTTGAAGATCAATCTCCAAGGAGCCTTGGTAGTACAGTGGTTTAATGCACCCTGTTATTAACACAGCTGCCTGCAATTACTGCAGGTTCGAATCTTACCAGGCTCAAGGTTGAGTCAGCCTTCCATCCTTTCTAAGGTAGGTTAAATGAGGACCCAGTTTGTGGGGGCAATAAGCTGACTTTGTATAAATATACAAAAGGATGAAGGCTATTGCTTAATGCATTGTAAGCCGCCCTGAGTCTCCGGAGAAGGGCCGCATATAAATCAAATTAAAAAAAAAAAAACAGGTCATAAAAGGAATATCTCAATATAGGTCAATATATACAGACCCCCCTCAACTACTGTCCTACTCTGGCATCTTGGCGTCATTTTTAAACGTGAGTGACTTACAGCATCTCCTAGACCAGGGCTGTCAAACTTAAGGCCTGGGGGCCAAATCCAGACTGCGGGGTGCTTAGATCTGGCCTGCAAGGCAACCTTGGAAACAGCGAAGGACCAGTCCGCAGTGCTTCTGCCAGCAAAAACAGAGCTCAGGAGGGCTGCATGCGACCCTCCCAAGCTCCGTTTTCACTGGAAGAGGGTTGCAGGAGGCCATCTCAGCCGATAACAGAGTCTGGGAGCCCGTTTTCTCTGGCAGAGCTCTTGGGCCACCACAGGCACCCCTGACATGAGTGACATCGAGGTGGCCACACCCATCTTGGCCACGCCCCCCCACCCCCCAAGGTCAAACACAACCCTGATGTGGCCCTCAATGAAATCGAGTTTGACACCCTTGTTCTAGACTCATCCAACCTAGCTTTACCAAAGGACACAATTGTGGACAGATTTTAAACCACTTCAAAAATAGTTTAAATATACTATGGAGATATACTGTACATAACTGGTTGGAAAGTGGCCTTCCCCCCACCCCCCAACTCTCATATAACAGACTACTTTCCTGATCCTTCTTCCTACAAATTTGTTTAAGGCAAAGATTAACTTCCTGTTCTTTACATACTGTATGTTCCTCTGCAAAATATCTTAATGATACATGCATGTACCAAAACAAGAGCTTGGCTTCTAGAAGGTACAGCTTTTCAAATAATATGAAGGCACATTCATAGATTGATAGATTGATAGATTGATAGATTGATAGATTGATAGATTGATAGATTGATAGATTGATAGATTGATAGATCGATAGATTGATAGATTTATTTATTTATTAGGTTTTTGTCTCCTCTTATCCATCTCATTCTGCCAGTAACCAGGTAAGTTCTGTAAGACTGGATTTTCTTCTTTCCTATAATTTTCCTTTGGAGAGAATGTCAAGATTACTGTATTTTTCAGAGTATAAGACGCACCAGAGTATAAGACGCAGCTTAGTTTTTGGGGAGGAAAATAGGTGGGAAAAAATCTGCCTACCAGGTATTCATCTGGCTAGTGTCCTTAGTCTGGTCAGCTTCAGCACATTAGTTTGCTGGTTTTTATCCCCTGCTTGGGGATAAAAAACAGCTTTTAAAGCACAGCTGATCTTTGGAGAAAGAAGCAATGAGAAAAGCAGGCAAAGCATGGAGATCGCTTCACTCACTAGCACCTCCTTAGGGCTGAAAAAAAGCTTCATAGCTGAGAGTCAGAGGGAGCAGGCAAAGCACGGAAGATCACTAGTTCCTCGTTAGGGCTGAAAAAAAGCTTTGAAAAAGCTACATTCGGAGTATAAGACACACCCAAATTTTCAGCCTCTTTTAGGAGGGAAAAAAGTGTGTCTTATACTCCAAAAAATATGGTAATTCCTGATACTGGGGAATATCTGTTGATTCCAAAATGGGAATTGTGCTCATGCTGACTGCTTTGAGAATCAGTGTTCCAGAAGGAGGGCATTAAAGAAATAATTCACTACGTCAATATATAGATACTTTGATTACTGTCTCACTCTGGTATCTTGGTGTCATGTTCAAACTTTGGTGACTTACAGCATCTGCCAGAGTCATCCAATACCAGCTCTGACAAAGGAACACAGACGTGGACAGGTTTTACATCAATTTTAAGAATAGTTTAATACGCCTACGGAGTGATTCTATGTCACTGGTGGCATTTCTTACATTCTCTGTCCATTATGTAATATACCTCTTTCTTTCTCCTTCTTCCCACAAATCTGTTTAGCAACAGCACTTAGACTTACATACCACTTCACAGTGTTTTACCGCCCTCTCTAAGCGGTTTATAGAGTCAGCACAGGGCAAAGGTTAAGTTGCTCTTATTCACATATGTTACTTTGTAATGTGTCTTGATACTTAAGGCATGAACAGACCCAAGAGTTTGGCTTTCATGAAATTTAAATTTTGAAATAATCTGACGGGACTTTGATAGGGTTTATTTAATTTATTATTAATTTGCTGCGACTTATGATCAGAATGGTGGTCCCGCTCCTGCCAGCCTCCAGGTGAGCTGCATAAGATTGGATTGTCTTCTTCTTTAGCATCTTACTTTGGACAAAAACTCAAGATGAATTCCTGGTCCTGGGGAAGATCTGTTGATCTCCTAGATCAGGGGTCACCAACCTTTCGGACCTCAGGGATCACTAAATTCATAATTTTAAATCCTGCGGACCACTAATATGATCTGCCTAATGACTGACTGCTTGGCTGTGGCTAGGTGGTCATGTGACTGGGTGGGTGTGACCAACTAGATGTCACTCATGTCAAGGGGCACCTCGTTGGCCTCTACTCACCCCTCCCCTCCCAGCCACTCCTCACTTCCCTGCCCGGACTCCTTAGGGCCCCAACAGGAAGCAATTGTTGGAGCTAAGCCGCCATCATGATGGCGTCTCTTCCAACTCTGTTATTCTTTATACAAACACCTTGATTACTGTCCTAGTCTGGTTATCAACTCGCAAAGCATTTCTAGTCTGCTCTCGAGTTGCCGTGGGTATCAAGTGGAGAGCATATTCCATGTGTACCTTCTTCCAAGCTCGGAACTCAAGATTACCAAAGCTGGATTGTGAGGTGTGCTTTCTATAGCCCATGGGAGTGCCTCATTGTAGAATGTGATTTATGACAGAGACTGAGAGGAGGGGGGGAAACAGGATCAAAGTTGAGCTGTAAATTACATGCAGCAGAGTTGACCTCACTTGAGTAGACGCCGCCATGTTGCTCCTAATAAAGAACTGGATTTCTTTTGAAACTTGGCTCGAGATTCATGAGTTAATTAGGGCATCTGTCAGAACCTTGACAGCAGGTCAGCTCTCCTTTTAAAATCAATCAAGATTACCAGGCTTCCTGAATCTCGGGCTCTCCAATCGCTCCCCGATATCTGGGGTGCTTGGAGAGAAACTCAGGCAACCTTGACACTGGTATCTTGGTATCATTTCTAAACTTACTGTGTCTTCTAGACTCATCCAACCTCAGCTTTATCAAAGGAACACAATTGTGGACAGATTTTAAATCACGTCAACAATAGTTTAAATATACTATGGAGATATTATACATAACTGGTTGGGAAGTGGCCTTTCTTATATAGCTCTCCCTCACATAACCAACTTCTTTCTTGCTCCTTCTTCCCACAAATTTATTTAGGTTAAAAATTAACTCACTGTTGTTCACACACGTTATTCTGATTGGTGTCTTGATGGTTAATGCAGGCATTGTAGCAACAGCATAACTTCTATGAAGTTTTAATTTTGAAAATAATCTGAAGGGACATTCACATGATCTATTTACTTATTTATTAGGTTGGTGTTCCCCCTGGTCCTTACAATGGACTTCCTCCCCTTCCTCCTCCACCTCCTCCTCCTTTCGTTAGCCAGGTGAGTTCCAGAACACTGGATTTTCTTCTTCCCTGGTATTTTTTTTGGACAGCAAATCAAGACTAATTCCTGGTGTTTAGTAACAATTGTTAATTCCAAGAGGCCAGTTGCACTCTTCATCACTGACTTAAGAATCAGGCTCTCAGAAGCACAGCACAACAGAAAAACCTGTTGCTGATAGATCCATAACCATCTTGAATTTCTTTTTTCTCAAGTGTTAGCCATTCTTCTGTCACTCAGCACAAACCAAACAGATTATTTTGTAAAGTTCTCTGCTCTGATACTTGACTTATTACTACATCTACTACTACTGCTGCTATTAGTAGGAGGGGTGGGTGGGACCCAGTGGTGAAATTCAATTTTTTTTTACTACCGGTTCTGTGGGCGTGGCTTGGTGGGCGTGGCTTGGTGGGCGTGGCAGGGGAAGGATACTGCAAAATCTCCATTCCCTCCCCACTCTGAGACCAGCCAGAGGTGGTATTTGCCAGTTCTTTGAACTACTAAAATTTCCGCTACCGGTTCTCCAGAACCTGCTGGATTTCACCCCTGGTGGGGGCCCTTTAGGTGAATAAGCAACAGGAAACCCATTTTTAGCAAGCCATTTCTTATTTTCCCCCCCCTCTCTCTTGGAATAGAGAGATAAAAGTCCTTCTATCACTACCGTGTTTCAAGAAGCTTGACAGTTAGAACAATTAATCAATGGAACAACTTGCCTCCAGAAGTTGTGAATGCTCCAACACTGGAAGTTTTTAAGAAGACGTTGGATAACCATTTGTCTGAAGTGGTGTAGGGTTTTCTGCCTAAGCAGTGGGTTGGACTAGAAGACCTTGAAGGTCCTTTCCAACTCTGTTATTCTGTTATCTCCATAGGTCAATGCATATACACACCTTGATTACTGCCCTAGTCTGATATCTTGGTGTCATTTTTAAACTCTGGTGACTTATAGCATCTTCCAGAGTCATCCAGCTCTAGCTTTGCTGAAGAAATACAAATGTGGACAGATCTTAAACCACTAAAATAATAGTTGGAAGCTAGTATGGAGAAATTATACATCACTGGAAAGGAATTGGCTTTTCCTACATGTCTCTTTATCACATAACAGATTTCCTTGTTGCTCGCTCCTATGTCTCACAAAGCTGTTTAGGAGCAAATGTTAAGTTTTTTCTGTTTACATGTTACTCTGGGATATGTTTTCATGCTTACTACATTCCCATGTAATAAGTAATTTGTTTAGAGAAAATTAACACACTGTTGTTCACTCAAGTTACTCTGTGACATGTCTTGATGCTTAATGCATTCATTGTCCTATGGGCTTGGCATCTATGAAGTTTTAATTTTGAAAATAAACTGAAGGGACATTCACAGGATCTATTTACTTATTTATTAGGTTGGTGTTCCTTCTTATCCTGTACCTCCTCCTCCTCCTCCTCCTGTCAGTAACCAGATGAGTTCCATTAACACTGGATTTTCTTCTTCCCTGGTATCTTTTTTGGACAGCAAATCAAGATTAATTCCTGGTACTTAGGAAAATGTGTTAATTCCAAGACGTCAGTTGTCCTCCTGATGATTGATGTAAGGATCAGTCTCTCAGAAGCAAGTCATATAAAAAATATCTCAAGGGGTTACACAGATATCTCAATTTCTGCCTTCCTCTGGTATCTTGGTGTCATTTTTTTTTAACCTCTGGAGACTTACAACATCTTCCAGAGTGACCTTCCAGCTTTGCCAAAGGAACACAAATGTGGATACTTTGGGGACAATGTCCTTCCATATATATCTGCCCAGCAGTTAATTGGCTTCTTTCTTCCTCCTACTTTCCACAAATTTGTCAGGGCAACTGGTAAGTCGCTCCTGTTGACATATATTACACTAAAATATATATTGGATGCTTAATGCACTTGCAGACCCAAGTATTTGGTTTCCATGAAGTTTGGTTTTTAAAATAATTTGAAGGAATGTTCACAGGATTTATTTACTACTTCATTAGGTTGGTGCTCCCTCCAATAGTTACAATGGTCCTCCTCCTCCTCCTCTTGCCAGCATCCAAGTGAGTTCCATTAGATATGATATTTTCTTCCCTAATATCTTGTTTTGGGCTTCGAGTCTAGATTAATTACTGACAGTAATTGTGGATGTTCGTGCATTTTACTCTGCAAAATATCTTACTGCTTAATATATTCACAGACTCAAGTAGTTGGCTTCTATGAGGTTTATTTTTTTTTTTAATACTCTGAAGGAACATTCACAGAATCTATTTCCTTCTGTATTAGGTTACTAGTTCCTCTGATAGTAACAGTGGCCCTCCTCCTGCAAATAGCCAGGTGAGTTGCACAAGATTGGATTTACTTCTTCTGTAGTATCTTCCTTTGGACGGCATCCCAAGAAGTATTCATCATACTGGGGAAAATCTGTTGATTCCAACGTCAGTTGAGCTTCCGATGACTGCTGATGATCCGTCTTTCAGAATATCTCAATAAGTCAGTAATAGCAATCATTCCTAAAGAGGAGTTGTTTGTGTCCATATTTCAAAGTACTGTATTTTCGGAGTATAAGGCGCTCTGGACTATAAGACACACCTTCCTTTTGGGGGGGAGGAAAACAAGAAAAAAAATCTGCCTCTGCTTCCCGGCAATTTGCCTCCTTGCAGAAAACAGCTGAGGCCGAAAATGGGGCGTGCAGAGGTGGCAATAGGCAATGGCAATCCCTGCAGCCTGAAACAGCTGATGGTCGGGAGACCGATCCAACGACAATCAGCTGCTTGTGCTAATCAGGCACTGCTGAAGCTGAAATGGGCTGTTTCCTGTTTGCTGCATGGAGGCAAATTGCTGGGAGGCAGAGGCCAAAGAGTGGGGGCCGGCAGGTGGGCGGGGCTATATTCGGTGTATAATACGCACCCAAATTTTCACCCTCTTTTGGGGGGGGGAGTGCGTCTTATACTCCAAAAAATACAGTATAAACATGCTGGGAAGTTCTTCCCAAAATTTCATCTTTTTTTTCTAAACATAGAGATACTTGTCTTTTTGATACTGTGTGTTTCCATCTTGCCAAGATTAGGGGAGATATGATAGCAGCGTTCCAATTTTTGAGGGGCTGCCAAAAGATGAGGGGGGTCAACCTATTTTTCAAAGTATCAGAAGGCAAGGCAAGAAACAATAGATGGAAACCAATCAAGGAGAGAAGCAAACTAGAACTAAGGAGAAACTTCCTAACGGTGAGGACAATCAACCAGTGGAATGGCTTGCTGTTGTGGCCCCGCCCTCTGAGCCTGTCCCATCAGAGGAAGAAAGCTCCGAGCATGAGGAAGAGGAGTCAGCCAGGCCTCCCTCTCCAGGCCCCTCCCCTCTGGCATTGTCTCAAGTGCCGGCCGAGGGAGAGGAGACAGCTGGTTCGGATCAGAGTGATGAAGAAACATCATTCCTGGACGCACGCCTCCGAAGGCGTGATAAACGTTTGCAGCAGCTTAGGAGGCGTGCTAGGGATTAGAACTGAGTCACTGGACCACACCCCAGAGACTATATAATAGAGGGTGGTGGTCAAGGATCCTTGTGACGAACAAAGCAAACCTTAGATAGTCACTAAAGCCTCGTCCGGAGCTGCTGAGAGAAAGATTTAAAGTGTCGGACATTTGGACTCTTGAGTATTTATCTTTCTGTTTTTACTTTGAAAATAAAGTCACTTGGCAGACGGTGTGTCTATCGCTGCCAAGTGGGAGATAAGACCTGGGTGCGTTCCAAAGTGTTTCTTTAACCCTCGACTGGCTGTGTTGGTGTGTGTGTGGGTACGGGGACAGACCACTTGCCTTCAGAAGTTGTGCGTGCCCCATCACTGGAGGCTTTTAAGAAGAGACTGGACAATCATTTATCTGAAATGGTATAGGGGCTCCTGAATGAGCAGGGGGTTGGATTGGAAGACCTGCAAGGTTCTTTGCAACTCTGTTATTTTATGAAAACAATATATGCATCTTTCAGAAATACAGACATAAATTCTCAGAATTTCAGCAATGGCTATACTGGCTGGGATAGCTGTATTTGCAATGGGCTGACTTTGTTTTCCCCACCAAAAGGACAATTGTTAGATATAAGTTATCTACTCTTTTTTCCCCTTGCCTTTTGCAAAATGCATTTTCTATAAGAACTTCCATCATTTAAGTTTTTGTGTTTCTTCTTTTAATAGTTTCCAGAATATACGTGCGGGAAAAAAACCCTTGCATTATCTTTATAATTATAAAATATTATTTTTCCTGTTTTATAAGTCATCTCAAACAATTTGAATATTTAGGTCAATAGTAACAGTTTCAATAATAGCAGCCATCTTCGATTTATCTTGAAATGTTACTCCAAAAACACAGAGGTAGAAACTTTGTTAGGCTAGTTTTACAAAAAAAATTAACAGTGGGAAGAACTCTTTTCGGAGTCCTGAAAAACTGCCAGAGAAGTTGCAGATAAATATTCAGTTGCTAATTAGTTGTATTACCTTTTTCATTGCACTATTGAAAGCTGAACATTTTTTGTTTGGCTTCTTCCATCCTAGCTAGCATTGAAGCCCCATATATGCTTTTCATTCAAACTGTCCTGAATAATTGGCTTTATCCTCAATCCTAACACATTTATTTTCCATTGTGGTCACTTCAGGGCAATGGTGAAATCCAAATGGGTTTGCCACTGGTTCTCTGGCTGCACATGCGTGCCATGCACCAAATGCACGCTGTGTGTGCATGCGCAGTGCGCACCAAATGCGCACTGTGTGCACCCTCATAGTACATGCCAAATGGAGGCTTTGGAAGGTAAGTAGAACAGCGAGGGGGAGATCAGCTGTGTCCTGCGATTTAGCTTTGCTAGAAAGCAGGATTTCCTGCTTTCTAGCAAAGCTAAACCCTGCGGCACACAGCCGATCGTCGGAAATACCGGTTTGCCTGAACCGGTAGCTTTTTAAACTGCCAGTTCAAACGAACCAGCAGCTAACTACCGGTTTGCCCGAACCGGTAGTTTTTATCACTACCGGTTTGCCTGAACCAGAGCAAACCGGTAGCATTTCACCCCTGCTTCAGGGATTTCCAGCCTTTAAGTACCAGATGAGTATTTCATTCCTATAAAATTGCAGGTGTTTCTGGGAAACTAAAAGATGAACAATTATTTATTTATTTTTGTTCTCTCCCCCCCCCCCCTTCTTGCCGTCTCTTTAGGGATTTCCAATGTATGACTCCCATTTATACTGCAGGTTTTTGCATTAACTTGAAAACTGAGCAATATTTTCTCTTTTTTCCCCTGCAGACTTACAATGTTAGAGTGCCGGCTCCACCTCAAAATGTGAGTATGCCTTCTAAGAACCTTCTTTAACTTACTATTCCTTACCCTCTTTCTTCATTTTTATAATTTTGTTTGCCTTGAAATTGTGATTGCTATATATCTGGGTCAATGGTGAAATGTAAAATTTGTTACTACTGGTTCTGTGGGCATGGCTTGGTGGGGGGGTTTAATGTGACTGGGTGGGCGTGGCCAACTTTTTTTCTTTTTTTACTTTTAAAAGCATTTTTTCTACAATCTTAAAAGGTTGCAGAAAAAAATGCTTTTAAAAGCCTCTGACGATCAGGCAACTCAGCTGGGATCGTCAGAGCCTTTTAAAAGCATTTTTTTCTACAACCTCTTTGGCCGAAGGGGGATGGGGGGTGGGTGGAGGAGGGAAGGGGGAGGGATGGGGGAAAATTGTTGTAATATTTGCTAAAACTTTTTAATAAAAAAAAATTAAAAAAAGCTTCTGATGATTGCGCGGCTGAGCTGGGCATGGAGGAGGGGGTCAGGGATTTTTGCTACTGGTTTTCCGAACCACCTGCTGCCATCGCTACCGGATCAGGTGATCTGGTCCAAACCGGGAGCATTTCACCCCTGATCTGGATGTATATTGGATAATAATTGGGTATATAATGTATATTGGGCATTATACATTATAAGCACAGGTTGATGCTACTTACCTTTAAAAAAAACAATGCAAAGACAAATTAGCACACACACACATTGGGAACAAATGTTCCACCTGTATTTTAGAATCCTAATTTGTAAGTAGATGCCATGTAGGGACACCTCTGTGTCATTTCAAGTTTGTTTTTCCAACTACCTGTATTTTCCAGAGTATAAGATGCTCCTGAGTATAAGATGCACCTTAGGGTTTGGGGAGGAAAAAAAAATCTGCCTCTGCCTATCAGCATCCATTGGTATTCATCTGGCTAGAGTCCTGTCAGCGTGTGAGAGAGTTGAGGGCTGTTTGGAAACTGAAACAGTATTTGCTGTGTGAGCAACAAGGAGACAGCAAGGAGCCTGCGCGTGGCTTAGTTCAACTGTTCTGTACTAAAGCTGCATGCTGGTCTAAAACTGAAAATGAAACTCCTCTCCTCTGCTTGTGTTTTGCTTGTATTTACTACCATGCTTGAAAACCTGCTTTTGGTATTGTATATTTACTTCATGTGTTATATTATATATAAAGAGAAGTTATTGAATCCTGCTGAATCAGTTACTTGTGTGTGCTTTCTGGATGTGACTGCTGTTGCAAACTCTGATACGTCCTTGCAGCAAATAGCGAACAGCCAAGTCAGCTTCAGCACATTATTGCAACCTGATTCAGCATGAGCAGCTGATTGGTGGGTGGATTGACCTCCCGGAATACCCCCAATCAGCTGTTCCAGGCTGCAGGGATTGCCATAGACCATCGCCCCCTCCGTGCCTCGCATTTTTGGCCTTGGGGGCTGGACTACATTCGGTGCATAAGACGCACCCAAATTTTCATCCTCTTTTGTGGGTGTGTCTTATACTCCGAAAAATATGGTATTTTTTCTCAAAAGAAATGGATTAATTACTCCATCACCACTGCACCAATTGTAGCAGTTAAACCATGAACTTTCTCCAGCATTGTTCAGAAGCGAATCAATCCTCCAGTTATTAACTCTTGCTGAATTGCTTATCTAATTTTATTTTTCCAGGCAATGTAAATCAAAGCATCTCACAGGGAAAATGGACTCTGGTGGGTATGGAAGATATTTTTGGTTTAATAGAGATTTACATTGTGCATATTTCCTCTCAGGACTTTACAACAACTTGCTTTTGGATACGTGGATTATTTGGGATCATTGTCATTGAGGGTAAAGGGAGACTGAAGGCAAAATTCTGAAACATTTTCTACTTTAATGGGTAAATTTATGCCAAATATTGCACATTCACTCATCTTGGTTTTGATTTTTTTTCCCTAGATCCACCAATTGCATGTATTGAGAATAAAACGGACAGCTACATTTTCTATTTCGATCATTCACATTTTTTCCCCCTAATCAACGAGGAATTGCAACTTTTTTTTGAGAAGGCTCCAGCAATTATGTTTCTTTCTGTTGATTAATGTAGTTCCTCTTAATTGTGAATCCAGATTAGTCTACAAAAATAAACGTTTAAAAATATATACATATGCAGCATTATCATGGAGTGTTGTCTTTATTGCTGACCTTGAAAATTATCATTTTAGTGGGGTTCAGGCAGGGTTGGGCTTCAAAAATTTTAGCAAGGGGTTGTCTGCCCAGTTGTTGGGTGGGTGTGGCCATGGTGGGCGTGGCCTAGTCAGCCACCTGCACCACGGTGGGGGGGGGATTTTTCCAGATGCTCCAGAGGCTTTCCTCAAGCCTCCTTGAAGGTGAAAACAGCATCCCAAACTTCTGTTAGGCCTGTTTTTTTGCCCTCCCCAAGTCTCCATGTGTGTCCTGCACTTACCTGCATCCAAAATGGTCCACGTAGGGACTCCTGGGAGGGAGGTGTAGGTTGGGAGGGGCCAGCCAGAAGTGGTATTTGGGGGTTCTCCGAACTGCACAGAATCTTAGCTAGAGGTTCTCCCGAACCCCTGCAAACCCCCAGCAGCCCACATAAATATGTGTTATTGTGATAAAAGTCCATCATCTATGTATACTTTAATCCCCCAAACTTAGTTATCCCAGGGGTGAAATCCAGTAGGTTCTAACAGGTTCTGGAGAACCGGTAGCAGAAATTTTGAGTAGTTCGGAGACCTGGCAAATACCACCTTTGGCTGGCCCCAGAGTGGGGTGGAAATGGAGATTCTGCAATATCCTTTCCCTGGAATGGGGTGGGAATGGAGTATCCGTCCCCTGCCACACCCACCAAGCCACATCCACCAAGCCACACCACACCCACCAAGCCACACCCACAGAACTGATAGTAAAAAAAAATTAGATTTCACCACTAAGTTATCCCCATATTCCTTATTTAGGCCACTGTGTTTTATAGGCTTAATAGATATTCTAAGAGACTTTCACAATAACCTTAAAGTCCTTTTGACAAAAAAGGACCTTTTTTTGATGCTGGTACATTGCTCCTATACCCCTCCTCCTTAGAAGTGAATTATTACATTCTTATACTATGTCCAGAAGACAATTGCTCAATCCTGACTTGTAGGTAAAGAAAAGTCTATGTGCATTTCATTATAAGAGAAAATGAGATGGATGACATTTGAGATTAATTTTTTCCCCTTTAATAACTGAATAATTTAGTGATCTGACTCTCATTTTTCATGGAAATGTAGCCTCATCTTTGCACACTCATTTATGGCAGGCATTTATATTTCATTTCTCATAACAGAAACAATTCAATTATTGTGTGGGTAAAGTTCTGGAGCTGCAGTCATTCAACATGGCCAGGAGATGGCTACAGAGATTTCCTTTTATTTCTTTGCCTCCCTTTCGTGGTGAAGAGGAGTTGCCACTGAGATCCAGTTTAAAAATCCACACGGGCTGAAAATGTGCTTTTCAGCTTTGCGAAGGGTGATTCATTTTTGAGTCTGAAAATGCTTTGGATGGAGGCCAAGATCCCCCACCTGGAATTGGGAATGTCTACTTTAATGTCTACAGGGACGTGGTGGCTCAGTGGCTAAGACGCTGAGATTGTCGATCAAAAGGTCGGCAGTGGTTCAAATCCTTAGTGCCGTGTAACGAGGTGAGCTCCCATTACTTGTCCCAACTTCTGCCAACCTAGCAGTTCGAAAGCATGTAAAAAATGCAAGTAGAAAAATAGGGACCAACTTTGGTGGAAGGTAACAGTGTTCCATGAGCCTTTGGCGTTTAGTCATGCCGGCCACATGACCACAGAGACATCTTTGGATAGCGCTGGCTCTTCGGCTTTGAAACAGAGTTGAGCACTGCCCCCTAGAATCGGGAACTACTAGCACATATGTGTGAGGGGAACCTTTACCTTTACCTTTTTACTTTAATGAACAAGAGGTGTTTGTATTTGAGGGGCTGCCACAAGGATAGGGGGTCAACCTATTCTCTAAAGCATCTGAAGGCAGGACAAGAAACAATGGATAGAAAGTAATTAAGGAGAAAACTAACTTAGAACTAAGGAGAAATTTCCTGACAGTTAGCACAATTAATCAATGTAATGATTTGTCTTCAAAAGTTGTGAGTCTCCAACAGTGGAGTTTTTAAAGAAAAGATTAGACAACCATTTGACAGAAATGGTATAGGGCCGTGATGGCAAACCTATGGCACGTGTGCCACAGATGGCACGTGGAGCCATATCGGTGGACACACGAGCTCAGCTCTGGCACACATGCGTGCACTGGCCAGCTGATTTTCGGGCCTTCTGGGCCCACTGGAATTTGGCAAACAGGCCATTTCTGGCTTCCGGAGGGCATCCAGGGAGGGTGGGGAAGGCCATTTTCGTCCTCCCCAGGCTCCTAGAAAGGCTCTGGAGCCTGGGGAGGTTGAAAATCGGACCTACTGGGCCCGCCGTACCATCACATGCCAAAAGCGAGGGAAATGCGGAGGGGTCACAAACACATGTGAGGGGGCAGGGCGCATAGAATTATGGGGTGTGGGCACATACACGCGCAACCTCCCCACGCTTCCCACGCTTTTGGCACGTGATGGCAAAAAGGTTAGCCATCATTGTTATAGGGCTTCCTGCTTGAGCAGGGGAGATGGACTAGAAGACCTCCAAGATCCCTTCCAACTCTTGTTATTCTGATATATCTGCTTGGCTTGGATTCTTATAAGCATCCTATAGACAAGGAAGATATATGCCAAACAAATGAAAGTAAGTTTTTTTTTTTTAAATGTCATGCTAATAATTATTTACCACAATTGCAAGTCAACGTATGTGGCTTGTCTGTTTTCATTCTCCCCTCACCTTTTTAAAATCCAGTCCTGCTTCTTTTTATCCCTTTTAATGGCAGAAATAGTTTAGTCTTTGCAGTTCAGGGAACAGCTCCACAATGATTAAAACTGGGAATGAAATAATAGAGGAGATGAGTTTGGCAAACAACTATGTTCGGAATCTCAAGTAGTATACTACTTGCTTACTAACCAATTCAGAGTGTACAATATTCACATTCTAAAGGGAAACAGATCAACAGATCAAATGAAAAAAATGAAGAAAGCATTCATAAATGTATTTGTTTTATAATTTAGTCCTATGCTTTATAACTTTATTGCAGTCATTAATCATAACAAGGAAATTGGTGTTCAAATATCCAAATTGACAATGTCAGGGTAAGTAGAAAAGGTACATAAAACCCAAGAATTTTGGCTGAAAGACAATACTAAATAGAAAAAGGCACCCGTCCATCAAAGAACAGTTGCCTATCAAAGGACAGCTGCCCATCAAACAGCCACTGCTGATTAAATGGCATATGCCCATCAAACAGACACTGCCCATCAAACAATGCATGCCCACCAAATGGCACCAGTCCATCAAAGAACAGTTGCCTATCAAAGGACAGCTGCCCATCAAACAGCCACTGCTGATTAAATGGCATATGCCCATCAAACAGACACTGCCCATCAAACAATGCATGCCCACCAAATGGCACCAGTCCATCAAAGAACAGTTGCCTATCAAAGGACAGCTGCCCAAAAGACAAACAGGAATACTGGGCAAAAGGAGAGAAGGCGGGAGACAAGATGGCTGCCTGGGAGATCTGCCACCACAGGCCTTGTGAGGAAGAGACTGAATAAGCAGAGCAAAAGCCCCCGGACTCAAATAAAAGTGGCAAAACTAAAAGTTAGACTGGTCTAATTTGAAGATTCAACCAGAAAAGAGGCAGCAGCTGAGGAAACTGAGGAAGGATAGGTATTTTTTTTTAATTACCTCAGAATTGCATGAGATTTATTTGCTTGTTCGTTTCCTCCAAGACAAGTGACAATTTTTTTTAAAAAAGACAGCACGCATGGACACTTGCTGTGTAACAATGAAAATACATACATACATATCTAAAAGGAAGGGATCCGACCAAGTTAAAACTAAGGCAGAAAAACCAATCTTTTCAAATGGATATGGAATAGCTTCCATTCCTCTTCTATCACAGTCCTGAAATTTCATTTTTTCTACTCTCTGGCCAGACTGGATGCACTACCTTTAGTCATTATCTTGAGGCATTACAACATTCCCCCTACTACATCAGGGTTTCTAAAACTGTGGTTCAAAAATCACTGGGCATCCCCCAAGACCACAGAAATCAAAATTATTTGACAGTTATTGAAAATACTGGCAAAAAATTAAGTGTCCCTCTTCTCATTTTTTTTTTTTGTTAAAAATATAGCTTTTTCATTGAAGACGTTCTGTTTATGTTAATATTCAATGGATTTAATATTGTTTGAAATCATTCAGCGAACAAAAAGTTCTAGGAATGGAAAAAAATTAATTTTTAATATAGTAAATAGTGATGTATGTTGTATTTAATTCATACAACCACAGCTCTTTTGGGATCTATAATTTTTAAAAGTAATAAGGGGTCCTGAGAGCAAAAATCTTTAAGAATCATTTTGGGAACATCGATGTGTACATTGTTCTCGTATGTATATTTCTCTTGCCTCTGAAAAGTTTAATTAATTTCTAACTGAAGCGTTTTTTTTCATCTTTATTTTATCTGTATTCATTTGCTTAACCTATAGCAATGATAAGGGTTTAGTTTGATTTGGATTTGATTTGACGGATGCATAATAATGTCACAGGTACCATGACCTGTGTCCTTTCATGAGAAGTTGTGAAGCAAATACCTAATCATAGGATTTGCACATGCCCCTATCATTGCTTTAATGTCATCATGATTTGTCCTGGACATCTTATCTCAAATAAATGAGCATTTCTTACCAAAACAGAAGGCAAAGTGGGAAAACAAGCAAGAAAAACCATTCAAGCATAAGCTATAACCACAGTATTATTTTTGTTTTATTTCTAACAACACTGATATATTAAAATCAGGCAACAATGCCAGGTCTGTTCTATTGAGAGTGACCAAAAAAATATATGAAGAAATACAATTCCTCCAAATGACTTTGAAGTTCATTTTCCAAGTCATATCACTCCATGGTATAAAATCAGTTAGTTTCAGAGAATCAGGCACTGCTTTGGATTTTTAAAAATGGGGCACAACTGGTGATTTCTGACAGAATTAATTTGCCCTAAAATATTT